CCATTGGGCGAGTGCAGTGGCGGTGGCGGACTGACGGTTGACGCGGACGGAGAGGGTGCGGAGAGAGCGGAGGAGGAGCCAGGTGTCGAGCGAGCCGATGTTGGAGCCGGTGTACGTGCGGTCGTGCCAGCTGTAGAGGGACCGTAACCGTCAGAAAGAGCTCTCGCAACCTGGAGCCGACCCAACGAGAGCAAAAACGTCGAACGCACAGCTTAAGCCAGTCTTCCTTGTTCCGAACGCTGACGGTTCCACACAGCGTGTCTGAGTGGCCAGCAAAGTACTTTGTTCCGCTGTCTGAAGGCGGCACAGGATGTGTGAGCAGTTGTAGGAGAGTTCTGGGCTGAGCGGGACTCACGCATGACGACGTCCGCCCCCCACTTGAACGGGTCCTGGAGAGGCGGAGGAGCGAAGGTCGCGTCCACGCCGACGGTGCCGCCGACTGCGCGAGCTCGCTTTGCGTCTGGTAAGGAGAATGGCGATCAGGGCGAAGGCTCAAAGGGCGAATGCGAACGTAGGGACGTACAAGCAGCAATCGAGCGAGACTCGCCCGTCGGGTTTAGCGGCGTCTCGACCCAGCACAAGAGCTTCTTCCCGCTTGGGTACTCGTCGTCGAGCTTGATGACGGACTGCGCATCGAGAAGTCAGCCTCTGCGCACTTCGAAGCGAGGCTCGCTCGACTCACCACATGGTCCTCCCCTCGCAATCGCCGGTAGACCTCGAGTGACGCATGGCAGCCGTGGTAGCCCTCAGTAATGGCGACCACGTCAGGGCGGACGAGCAAGAGAACGGCGAAGAAGGCTGAGATGCCGGATGGGTAGACAACGGTAGGCTGGCCGACGATGGAAGACAGGGCGCGCTCCACGCGGGTGAGGGTCGGCTGAGTGTACCTGTGTACTCACAGGGTCAGCTCGATAGATCCGGAGGGAGCGAGGGCGAGGTTCGTTCAGCCTCACCTTGAGTAGATGTCCCTCGACGGCTCCGACGCGTCCCACTTGTCCGAATAGTAGCCCTCCGGCTTGCTGGCGATCTCTTCGGGAGAAGGGTGGCGAAAAGTCGTCGTCGTCCTGCACGGAGAGCCCGTCAACCTCCGCAGGACAAGGACGAGGAGGCGATTTCAACGAGACGCACGAGATGTTGGCCGCGACTTCGGGTCCGCTGAGATACGAGTCGTGGTGAATAGAACGCGTTGCGAGGCCTGCCTTTGCGTCCGGTGCCATGGCGAGAGAGTGTTCAATGCCGGTCGAGGAGGAACGGGGTGTTCGGGAGGTGAGGAAGCGCGGAAGCGAAGCGGGAAGCTCGTGGACGCCAGGTAGCAGTATTGACAGTCTCTAGCAGTCTGTACAAGCTGTCCAGCAAGCCCCAGCGGTGAGCGAGTTCGTCGTTCTTCTTCAAGAAGCGATGAAGTCGGGTTGCGTTCTTCTCCTCACCGCTCCTCGCTCGTGCTGCTGCCAGAGGCTGTCAGAAGGGTCATCGAGTCTACTGGCACGGTCCAACATGTCCAGGTGCGCTGCTCTTTCGTTTCGTCGTCGCATGGGCCCCACCGCTCATCCTGTTCTCTGGCACGCAGCGGCGAGCCCCTTGCGGACCCGCTAGCGATGCTCGATGTGCACGAAGAGCCGCAGAAGCGCGTCCTACGCCCGCGTATAAGCGATCAATGGGCGGACAAGGCCGTTCTTGCGGAGCCTTTCTCGCCTGGATGGGACAGCGCTCAGGGCCCTCTGGGCAGTTCTGAAGGCGAGAGAGGCGCTGCGCAAAAGGAGGAGCACGATCCGAGAGGGGCGAAAGGGATTGCTCGATCGCAGGACGGCGACGACGCCCCCTCGTCAGCCGAAGACGACTCTTTCGCTGCCTCCCCTCCGAGCGCCTCTCGCCCCTCTGGCCTCAACCCCGCCGCTGCATCCTGGACGCCATCGACATTCACCCATCTTCCTCCCGCACCCATCTCGATGCCGGCCGAAGCAGCTTCCCAATCGCCTTCCCGCACTCGCTCGACTTCTGCCTCGACCACTGTCGAAGCCGCATCTTCCGTCACGCCCAAAGGCATTCCCTCGCCCCTTGCAAGGAGGGCAGACACCGCTCCGTCGGAGTCGCCTGTCGAGCGGGACGAGCGGGCGCACTCCGTCCGCACGGCTTCAACAGCCTCGAGCTCGAAAGGCTACGAGCCGACTGTCTTGCGGAATCTCATCTCGACAGCGTGCCAGAATGGTGACCTCGAGCGTCTCGTCTCCCTCATGTCGAGGTCTGGAAGCGAAGTGGCGGATGGCTCGAGCCGATTCACTCTTGCGAACCAGACGAGTCCCCATATTGGGCTAGCGCCGCTGCATTACGCTGCTCAGCGAGGACATGTCGACGTCGTCAAGTGGCTCATTGAGGAATGCGGAGCGATGCCGGAACTGGAGGACGGTGACGGAGAGGTGAGTTGCAGCTCCTTTAGCCGGCAGGAGTCGCAAGCTGACTATGTTCGCCAACAGACTCCGCTGTACAAGGCGGCTCATTCCGGCCATCTCGACGTCTGTCGCTTCCTAATCTCGCGCGAGGTCGATGTTGATGCGACGGACTCGGATGGCTGGACGGTACGTGAGGTCGTTTCTTCTGCTAATCCAGCGTCATTGCTGACAACTCTCCGCAGGCCCTCCACAACGCCTCGTCTCGCGGCTGGCTCGACATCGCTCGGCTCCTTCTCGAAGCCGGCGCGGACGTCGACCACCCAAGCCGACACGGCTACACCCCGCTCATGAATGCAGCCTCGAAGGGCCAGCTCCCGCTCGTCCAGTACCTCCTTAAGCAAGGTGCCGATCCACTTCGACGCAACACGTACGGCGAGACGGCTTTCGACCTCGCCGCATCGGTCTTCGAGATCCAGATCTGCTCGGTCCTTGCGACGGCAGAAGCCGCCCGCCTAACCGCAGACGACTCGTTCGATCGACCGTACAATGCACTCGAGCTTCATTCGACCGTCCCCGTCATCCTGCACGAGAACCAGCGCCTCGCCCTTCCCACTCTCAAGAACCTCTCGACACTCGCGCGAGGCGGCCTGAAGTGGACGGCGAAGGCGCTCAGCAGGAACGACGGCCGAGCTGCGTACTCGCTGCCGATGCAGCTGGGTACATTTGCCGGACCCGAGCTCCCTTGTTTCCGCTCGGAGGTCGGCTTGCCCACCGTCGGCGAGGAGAGTGAGTTGGTCTTGCCCCCACCACGGGAGGTCAGGAGCGGAGGCAGGGTGAGATTCGAGCGGCCGAGCGAGTCGAGCACGCCCAAGCCGGCCGAGTCGCGGCCAACAACTCTCCGTCGAGCGTCCAGTAGCGCTGCTTCGTCGCTCACCGCGGTCCTCGCCTCTTCCCCCGATCCCGCCAGTCTACCCGCGCCCTCGACCTCAACTGCGTCACGCAAACAATCAGCCTGGATCTGGCTGTCGAATTGGGTCGTCGACACCACCGCCCCGTCCGGCTCGCCAATCGACGGCTGGTCGTACGCCACTTCATTCGACGCGCCCGACACTGAATGGACGCCTGAGCCGCCTCTTGAGGTCCGACGTGCGCTCGAGGGAGGCGCGAGTCTCGCTACCCTCGGCGGCGGCAAGAAGTGGGTCAGGCGGAGGAAGTGGGTGAGGGTGATGAGGCGACGGCTCGATGTGCCGGACTGGGGCTTCGCGAACCAGCCGCCTTTCCCTCGACGAGAAGAGCAGCACGATTCGTCGGCAGGGTCGGACGACTACCGCACGCGCGCGCAGTTTCTCGCTGGCGTGACTGGCGAGAAGGAGCCGACGACCGTTGTCGAAGGGAACGAGCGGGCGGAGCTCAGGAAGGTCGCGGCACGGCTGGACCGCGCTGCAGACGAATTGAGACGGGGGTTGGCGAACGATCAGGACGACGAGAGGCGCCGGGCGGCACAGGACGACCTTGAGGTCTTCCTCCAGCAGCTCGCTCTCGTCAAGTCGCAGCTTGGGGTCGAAGGAGATGAGGAAGATGGTGCGTGCAGCTTGACGACTTTGGCAGCTGAGCGCTGACATCGCGTTCCTTCGCAGACTCGGACGACGAGTTTGTCTACTCTGGGCGAGACGCGGACGGTGACGACGACGCTCGCTCAGTGTGGACGACAACGCGACCTGCAAGCGTTACTTCCGGCTACGACTCGACGTTCCGCAACGACTACTTCGTCCAGCCAGTCCCTGCCTCTTCCGCCTCCTCCGCTTCCGTTGCCTCGCCTCAACCCGTTCTCACGCCTCAACTCGCACCCGACTTCCGCGTTCCGACGAATGAGACGTCAGCCAGCATTCGCTCGCACGTCTCGCCAGCCTTTCAGCAGCGTCCGCTACGACCAGCGTGGGAACCGGACGAGGCGGCGAACGACTGCCGTCGGTGCGGCAAGTCTTTCAGCTTCTTCAACCGCAAACATCACTGTCGCCGCTGCGGCCTCGTCGTCTGCGCCGCTTGCTCCCGCCACGACGACGAGCTCAACCCGTACACCGTCGCGATCGAGCCAGGCGCGTTCGTCGAGACGGAACTGCCGTGGCTTTCCGGTACTCTCCAGCGCTACCGTACCTGCGACGATTGTCATGCCGCCCTGTCGCTTCCTTCCGGCGTCGGCATGACCTCCTTCCTATCGCCTCAATCCTTCTTCCCGGCTTCGCCCTCTCTCGGCTCGGTGACGCCCAGCGAGGCGGCGGCATCCGATGCCAGCGACCTCGTCGAGTGTCCCGTCTGCGGAACTGGCTTGAGCGGTATTGGCGACAAGGTGCAGCAGGAGGCGCACGTTCGCCATTGCCTCGAGCGAGGTGGAGGATCGATCGCATCCGGTCGCTACCTCGGTGCGTGCGCTTGTGACTGAGCACTCCATCTGCGCTAACGATGATCGCTCGCTCCTTTCGCAGTCTTTACGCTCCCGCCAGGTCCGCTGGTCGGCGAAGAGTGCGGCGTCTGTTGGGCCGAGTTCGAGGTGAGTTTGCCGTTCGGCCATACCGATCGCGTCTCTGACACCTCTCCTCCCAGGTCGGCGACAAGATGGCCCGCATGGTCTGCCTGTGCACCTTTCACGAGAGCTGCCTCAGCGGCTGGCTCGCTAGGGGTCACTCTTGCCCCATCCACGCCGCCCGCGAGTAACCTCCCACAACCTCGATACCCACTCGCATTGCATTACTACCCGTTCACTCGCTGTCGACGGTGCGCCTCAGTCGCTCTTTCACTGCTCCTTTCCGACGACGGAGCCGAACGCCCAAGTTTGGGAAGGTCACGGGTGGAAATGGACGTCACCTCGTCGCCGAAAGAGCTGGCAAGGCGCCTGACAAGTCGCAGCGACTGAGCAAGTGCTCAAAGAAGCAGCCGAAGGCTGTCCGTCGACGGAGGGGGTCGATCGCCTCGACGAAAGTTGGGCGACGTCGGGTTGTCCTCTTTCCTTCCTCCGCGTCGCTTTCCTCCTGCACGCTTGAGCTCCGCTTCAGTTCATTTGCTCCACACTCGACGTCGCTCTCAATACTCGCCAAACATGGCTCTTCGTTCCGGCAACGAGTATAAGCTCGACGAACTTCTTGCAGAGGTGCCCAAAGTCCGCATCTTCCTGCGCCCTATTGCGCCGGTGCGTTCCCTCTCGCTCATTCTGTACGATCTGCAAGCCACATCTGACATCCTCTCTATCCTGAATCCGCGCACCTCCACCCTCGACATCCCGCTTCCCTCGTCATCCTTCTCGACATCGACAGCCCGCCGCTCTCGGTCTTGCCGGCTTCGCCAGCTCCACCTGGATCACTGCGTCGTGGATTGCAGGATGGTGGGGAGACGAGAAGTCGCCCGGGGCGTTGTGCGTCTCCATTCTCCTGCCTATCCTTCGTCCCCCTTCCGCCCTTCGCCCTCCTCCAGTCTTATATCACTGCTCCCTTTGCCCTTTCGATCTCACGCGAAGCGAGCGTGCACCCATTGCATCGAAGGAGGCGGGGACTGACGCTTCACGGTCTCTCACCTCCCGCAGCTTCCCCTTTGTCCTGTTTTTCGGAGGCGTTTGCCAACTAATCGCGGGCTTGATGGGCTTCCCTGCTCGCGATACTCTTGTCACAGTCATCAACACCATGGTGCGATATGTTTAGGACGAAGCGGGCTGACTGAGAGTATTGCTAACGCTGCCTGCCTTGCAGTGGGGTGCTTTCTGGGTCGCACAGGGCACGGCCTTCTACCTCATCGTGCGTAGGAGCAGACCTAGACTCCCCACAATCGCTCGCTGATCACGGACATACTGCAGGCCGCCGGCGTCGTCCCCTCGCACTCCATCTACACCCACTGGCCTGAGCTTGCCAGCTGGTTTGTCCCGCTCGCGGTATTTACCTGGGCTGGAGTACGTCTGGCACTTTCACTCGCAACGGGTGGAGAGCTGACCCTTATCCGCAGGCCATCGCCGCTTTCGCTCGCGACTTGATCCTCGCCCTCACCCTCACCTTCTTGGCGACCGGCTCTACGATTGCGTGGTGCGTAGTGTTCTCTCAAGAACGGTGGACCAACCAAATTGAGACTCGTCGAGCTGAACTAACTTGTTCGGTACTTTTGCGTGTAGCTGCCTCTTCTCCTTCTCCGAGCCGGGTGTTCGCCACGGCATCAAGGCTGCCGCGTACTTCTGGATCCTGAGTTCAATCTTCGCGTGAGCCTCTTGCGTTCCTCAGTACCGTTGTTCTTCAAAATATCGCGACGTCTCTCCTGCTCGCCTTTTGCCAGTCGATCGCGTTTTGGCAGCGGTCATCCTAGCAGGAAGTGACTGACCCTCAATCATACAGTGCCTGGCGCGTCTTCGTTTACCTCCAGGAGGAAGCCTGGGGCCCAACGAACCCGGTCGTCAAGAACGCCTTCCCCGTCTTCCGCTTCGGCACCGAGAAGCGCGCGCCTCTCGTTGTTCCCGGTCTTGGCGAGCCCGGCGTCAAGCGCGGCATGCCCGGCGTCATCTAAGCCGACTCAATTCGCACACCAGACCGACGTTCCTCTCGCACTGCGCGACTCGTTTCCTCCCTTGTTCGCAGCCTCCTCTCCTCGCGCCTCGAATTTGTCTATATCGCACATACATTCTCCAGCCATTTTGTCGACTCTTCAGACCCTAATTCATCCCACATCGCACCCCTCACAACCCTACCCTGGCGCCGTATCGTTCCGCAACGCGAATCGCATCCGCAACGACCGCTCCAGCCGTGACCGAGAGCGGATAGCCGGGACCTTGTATGATGAGAGGCGAGGAGGAGTAGCGATGGGTGTAGATGGCGAGGGAGAGGTAGGAGCCGGAGAGGGAGGCGAAGGGGTGCGAGTGGGCGAACCTGCGAGAGGATTCAGCTGCAACCTGAGAGCGAGGAGGCGGGCACTCACTTCTCCAGCCCACACTTAAGCGTCCCCGTCGAGCGGTCAAACAGGCCAACATAGCGCAAGACCTTCCCCTCGCTCTCCGCCTCCCGCCGTAACCGCTCAAAGTCCTCGTCGTGCTCCGCCAAACCGTCCACAAAGGCCGCAGGATCGGCTTCGTCCGCCAGGTGCGACGGGACGAGGGATTGCGTCTCGATCGAGGCGTAGCCGTCGGGAAGGTTGGTGGATGAGGGGGAGGCGAGACGGGCGAGGATGGTGAGCTTGCGTGCAACATCGCGGCCTGACAGGTCATCCGCCGGGTGAGGTTCCTGTAAGAGAGGAGCCTGTCAGCCCGACCAAGACTTTGAGCGAGAACAGTTTGCGATCCTCACCGTGTGCCCATGCTTCCAAGCGTCCCGCACCAGCTCGCTGAACCGTACCGGCTCCTTCAGCACCTCGACAGTCGAGTACTGGTTCAACAAGTACGACAGCGTCCCGCTCAGCACTGCCTCGACCTTCACGACCTCATCGCCAGTCGCCACGAGGTCTCGCACAGTCGTCAGGACTGGCAAGCCCGCTCCGCACGTCGCTTCGTAGTAACACAGTCCTGCGCCGAGCTGCCGCAGAGCCGCTTGGATGTTATTGTACAGCGAGGCGGAGGACGAAAAGGCTCGCTTGTTGGGCGTGACGACGGAAACGGAGGAAGAGATGGCTCGAGGGTAGAGACTGGCGACGAGGTCGGATGATGTGCAGTCGACGAGGATGATGTGTTGTGATGTCGCGCGAGAACGTTCGACGAGGAGGTCGACTAGGCGTGAGGGGTCGGCGGGAAGATAGCTTGCTTGAAGGGAAGAGGGAGGGAGCGGTGAGGAGGATGGCGGAAGGAGCGAGAGTAGGGCATCGGCATTCAGCTGAGTCTCCGACTTCAGGAGCACGGCGTGCTTCGAGTTGGACAGCAGGACGATATCGAAGACTTCCCGCAGGGAGGGGGAGAGAAGCAGACGGACGACCTCCTTGCCGACGAGTCCCGCGCCAACGAGCGCCACGCCGACCTTGCCCACTGCAAAGTGGGAGGCTCAGCGCATGTTCAAGGCATATGGGCGGCCGACGCACTCGTTCGTTGATCAAGTCGTTCGGGTGTCGGCGGGTGGTCGCAAGAGCCAGAACGAGAGCGAGGCGGGGCGGGACCTGGGCAATGGAAGGTACAAACAGCCTCTAGGCTTTGCTTCGTGCGCCTAGCAGAGCAGCGCAGAGCTGTTATGAGCCACAATAGCTTGTGAGAGATGAAGAGGAGACGAGGCGGTGTAAGGTGGGTGAGTGGGAGAGCTTGACTCGCTGAAGACGGCCAGCGACGGCGTCAGGCAGTTCAGCGAGCACTTCAAATCCGTCCCAGCGCAGCCAAACCAGCCAACTCGAGCGAGAGTGAACGGCGAAAGGAGACCCGACGCTCCTCTCCCGACGACCACCATCTCGCACGCTTGCTGCCGCACAATGAGCCCGCTTTGAGCCTCGTCAGACTCGCAAGACAGATACCGGAATGCTGGCAAGGCGACTCGCCCAACTTGCGGCGCTCTGCCTCGCCGCATCGCTCGCAAACGCTCAGGTCTTGAAGGCGACTAGGTTGCGGTCCTGCCTCGGCGGAGGGACACTGGTAGCTCCAGCGGATCGCCAGCTCACCTTCACCAACCTCTACGCCCAGTTCGACCAGGGCCAGACGCGCGTGGGAGAGCATGTCGGCGGCATCAACCTCCAGTCCCTTCCCGAGCCGATCTTCAACCAGGAGGGCGCGATCCTGACGGGAACAGGCGACGTGCTGAGGGTCGTGTTGACGGGAACGACGGTGGCCGAGGCGCAGGGGTACAGCAACGACACGGGATACCTCTCGACACTCGTCGTCGACAACCAGGTCCTCTCGTTCGATGTCTTCAACAACAAGAGTGCGCTGTGTTCGGCGGTGCGCACGAACGAGGGCACGACGGGAACGACGACGAACGGTTCGTCGACGGTCCAGGAATCGGGGTGTCCGTACAGCGGAGACATCGGTCTCGGCTTCGTCGTCCCGCTCGCCAGCTCGTACCCCTTGACGACCATCACAACCAACCTCGTCGCCCTCGATCCGTCCCAAGATGCACTCCATCTTGCCTGCTACGACCTGTCCTTCACGCCCTATTATCCCGACTACTTCGCTTACCCCCTCGTCCGATATCGTGCGTTCGCCGGCTCCGCTCCCCAAAGTCTTTCCTGCTTACGATCGCGTCCACAGTCATCATCGGCCTGCTCGCGCTGTACCTCCTCCTCTACTGTATCGCCCGCTTCTACGCCTCCTTCACGACCTACCGCCAAGACAACGAAACGCACCTCGCCTCGTCGCTCACCCTTAAGCTCACCTCGCGCGACGCCGTCTCTTCCCGCCGAGCCGCCTTCCGCTCGATTTGGTTCGGCGCATGGGCCGGCAGGCAGGTCGTTGCGAGCGGGAGCTTGAGGCGGTATGTCACGCCCGAGTTGAGGGAGTTGTTCACGCTTCTTGCGTGGTTCTCCCTTGTTGGGACCGTCGCAGTAGATTGGCCGGGCTTCGCATGTGCGCTTGGACCTCCATCTCTCGTAAGAAGCGGACTGACCCTTCGCCTCTTCGCCTCGCAGACCCCGTCTTCAAGCAAGCCGCCTGGACCGCCCTCGTCTACAACAACTCCCTACCCTTCACCTCTCCAGCCGCACCCGTTCTTCCGGAGAATGGCACACTCCCACCCGCCTACGCCGCGCAGATGACCGACGTCACTTCGCCTCTTTACCTCGACGCAACCCTCCCGAACGTCCTGCTCGACCTCGACCCCGAAAGCGACGGCATCGAGCGCTGGGCTCGAATGGTTGGCGTGCGCCACCAAGATCCCTGGAGCGTCTGCGCGTTCACGTTCTTTGCGATTTGCGCAGGCGTGATCGGCGCGCATGCGGTCTGGTACGCCTTGGCGGCGGCGTTGGATGCGGTCGTGCCGAGCCGCCGAGCTCGCGCCGAACAGCGTCTTGCAGCGGAGGACAAGAATGGTGTGGGCGGAGACGAAGGACTGCAGAAGGAGGCGGGGACGCGCGAGAGTTACGGCGCGGGCAGGCGCTCGGAAGGGTCGATGGGGCGGTTCATGGGCGATGTCGAGTTTATCGACGACGAGTACCTTGAGGAGCAGGGCGAGATTGGGCGGGACAGAACCGACGAGTTGTACTCGACTTGGCGACTCCACCTCGCCAGCCTCGAAGGCAACCTCGTCCGCGCTCTCCTGTTCTTCCACCTCCCGCTCTGCCTCTTCTCCGTCTACCAGTTCACCCTCCACTCGACATCGCCGACTTCGACCTTCGCCCTCGCTGTCGTCACCTTCGCCATCGCCTGCGTCCTTGTCCCGCTCTGGCTCATGTGGCAGCTGCACGTCAAGCCAGTCCGCGAGCTGTACACGCACCTCCCGACACTTCTCGCCCTCGGACCGCTCTACAACACCTACGCAGACGAATGTGTGCTCTTCCCGGGCGTCACGTTCGGCTACAACCTGATCGTCGGCATCGTTATTGGCGCCGTACAGGGAACCGGTACCGCCCAAGCCGCCGTCATCCTCATCTGCGAGGTCGCGCACACGCTCATCACCTCACTTTGGTTGCCGTGGGGTGACCACTCGGCGATGGGTCCACTCGCGTTCCTCTTCTCACTCGCGCGGATCATCATCGCTGTCCTCCTCGTCGTCCTCTCGCCGACAGTCAACGTCTCGCCCTCGGCCGCCTCGTGGCTCACCTACATCGTGTTCCTCGTCGAGGGACTCGTCCTCCTCCTTTTGATCTGGGTCATCGCGTTCAAGTTTCTCGAACTCGTCGTGCGGGTTCTCGGTGGCGTGCCATTCGACGAGTCTCGCAGCTCGCGAGGAGGAGGCTTCTTCGGTGCGATGCGCAAGCTTGAGCGGAGAAGCGGAGGCGGGGGCGGCAAGAAGCGGAGACGAGGCGATCCTGCGGCGAGATCGCAGGTGGCGCGTCAGCGGGCAGCAGAAGAGCGGCGGAGACGAAACCTTCATCGTGAGCGGTTCGCTGGAGGGACACTGGGCGGCGTGAGCGACGCCTCCAGCGTCGGAACGCGCACGTACATGCTGCCGAGCGCGGCGAGGATGGCGGGACATCCTGGCGCGGCGGGCTCGACGCTCTCGCTGCACGGCAACTCGCCCTTCCCGTCGAGCGGACTCGTTGATGACGACGGGTTCATCATGTCCGCCATGTCGTCGCATGGTTGGGACTCGGCTTCGGAGGCTTCGTCGGCGAGACCAGGATTCGTCAAGCCGGGTCACTACGCGAGCAGCGGTGCGGGAGGACCGATCCTGCGATCGGGGCCGCAGCACTGGGGCAGCCAGGTCAACGTCGCTTCGGCCGCTGCACCAGCGTCTGCCGTCGTCGTTGCAGCGTCGCCTCTCGCGGCGACTTCTCCTTCGCCGGCTGGCGGCTCTGGCTTCCAGCGCGTCGGCGGCGGCCGAGCGACGCACAACAATCCTTACCAGCTCGCCGCAGGCGAGACCGCCTATCCGCCGTACCCTGCTTCGTCAGCCGACATGTACGGTCCGCGCCGTCCCTCGCACACTGCCGACCTCGCTCTCGCGCGGCACACCTCTCCGCTAGCCGACGGCGGTCCAGCGCAACGCCAGCCCTCTCGCCCCTCCCTGACGCTCCCCTCGACTTCCGCACTCCTGTCGAACTCTGTCTCCCCCGGCGGGCGCCTCGACGACGAACACAACCGGCGCCTCTCGACCCGCGTTCGAGCACGCCGAGCACGCCAAGGCGGTTTCTTCGGCCGGTTTAAGCGGCAGAGGGTGCAGTATAGCGATGATGAGTATACGGATGAGACGGACGAGACGGATGAGGATGAGCCGCGCGTTGCGAGGAGGGGAGGAGGAGGGGTGTTTGCTGCGTTGCGTGGGAAGGGAGGACGAAGAGGGCGGAGAGGAGGAGGAGAGGAGAGCGAGATGGTCGAGACTGGGTTTGGAGGCGGCGGAGGAGGCGAGGACGAACCGCCTTTTGATTCGGTGCCCGGCGACTCGGGCGAGAAAGGCTTCTCGGTCGTTCGCAAACCCCGTCCGCGACCCGCCGCGCCAGCCGCCCAATCCTCCGACGCACCTCGCTCGACGGACTTTGCCCAACACGAGCCGCTCCTCCCGAGTAGTGGTGGTCGACCCGACTCTGCTGCTTCGACGAGTCAGCCGCCTCATGTGTCTGTCGAGGCGCCAAGTCGACCTGGCTCGTTGCGAGGGGAGGAGATCGGTGAGGCGTGGGAGGATGTGGATGAGCGGGAGCAAGGGCGGACTTAGCGTTCTCCTCGCGTGTTGTACTCGGTAGCATTCTCTCTGTGTGCTCGATAGACACTGACTCCAGACTGCTAATGGGCCTTTGTTTCTCCTCCTCAAGCCTGTGCATGGGGCGCACTCAGTCGTCCGAGAGCGAAATCACAGCCTTGCCGAAATTCCGGCCCTCGAGCATGTCGACGAACGCCTCGCCTTGGTCGATCCCCTTCGTGATGTGCTCTTTGATCCTGTCGCCGAGCGTGCGAAAGTCAATCTTGCGCGCGCGGAGGAGGGAGTGCGAGGACAGGAAAACGCACTTGATCTCCCCTGACTTGACGAGGCCCGGCATGACGCGGTCGAACTCGGTCGTGTCGTGGTTCGAAACGATGAAGCCTGTCGCGCACCATCTCCATCAGCACCTCCTTCTCTCGGATGGATGAATACGCACACTCACCCTCCCACTTCAAGCTCTTGGTCACGACCTGGAACGTCTGCTTCATTCCGTAGTGTTGGTCGCGCGGCTTGTTATACTGCGAGATCGAGCCGCAAGCGATGATGCGTCCTTTGGGGTTGATAGTCGCGAGAACCGTGTCGAGCGTCTCGCCGCCGACGTTGTCCCTGCGCGGCGAAAGGGTCAGTGCGGAGGAGCGAGGGAGGGGATCGGAGGACAAACCAGTAGATGTCGGGCGGGTGTTGCTGGAGGATCTGTTGCGTCGAGTCGGTCTTGTCTGTCGCCCAGCCCATGAACAGGCATCAGCCACGTCTTCCACAAAGAAGCCCGAAGACTGAAACCTCGCCGCAAGCGGGACGCACAGTTGAAAGCGATGTCGAACCCGATTTCCTTCAGAAACGCGACCTTCTCGTCCGAGCCTGCCGAGCCAACCACGAACAACCCGTCGCGTTTGGCGAGTTGGCCAACAATTTGGCCTACTGCGCCTGAGGCGGCCGATACTGTGCGCGCCCGGGTTCAGTAAGAACGCGGGAGCAGAGGGAAGGCAGGCGACGCACCAAAGATGGTCTCCCCTTTCTTTGGCTTGCCGATATCGTACAACCCAACCCAAGCCGTCGCACCCGGCATCCCACACGCGCCCAACAACGTAGTCCACGGCAGCCCCTCCTTGTTCTCCACCACCCTCCCAAGAAGCTTGACCATCTTTCCGGGGATGAGGGCGTATTCGGAGGCGTCGAAGCGGCCTTTGTAGATCTGACCGGGCTCGATAGAGGGTTCGTCGGAACGGAGGACGACGCCGATCGCGAGGGTTGTCAAGGGCTTGTTCAGCTCGAAGGGCTCGTTGTAAGACTTGAGTTTCGGGTCGCGCATCCTGTCATGGTCCATGAAGGTGTCAGCGATGTCAGATTGGGCGTGCATCCCGGTGCGCACCTGCCGCGCATGTACGGGTCCAGCGAGAGGGCCTGCCGCAATCCCCCGTCAGCTCAACGCCAAGAGAAGAGAGCAACCGGGAGCGCACCTTGTTCTGGACGAGGATGCCACCTTCGAGAGGGACGTTGTCGATGTCGATCTCGTCTACACGGCGAATGAGGGTCTCTCCAGGGACGGGAGCGCCTGTAGGCGGCCTTGCGTAGACGAGCGATGCGTTTTGGACCATGGCACTGGCTGAGGGTGTGGGACGAGAACGGGAGTAGCTGGTCGAGCTGGAGTGGCTGTGGCTGATCTAGCAGGAGTGAGTGAGAGCGTGCACGGTGAGAGCAAGGGCTACGACGGCGTGCTGGGCGCTGAGTGAGCGCGAGTTGTTCGGAGCGGAGACCGAGAAGAGGATCCCTGACCGGCGAGGGCGTTCCCGACTGCCGGCCAAGTTCAGCGCAATAAAGCACTGTCTAATGAACAATACAGTCAACCCATAGCCAGTCAAGTCCAGCTTGGGCGCGAGAGCGGCGAAGGAGGGAGGCTGGCTCGTCGAGTTCGCCGCGATGATGTCGCTGTCCTCGACCACACCGCTCACCGCGCTCAACGACGCTCGTACCAAGTCTGTACACCGCTGGAACACTCTCACACACCGTGCAAACCCATACAACGCCCCTCGAACGACCCGCTCAGCCCTCGTCGCCGTCTCATCAGCCTCCTCACTCGCGGAGGGATGCCCAGCTCGACACACTCGTCTCCACGAGCACGGCGACTAGCGCGACCCTTCCCACTCTCCATGTCGATGCCGCCCATACCCAACTCGTTCGCCCAGCCTTCCCTGCCACTCACCACCTCGCACGCCGAAGAGGACCTGTTTGAGGAGCAGTACTCGCCGACGAGGGAGCGCACGGCCGCGTACTTTCGTGAGGCGGTCAACGAGGTACAGAGTGTGTTGTATGGTGGCAAGGGGCGCGATAGAGACGAGATCGCGAGGGTCGTCGGCGAGCTGTACGACGGCGGCGCGAGTGAGTCCCCTCTTACACTCCCTCGAAGCTGCCTAAGCTGACCAAGTACGCATGCGCAGTCTTTGAGAACCCCTTGACACTCGCACGGGGCAAAGAAGCGATCGCCGACATGTTTGCCCTCCTCGCCCTCGTCCCGGGCACGATGTGGTCCGAGATGGGCGACCTGACCGAGTCGCGCTCGGCCTACGACGGGAACCGCCTGATGGTGTTCACGCACACACTGCACATCTCGCTCCTCCCTTCGCTCGACTCGGAGAATGCGCCGCATATCGGGGGAGGAGGAGGAGGAGCGGCAACTGCGACGCCCTCGATGAGGCGGAGCTACTCGTTCTTCTCGCTCCCTTCGACTCCCTACCCTCAGACGCCCTCTTCCTCGTACCCTTCCTGCCCGCCCGAAACTCCAGCAAACGAGACCGCCCATCCAGGAATCTTCTCCAAGACCCATCCCGCCTTTTCCGCGCGCGACCGCTGGCCCTCGACGTCCCTCCTCTCCGCCTTGAATCCCCGAACGATCGCCTCGGCATTGACGACTCTGCACCTCAAGCTCCATACGCGGCTGCTCTTCAACGAAGAAGGGCGGATTATCGCGCATGAAGATCTGTGGGGACTGAAGGAACTCGTCGAGGGAGTCTTTCCTATCGTCGGTCACTTGTACGCCGTGAACCGACAGGGGATCGGCTGGCTCGCGGGACTGGCGAGTCGCACGTTGCTGAGGAAACAGTCGGCGTCGAGCGAGGGCAAGGACGAAGAGGCGCGGTTGATTGGGCTCCGGAGCGAGGCGGGATCGAAGGGGTGGTCATTTCGCACGCCGCCTCAGCTGAGTGGGTCGGGGAAGGCGCTCTACGGTACTGGAGCGGTGCAGGACGGGTTTGGAGTCGTGAGGCGCGACGAGGAGGCGCTTGGAGCGAGTGCGTTAGGGTTGGATGTCGCACCTGTCCCGACGACGATGGACGAGCTGGACAGCGGTGGAGAGTGATGTGTCGTTGTTTCTCTATTGTGTTGACTGTAGCACTGTCTAGCTCGTTGTTGCCATCCATTTCACTCGTTGCGTCCTCGACCGACTCGAGCTCTCTCGCGACCAAGTCCCGCTCGTTGCTCACACACAACCACGCTCGCTCGCTTGCTGGGACTCGTCAGGCTCTCCAGCGCACGCTATGGACTCGCTCGGCTCGCTCAACACGGCTCTCCCGCCGAATGAGCAGGCAGAGGCGTTGCTCGCTTCGTCGTTCCGTCAGGCCGCACTGTCCATCACCGCGCTGTTCAAGCAGGGCAAGAAGGCCACGAGCAAGGGTGCGTTCACTCTCTGTAGTCCTAGCGAGTCCGTGCGGGCCAAGTTAACCGAGTTGACTCCCCCTTCCTCCTCGTCCCGCTCATCCTCATCAACCCACGACTCTCACCACGCACAGCATTCATCGCAGGCCAACGCCAAGCACTCCAAGAAGTCCTCGAGTTCCTCCAAGCGATCCTTGAGACCCCGGACAGGAATGCGGGAACGTCGAGGGGGGTCGCGGCGCTCGCGGGAGGAGGAGCGGCGGTTGGACCGGTTGATGTTGCGCGGTTGATCAACTTTATTTGCGTGGGTCTCACGTGCTCTCCTGGATATATCCGCGGATGCGGAAGACTGACGAGCCGCGTTTCGGCGTGCAGGCCCGACAAGAGGCGCTCAAGGCAGAGGAGGAAGACCGCGACGAAGACGAGGCGAACCCGCCTTCTTCTGCTTCTGCAGCGGGTCCTTCGTATGCGCCTCCACGCCGCGCAGCGTCCGAAGCGCCCGCCCCGCCGTCCCCGCTCCGTCCAGGCGTAGCCTTCGGTCCGCGCGCCTCGACTTCCACTTCCTCCACTCTCCCTCCCCGCCCTGCATCTGCGCATGCTCGCTCGTACTCAACGGGCATGTCGACCTCCTCTTCCGCACCCGCTTCTCCCCCCTCTTCGACTTTCTCCCCGCCCTTCACGCGCCAAACCTCCATCTTCCAACCTCGCGCCTCGACTTCCGCCTCATCCTCACACGGTCCGTCATCGACGTCCTTCGCACCCCCAACACTCTCCCTCGCTCCTCCCTCGCCCTCCCCCCTCGGACCTTCTCCAATCCCGACGTTTCTCTCCGCCCCAACGGGCCAGTCGACTCCCCTCGCGCGGGAGCGTCCCGGTCGAGCACTGAGGTCGCGTAACTCGAGTCGCGGTGGGAGCGCGAGCGTGGGTGGGAGCAAATCGGTGAGCGGGACTAGTACGCCTGTTTCGACACCCGGTGCGGGTGTAGGCGCGGGAGTTGGCGGAGTGGAAGAAGAAGAGATTGAGCACCTTGGAGCGGGGATCAAGAGGCGGTGGGCCTCTTCTGCCGCTGCAGGACCGGCGGGCTCAGTCGTCGAGCTCTCCCCTCCTCCGCCTGATCCCGCTTCTTCGGCGGAAGGAGGGATGGACGTCGAGCCGATGGCTGACATGGAGGGATGGGACGGCAGGGGCGAGAGGCCGCTCAAGAGGGTTACGAGGACGCCGAGGAATAGCGGGATGGGTGGGGCGGGGACGCCGTCGAGTCTAGAGGAGGCAGGGGAGGGACAGCAGCAGCGGTGAGGAAGGAGGGTTCTTGGGCTTACGGCGGGCAAGAGGGTGTGGTGAGTCGGTCATTGTGCATGTTCTCCTTGTTCTCCTGTGTGTGTGTCGTTCGCCATCGTCCTCTAGCATGTCATAGCAGCAACCTTTGCATCGTCGAAGTCGTCTCTCGACTGGAGCTTCTTCCGTCCGCCCTTGCTTCTTCGCTCGCTTCAATCCCTTGCTATGCTGCTCTTCGTTGCAGCCTGCGCGTGCACTTCGGAGAAGTGCAGGATGTCCGAGAACAAGTCCGCCGCCCGCTCGAGTCCGCGCCGCTTCGTCCGTGCGGGCCGACGACGAGCTCGTCTTGCTCTTCCTCTCGCTTCGTACGGCTTACTTGCTACATACTCACTCTGACTGGACTGCTTCGAGCTTGTTTCGCCCCTTACGCGATCCCTACCGCTCCTTGACTGCCGATATCAGTGCGTCCTCTGCCTCCGGATCCACCATCGCATCCTCCCCGCTGACCACGCTCGATGTGACCCGCAGTGTGCTCAACCAACGCTACCGACTTCTTGCGAGCTCTGCCCAAGGTGCGCGCACCCCGAATCGCTGTTCTGGGCATCGCTGACTATTGTCGAACCGCAGTGCGAGCACCATATCCATATCGAGGGCACGCTCGAGCCAAAGATGCTCTTCGCCCTCGCCGAGCGACACAACATCACCCTCGACTCGTCCATGTACAGCACCATCCCCGCGCTCGAAGAGAGGTTCGTCCCCTTCCTCCCGACTTCTCCTCAGTTCTTGCTGAGCGAGTAACTCCCGCGCAGATACCGCAACTTTGCCAACCTGGACGACTTCCTCGCCTATTTCAACAAAGCGATGGACGTCCTCCTCGACGAAGAAGACTTTGCCGCCCTCGCCTTTGCCTACATGCAGCGCGTCCATGCAGATGGACTCGTACACGCCGAGATCTTCTTTGACCCGCAGGCGCACACCGGTCGCGGAGTTGCGTTGAGTGTGGTGGTGAACGGGTTGAAGAAGGGGTTGAAGCAGGTGCGTCCTTTCCTCCTCCCCGCTTCGCTTCGTCAGGCTGACTTGGTCTTGGGGCAGGGCGAGCTCGAGTTCGGCATCTCGACGGAACTCATCATGTGCTTCGTCAAGCACTTGCCGGTCGAGTCGGCGCTGGAAGCGGTCGCCGAGATGAAGCCTTTCGTCGAGAAGGGGGACGTGATTGGGCTAGGGGCGGACTCGTCGGAGAAGAACAACCCTCGTGCGTCTCGTGTCTGCTACAACATGTTACGGAGGAACTGACGGATGCGCCCGCAGCCTCCAAGTTCGCCGCCGTCTACTCGCTCGCTCGCGAACTGCACTTCCCGCGCCTCACGATGCACTCGGGCGAAGAAGGCCCCGCCGACTGGGTCCGCCAAACCGTCTTCGACCTCGGCATCAACCGCGTCGACCACGGCTTCCACGCGGCGGACGACGAGAAGTTGTTGGAGGAGCTCGCGAGGCGCGAGACGTTCCTTACGCTGTGCCCGTTGTCGAATGTGCGGTTGCAGGTCACGCCTGAGGGAGTGCACCAGAGTCCGATTCCGCTGCTGTTGGAGAAGGGGGTCAAGTTCAGCTTGAACTCGGACGACCCGGCGTACTTTGGCGGTCCGTCCTCTCCTCCCCTCCCTTCTCTCCCTGTTGCGCGCTGACTCCGCCCCCTGAGCAGGCTACATCCTCGACAACTACCTCGCCGTGCACGCCGCCTTCAACTTCCCCAAACCGACCTGGCGCCGGATCGCACAGAACGGGATCGACGGATCGTGGTGCTCGGACGCGCGGAAGGCGGAACTGTCGGAGCGGTTGGAGGCGGTTATGCAGCAGTGGGAGGGGAAGGAGATTTAGAAAGGCGTTATCCTGCATATTATGCATAGACCTAGGATCGGAATAGACGGCTTGATATCCCTCTCAAATGCGGGCGTAGAAGGAGAGGGGAAACGACGGATGCGAGTATGCATTTCAGACCTGGCGACGACGTGAAGGACCGGAGAAGAACCGCTGGACGACTATGCGAGACGAGGGTTAGCGAGCGGCATCGAGGAATGAAGAAGTGGAGACGCACTCCACACTTGCGCCGCGCTCATGCCGATCATCAACGCGCTCTCCATCATCGAGAAAGTCAGGATCCGCCACTCGGTCGACCGCACGGTCGAGACCTGTACTCGAAAGGTCAGCGAATATGATAAGAAGAGGGCAGAAGCGAACGCACATTTCGGTTCTCCCGCGTCCTAAAGTACTTCTGAGTCCGCTGGATGCTGCTCAGACTACCACTGAGCTTGTAGATGCTCTCCTCCAGCGCGCTCGTCTGCTCCGTCAACGCCGTCGGTTTAGCGGGCGCGACGGGCCGTGGTTCCGACTCGACCATAATGTCAAAGTCGACGAGCTTCTCCGAGAAGGAGGACATGTCGTTGTTGAAGCAGAATGAGTACTCGCCGACGTGGTGGGCCGTGAAGATGTAGTCGCCTTGTCGCTCGCGCTGGCCTTCGATGACGATCGTGTCCGTCGGGTCTGTCACCATCCAGTCGATGTCGAATGAGCCGCCGGATTGTACCTGTCGACGTTGAGCAGGTCAGCACGCGCAGGTCTGGGTGACAAGTCGCTCGGAAGAAAGGGCGGTGGGGGAAGAAGCGAAGCGTACGGCAAAGTAGAATCCGACCTGCGCAGGATGAAGATCAGCTTGCATGTGCCTCTGGAAGCTCGCACAGACACACCTTCTCGCCCGCCTTGTCCACCGCCGCGTAGAAACACGTCCGCTGGTTCGCCTCGATGGTGGTCGTCAACGCCGAGCCCGCCGCTCTTGGCAGTGCCGACAGTAGTGACAACAGAAGTGTCGAGAATGCGAAGAGCATCGCTGCTGGTCGTCTGGGCGAGAGTGAGGGGGCCATGCGGAGAAGAGACTCGTGCAGGGTGACGGGGAGGTGAAGGGGGAAGTCGCTCGTCGGCGGTCGTTCAACGCTGCTCAGACTCGTTCTACAGCAACGTCCAGCGTAGCAGCAGCCTCGCAGGGCGGGAAAGCGGGCGAGGGAGCGGTGCGGACAAGGCGAACGAGCGAACCGGACGCGACAGCACCTCGTCGGCTCCTTCTTGTGGGCGGGAGTCGAGCCTGCAATGCATGATAGGCTCTTTCTGAGCAGTAAAGCTTCCAAACGAGCCGTTTCGAGCCTTTGCAGGCGTTGTTCTCCTCCACGCGACACCCTCGACACCCTCACAACCTGCTCGACTCGCTCAAAGAGCCTTTGCTACTGTCTGAGCACTTCCCAAGATCGTACAGAGCCGCCCGCTTTGCCCCAAGCTGTCGCCGTGACCAACTTCTCTCCCTCGCGCCTCATCGCGGAAGGTCAACCTTCGACGAACGCTTTGACATCGACGACGACACCGCTGGACTGGGACTGGACAGGCTAATGCCGCCCGCAGCTGGGCCGTCGACGCAGGCGCGCGCGACGCAGCCGCTCCCGCAGGCGACGAACGCGCTCCTCCACACTCTCGCGCCGATACACTCTGAGCACTTCCCGCGCCTTCAGCACGCCGTGCAGCCCGACACGAGCGACATTGCGACACAGGAGCAGAAGCAGGATGCCGAACAGAAGATCGCGCTGCTCAAGAGCGTGCTCGGCGGGTGGATGCAGAGCGTCGAGGCGGATCTCGAGGGGGGCAAGGGTGCGCCAAGCTGATCTGCTTCGTGGATAATAAGGCTGACGAGACTGTTCACAGACCCGACAGCGACCTCAGAGAATCTGGTCGCGCTCGCCTCGACACTTCCCGGCTCCTTCTCCGGCATCAAGGCGAAACCTCGCTTCCTCCTCTACACCTCTCGCTCGTCCCCCTTCTCGACTGCCCGAAACCCGCCTACACCATCCCTCGTCAACGGCTCGCCCCGCAAGGACGCGCCGAAGGACGGCCCGTCACTTCAGCCTGCAGCAGGCGTCGAAGGCATCCACCCGGAGGAAGATCTCGCGACGTTCCTCGTCTGTCGGAGTCTGAGCGTCTCGAGTCGCCTTCAAGCAGCTCTCTTCGACCCCGCCGTCGAAATTTCGATTGACGAGACAGTGCGAAGGGTCGCGGAGGAAAGGGCGGCTGCATTGCGCGAGCTGGAATCGCTTATGCAGGGCATCATCGAAGTGCTGTGCGAGAGCGCACTCAGGGTTGACTGGCGGGCTGGAGCTGCGAAGGACGATGCCAAGAGCGGCGGAGTGGGAAAAGCGAAGGAGATCGTCGAGGAGCTCATCCGCCTCATTCGAACCCTCCTCCCGAAGACCGCCGGCGACGAGCAGTCCTACCCACGCACAGTCACCCTCTTCGAATCTTCCCGCGCGTACCAACCTACACTTCGTTCGCCTTCGAAAGCCGGCGCACCCGACGATGCCACCCCTCATCGACCCTCCCTCGCCGTCAAAACGCAACATCACGCCATCTCCCTCGTCCTCGTCGCCCAACGCATCCTTCTCGCCGTGACCGCCTCGACCGCGTATCTCGCAGAGTACCGCCTCTCCGTTCTCGACCTCTTGCTCTCGAGCTGGCCCGTCGTCGGCTCGCTCCGCCCAGCTGAAGACGACTCGACGACGCTCTCGCGCAAGGGCATGGTGCGAGCGAGCGAAGAGCTGGACGTCACCGACTTGCGCAGGAGGCTCGCCGTTGAGTGGCTCGCCTGCGTTCGCACGGTGTTGCAGCGGTCGCACGATGCGTTCACGCTTGTCGAGGTCGAGGCGACGAGCGGTCGCATGCTTGATGAGCTCAGCGAAGCCTTGCGACACCCTCGAGGCGCTGGCGAGGCGGGACTTTCGGCGGAACGGCTCGAGGTCTCGCTCGCTGAGGTCCTTGCCCTGATGTGGAAGGCTATTACGAACGTGAGGAGTGCGACAGGACAAGCCGGCGGCTTCGATGGCCTGCAGCAGAACGTCGCGGCTTTGTTCGCAGCCGAAGGCGCGCAGCTCGTCGACGCTTATCTCGGCAAGGATGGGGTGTCGACGGAGATGAAGACCGCTATCGCGCTCATTATGAGTCTCGCTGTCGTCCTCGAGCCGGCCGAACCCTCCGACTCGACGTCCTCCCTCCTCGACACCCTCTCTCCTTCAGCCTTGTCCGCCCTCGAGCAGAACCTCGCACAACTGGGCCCGAAACACCTCCACGACTGCCCCGACTCGCTCGTCGCCGTCTCGCGCATCGTCAACGTCGCTTTAGCCGCGCTCAAGGACGAGATGGTCCACCGGAACCCGCGTCTCGACGACGTCGGTGTGGACGAGGGACCCGCTCGCAAGCGTCGCAGGCTCGGCGATGCCGGCGCGGCGCCAGACATTGGCATGGACGTGGACGATGCACCCTCCCGGATACGGCGGCCATCGACCGAGATCGTAGCGAAGCTGATGGAGGCGGCGAAGACTCGGATCTCGACGTCTCTGGGCTCAGACTCGGCGAGGATCTTCGAGGCTACGGGCGAAGCGGCGGAACAGACGGCCGTCCGCCTTATCTCGTCCCTGCACGAATCAACTCCCGGCCTCGCCTTCGAGATGATTCGTACGATCGGCCTTCTGAGCTGTGCCCTGAGCGGATGCCTCGACTTTGCCTCCTGCGGCGACAGCGCCGACACCCCTCCCGCGCCATCATGCGCGTGCTGCGACTCGCTCCCAGCGACCGATGACGACTCCAACGGCCGTGTCGAACTCCGCACCTTCACGCGTGAAGCGCTTCAGGCATTCTCCCAGATCGCTCCCGCCATCCTCGCTGCCGCCGCCAAGGACGACAAGTTGCGCCTCGCGGTTTTCAACGCCGCAGCTCGTTTGGTCCGACACACGCGTGTCGAGCATGCGTCTCTTGCGGGTGAGAAGGATAGCTTGTTCATCGCCGTCCAGCGCGAACTCGAAGGATCGTCTCGCAGCGGAAGAATGGCGGCAGGGTGAGCAGCATCAGCGTTCCTCCTTTTCGACGGCTCTTAATGACTTTTCATCACAGTCACGTCCTCATCGCCGTCGCTCAGGCGAGGAAGGAATCAGACGCAGGCGACTCCCTCCTTCGCGACCTCTTCAAGCCGGTCGACAGCCTGATCGCGCGGGAGAACCCGTCTCTTACCGAGACGGCCCTCCAGCTCGTTGGCTCTCTTGCCAGGTGCGCTGAAAACTCAGGACCTCGACGCTTCCTTACTGACCAATATCGCGTCTTGCAGGGCCGCCGAACTGCAAGGTCTTCTCGAATGCGAGGCTCTCGCTCGACTGCTCCGCCTGCTCGGCCACCGCAACAGCTTTATCAAGTCGCTCGCCAAGCTTCAAATCACGCAGGTCGCCTCGCATCGAGGCATCAAACCCTACGCTCTCGTCCAGCCTCATTTCGCGACCCTCAGTCCCGCCCTCCTCTCGTCGACGACGACCCTCACGGCAGCTCTCGAGGTATTCCACCAGTCTCGGGAGTCGCTCCTCCGCATCACCCGCGAGCACACGATCCCCGGCATCATCCTGCACGACAAGCAAGCACTCCTCCGCCAAGTCGCGGACGCTTCGCGTACCACTGTCCCTGAGATGCTCTGCGACCCGCCAGTCGCTTCGGCTGTTCTGGCGCACCTGTACATGCAGCCGGATGACCAGCGCCAGCGAGGCCTGAAGGTGCTCATGCGCGAGTGTCGGGGCGTCGTCCTGGCGAAGCTTCTCGAGTCGATCAATATCCCGCTCGTGTACAAGCTTGCGCTTGAGCTCGGCGACGAGGACCAAATGGTTGCAGCGCAGGTGCGTCCTTGCTGTCCCGCCTGCGCGAGGCGAGACTAATCTTTGCTCCTCGTCTAGGCGGAACGCGGTCTCAAGGCCGTCGAGCGAGCGCGACTCGGTCACGCTGCCAGCGCGCACATCGACCCCGCGCACGTACTCAAAAACGCGATCGTCGGCATCCTCTCGCACATGAACCGAGGACTGCACGAAGCCGGTCACCAGCGACCGCTACGCGAGAAGCAGAAGATTATCCGCAGCCTCGACGCCATCACGCGCATGGTTGGCCGAGCCATCGCTGGGTTCTCTCCACAGGTGCGTAGGCTCATTGACTTCCCGTTGCTCCACAGCTGACACATCGGGCATCGCAGATCATGGCGACTTTGCAGACTGCGCTCGAGCTGCCCGGCCTTCGACTCGTGACCCTCGACGCCTTCCGATCCTTCCTCCAATCGCTCAAATTCAGCGACATTGGCGCCTTCATCGGCCCGACGACAGCAGCATTCGTCCGTCTTTGGCCTGAGCTGACGAATCTCGAGCGAGCGTCGGCGGCCAAGACCATCCACTACCTCGTCGTCGAAAATGTCGACAGTCTTTCGCAGCACGTCAAGGACGTTGCCGACCTGAGCGGAATCCCCGAGCTCGCGCAGGCGGATCGGCGACTCCAAGCTGCTCGGCGCGGATGGTCGCTCTTCGACTGGCTGCGGCATCTCCTCGACCGCATCGCGAGCGAAAACGACGTAGTCACGCTCCAAGCCCTGCGCGAGCTCAAGGTCGTGCTCTCGAAGAACGTCGCATCGATTCAGGCGCTGGCGACGGGCGACACTTTCGACCCTGCGATTGGCCGGCTCGTCTCCGTTCTGCTGTCCGCTGCAGTCAAAGACAGTCCGGAGAACGAGTCGATCCGGAACGTCGCCTTCGAGTGCATCGGAATCCTCGGCGCTGTCGACCCCGATCGATTCGAGCTGCCACCAGTGGAGCCGCCGCCCGTCGTCCTCGAGAACTTTGACGACCGCAGCGAAGCTATCGACTTCGCCATTCGCCTCATTGAAGACCTCCTCGTCGGCGCGTACCGCAGCACGAACGACACCAAGCACCAGGAGATGCTCGCCTACGCCATCCAGGAGCTCTTGCGCTTCTGCGGTTTCACCGAGGACCTCATTATCTCGCCGCAAACAGCGGCACACGTCGACCCGCTCACGCTTCACCGGTGGCAGAAGCTCCCGAAGACGGTCATCGAGGCGTGCGCTCCGCTGCTCAGCACGCGCTTCTCGCTCGCCAACGACCGCGCGATGCAGCCTGCGACCTTCCCGATCTACCTGTCGACGACCGTCTACCGCGACTGGATCCGAGCTTTCGCCAACGAGCTGCTCAAGGGCGTTCGCGGCGAGACGGCCGGCCAAGTATTCGGCGCCTTCTCCGGCCTCTTGCATCTGGAAGACACGGCCGTCGCCCAGCACCTCCTCCCGCACCTCGTTCTGCACGTCGTCATCTGCGGCTCGGACGAAGATCGCCTGAACATCAAGAAGGAGATGGAGACGGTCCTGACGGACCAGGTTTCGCCTACGCACACCCTATCGGAGAACAGCCGGTTGCTCGCCGCACAAGTATGTCCGGCGACACAATCTCCGCTTCAACGAATGGCTGACGATGCTTGCACACAGACGGTCTTCTCGCTCATGGACCACGTCAGTCGCTGGATCACGCTCGCAAGAAAACGCCTCGCCGACGCCAAAGCGCTCCGCAAAAAGACGAAGAGCAAGCCGGCGCCCATCGAGTCGAAAATCACGCAGCAGCTCGGCGACGTCGAGGGCATCCTCCAAGACATCCCGCACATCCTCGTCGGCCAGGCTGCGCTGACTTGCAAGGCATACGCTCGTTCGCTGCTCAACTTCGAGTCGCACATCGTCGCACAACGGGCGCAGAAGGGCTTCGACGTCGACAAGGACCTCCAAGTCTACTACGAGAACCTGCACGAGTGCTACGCGCACCTCGACGAGCCCGACGGTATGGAGGGCATCTCGACCAAGATCCTCTCCCCGAGTATTCTCCACCAGATCCGCGAGCACGAAAGTACTGGTCGATGGACGTCGGCGCAGAGCTGCTGGGAGGTCAAGCTTCAGCAGAAGCCGGACGAGCCGGGCAACCATGTCGGCCTGCTCCGCTGCCTTCGCAACCTCGGCCATTACGGTGAGCGAACGCTTCCGCCCTCACAAGCGACGTCTGACTAACGGTGAGCTTGCCGCAGACTCGATGCGAACGCACATTGCCGGCTTGCTGCACGGTCGTGGCGACGAGGTCGACTGGGAGCGCATCCTTGCGCCCTTCAACATCGAGGCGTCGCTCTTCGTCGGCGACTGGGACGCCGTCGAAGACGTTCTCGAGGTCCCCGGCGTCGAGGGTGCTGAAGCGGCGTTCGGTCGCGTTCTCTCCGCCATCCGCACTGGCGACCGTGACCTTGTCGAGCGCGCCTTCTACGACGCTCGCGAGCAGCTTGGTGGACCGCTCGTCGCTGCAGGTCGGGAGTCTTATCGTCGCGTCTACGACTCGGTGGTACATCTTCACATCCTCGACGAGCTCAGCTTGATCAACGAGCTGCAGGTCGCGAGCACGAAGGAACTTCCTGCATGCGTCGAAACGCTCAGGAACCGCCTTGACGCGACCTCACCGTCTTTCCGCGCCCGCGAACCCATTCTGAACCTCCGCCGCACCGCCCTGCGTCTCACTCTCCCGCATGAGCAGGCAGCCAAGACGGAAGTCGGCAATTTGTGGCTCGAGACGTCGAAGATTGCCCGCAAAGCTGGTCACTTTCAAACGGCATACAGCGCAATCCTGCAGGCTCGCGACTACGACGCCGAATACGCCTTCCTGCAGAGCGCCAAGCTCTTCAAGGCAAACGACCAGCCGTTCAAGGCCATTCAGGAGCTCGACAACCGCTTGAAGCCGATCCTCGCCCGCTTCAACGAGAGGGACCCCAACGACCCGCTCATCTCGCACGACAAGCCTGGACCGATCGCCAAGGTGAGCCGTCTGGCCGGTTTCGTGCGAGGTCTGCGGGGCTTACGTTGACCCTGCAGGCCGCCCTGCGCCGAGCCCGCTGGATGCAAGAGGCAGGGCGCCTCGACCAAAACGAAGCGGTCTCACTCTACAACGAGGTGACCGCGCTCGCCCCGAATTGGGAGACGGCGTACTTCCTCCTCGGCCGGTTCTGGGACCGGATGGCGCAGGAGAAGGAGAAGAAGCAGCCGAAGCACAAGCAAGGTCGCTACACCGGGTCAGTCTAGCCCGAACCCTCTTCCCCGAGCATTCGTTGACGATTTCCGTCCGGCAGCGATATCGCAATGTTTCGCTGCCAGGTCATCAAGCTCTACGTTAGGTCGCTGGCTTGCGGGACGAAGTACATCTACCAGGCGCTCCCCCGCACCTTGACCATCTGGCTCGAGATGGGCGAGCGACCGTCCCTGGTCGAGCACTCGAAGAACCGCAAATCGAAGTGAGTCGTGCGTGCCGAGTCTCGCCAACCTGATGCTGACCGTCCGTTGTCCCAGCCCGCAAGCCGCGCTCGATGGCGAAGACCACGACCTCCTCAAGTACTTTACCCGCTCCAATGGATACATCCGCAAGGCCGCCGTTCAGCAGCCGTTGCCGGCCTACCTCGTTGGTTGTTCTTCTCGCACTGTTGATTGACGTTGCTGACGCTCGCTATACGTGCAGTGGTTGACTGTCCTTCCGCAACTCGTTTCGAGGATCCTGCACGCCAACGAGACGCTGTATGACGTACTCGAGCAGGTTCTGCTCAAGGTCCTGTCGACCTTCCCCCATCACGGGTTCTGGGCGATGGCTTCGGGCGCGAAGTCGAACACGAACCGTCGCTCGAGGCGCAACATGCGCATCTTTCAAAAGGCCAAGGTCCGACTGACACGGTCTCCTCGCCCGAGTGGCCGCGTGCTGACGTCCGAAAGACTCACAGGAAGCTGCCGCCGCAAAGCATGCATCGGATGTCGGCGCCATCGTCGACGAAGGTCTCCGCCTGGTCGACCAGTTGCTCGTCCTCTGCAACTTCCCGATCAATGGCAAGGTCGACACGCTCAGCCTCAAGAAGACGTTCCCGCAGCTTTACAAGACGGCGCCGTGCAAGCTCATTATCCCGCTGCAGAGCTCGCTCACGGTCTCGCTGCCTTTCGACGCCTCGCAAGCCGCCGCCCACAAGCCTTTCCCGGACAGTCTGCCGGTCTTCCAAGGTGAGTTCGCTTGCTGCAGAAAGCTTCTCCTCCGTCGTCGCTAACGGTCTCTCTCGCAGATTTCGACGACCAGATCGTTGTGATGAGCTCATTGCAGAAGCCGCGCAAGATCACCGTGCGAGGCGACGACGGCCGATTCTACTCGTTCCTCTGCAAGCCCAAGGACGACTTGCGCAAGGACGCTCGCCTGATGGAGTTCAACGCGATGATCATCAAGCTTCTTAAGAAGGATTCGGACGCGCGTAGCCGCAAGCTCAGTGCGTCCCGAACGTTGTCTTCGCCCCGCTCTTGCCGCTGATCCCCTCGCACTCTCAGACATCCGCACGTACTCGGTCGTGCCGCTGAACGAAGAATGCGGCCTTATCGAATGGGTCCCGCACACGGTTGTCCTGCGAGGCCTCCTCAACAAGTCTTACTTGTCGCGCGGAATCGCTTCCTGGGTGCGTTTTCCGATCGACCGCCGAGTCTCGCCGTCAGCTGACTGCTCTTTGGCCGCAGAGTCCGGAGCTCAAGCGGATCTTCGACGGCATCCGCGACGATCAGAAGCGGATTGGCGAGCGATTCGACAAGGAAGTCTTGAGCATGTGAGTGACTCGAGACCCCCTTCCCCTACTCCTTCCTGACGCTTTTACGCAGGTTCCCGCCTGTCTTCCACGACTGGTTCCTCGAGACCTTCCCCGAGCCGTCGGCCTGGCACCGCGCTCGCCTGGCCTACTCGCGCACAGCTGCGGTCATCTCGATGGTTGGTTTCGTTCTCGGGTGCGTCGCCGTCCTTCTCTTGCGCCCGAGCCGCCTGCTGATGTCGCCCCATTCGCAGACTGGGCGACCGTCACTGCGAGAACATCCTTCTCGACGCGACCACCGGCGAAACCGTTCAGGTCGACTTCAACTGCCTCTTCGACAAGGTGTGTTTGCTTCTACTGTCTCCTGCTGGAGTTCGTGGACTGATGCGTCCCCTCACAGGGCCGCACCTTCGAGGTTCCGGAGAAGGTTCCGTTCCGCCTCACGCAGAACATCATCGACGGCATGGGTGTCACCGGCTTCGAAGGCGAGTCCAGCCGACGTTAACGTACGAGATCTCAAGCTGACGTCCTCTGCGTTCTCAGGCGTCTACCGCCGCGCTTGCGAGATCACGCTTCGCATCCTTCGCGCCAACAGGGACAGTCTCCGCTCCGTCCTCGAGACATTCTTGCACGACCCGCTCGTCGAATGGGTGTATGTCAGCAAGAAGGTGGGTCGCGGAGCCGTACAGCCCTCCTTCAGACGGACGAAGTTGACTCGTTCCGCCTCGCAGCAACGCGAAACCGGCACAGGTCCCGAACAAACTCGCGCGAGGGCACTCGAAGCGCTCGAGCCGATCGACAACAAGCTGCTCGGGCTGCAGGTCACGTCCGACCCGGAGTCGATCGGTGTCAAGGAGGTCAGCGTCGAGGAGCAGGTCGAGAGGCTCATTCGCGAGGCGAGGGACTCGAAGAACCTCGGAGCGATGTATGTTGGGTGAGCGCAAGGTTTCTCTGTCCTCGCGCAGACCGATGTTGACGCTTTTGTGCCTCGACAGGTGGTGCGCGTGGTACTGATCTGTTTCGCAAAGTCGTTCGCATCCCGCATTTTCTGCATGATACGCGTTGTTGTAGCACAACCTGCACTCTAGTCCGCTTTCGCATCCGTTCGCGAGGCTTGTGCATTCTGTCGAGAAGAGCAGGCAAGCAAGTCTAAAGGGCGAGAGCCTCACTGTTCGCACAGACCGCCGCCGAGCTGTACAAAAACATGCCTTGCAGATCGGCAGGCGACAAAAGCGACATCATGCGTCCACCTCCATCTCGCTCGCGCCGGCGCCGCTGCCTTCGGGACCTGTCGCAAGCCCGCCTGACAAGGGAACAACCTCTTCTGCGACGATGAGCTTCTTGACCTCTGCGGACGCAAGCAGGGTCAGCGGGAGCTTCAGAGAGGCGCAAAAGCGAGGTGTACGCACCCTCCTTGGTCCACGCCGTGACCCCTCGCCTCCACTTGTAGTTGCGCTCCTTCGTGACCTTCTCGTTCGGGGTGCGGTAGTTCCGCAGGTAGTCGGTCTTCGCCTTGCCCGTGTACTTGCCCTCGACGTGCTCGCCCTCGATAACGCACACATCGACGTTCGAGCCAGACCCCAAGTCGTTCCAGATACCCGCCTCGATCGCCTCGCTCACGACGTCGATGGCCTCTTGGCGCGTCATGTTGGGCTTCCAGTACGTCTCGAAGACTGCCATCGCTGCGAGAGAGCCGGATCCCATCGTCACGTAGGGGAGCTTGTCGGTGGAGCCGTGAGGAGCGACGGTGTAGAGGTGAGGGCCGGTAGGGTCGATGCCGCCGAGGACGAGCGCCGCGCCGACTTGCCCTTGGTATCTGTGCGGTACCAGCTTAATCAGTGTGCCGTTCGACGGAAGAGAGGAGTGCACAGGCGAGACGAACTGGAAGAGGTACTGCTTGAGCATCGTCATTGCGGTCGCTACGAGCGGTGGTCGACCGGTCGAGAGCTCGTGAAGCTTGATGTTGGAGCTGATCATGTTGGTGGTGCTGTTGAGACGTTCGAAAGGGGTCAGCGAGACTTGCGTGGACGGGTACACCTCTTCATCAGTTTGGAGGAGGGAGAGGGAGCGTACAACTCAGTGTCGGCCGCTGTACCCGCGCCGCAGCATCGAATGTGCTCAGAGATGTAGTGAATCTGTTCGAACGGGCCCAACACGGTCAGCAAACCAGTCCTTGCGCACGTCGCCTTGACCGCGTAATCGGGAGAGGATGGTGTGGGAATACGGCGGCGCACCTTCTCGCAGTTCTTGTCCGCGACGATGGGACCCTCTGTCGCACGCGTGTCTGCGCCCAGGACGATGCCCGACTCGTACACGACGCCGACGATGGTGGTGCCGGTCGAGGTGGCCTTGGGGAGGTGCAGGTTGCGCTGGCCGAGGACGCGGTTGCGCAGGGCGTTCTCGAAGGAGAAGCCTGCGTTCGAGTCTGTCAAGGCAGCCATTTCCAGCGAGTGTGAGAGTGTGAAGCGGTGTCAAGACGGCGAGATGACGAGGAGGGGAGGGTTGGCTCAGCACCACTCGCTCGACCACGGCTGGACACGCTCAGATTACTCGTAAATGCTCTTACGCCGACTCGCCACGCCGTCCAGCTGTCCCCGCCGACTCTCGTCCCGCCCTCGCTGCTCTCCTCCTCGTTCCCCGCTCGACTCGACTTCGTGATCCCTTCTCTCTGTGAAGCCAGGACAAGCATGACAACCGTGGCTACAGTGCGTTGAGACTTGCGCAACTGATCTCTCAGCTTGCGCTGACCGGAACGCGTCCTCGAATAGCCATCCCCTCCGCTTCCCACCATGAACCACCCGACTCTCGTCGATCTGCCGCTCGAACTCCTCGACACGATCGTCGACCTCGCATGGTCGGAGCTGCCCAAGCCGCGCTGCTTGGCCCGTGCCACCGCCTCCAGCCATGCTTCGACCGTCGTCGCCTGGCAACGATGAACCTGCGCGGAGCGAATGGCACGGTCCTTTACTACGCCCTCAAGTTGAGACCCGCCATAGGCCGGCACTGCAAGGAACTCAAGGTCCTCTCCTTCATGCCGATCGACGCCAGGTGCTCCGAGGTTTGGTGGAGCGTACTGCTGTCCTCGATGCCCGCGCTCGAGCGTTTGCAATGCGCGGGACCGTACGCCTACCGCATGTACAGCGCAATCATGGACATCACCAACGCACGCAACCCAAATTTCCTCCCTCAGCTTCGACACCTGTACCTCCCCTTAAACCCTTGGATCGTCCCCGATCCGCTTCGCTACGAGCGCATCCCGTCGCTCGACTACTATCCCAATCTCGAGTCGCTTGCCTTCGGCTACGACGAGTCTTACTGGGGCTCCAGCGGCACCTCGCCAGCCGGCGCTGCGGCGGAGTCGACGGTTCAGCCCATTCCGCCTCTCGCCGTACTCGGACGCCTTCGCGACCTGGGCATAGTCGTGTCCAGCCAGAGTCAAATCTTGGAGGACTTCCTACAGCAGACTACGCACCTCGTTCGACTCGACATCGGCTCAATCCCCTCGCCTCGGGAACTCAGCGAACTCCTCGAGGTGCTACCGCGCCCCGACATCCTTGAAACTCTCGAACTCCGCTTCAGCCGCAAGTCAGTACCGGCGGATGCAACAAGTCTCAGCGAAGGATTCGTCGACGATGGTGACGAAGGGATTCGGGTGTCCCTCGCTCCCTTTATCCGCCGCTTGCCCGGCCTGAAGTTGCTTTCCTTCAGCGACCACTGCACCTGCTTCGACCCCAACTCGATCTCTGCGCTCAAGTCTATGCCGCCTTTGCATTGCCTCAAGCTCAAGTGGGGATTCGAGATGTATCTCCAGCCGGAAGTGATCCTCGCCTTTCTCAAGACTCTCGGCGGCCATGCTCCGCGCAAGGTGTGCTGTGACCATATTGAAGGCGGATATACGGGCAAGTCCATCCGTGACTTTCTGCCAATCGACCCGAACGACGAATTCCCCGACTCCTTCGACGTCCACGCCGATTGGTCTATCCCCGAGTGGTTCAGTGACGATGTCATGATTGACGACATCCGTCAGCTGGTCGAGTACAGCAAGGCGGCAGGCGTCGAGCTGACCGGCTCGATGGTCGACGGTCTCGACGTCAAGGCGAAGTGGGACCGGGAGTCGGCGGATTACGAGTTGTTGCGCGAGGAGCATGAGGCAAGGCAGCGGGAGGCTGAGACCGAGGATGAGGAGTCGGACGAGGAGTCGGATCACGAGGAGTAGCACTGCACACTCTTGCAACCGCTCCTTCGCGCAGGACCTCGAGTCTCTCGTCGTCAACTCCCTCTCGTTCGATCGCTGCTTGCATGTGCTCATCAAGATCACTTTGTTAAGCCCGAGGCGAGTGTCTGCAGTGTCTACGACGGCCCGCACGACGCTCATCCTTTCCTCGCCTCCTGGTCAAAGGTTGTCTCCGCCCTTTACGCTCACTCGCTTGGTTCCGCTTACGCTGCCGGCAGAGCTCTTACCAGCACCTTTCGACACGCTTTGACGATGACCAGCGCCGCCCAGCGCCTCTTCGCGCGCCTCACCTCCCCCTCGTTCGACATCCTCGCCGGCGTTGCGCCGCCCGCTCCCACTCCCTGCGTGCACGAGTCCGATGCTACTGACCAATCCATCCCTGTGAGTAGCGCATGCTGTCCCATCACCAGCGCCGACTGACCCTTTTCTCCCTGGACAGCCCGCGACCTCCTCGTCCCGACGTTCCTTCCTCGACCTCCCGACCGAACTCCTCGAGCGCATCGTCGAGATGGCGTGGCCGAATATGAGCGGGCATGCGACTGTCATTGCTCCCTGTCGTCGACTGCAACCCGTGTACGATCGCCTATCGTACAGGTCGATTTCGGCCGACGTTCTCCAGCTGCCGTACTGGTCCGACAAGATCCGTTGGGCGCCGGCCCTCCTCAACTACGTTCGCGAGTTCAACGTCAAGACCCATTATTCGCTAGACCGCAGAGGCCACGAAACAGCGTGCCCATCCGAACGATACTATTTCGCCCTTTTGTGCCGCCGCATGCGCCAGCTTGAGATCCTTGACATCTCCTCCGCATTCGACGAGGGACTGGACGCGATCTTGTACGACGAGGTCGCCGATTCCGCCTTCCTTCCGAATCTCAAGGAACTCGGGCTCCTCTACAACCCCTTCAAAGCCGCGGAACCCCTGCGCAGTCAATACTTGGAGGCTCTGGACCAATACGACGATCTGGAGCGCCTTGTGCTTCGCCCAAATATGCCGCGGGTCAAGGCTGGCGTCCACGAATCCACCGTTCACGAAGCAACGACCTCTCCACCCGTCGCCATCTCCGCCCTCGAACTCCCCCGCCGCCTCACATCCATCACCCTCATGCTCAAATCGGACGACACTTCAGCCTCGGGTGTTCCCGCTTGGGTTTTTGAACTCTTCGGCAACATGTCCAACCTCAGCGAACTGAACCTCACCCGAGTACCAAGCGTGACGATCCTCCTCCGCCTCCTGTCCACCTTGCTGGGACCTTCTCACCTACGTCTCCTCGACATCTCGTTCGCACTCTCAGAAGACGAAGACCCCTCCTTTACCGTTTCTCACCCATCGTACGGAGAGCGGGCGGTATGCGCGCCTTTTCTTCGCCTCCTCCCAGGGCTCCAGACCCTCGTCATCGACAACACGTCCTCTCTCCTGAACCGGGCATCGCTGCAGATTCTTCGGGAACGTCCTCCTTTACATCGCATCCACTTCAACGAGCTAGACGACGCCCCGGCAGACCCCCCTATCGACTTCTTGCACGCCCTGCAGGTGTTGGGTCCTCACGTACCTCACGAAGTGGTCGTCGAAGATCCATGCGAGCACGAGCGGTGGTCAACAACTGTCGATAATGTCCGCTTCGGTCCAGTCTTTGCGGGAGAGGAATTCCCGTCTATGAACGATGCCTTCAATAACGGCTGGGACGACCCTCCCGAGGATTGGAGCGAGCGCATGGACGGTTGGCGCAAGCTTATCGAGTACTGCGAGGTGACGCAGCTGAGGTTGACGGGAACCGTGCGGGACTCGGTCAAGTTTGCGCAGGAGTGGTATCAGGAGACGCTGAATTACTCCAAGCTACGGGCGGATCATGGGTTACGGAGGGGACTTTGGGGAGAAGGCGGTCCACTGAGCGTGACTCCCGAGGAGGATGTATACGAGGAGCTCCATCAACTCCTGCGCAACCGCAGACAAACTCATCTGGTGTAGTAGAACGTGGTATTGTATGCATGACGTTCCGGCGTGTACTGCGTTTCATGGGAGGGAAGGCTGAAAGCAATCGCTGAACGCGATGTCTTCGTAGAGAGCGGCACGGCGTTAGCCTTTCTTCTGCTCCTTGACAGCCACCACTGTCACTGATGCTTCGTTGTTCCTGCCCAGCAGTGTCTTCAGCCTGTTACACAAGCGTGGGCGTCTCGCCTCCCCTTGCGCCTCCCCGCGGGGCGTCAAGCTGACGGTCGCAGGCCGTGAGCAGGTTTGAAGGGCGTAGCATGCGTGTCATAGGATGCATAGAAGCTGTCGAGGTGTGTCGAGGTGTGTCGAGGCGAGCCGAGGCGCTGCGTCGCTCGAGGGTGGCGAGCAGCCATGACGGGTTTGCTGCGTGGTTACGAACAGAGTCACAGAACCTTGGAATCAGCGAGGGAGGGAGGAAGGAAGTCGAGTGCGAAGCCCAGCGAGAGCACCCCAAACTGCGGGAGTAGCTGCACCTGCCCATCGCGTCTCCAGCAATGTACGCAGCCAGCCTTGGACCTGTCTGAGCGAGAGCAGTGAACGGCGGGAGGGAGACTTTCAGGCTCTCGCTCGACCACGAACCTCTTCCCGCTACACCAGCTCAAATTGGCCAGCTGAGCATCGAGACAAGCCATGCAGTCATCCTGGAAGTGCGTGCTAGCCGCTCAGTGTCTCTCCAACGCTCGCTGACCGCTCCCGCTCTCTATCTCTCAACCTCACCCCCCTCATCACTCGCCTCGAACACGCCGTCTGCTGGGCTCGTCTGGGCACTCCTTGCTTCTACAAACGCCGTTCACCGCGTCCGTGTCCCCCCGCCCTCCTACGGTCCATTTCCACGACTCCCTCGACCCCTGCGCCCCACCTCCTGTCACACGCCCGACTCCTCCTCCTCCTTGAACGCCTACCAGATCCTTCGCAACGTCCCTCCAGTCTGTCGCAGGCCAAGCCGCCTCGACCGTCCAGGGCGCGACGCAGAACATCGACTTCAACACGACCGGCAAGAACTTGTCGAAGGGGTTCGCGACTTTTAGCCAGACGGTCAGGGAGAAGGCGGGACAGGTCAACGAGGACGATGTGACTGAGCTGCCGCAGGGTGCGTCGCGGCTCTCGAGGAACAGCTTCAGGAAGTTCTGCTAACCCAACTCCTTCCCGCAGAATACCTCGACCTCGAGCGCCGCGTCGATGGTCTCCGCCTCGCTCACCAGAAGCTCCTCCGCGTCGCGAAAGCCTACGAGGGCCACTACGACTACCCCGTCAACCTCGGCGAGTCGGCGACCGAGATTGGAGGCTCTTTGGCGCACAACTTGAGTGCTTGGGCGGCTGCAGCGACCAAGGGTGCGTTGCGTGGCGATTGCGCTCGCGAGGAATGCGGCAGTGATCGCATGAATCTCTTGCTGAAACCGGCCTCGCTTGTGTAGGTACTCACCTCCCTCAGCCTCAAGTTGCCGAGGTGCGTCCCTCTATCCTGATGATAGCCTTTGGGAGGCGACTTCCGCTGATTCTCATCTTCCTGACGGACTTGGGTCGCACGCAGAAGCCCGTCGAAGTGCAAAAGACCCTTCCTCATGCCCTCTCGCGCGCCGCCGCCTCCGGAGCCGTCGAAGTCGGCCCCGGCCGCCTCTCGAACGTCCTCAAGACGTACGCTGTCACGCAGGACAAGGTTGGTACTGCGAGGACGCGGATGGACGAGGACATCAGGTGCGTGCGCATGGTTGATGAGCTGTCGACTGCCCGTTTCGAAGGCCAGCCGCTGATCGGGTCCATTGTTGCTTCATACAGCAAGAACTTCCTTCAGCCGTGGTCTGCGACGCTCAACTCGTCGATTCAGGCGGCGATGAAGGCGAGGCAGAACGTTACCAAGGCGCGGTGCGTTCGCGATACGTCCTTCAGGAGTGCTCGGTGGACAACACGGAGCAGGAACTGATCATGGGGAACTTGCACACTCGCACAGGGTCTCGCTCGACGCGACGCGCGCGCAGTTCAAGAATGCGACGGGCCAGAAGCAGGAGCAGTCTCGCATGGAAGGTACGTCCGAGTAACTCTTGTTTCTCCACTCGTCCTAGCTCACAGTCGTCTCGCACATGCACAGTCGAGGCAGCCGAAGAGCACCTCGTCGAGGCGACCGAGCAAGCGATCAACTTGATGCGCTCCGTCCTCGAGAACCCCGAGCCAATCAAGAACATCCACGCGCTTCTCAAGGCGCAGCAGACGTTCTACGCCGAGGCGAGTGAGGCGCTCGCGAGCGTGTTGGGCGAGGTTGAGGAGGCGGGGACGCAGGCTGAGGCCGAGTGGAGGTGCGTCTCCTCCTCCACAGTCCTCCCTACGCTTCCGTCGCTTTGCCAGCATACTCTACTGTCAAGCTCATTGCGTGGCGGGTCTTCAGGAGCGGTCACTGACGCTACTCCCTTCGCTCGAGCAGGAAGTCGCGCGACCAGTAGACCCGCTCCCACGCTCCGTTCCGTCTGTCGTCTCCCGCGGTACCTTCGTCCATCTGCAGTAGATTGCTCGTTCAATGGAGTTTGTTCAACGCCTCTGAAGCGCATCTTGGCGCCGACTACATTTGGCTCGCTCTCCCCGCACCGCTCCGCCAGACGACTCGCTGCTTTGCCGCTCTCGCTCTCGCTCACAACGCTCTGGCTGGACTGGGACTGAATTGCTGAGTTGCTATGGCTGAGAACGGAGCTCGCGAGGCCAAGACGCGCTCCAGGAAGGGCTGCTTGACCTGTACGTCCCGCTTGCCCATCCTCATCGCTTCGAGGCAACAACTGACCGGGTCGCTCTCTGTGGACCCTACCGACCTTTGCACCTTCTCTGAACTTGTCCTCGACCCCGCTGGACCCGCAACCAGGCCGCTCCCGGCACAAGAAGTGCGACGAGACGCACCTCCCTGAACACGGCGAATCCTGCAAACGCTGTTTTGACGGGAACTGGGTGTGCCAGTGGCCTGTCGCTGGCGGCGGGACCTTGCGGACGTTCGTGCGTGGAGCGGCGAAGGAGAAGAGGGAGACGAACGGGCCTGCGAGTGTTGGGAGACGGGAGAGGGAGAGGGCGTTGGTTATGAAGAAGGGTGAGAGGAGGAATAGTATGGCGGACGGTCGAGAAGACGTGATGAATGGCTCGGCGGTCGATGGGACGTCTGCCGCTTCGACTTCGTCATTGTCGCCATACCCCTCGACTTCTCTTCCTCCGATATCTCGCCAATCTTTCGCTCAAACTGCGTACCCGAACCTCTCTGCTCCAATGCCGGCCTTCGCCATGCCCCTTCCGAGCATGTCGCCAAGCGATTATCCCGCCTCAACCTCCGCCCATCCCTACCTCGCAACATCCGCTCCCCTCGCCTCCTTCTACAACCCAGCCGCCTCGCCTCCCGCACTCGTCAACCCCGCCGCCACTCTTGCGCTTGAGACAAACGACCTCTCGCAGTTCTTCCAGTCGCTCGATGCGGAGTTCGCCAACTGGGACGGAGTCGAGGCAGATCCGCTCATAAGTCCGGTTGGTCCTGCGGGTCCTGCAGCGAGTTTGGCGGAGGCGTCAGGGGCCGCGCTTGCGTTAGGTACAGAAATCGACGGAGCGAACGGACCGAGCGGCGCGGACGTCGTGGACGGGAGGGGACGACTGCCTCGTCTCGACTTCAGCAACACCTCCGTCTCAGACGGCCCAGCTTCAGCCGTGCCGATCGACGATGCGGAGCCGACGTCCGTCCATCAAGACTACAGCACCTTCAACAACGGATTCTTTCGCTCGCTTCCGAAACCCTTGCGCGATATCGTCGTGCAGAAGGTCCACAACGTCGTCACGACGACCGAGCTGGGTCGTAACGCTGCGATGGCCATCGTCATGCTTTATCGGCTGCGACTACAACAGCAACAGCGCCCGCCAGATCCGGCGGACTCGACTCCGGTAGATGGAGCTTCGAACGAGGACCAGCAAGCTCGCCTTCTCGCCCAGTCGAACCACTACTTTCAGCGCGCACTTGAGCACCTACAAACGCCGATTCCGCTCGAAGCCAAAATGATCGCGATGCTCGATCTCCAGACGTTCCAGTTCGACCAATTCGGCGCGGCGGCTGCGAATGCGATGCTCCTCCTCGGCGAAGTCTGGATCAACGAGGCGCTCGGTTCACAGCCAACGCTCGACTTGTCGGCCATGCGCGACCCGGCAAACGCGCTCCTCACCGCTATCGCCTGCACCGACTGCCTGCGGTGCATTTCGATCCCCGGCCGACGCACGATCTTCTCCTTCCCCGACTTGCCTGGCGACCCCTCGAACGGCACGCCCTCAGCCGTCGTCTCAGACGTCTCAGCGCACAAGCTCAACGTCGACACCCACCTCGGCCTTCCCGTCGGCTTGCTGCTCTGCGTCGCAGCGACGACAAATCTCTCGTGCGACATGGAGGCGTTGCCAGACGAGCTCGTGCGCGTCAAGGCAGATGCGATTGAGGCGGCAATCAGAGGATGGAGACCGCCTCCGCCGTCGCCGCACGAGCTGGCGGACCCCGTCTCTTTCCACGACAAGGCGAGCACGGCGGAGATGTGGCGATACGTGCGTTCGTCGCCCTTTTCACTCTGCTCTTCAGCTCACCTCTTTCGCGTGGCAGGCCACGCTCGTCTTCCTCTACCAAGCCGTCCACCGCCGCGGTCCTCTCAACCGCGTGATCCGCGAGGCGTCGCAGCAGATCATCTCGATCGGCTCTCGCATGCTCCAGCCGAACCGCCCGAACCCTGCCTCCCATCGCGCCGCTCCTTCAGCCGGTCCTTCCGCCGCAGCGTCGCCCTCATCCGCCGCGCCCGGTTCGCCGCACGACTCGCCCTTATACGACGACTACCTCTCTGCTCCCTCTACCCGCGCAGTCCCCTGGCTCCTCGCAGGCACCTGCGCCCTCACGCCCTCGGACCGCGCGTTGTGCCGTCAAGGGATGCTGGAATGCGGCAAGCAGCTCGCGTATCAGGACGACGTTGCGGCGCTCGAGCGCGTTTGGGAGGTCGTCGATGAGCAGGGGTGGGGAGTCGAGTGGAGGGCGTTGTTGCAGAGTGAGGGGAGGGCGGTGGCGTTCTTGTGAGTGAGAGAATGGGGAGGTGTACGTAGTTTGTTGTCGGAAGTACGAGCTTTGCGCAACCAGGACTTTCGACCAGTGCGGAGCGAACGAAACGAAATTAACTGCAACGAGAGTTGTCTATTCCTGCGCATCCTGCCAGTTCCCACGGCCTCTCTATCCGCTCGTCCCACGACTTCCTTACTGCAGCTGCGAGACGCAATTAGTGAGCGGGCACAAGCGAGGAAGTGGAACGACCGCAAAGCTCACATCCTTGACCTTCTCGATCGCCTGCGAGAGGTCGCTCTTGAGGTCCTCGAGCTCCTCGATACCAATCGAGAGGCGCACTGCAAGACGACGAGTGAGTAAGCGAGCGGAGGGGGAGGAACGCAGCGGACGCACGTAGACGAGGGTCGCATTTCGCGTCGGAGATGATGCGCTGCTCGATGAGGGACTCGACACCTCCCAGGGATGTGGCGTGCTACATGCCCGAAGCAAGAGAGCGTGGTCAATGAGAGGACGGGGATGGGCAACGAGGAAGGGAGGACGCACGACAAAGAACTTGAGCTCCTCAGGGAACTTATCCGCCTGCTTCCTCTCCTTCAGCAAAAGCGAGAAGCAAGCCGGTCCGTCCTCGAGCTGCTTACCCGGTCCAAGCAACTCGGCCGCGTCCTCCTGCAAACTCGCATGCCAGACTTTCTCAATCACGCCTCCGCCTTGGAAGGTCGCGAGCCATGCGGCGAGAGCGGTTGCGGTGCGTGCTTGGCGTTTTATGCGGAGGGGGAGGGTGCGGAGTGAGCGGAGGAGGAGCCACGAATCGAGCGAGCCCGCGATGCTGCCTGTTGCCATGCGGTCTTCCCAGCTGCGTGGCAGTAGCATACGTCAATCAAGAGACTGTGAGAGCGGGACCGAGAACCCGCACGTACAGCTTGACCCAGTCGGCCTTGTCGCGGACGCTAACCGTGCCGATCAAGGCGTCCGAGTGCCCGGCAAAGTACTTGGTGCCGCTGTCTGCAGTCGCGGTCAACCACCTCTCAGTACCGCAGAGATTAAAACAGGTAGAATGAGGATGCACGCATGACGATGTCCGCTCCCCATCTGAACGGATCTGAGAGAGGCGGAGGAGCGAAAGTCGAGTCGACGCCGACTACGCCGCCGACCGCGTGAGTCTTCTCAGCGTCTGAGCGAGGAGGGGAATAATCAGTTGCAGCGCCGGAGAGGTATGTTAAGAGCGGCACGCACACTTGGCGATTGAGCGCGACTCGCCGAACGGGTTCAGAGGCGTCTCGACCCAGCAGAGGAGCTTCTTGTTCTTGGGGTACTCATCATCGAGCTTGATGACGGTCTGCACTCCCAAGCAACATCAGCCGACGTCCTACACGAGCGCAAAGGCAAGACCGCATCGAACTTACGACCTGGTCTTCTCCCCTGGTCCGCCTGTACAGGTCAATCCCGACATGCGATCCGTGGTACCCATCGGTGATGGCGATCACGTCAGGGCGGACATGAAGGAGGATGGCGAAGAACGCGGCGATTCCAGAGGGGTAGACGACGGTAGGGTGACCGATCACAGCGGCTAGGACGTGCTCCGCGCGGGTCGTGATGGGCTGGGTCTCCCTGTAGGCGTGCAGTGTCAGTAGAAGAGAAGAAGGCGGGGGGAGGGGGAGAGTGCGCACCTCGAGTAGATATGGCGCGAAGGCTCTGCCGGGTCCCAGTTCTTGTCGAAGTAGCCGTCGTCGGCCGCCGCGATCTGCTCGAGGGTCGGGTGACGGAAGGTGGTCGAGGTGCTGCGAGCGGGAGCACGTCCTGATGAGCGTGCGGTGACATAAGTTGCGCGGAAGCGGAGGATGGCCGGACCTGATAGCAGGAGCGACTTCCGGCCCGCTCAAGTACTGGTCAGCGTGGATGGCCTGTGTCGCGAGTCCAGCTTTCGAGTGTGAGGCCATGGCGTGTGTAACGAGAGCAGGGAGAGAGAAAAGAGCGAGAAGAAGAACTGGCGAGGTCGATCGGCGAGTCGGCAAGCGCGGCTGCAGAGGCAGTCGCTTCGCAGGGCCAGCCTCGCCTGGACTGTGAGAGAGTAGCGCGATTAGCCGTCGCTGAACATAGTAAGACGGCACCGGACAGCGTACGAGAGCGAGAGAGACGTGCGACGAGCCTCGGCGGCGGACTTGTCGGCCACCGGCGCTTCGTCCTCTAACGTCTCCGCTCATCGACGCTTTCTTGCTCTGCCTGCTTGGCATGTTCCACAGCTCATTCACACGGCTACGCTCAGCCACAGCAAGCCGAATCGCAGCCATGGCCGCAGCTCCCCTAGTTGTCTCTGTCTCGCTCGCACCGTCACTCAACCCAGACGGACAGACTGGAGGGTCAGACGCGACAGACAAGGCCCACCACAAGCCTAACGGAGGCTTCGTGAACCCGTGGAAATCTTTCAAGGTGCGCCCTGCTGAGGTTGACCTCATCGCTCGTTGCTAACTGATGAAGATACGTCGGTGGGTGTGCGGCGTGTAGGACCCGGGCAGAGGTGCGTCGGAGCTCTCGAGGGAGTCTTCTTGACCTGCGCTTGCTGATCGAGCGATTTCGTTGCCGTGCAGGACCGTCGACCTTGTTCAACGCCTGGAAGAGCTGGGAGAGTCACCCTGTGCGTCCTCCGTTCCGAGCCATCCCTCTCATGATCATCACTGATTACTCCCTGCAGGTCCCGCCGCCCGAAAAGCTCCCCCGCCTCGTCCCACCAACCTTCGCCCCTCCCTCCTCCCTCTCCGCCTCCGAAAAAGACGCCTGGTACGCCGACTTGAAAGCGACATGGCTCGGCCACGCCTGCTTCCTCGTCGAGTTTCCTGCGCCGCCGGGGCAGAAGGGAGACGAGGAGGGCAAGAAGAGAGGGTTTAGGGTGTTGCTTGATCCGGTTTGGAGTCACAGGTGTTCACCTAGCCAGCGTGAGTGTCGAGCGTCCTCCTTACAAGCATCCGAGGTGCTGATGCACGCTTTTCGCCCGCAGTGATCGGACCCGCTCGCGTTACCAAGCCGCCCATCCCGCTCGAGGAGATCCCGCACGTCGACGCCGTCGTCATCTCGCACAACCACTGTACGCTTTCCTCTCCTCTCTTTTTCGCTCGATCCTGTGCTCATCCCCCACCTCGCAGACGACCACCTCGACATCGCGACCCTGAAGCACCTCTACTCCGCCCAACCCCACGGAACCCTCCACTTCTTCCTTCCGCTCGGCAACAAGTCCTGGTTGGAGAAGACGATTGGCGTCAAGTCGAGTGAAGTGACCGAGCTGGATTGGTGGGAGGAGAGGGTGGTCAGGTTGGGTGAGAAGGAGACCGGCGCGGAGGGGGAGGGAGAGGGGGAGAAGTTGAGGGTCGTATGCACGCCTTGTCAGCATGTGCGTGCCGCTTCCACCTTCTCGCGTCTTCGTTCACTGATGCGTTCTGTCGCGCAGTTTACCGGCCGCAGCTTGACAGACGTGAGCACGCATCTTCGGGATCCTCTCTCCCGCCGCGTATCTGACCCGTGCGTGCTGTCGCTTGCAGCGCAACGACACCCTCTGGGCCTCCTGGTGCATCGAAAGCAGCACAGGCGGCAAGATCTGGTTCGGCGGTTCGTTCTCCCTTCTCCTCCCTCCCAGTTCTGCAGCTGACTCTCCAGTCTTCAGGCGACACGGGTTACCGCACGGTTCCGCGCGGCGTCGACGCTGAAGGACTCGAGAAGTACGAGACGTGCCCTGCTTTCGCCGAGATTGGGAAGAGGGAGGGACCGATGGATATGAGCTTCATCCCGATTGGTGCTTATCAGCCTCGTACGCGCTCTCCTGAATTCGTTCTCCTTCTTCTCTTACTGATGCGGTTGCTCTCGCGCAGGCTGGCTCTTCAGTAGCGTTCGTACCTGGTCCCCTTCACCCACGACTGCTTCCTCAGCTAACCTTCTCGCTCGCGCAGGTCCACTGCTCGCCCGAAGACTCGGTCGAGCTACACCAGCACGTGCGGAGCAAGAAATCTATCGGTGCGCTTCGTCTGCTGCCTTTCCTTGCGGCATGCTTGACTGACCGTTGTTCGTTGCGTTTCACAGGTATGCATTGGGCGACTTGGGTCCGTTCCTTCGCCCCTTCGCCTACAAGCCTAGACTAACTCTCTCTCCTCCGCGTCCTCAGATGCTCACTCCCGAAGAAGCACGCCCCCTTCCCCTTCACCCTCCTCCTCACACTCCCTAACCGCCTAACCCCTCTTCACACCCGCAGATGACCGAACCCCCGCGCCGTCTCCGCTCCGCATGCGAAGAGTACGGAATCGGGGAGGACGAGTTTGGGGTGACGGATATTGGCGAGACCGTGAGGGTGAAGGTGGAGCGGAGGGGGGAGTAGAACGAGGAGAGGGGTAGAGGTTCTTTGTTTATGTTGTTACGCATTCGTGTTCATCTGTCTTTTTGGCTCTCGATTGGTGTAAGCGATCGGGAATGGGAGGATGAGATGGCAACGACACGAGAACGAGCAAGAGGAAGACGAGGAAAGCGCATGCGAAGGGGAAGCTCCAACAGGAAGAAGAGGAACCGAACGCATACAAACTCGAGAAGCAAGAGCACACAACAAGCTGCAGAAAGGATGCTCTTCACCACCCGTCCTTGTCGCCCCCAAAGCGGCGATACTCGACCAACCGACAATCGCTCGTCGAGTCCTTGCCCAACCCAACCGGCCCATCCTCGCGCTTCTTTCCACCCGCGGTCGACGACGAAGTTCGCCTCCCAGCGGCCGAAGAGCGCGGCGTTCTCGACCCGCTCGCTGCCCCTCCCTCCACCTTCTCCTTCCCCTTCCCCTTTCCGCCCTTCTCCTCCACACCCGAAGACGGATCAAAGGCAATCCTGTACCACCCTCCGCTATGCGTGATAGCGACCAGCTGGCTTTCCGTCTTCTTCTTGCGCGCCTCTGGAGCGTGGTGAGGTGAGGAGGGAGTGTAGGGAGTTGCCCCGGTGATTGTGGATGGACGCGAGGGAGGAGGGTGCGTGCGAAGGTTTTCTTTCTCGTGCGTCGACGTTGGGCGGGCGCGAGTAGGCTGGGTGGAGGAAGACGAGGACGGGCGGACGGATGAGGAGGTCGAGGTGCGGCGGTTCGACGAGTCGGCCGACGGTGCGGTTTCGGGTGCGGGTGCGGCGACGTCCTCCTCTCCTTCGACCTCCACCTCAACCCACGCACAAAGACACACATCATCCTCCACCGTCAACGGCTGCGCGCGGCCTTCTCCCTCCTTCGGAGCAGGCGTGAACGGCGTAGCAGGGTAGGGCGAGGGGTTCGAGAGGGAGAATGGGAGGCGAGAAGCGGGGGGCGCGGGAGGAGGGAGGCGGAACTGGGAGTGCGACCATTCGGAGGAGAAGTATTTCGGGAGGTAGGGCTTGAGGAGGGAGAGCTGCTTCTGCCGAGGAGTACTGCGGGACTGCGACTTAGGCTACGGATGGAGAGCTCGAGAGGGAAAGGTGTACGCACGACGAGCCGCTGTCGGTTCCTCGCTCCGCCTGCCTCTCCTCCTTCGTCCGCTTCAAATTCCACACATGCACCGTGCCCTTATCGCTACTGACCGCGACCGCACCTCCATCTGCTCTAAAGCTGATCCCAAAGATCTGCGCCCAGTCAGTCCCGCGTCGCAGCTCTTTGACGAGGTAGCTCGTCTGTGCGTCCCAGACGCGGACGAGCGTGCCTTTGTTGCTGGCAGAGGCGATGAGCGATCCGTCGGGTGTGGTGGAGAGCGCGGCGAGGGAGGTTGTGTGTGCAAGGATGATCGAGATTGAGGGGTACGGCGCAGAGGTAGGATCGTGTGAAGGCGGAGGAGGGAGAGGCGGCATGAGAGGGTCGAGGGGAGGGAGGCGGACAAGTTGTATCTGGCCAGGCTGGCGACCGGGGAAGGCGAGGAGCGTCGAGCCGGGCTTCGTAGCGAGAGCGACGAGGCCTGTGGCCGAGAACAAGCGGATGAGCGGGAGAATCGAGAACGGAGGCTAGCCGGACACACCCTTCGGGTTGTCAGTCGTCTCGTACACGCCCTCCCTCCATATGCCCGTCGCACCCCCGCCAAGCACGAAGACGAGTACTCTTCGCTTGAGAGCAACGACGAGCCTGTCCCTCCGAGCAGCGAGTCCGAGGACTTCTTCCCTGAACTCGAGCTCAGCGACCGCCTGCTTCGCCTTGTCGTCCCAGAAGACGACCTTGTTGGGTGGGTAGAGAGGAGAAGGCGGACCGCCGACGAGGAAGAGGAGGTTGGTCCGTTCGAGAGGGAGGACGATCTTGAGGGACGAGTCGGGGAGATCTGCGAACGAGGCGGGCGGGAATAAGTCCAGCATGACGAGGGAGGTCGTGGAGGTGTGCGCACCCCTCCTAGTTACGACTTCGAGCGGGTTGGTGCGGTAGACGACCCAGCCGCGAGTGGTCGAGGTTGCGAAGAGGGACCCGTCGCTGTTGACGTGGACGGCGGTGACGGGCGAGGGCTCCTCATCGCTGAGAGTGTGCGCTGGGAGGTGCAGAGCCATGCATGGGGCGCTCTAAGCTGGGATGAGCAGGAGCAAAGGCGATGGTCGAGGGAAGAGGAGGGGGTTGGCATCGTCCGCAACACCCGCTCGAGCTGGACTGGCTGGACGATGCCGTACTGCACTGCTACAGGGTCGTACTGCACAGCTACGCCAGCCTCACCGCGCCCCTCTCCGCCCTCTCTCGACCTTCATCAGTTCGAACCCCACATCACGACAACACCGTGGGACAGGCGCTGTTGACTCGTTGATGGACGAAGGCGCACTTTTGACTCTCGATGTCGGTGCAGCTGTCCACAACCCTGCAAGGACGACGCCCCCGCCGGCTTATCGCGGCTACGCGGGATTCCGCTGCTTTCGACTCTTTCCCGCTCGTCGAGTCGGCTCAAACGCTCCTCCTGCTTGACTCTTTCCTCTCACTCGCGCAAACGAACGCGCCCAACCACCCATCTCTTCCTCCCACCACACTTTCGCCGCATTCTTCCCGGCCTCCCCACCCCTCGACAGCTGACCATGCACATCCCCGCCAAACACGCCGAACACAGCATGCGCGCCATGCGCACGCTGATCCGCCAAAACCCTCTCGGAATCCTCACGACCGGCCTCCCTCACCCAGATTACCCCTTCCTCCAATCCTCGCACATCCCGTTTATCCTCGTCGAGCCGAAAGACGACGCCGAGCTGGGCGTACTGAGGGCCCATATGGCGCGGGCGAATCCGCAAGCTAAGGCGATGATTGCCTCGGCGAAGAAGGACCCGTCGAGCGGGACCTACTTCCTCGAACAAGAAGTCCTCGTCCTATTCACCGCCGACCCGCACGGCTACGTCTCGCCGAGCTGGTACACCGAGACTAAACCTGCGACCGGCAAAGTCGTACCAACATGGGACTACTGTGCGGTACAAGTCTATGGCAAGGCGACGGTATTTGGGGACGCGGCGGACGAGCGGACGAGCGAGTACCTCCAAGGCCAGATGGAGGCGTTGACGGAGCTCAGTGAAGCGAGTGTGGGCAAGACGGGCGACGGAGCATGGAAAGTCTCGGACGCGCCTGAGCGGTACATCGAGTTGCACAAGAAGGCGGTTGTAGGTGTCGAGATCCGGATCGACCGCGTCGAAGGACGGACAAAGATGAGTCAGGACAAGTCAGCGAAGGACGTCGAGGGAGTTGTAGCTGGATTCAGGAGTTTGCGGACCGAGGCGGGCGAGAAGATGGCGCAGGGCGTGAGACGGGCGGCGGACGAGGCGGTAGCAGCTAAGTCGGCGGAGTAGCTGGCTACTCTCGTGCATCGCGGTCTTTTCTCACCACTGGCTGAATGACTTGAGCGCGCCTTGCGAGTTCTCCGTGTCAAGGCGGCTGCACATCCTCCGCCAACTCCTCCCTCAACTTGGCCACCAACACACTCCAAGCCCTCGCCATCGTGTCCCACAGCTCCTCATCCTCGACCTCCAACGCGTCCACATCATGACACAACCTCCTGACCCACTCCAACCTCGCAATGACCGCTCCAAGTTCCGTAGGTCGGGATTCGAAAGGTGAGGGCGGGACGGGGTAGGTGATCAAGTTGCCGAGGAGCGAGGCGGTTGAGCCGGTGTGGATGTAGGTGTAGAGGACAGGCCAGACTGTGCGGAATGGGATTGAGATTGGAACGATAGGGAGCGAGACGAGCGGCATGATGCTCGACACGCGGGCGGTCGAGCCGAGTTGCAGGGGCGACGGTGGGGAGGGTGGAGAAGGGGAAGGAGAGGGCGGGTAGCGAGAGTCGTAGGTCGAGGTGTGAACATGCGCGAGCGTTCGACACTTGAGCGACCAGACGAGTCCGTGGATAGGGACGTCCATCTTCTCGTGCGAGACGGGGAAGGTGATCTGTAGAACGTGTGTCGGGATCGGGAGAGGCGCAGGAGGAGGGATGCAGAGAGCTGGCGGGTTATCCGTCGTTGGCTTGTCGAGACTGGGGGTGTAGGGGCGCGGCTGGATGATTGTTCGTTGCGAGGCTTCCATCAACTGGGGAGCTGTTTCGGAAGCATGTTAGCAGGATTCGAGAGCATCAAGGGGAGCGGACACACCCAGTTTGTGGATCGCGTCCAGCGTGAACTCGCGAGGCGGTTCATCTGGCGTCCACAACAACTCGCTCGCCGTGGGTCGCGCATTGCGGTATGTGCGCGCATAAGGGAAGGCCGGCAATTCAGTTGGAATGCGTAGGCGTCCTGTCGGATGGAAAAAGGCGGGAAGGGCGTATCGGGCGGTGTCGAGGACGAACCGACGTGCAGATGCGCTTCGGAGCCGTGCAGCGGGGTCCCTGAGCGGCGCATGCGAGTCCGATTGGCGTATTTGACGCGAGTGCAAGCGAGCTGAGCGAGCCCTTCGGTTGTTAGCGAGAGCGCGACTCCAGCGAGAAGGAGCTGAATGGGAGCGGGGAGGGGAAGTGCGGAGCGGAGGGGCTGGGCGGTCCGGACCGTGACCCTTTCCCGCGACAATGCTTCCTGGAAGCCGCTCACGACATAATGAGGCAGTCAAATGATCAGGGACGAGGGCGGAATCTGCCGCAAGACGAGCCTGATCCGGCGGCAGAGACGCGACAGGGAGGACGCCCTTGGAAGGCCTGGTCTCCAGCAGCCTGCGGCGTGCCCAGTCAGTCCGCGCAGGTTACACCGAGAACGACAAGCGAGAGGCTGCACGCGAAATGAGGCACGAAAGCCTGGCCGGGAGGAGAGCGAGAGGAAAGCAGGCGTTTCGTTCGCAACGCAGCCAGTCACGAGCCGGTGGCCCCGCAGCATGCACTTCGCTGAATGGCGAGCGACGTAAGTAGGCGACGATGCCAGGAGATGCGATACGGAGGTCGAAAGTGGATGGGAAGACGAGAGGCGGCCTTTGCGCGCGGAGAGCCGGCCTCCCTGCTTGTTTTCGTCTCCTTCGCCGGTCTCCTCTGCTGTGGTCGTGTGCCGTCGTCGTAGGTGCAGTCGCAAGCGCGAAGAGCGAGTCGTTGGCGCAGGCGAAGTCGGGAGAGGGCGGCGTCGACGAGGGAGCAGGAGCTCGCTTAACAGCGAAGGAGACGTCGCTGTCCCTTCAAGCGGCAATGCGGCTACTCCCCTGCGCACGGCGTGGTCGAGCGGTGGTCTTACGATGCGGTGGGCGCGCGTAAAGAGGCGAACGAGTCGCGAGCGATGAGGAACGACGAGGAGTGAGGCGGGAGGAACGGCGGCGTCTGGCGAGGTGGGAGTGGTCGCGTTCGAGCGACTCCGAGTCGGTGCGTCCGCTGAGCAGCATCAGCGCAGCCATGCGGTCGAGTGTGCGAGCGAGTGAAGCGGAGGAGGACAAGCCGTGGCGACGAGGCGAGCGAGCGGGTCTGCCTCCTCGTCCACGCCAGCACGAGCCTCGCAGCGCGAGGAGCAACAACTGACGACGTTGTACTCGCAGGGTCGACGTATAGCATCAGCCACGACAGCACCAGTCGTTGTCAGCCCGGTCCTGCTCCTCCTCGCTCTTGTCGCCTCCGACACGCTTGTCATCGCCGCAGGAGGCCTGACGCTTCGTGGCAGTCACAGATTGAAGACAGGTGAACACCTGAGACGAGTCGGAGCACACGGGTGCAGCTGTGGCGGTCGAGTGGAGTAGAGTCGACCAGCTAGTCTCCTCAGAGCCTGTCCAGGTCGACGATGGATGACCAGCTGTGCTGCGGGCGCATCCACAGAGCTGCTGTGCGCTGCAGCTGTGCCGGGACGGTTGGATCTCCGGGTCAAGCAGGATGGGAGGCGGTCGGCGGCTCAGCCAGGCGGACAGAGGAGGGTATCCTTCGACTGCGAGGACATGCTCGATCGTGGACGCTACAGCGACGCAGACACGACTCATCACCACTTCAGCTGTCACGCGCCGGGTCCTGCGCCTGCATCTGCGTTGGTCGTCCCGCCAGGACGGCAACGGAACGGCGCGGCGAAGGAGCGCGAGAAGGTACACGAGTGGCTGGCGTCGCGGGCGAGGGTCGTTCGCGCACACAGCTATCGTTCATCGTTGACGAGCGTCGTCGGAGCAGTGTGCAACAGGAGGACAAGAAGCGGGAACCGGCACTCGACGATCTTTCGTCCGTCCACACCGCGACGTGACGCTGGACCAGCTCACTTGCTCCGCCCGCCGTTGCTCAGCTTGCCTACATGTTACGCTCTTCACTTTCGACACACGCGCCTCACCGGATGCGCGACTGCCGCAGCTGCCCCGGTTTCTCTCGTCTCCCTCGACATGCGGTCGTTTTGACGGACGGTTAGACCGCCAGGACGCCTCTTCCAGCTCAACCACATCCACGTCTTCACTCTCTGGCTCAGGCCAGGTGCTCGACCTTCTACGCTGTGCGAGGAAGGCCGCTCTCGACGACCAACCGACTACCTACCGCCTGGAGGGCTCGTGCGGAGCGTGTGAGTTGCCTGGGCGGACCCTGGTCGGCCCCTACGAGCTAAGCTGGTCATGGCCCTTGTTGTGTAAACCCGGCGAGGGCATGGAAGATGCAGACGTTGGGAAATAGAGGGACGAGGAGACTTGGATGAGCAGGGAGCGCCTCGTGGTGGCCCCTCTGTTTCCAGTAGAGCTTTTTATCTTGCAAGACGTGCACCCAGCGAGATATCAACCGCCAGGAGGTGCGAGAGCGAGAGCTTGCCAGGCAAGGGACTTCGCTCAACCGGTTCGACGAGGACAACTCGCTTGCCAGCGCTTACACACCCTGCTTCCGGCTAACGAGGACGCGAGCAGTGCCACAGAGCTCGACACTCTTCGTCCTAACCGCCAGCGAGCCGCCCAGCGCTTGCGCCGTCCCCTCTCGTCCTCATCATCCTCGACCTTGGAGCGACGACGAGCGATGGCGCTCTCATCGCGGTACACGACCGCGACAGCCTTCCTCGAGCACGCCTCGACGGCAGACTTCTTCTCCTACACCGTCCCGACCTCTGCGCCCATCGACGAGTCGGCCCCTCCTCCAACTCTCGCGCAGGAAGACCACGCTCTCGCGACTTCGACGTGGTTCCCGAGCGCCGAGGAGGGCGGACAGTCGACTGGATTTGTGCTCTCGAGGATCGTGGAAGATGCGTATACACTCGAGCTGCGGTGGTGCGCGTTCAGCCGGACGGCCAGGCAGGAGGGGGACTCGATGGACCAGGACGGCGCGGTGAACGCCTTTGAGGACCTCGACAAGCACCCTGGGACCCTTCCACCTGTCCGCTTCACCTTTCCCTCCCGACTCGTCCCGACCCCGTCTTTCGTCGTGACCGGCTCCTCAACCGACAAGCAACTCCAGATCTACTGCCTCACCGAAGCCGGGTACCTCTACATCCTCACTTTCTCCCTCTCGAGCCTGTTCTACGCGGCAGAAGGGTTGGGCGAGGGAGAATGGAGCGACGAGTACAGGGTCGAGAGTCTCGCGGGACGGACGCCGGTGCTTGTGCAGGGCGTGGACGAGGGGAGGGTCGTTGTGGGTTGTGCGGACGGCTTTGCGGTCTGCGTCGAGCTCGCGGAAGGGAACGGTGAGCTGTTCGCGCAGTCCGAACCGCTTCTCATCTGCTCACCCCGCTCCTCCAGACGCAGGACTGGTCGAAACGGAACTCCGCATGCCCTCCTCCTTCTCCGTCCGATCGCTCATCCCCTCCTTCTCGACTCGCAACCTCGCTTCGCCAACAAAAGGCACCTTCCAGTCCGCCTCTTCCCTCGCCGCGCCCAACCAGCTCCTCTCAGTCGCCTGCGTTTCGTCAGCCACCGACGCCAACAGCCCGAGCTCGACTTTCGCTTTCGGTGTCACGCGCGATCGCAAGTTGCGCATCTGGAGTCTTGAGTCGGGTGCATGCTTCCGCGCCATCGACCTCCCGCGCGCCAAGTCCTCCTCGACCGCCCTCACTCTCGCCTCCTCCAACCCGTCTATCGACTCGCCTCAAGTGTCGCGCAACGGCTCTCTCCTCTCGCCTGCGCCGCAGACGCTCGTCAAGCTCGTTCAGGGATCGGAGTTGACCTCGTACCCCGCCTACCTCGCCCTCTTTAGCCCCGCAACAAGCGCTTCGCCCGCCGCTTTCATCCTTTACGGCCTCGCAACGGACGCTTCCTCAGGCGAACTGAGCGAGCTCGAACCTGTCGCGGAGCGAACGTGCCCGTCTGGCTCGATCGGAAGTCTCGTCGACTTTGTAGTCGCGAGGATGGACTTGTCGGGCGATGCGAGCTGGACTTTGTGGACGTGCTGGGACGAGGGAGGGGAGACGGAGATCCACACGATCAGTCTCGGCGAGCTAGATGCGCAGGCTGCCGAGACGGTCGAGGACGAGTGGGTCGTGGTTGAGCGAGGGGCGGCGGCCAAGACGGCGACGTGGACTGCGGCATACTTCGATGACCAGCTGCGCGAGTCGCCCGTCTCTGTCGCCGACACGTTCCTTCGACACATCTCCTTCCCTGGCCGATACCCTCCAGCGACACTCGACCACGCCTTGCAGCAGTATGAGGAACTCATCCTCTCGGAGCTCGATACCGACAGCGTGACGGCACCGGCGCAGTTCGGTCTCGATTATGCGACGCTGCTCGAGCGCGCAGCAGCAATTGTCGGGTCGACCGTCGTTCTGCAGCAAAGTCCGCAGACCGGAGCCTTCCTCCATGACGAGTATAACAAGCAGCTCAAGATCGAGTGGCTGCGCTTCATCGCCATGCTCAACGAGTCGCGCTCTGTCGCCCTGTACCCGACCTGCCTTGCGCTCGACGAGGACCGAGGAATCGCTGCCGTCTTCGGACGAGACAGCGTCACGGTGCCGATTGTCCGCGAGGCCGTTCACACACTCCGAAGCTTGTCGACGCCGCAGCAGATTCTCGCCGCCCAAGCCGAGCCCGAGGACCTCCTCGACCTTCCGCCCGCCCTCTCAGCCGACTACACCCTCCGCTCCGACATCCTTCCCCTCCTCGCCATCATCCGCGACCTCCAGTCTCGCCTCTCAACTAACGACCTGCGCACGCTCGAGTCGCTCCTTCTCGAGCAGATCAGGGCGCCGTTCACGGCCGACATGGAGGACACCGCGCTCGACCTGTTCGAGAAGGCGCTCGAATCGGCGCTTCTGGACGGCAGTGTCGCGCAGATTGTCGCCGCGCTGAAGGGGCTCGACAGCTCCGAGCGGGCAGTCGACACGTTCCTTCGCCTCTTGACGAGCGAACAGCTCTCGCCCATCGCGGCGAGTGCGGCCGATGAGCAGCCTGCGACGGATTTGTCGAACGCCCTTCTCGCCGATGCGTTGTCAACGAGCATTGAAGCGCGCTACGAGCTCGCCAAGGGTCTCGTCGCAATCTTGCTCATCGTCTGGGCGGGGGAGGACGAGGAGGCGGTCGAGGCAGACGTCGGCGTGGCGCCCGCCCCTCAGGAGCGCCTCTTCGCCCGTCTCGACCAGACGACCGCCGCAGCAATGACCACTCTGCACGCCCTCGCCGCCATGCAGTGGATCGCAGCGGAACTCGCTCCGCCCACCGCCGAAGCGCTCGCTGCGGTGCAGAAGCAGCTCGGCTCACCCGGCGACGACGGCGTTCTCGAGCGCTTTGGCGAGCTACGGATGAAGGACCACGACGGAGCGGATGTCATTCCCGTGCCCACGTACGGTCTTCTCCCGGCCCTCCTCCGCACACCCGACTTTGCCGCCTCCCTTCTTCCCGCCTCACGCTCCTCCCTTCCTGTCGCCCTTGCTTTCGCTGCAGCGGGCGTCTTCCGCGCCTTCGGCATCCTCCCCTCTCCCACCGCGACGCAGCCCGAATCGTCGACTGCCTCGACCATCATCGGCATGCGGCTGCAACAACTCGCCTTGCCGGCACAAGCAGCTGAGTGGGTCGAGCTGTGGCCGAAGACGGCGGGGATGAGCTATGTCCGCGGCCGGGCCATGCTGGACTTGCTCGATGGCGAGGAGGCGAGCAAAGCTTTGGAGAAGGCGGCAAGCGGTCTTTGTGCGTCCCTTCCGCTTTCCGTTCGCGATCATATCCGCTGACTCTTTCCTTCGCAGACGGCGCAGATCTGGTTGATGATGACGATGACTCGGCCGCAGCCTTGCTGGCCATCCTCCCAAGCGAAGTCGGATCTTCGCTTGCTCGCTACTACCAGCACGTCGTCTCGCTGTTCGTGCCGACCTCGTTCGACGGCGCCATCGCACGGTTCGCGCAGCTCGCCCTCGATGCGCTGACGACGGAAGGCCTGCACGACGAGGTTGCAGAGAAGGACTTGTGGATCAAGCTGTTCCGCAGCTACGCAGCACTCGGAGACTACGTCAAGGCGTACGAGGTCGTCATGGCCGCCCCATATCACGAGACGTGCGTCTGACCCCCATGCCGTCTCGTCTCGTCTCTTCTGACCGCTCTCCTCGCAGCCAAATGACCTGCCTCGCCCACTTCATCTCGGTCGTCTGCGAGAATGGCGCTGCTTCGCTTCTCACGACTTTCTCATTCTCCGGCCTCGAAGCCGACCTCGAGCGCAACCTCGCCTTCCGCGCCCGCAACTCGGACCCGCTCGCTCGTCCCAACTACTACCGCGTCCTGTACGCGTATCACACCGCCAAGGGGGACTACCGAAGCGGTGCGTGTCGATGCACATCTTCTTTGCCACTCTTGTTCTGACACGGCGCCTCCTTCCAGCCGGCACCGTCATGTACCAGCAAGGCCGACGACTTGGCGAGCTCAGCTCCAAGCAGCCTGGCTCGTACCGCGACATTGCGACGCTTCAGTGCCAGAGCTACCTTGCCGCGACGAATGCATTGTCGCTCGTCGCACGGGAACACGCCTGGGTCGCCGTGGTCGAGGACGAAGCTTCAGAGCGGGTGCGCCCGACGTCCCTCTCACAACTCGCCTCGCCGAGCTGACTCTTCTAAGCAGGGTCACAAGCGACGCAAACTCGCCTACCACATCCCGGAGGACGAGTTCGAGCCGTCTATCGCCTCTCGCCAGCTGGAAGTGTTGGACGTCAACGACATCCGCAAGGGGTACTGCATCGCCCTCTCTCGCCTTCAGCTTTCGACTGAGTTTCCCGAGCTCGAGCGAACAAGTGGGTCTCCGGTCTCTCCTACACCGGATTCAGCCGCCTGACGCTCGTATTCGCTCAGACTTCCACCTCGACCCGGACTCGGTCGTCGCCCTCTTCTCGCAAATTGGCAACTTCGAACAAGCGTTCTGGGCGGGGCGAGTGCTCGATGTCGACCTTTCCTCGCTCTTCGAGGTCATTACCGAACGCTGCGTCACGTTGGCGCAGAACCCCGAAGGGTGCGTCCGCCGTCCGCGCGGAACTTACGCGGCTTGCTGACTTTCGATGATGCATAGCGCGGAGGACGCAAGCTGGGTTGCCATGTCGAGCGAGGCAGCAACCTGGGAAGGCTCGCTTCCGAGCAAGGCCTGGCGACTACTCGAGCGGCACCTCGAGCGACACGACCGCGACGTCGGCCAGCGGTATCGCCTGGTCGTGCTTGAGCGGACGTTGGCGCTCAACCGAGGCGGAAAGATTCCCTCTTTCTTGACCGAGCACGTCAAGCAGCACGACTTGCCTGCGCTTCTCCGCACGCTCATCAAGTACGACCGGTTGGATGAGGCGTTCGCGTTCAGCTTGGATGCGCTCAAGGTGCGTGCTACGACTAGCTACCCAGTTGCATTCGCTGACACTCCTCGATCAGTCTGCTCCGTCGCCTTCCACTCCTTTCTCGACGGCCGAGCCTTGGTCGTTGTACGACCTGCTCCTCTCCATTCCTTCTGGCGACTCGGCGTCCTTGTCGGACGACGTTCTCAAGCAGCGGCAAGTCGAGCTTCGCGAAGCGGTAGATGCGCGACTGGCGGCGCTGGACAAGGCGGACAAACAGGTGCGGAAGGCATGAGCAGTACGCGAACTCGCATGCAAAGCAGGCACTGTTTCCTCAGCATCCTGGCAAATCTGCGAGACTGCTGCGACTGCTTGAACTTCTCAACTTGTCTACAATTCCTCGCCCTCGATCATTCCGCACCTCCGTTAATCTGTTGCGCCTGCGCCTGAGCGGCTCGCGCTGCTGCTTGCTGAGCTGCCGCTGCCTGAGCCTGCGCCTGAAGCAGCTCACGCTGCCGCTGCTGGAGCATTTGCAGCTGTTCGGGCGTGAGCTGCGGTGTCTGGCCATTCGGGAGCTGCTGCATCTGGATAGGCGGCGTGCCGTTGACTCCGAGCTGAGCGTGCGCGGCAGACGGCGAGCCGGGGAGCGCGGCTGGAGTGCCGTTCGGCGAGGCGTGCGCGGCCGCTTGGGCGGCCATAAGCTGAGGGTGACGACCCTGTTGACCGGGCGGACCTTGCTGCTGGAGACGTTGTTGCTGCTGCTGCTGAGCGGCGGCTTGCGCAGCGGCTTGCTGCTGACGAAGGCGGATCTTCTGCTGGTCCTGCTCGGCGCGGAAGACGGACCATTCCATCGGCGACCAGGTCGGGCGAGGCGGCAGGTTGTGCGACTCGTGCATGCCCATGTTAACTCGTCGAGGGAAACCGCCGGCTGCGAAGCGTTGAGCGAGAGTAAGCGACCGAGCAACGAGGACTGGGGAGAAGGTGAGACGCACTGTTCTGCTTGCTCGCCGCCAGCTCACGCTTCTTCTGCGCCCGCTTCATCGCCTCCATGATCGCCGCATGCCGCGCCTTCTTCTTGCTGCCGTCGCCGATAATCGGGAGGGGCTTGCCGGTCTTGTCGACGGGCGGCATCCAGTCGGGCGGCGGGCGAACGATCTCGGTACCGTCAGGCAAGGTCTTCTTGCTGCCAGGTCCGACGAGCCTGTCCCACCGATCGTAGACGTCCCAGGCTTCGCGGCGGTCTGGCGCAGGGCGGTGCGTGGCCAGATTAAAGACGTGCGAGATGAGGTTCCAGTTGAACCCGTACTGCTTCTGTAGCGCGAGAAGCATCGCGTCTTCCTCGGGCAGCCAGAGGAGCGTAGTTGCGCGCAGCTCTGCGTTCGGCAGCTCGGCCGGCTTCTGCAGGACGTCCCCGAGGACAGCGTCTTTCGGTCTGCGGCCGGCGAAAAGGGCGGATGCCGATGTCGGCGCCGTCTCGCGGGGGTCAATCGGCTCCTTGATGTCCTCGATGAAGGTGCCGGTGCCAGGAGCCCAGTGCTGCTTGTCGACCCGGGTCTTGCTCGGCTCGAGGGTGCCGACAAGGAGCGGCTTACTCTCGAGCAGGCGAGTGACGTGCGCGAGTCGACCTGCCCATGCGGACGAGTCCTCGACGCGGCGGTCGAGTGAAGGGTCACTCGCGACGGTAAAGTCGGAGTAGAGCGGAAGGTCGGGGAAGAGGTTGGTGAAGTCGTATGCGAGGAAGGGATTCTCGTCGAGAGGCAAGCTCGCCGCCTCAACTGCAGCTTCCTGCAACGCGGCGAGGAAGAGCGGGTCGACAATGGTGTCGTCGTGCGGCGCGTCGAAGATTGGTCGACGGAAGGTGATGAGGTTTTGGACGTGTCGGGCTTGGGCATCTGCTCGTTCCGCCGCGAGCTGCTGAGCCTGCGAGCGAGACATGCCAGAAGTCGACGGCGCAGGCGTCGCCTCGTTACCGGCACTCCCGCCAGCTTTGCCTGCTCCCGGCGGCGCATTCGCGACAGGAACGACCGGGTTTGCCGGAGTCGACTTCGTCGTCGAGTTGCCGGACGAGGTCGCAGCCGTAGCCTGCGCGGGGGCTGGTGTCGCATCGTCCGCCTCGCCGTCCGCATCCTCCTCGCCATCCGCATCCACGTCCTCCGACATCTCGCGCTCCTTTCCCTTCCCCTTGTCCGCCTTCTTCGCTTTCTCCTCCTCCGCGTCCTCGTCATCCGCCTCAACCTCCATCTTCTCCTTCTCCGGCATCTCTCCCCGCAAACGCGCCTCGACCTCCTCGTCGCTCAGTCGCCGCGGTTCCCGTACCTGCACTCGCAGCGCCGGTCGATCGTCCTCTGACGCTCGGACATAGGCGCGACATGCGCGAGCGAGCTTGTACGCTGTCACGACCTTCCAGCGCGTCTCCTGGCGGAAGTCGATCTGCATCCATCGCTGGGCACGAACGGGTCATTCAGCTTGGTGACATCAAACAAAGCGAGTCGAGGAGGAGACGCACCATCTCGTCAAGGACATGATCCCAGTGCGCTTTCGGCACAACTCCCGTCCGCTGCTTCTTCGGCTGCCTAAAACTCCACTTCCTCTCCGCCTTGAGCTGCTCAATCCGCTCAAACGCCCGGATGGACCTCATCTCGTCCGTCCCGACCTGCCATTCGTGCGTCGTGAGCGCGTTGTGCACGCGCTTGCCGGGGCCGAGGAACGTCTTTGCGCCCATGTGCTGGGCGCGGACGTGGAGCTTGTACAGGTCGGGCTGGATGAGCTGAGAGGACGAGGAGGGTGCGGTCGACTTCGACGCCTTCTTGTTGTTTGAGCGGAGAAGGAGGGACGTGTTGAGGCGCCGGCGGAGGATGTCGTGACGAACGGGAGGGAGAGTCGATGCGTAGTCGGAGGAGATCTCCTCGATACCGAAGAGTGACGTGTAAGGCGGGACAGGGACGAAGGGAGGTCGAGCAGGGCCAGCTACTGGTGGAGTCGTTGCGGCATGACCCTGCTGCGTACCTTGCAGAAGGTAGGGAGAGACAGTTGCTGGTTGTTGGGACGTCGAGGGTGTAGGCGAAGGCGAGACGGCGGTGGAAGCAGGTGCGGATGGAGCGGTAAGGGAGATCTGCGGTTGCGGCGTCGTCGCGGCGGTATCTGTTCCTGCTCGTGCAGCAGTACCGTTTGATGCACCTGACGTCGTGACTGACACGCCTGGGGGCGCGAGAGCCTCGGCAACGGCCATCTCCTCGTCCTCTTCCTCCTCGCCTTCCGCATCTTCTTCCGAATCGTTCACGACATCGCTACTGAGCGGAGGTTTGGCCGGCGTTACGGGGACTGCTTGCCGTGCGGTGGTCGTCCGCGAAGGAGGAGGAGGGCTGGGAGAGAGAGGCGCAAGGGAGAGGTCGAGTTGCTGGAGACTGCGACGATAAAGAGCGTGAGCTGGAGAAGGGCCGGTTCACTGGGAAGCGCGACGCACCTTTTGGCATCGCTGAAGCGTTGCTTGAACTGCTCGAGCCCCTGGGTCACCCCTTCGCCGCGATCAGGACCGCCTGCCAGCTTTCGCCGTTTCCGCCCTCTCAAGCCAGCCTCAAACTCGACAGATCGCCCCTTGTCCTGCACCGCGACCAGCAGATCCGCCAGCTGTTCATCCCGAGTCGATGCGAGTGCACTGCGAGTCGTATGACGAGAGAGTGGGCGAGCAAGGTCAGCAAACAGGTGCGAGAGAGGGCCGTAGGAGAGCGCAAGCCGACGCACGCCAGCCTCGCCTCTTTCGGCTGGATCGCGCGGCTCCGCATGGTCATGTAGTCCGCCTCTGTTCGACTCTGCGCACGAGAAACCCTCGGGCGGCGTCAGTGTGCGAGTTCGCGTGTTTGGACCACGGCTGACACGGGTGGACGAAGAGGGCGACAACGCACGTCCGCGGCTTGGCTGGCGCGCCCCATGGCCTGTCAGAGAGCGTGAGAACGTAGCGAGACCAAGCCTGGCAGTCCTGTGAGCGTGTGAGGCGTGGAAGAGGCGAACCTCTTCTCATCGCCACGACTTTGCTCTCCTCGTCGACCTCGAACGCACGCGACGCTCGCTAGGTGGCCTGCTGTGGTGCCAGTGCTGCTCGACGGATTACATCGATCCATGTCACTGCCTCGCCTTGCTCCCGCGAGTCGCGGTCCGCCCTGGGTCCTGCTACTTGTTCGGCGTCCTCATCAGCTTGCGCGGCACCAGCGCCTTAGGGGTCGATCAGACAATGAGGAAGCTTGGATTCACGGGGTTCACATGCACGCTACTGGCCGCGGGCGCTGGTACCGTTACTGTCCTGCTGGTCCTGCTCTTCCGCTCCCACTCGAGCTGGCGATGCTTCCTCTCACTGGTCCTGCGAACGGACAGTCATGTTGCTCTCTGACACCGCTGATATCGTCGCCCGCCGACGCCAGCGGCGTACTGCGCTCGCTCGCTCGGCACGAGACAGCCCGTTGCGCTTGAACACGCTACGTTGCAGCTGCACGCTTGTTGTCGTTCCTATCTACGGGGTACGGATCCTTCAGAAGTCAAGGTATAAGAGCTAGGGAAGGGGAGGGAAGGAGGGGAACGCAGGCAACCCAGGAAAGGCGTCGAGCTTAGTACGAGAAGGTCTTCGAGAGCGGGAGGTTGCGACTGCTGGTCCCGACGCTGACCTTGAACTCGCCCGACGGGATGACCCAACCCTGCTTCTCGACGGACCAGACGGTGAGATCCTTGTTGCGCAGGTCGAAGTAGACGTCCTGCGACTCGCCCGCCTTGAGGAACGGCTTGGCGAAGCCGCGGAGGTTGTGGACAGGCATCTTGTTGGGCGTCGAGTCTGGGAAGGTGAGGTAGAGCTGCGAGGGGCGGACGTTAGCGAGGTGAGAGAGGCGGAGGAAGGAACGGGGCGCACCTGCGCAACTTCGGCACCATCGACGGAGCCGGTGTTCTTGACGGTCGCCTTGACGGTGTACACGTAGTCGTACAAGCCCGAAGCCTGCTTGCCGTTGATGAAGAACTTCTCCTTCGTCTCGCGGATGGCGGGCGGGTTGGCCTTCTTGTTCTGGTAGAGCGAGAGGCCCGAGACGTTGAAGCTGGGGGCGCAACTTTGTTAGCTCGACTTCAGGAGGCGGAAAGGGAGAGCAAGACGCACGTCGTGTATGACTTGCCGTAGCCGAACTCGAACAGCGGCTCGATGCCCTGCTTGTCGAACCACTGCGATCCGGAAGGCATCAGCCTGGGTTCGCTATGATCACGAAGCGTGCGAGCCCACCTTGTAGTCGATGAAGACACCCTCGGTGAAGTTGGTCGTCGGGTTGACAACGTAGTCGCCGTGGTAGATCGCCTTTTGGTCGTAATCGCTGATGTTCTTCGCGATCGTGAACGGCAGCTTGCCCGAAGGGTTGACGTCGCCGAACGCGACGCGAGCCATTGCCGTACCGCCCTCCTGGCCGCTGAAGTACGTGAAGAGGACGGCGGTAACGTTGACATGGTCGATCCACTGCGACATGTCGACGGGGCCGGGCGCGGTGATGACGACGATCGTGTTGTTGTGGCGGTCAGCGACGTAGTTGATCAGGTTGTCGCCATTGTTGCCGAGCTGTTGCGGAACGACGCGGTTAGCCGGCGGTCGTTTCGACGAAGAAGTCAACGCACAGTCAAGTTGACGCGGTCGTAGCCCTCGGCGCCGATGGCGTTGACGAAGACCATCGTCGCGTCAGCGTAGAGGAGCTTCTCGTCTAGAATTGAAGTGTTGGAGCGAACGGCGTTGGGGACGACACCTACCAAGGGGTCGCTGCGACGCCTCGAGGTCAGCTCTCGAACTCGTCTTGGAAGGGAAGGAGACCCACTCGTAGTAGTACCCGTCAACAACGACAGGACGCTTCTCCTGGCGTCCACGAGCGGTGAAGGCCGAAAGCGGGTCGACGGCGTAAGGCTCCTCCGAAGTGCCACTACCGAAGCCGTCGCCAAGGAAGCCTTCGACGATGAGCGACGGGGTGCCCGCGACAATCGGCACATTCCCAAAGATTCCGAAGCGACCGGGAGCAGCGGCGGACCCGACGACTGCGTAGTTCGAGCGAGGAGGCAAAGGAGGAGGGAGGAGGCCAAGGTCAGCGACCCAGACGCTATTGCCTGCCAGACAAGCCAAACATTGCCTGCCAGACGCTATTGCCTGCCACAGAGAGAGACGTTACGCACGGATGAGGTCCTTGGGCTTGCAAAGCGGAAGACCCAGGTTCGAGGTCCTGTTGTTCTTGAGGAGGGTGATGCCTTCCTCGGCGACTTTGCGGGCGGTGTCGGCGGTCTCCTGGCTCGCGACGTAGCGGTCGTAGTCGACCGCAGGGAGGGAAGACTGGTTCAGAGCGAAATACGGGACGAGCATGCTGCGGGCCAGAGGGAAGTCGTTAGACGTTTTCAGCGACGACGCAAGCGAACGAGCGATTGCGCACCGGATGATCTTGTCGTCAAGGAGAGCCTCGGGCACGCTGCCGTTCTGGATGGCCGGAGCGAGCTTGGCGCCGAAGAGGTTGACCGACGGCCTGTTCGAGCGAGGTCAGCGGCTACTTCCGGAACATGAGCCGTGATGCGGACGCACTCGGAAGCCTCAACGTAGTCGGTACCGTTGAGAGCGGCGCCGAGCGTGGTGTGGCCAGCGTACCAGTCCTGCGGCGCAGAAAGGTTGTCAGCTCGCCGTCAATCGTCCTTGTTCGACGCCAACGATGGCTGGGGACGCGTCGATGTCGGCGCAAGCTCACTGTAACGACAAAGCCGGGGAAGGCGAGCTGTTAAGAGGAGAAAGTCAGGCAAAGGGTGCGGAAAAGGCGGGAGAGGACTCGGCTCACCTCCTCTTTGAGGATGTCGATGAGGAGCTCCTTGTTTTCGCATGCCGCGGTACCATTCAGCTTGTTATACGAGCACATGATCTGTCATTCTTAGCGTCAGCACGCGCCTGGATACGAAGGAGAGACAGACGCACTCCGCCCGCTCCGGCGCGAACAGCCTCGGCGAAGGGCGCGATGTAGAGCTCGCGAGCAGTCGCCTGGTCGATGATCGAGTCGATGATGTGGTCGAGTGGTCCAGCGATGTACCCAGTATCGGCGAGACCTTGGCGGAGGTACTCCTGCTCGTCTGCGAAGGTCAAGGTCGGCAAGGTCAGTTCTGTTGACTTCGCGACGAGATTGACGCTGGAACGAAGCGAAACTCACTGCCGTAGAAGTGCTTGACGAGGCCAGTCACGCCCTCCTTCTGGAAACCGTCAACGGTGAGGCGGACAGCTTCTCCCGCCAGGTAAGGCTCGCTCGAGAAGCCCTCCCAGTTGCGACCGCCGTAGACGGACCTGCCCATCGGTCCAACGACGATGGAAAGAGGGACCTGAGCGCCGACTTCGGCGTATTCCTTGCCGATCGCGAGAGCGCGCTCGTGGATCAAGTCGCGATCCCAGGTCGCGGCGGCCGTCACCTCGGCGGGGAACTGGGTCGAGTAGCGAGTCTGGCGGACACCGGTAGGGCCATCGGCGAAGCAGATGCCCTGGTTGATGCCGGCACTCGGGAGAGGGAAGGTGATGCCCGCGCATCCGCCGTATGGAGTGTTGACCGAGAAGCCGCGCAAGTCGGTGAAGTTAATCTGCCGAGACGAGGAGGAGCGTCAATGCCGTCAATTCGGAGGAAGAGGGAGAGGAGGGCCACAGCGTAACAAGCCGAGGCAAGCAACGCACCTTCTGGTCGAAAGACAATCCACCGACGACCTCCTTGGCCTTGTGGAAAGCGTCGAGCCACTTCTGATTCGTGAAGCCATCGGCAGTGAGGATACCCGTGCCCGCGGTCGACGATGCGGACGAGGTGGGCGCAGAACTGGCGGACGAGGGAGCAGTCGCTGGGGCGGCCACAGCCGAAGCGGCGGCGAGCGTGAGGGCAATAGACGTCCTCGTAAGCATATTGGCGGTCTGTCCTCGGCGAGCGAGGCGAGTAGTGCGGACGAAGCAGAAAGAGCGAGTCCTTCCTCTCCTCCTCGACTCTCGACGATGTCCCCACGCCGTCTCCATCCGGTGCACTACAGGCCCGTAAGCTGGGGCTGATTCCCTCCACTCGATGGTCACAAAGTGTGTCGCCCACGACTGATCGGAGGTGCGAGGCTGCACCCAAAACGACGCTAGCGAGAGGAGGCAGACGTCGCGAGCGGGAAAATGCAAGGCCGAGCGCCGGGTGCTAGTAATCGAGCTATGTCGAGCATTACTGACGCTGTCGTAAGGAGGAGCCGAGCCGCATCGATGAGCTTGTGGAGCGCGAGCGAGGCGCGATGCGACCGTGACGGAGAGGAGGCGTCCGGCCGGACCCCGAGCGGAAGTCACGCCGCTTGCCCGCCGCAGCCAGCGTGCTTTCGGCGTTTCTAAGCCGGAGACAGCGTGCTTTCGAGCTGCGTAGCGAGGCGAGGAGGAGGGGGACGGCGCGAGCGCAGGGAGCGAGGAGGCGAGGAGGAGGAGGAGAGGCGGCGAATAGCGAAACTCGGTGCGCACGTTCGGGGCGACAGACAGAGCACCGAGAATGACAGTCTGATGCATTGAATAGTATTGCGTTGCAAGTGAGCTGCTGCTCTTCAAAGAAGGAGGGAAGGGACCTGACACGGAATCACCGCGACGACGAGGGCGTCTAGTACGAGAACGTCTTCGAGAGCGGGAGGTTCCGACTGCTTGTGCCGACGCTGACCTTGAACTCGCCCGACGGCATGACCCAGCCCTTCTTCTCGACCGACCAGACGACGAGGTCCTTGTTGCGCAGGTTGAACTCGACCTCTTGCGATTCGCCCGCCTTGAGGTACGGCTTGGCGAAGCCACGGAGGTTGTGGACGGGCATCTTGTTGGGCGTCGAGTCTGGGAAAGTGAGGTAGAGCTGCGAGCGGGCGGATGTTAGCGAGGCGAGGGAGGCGGAGAACGAGGGAACAGGTCGCACCTGGGCAACCTCGGCACCGTCTACCGAGCCGGTGTTCTTGACAGTCGCCTTGACGGTGTAGACGTAATCGTACAAGCCCGAAGCCTGCTTGCCGTTGATGAAGAACTTCTCCTTCGTCTCGCGGATGGCGGGCGGGTTGGCCGTCTTGTTCTGGGAAAGCGAGAGACCGGAGACGTTGAAACTGTGCATTTCGAGCGTCAGAATCTCGTCTAGAATCGCGAGAAGAGAATAGAACGCACGTCGTGTACGACTTGCCGTAGCCGAATTCGAAGAGCGGCTCGATGCCCTTCTTGTCGAACCACTGCGAGCCGAGTCACCGTCAATACAGCATCTTCCGGGAGCAGCTCTGTCGCAACGCACCTTGTAGTCGACAAAGACGCCCTCGGAGAAGTTGGCGACGGGGTTGAGTTTGACGCTGCCGTTGTAGATCGCGCCTTGGTCGTAGTCGCTGACGTTCTTGGCGATAGTGAAGGGGAGCTTGCCTGAAGGGTTGACATCGCCAAACGCAACGTTTGCCATCGCTGCTCCGCCCTCCTGACCACTGTAGTAGGTCATGAGAACTGCCGTGACGTTCTCGTGCTTGATCCATTTGGACATGTCGACGGGTCCAGGGGCGGAGATGACGACGATGGTGTTGTCGTGGCGGTCAGCGACATACCTGATGAGGTTGTCGCCGTTGTTGGCGAGCTGCGGAAGCTCCAAAGTCAGCGCAAGCGTGATGCAGGCGAGAGAGAATGGACGCACGCTCAAGGTCGTGCGGTCGAAGCCTTCCATGGCGATGGCGTTGGTGAAAACGAGCGTCGCGTTCGAGTAGGCGAGCTTCGACTCGAGGTACGAGATGTTCTGGCCGAAGGGAGTCTGGATGAAGCCCGCCTCGGGGTCGCTGCATCCAGGAGTCGGTCAGGTTCATCCGGCTCTGCAAGCGGGGAACGGTCGACGCACTCGACAAAGTAGCCATCGACGGCGACCGGACGCTCCTCCTGCTGCCCGCGCGCCGTGAACGCCGAGAGCGGGTCCTTCGCGTAAGGCTGGGGACTGCCGCCCGAGCCAAAGCCGTCCGAGACGAAGCCGGTGTAGTCGCTCTTGGGAACGTAGTAGGTGATGCTGTTGAGGTTGTTGAGGATGCCGTAGTGCGCGGGAGCAGCAGCGCTTCCGACGACTGTAGGAGCGAGAGTCAGTTCTCCTCCAGTGCCGGGGCAGTACGCGAGACGTACGAATGAGATCCTGCAAGTTCTTGAGCGGCAACCCACGGCCGGTCTGGTTCGAGTTCTTGAGGAGCGTGATTGACTCTTCCGCAATCTTGCGCGCGACAGAAGCCGAATCCTTGTTGGCGACGTAGCGGTTGAAGTCGATCGCGGGGAGCGAGCTCTGCTTGAGAGCGAAGTAGGGCGTCAACATGCTGTGGAGAACGAGCGTGAGCTGTTGAAGCGGCAGAGCTGGAGTTGCGAAGGACGAACCGGACAATCTTGTCGTCGAGCAGGGCCTCGGGAACGCTGCCGTTCTTGACAGCCTCGCCGAGGAACGAGCCATAAATGTTGCCCTTGACGCTGCGATTGGAACGGAGTGAGCCACAAGATCGAGGGGGAAAACCGAGCGTAACTGGCTCACCTTCCCGCCTCGACGTAGTCGGTTCCGTTGAGCGCCGAGCCGAGCGTGGTGTGTCCTGCTCCCCAGTCGCTCAGGACAAAGCCAGGGAAGGCAAGCTGACGAGTCCGAGAGTCAGTACAGAGAATCTCGAAGGGCAAGAGACGCGGCTCACCTCCTCCTTGAGCAAGTCGATCAGGACCTCCTTGTTCTCGCACGCGAAGGTGCCGTCGACTTTATTATACGAACACATGATCTGTCAATTTAGCGTCAGTGCGCGCCCAGAGCTGGAGGAGAGAGCTGAAGGAGGAGAACGCACAGCGCCCGCACCAGCGCGGATCGCCTCGGCAAAGGGAGACACGTAGAGTTCCCTCGCGGTGGCCTGGTCAATGACCGAGTCGATGGTCTGATTCGGGTAGTTGAAGAAGTACCCGCCCTGCGGCGCGCCGAGACGGAGCCACTCCTGCTCGTTGCCGTAGAAGTGCTTGACGAGGGCCGTAACGCCTTCGTCCTGGAAGCCCGTGACTGTCGTGCGAACAGCCTCGCCGGCGAGGTACGGCTCCGCCGAGAAGCCCTCCCAGTTGCGTCCGCCGTAAGGCGACCTTCCAGCCGGACCAACGACGATGGAGAGGGGTACGTTCGCTCCGATCTTGGCGTACTCCTTGGCGAGGCTCGACGCGCGAGCGTGGAAGAGGTCGCGATCCCATGTCGCGGCGGTGGTGACCTCGGCCGGGAACTGGGTCGAGTAGCGCGAGTTGATGCCCGTGGGTCCGTCGGCGAAGCAGATGCCTTCATTGATGCCGGCGCTCGGGATGGGGAAGGTCAAGCCCGAGCAGCCGTTGGTGTCGCCGCGGAGGTCGGTGAAGTTGACCTAGTGGGGAAGGCGTGAGTGCGAGCGGGGGAGGAGAAGGACGAGAGGGATGAAACTGACCTTTTGTTCGAAGGAGAGGCCGGCGACGACCTGCTGAGCCTTCTCGAATCCTTGGAGCCACTGCTGGGACGTGAAGCCCTCGGAGGTGAGGACGCCGGGAAGAGTGGAAGCGGAGGCCGCGGGCGAGGAAGAGGAGGTCGAAGAAGAGGGAGCAGGTGCGGCGACAGCGGTGCCGGCCGCAACGGCGAGAAGCAGTGAGCTCTTTGTGAGCATGTCAGAACGGTCAGGCGGGCAAGGAGAGCACACGAGAGAGAGAGAGAGAAGCGAGCGAGCGTTCTTTCGCCGTTCGCGGCCCCGTCTTGGCCCCCGGCGGGACTGCTCTTCCGCTGAACAGATGAGATGAGCGGGCGGCTGTCGAGCGAGATGGGCCCCGAGACAGCACTAGCGGTCGATCGGTCGTTCGTCGAGGCGAAGAAATCAGCGCGGAACGGGGTTCGCGCGACCAGAAAGTGACCGGCGTCAAGGGATGAAGCCCGGCGGCGTGTGGGCCATCGATGTCGAACACGGGCACGGCAGTGACCTGTGCCGCGGCTCGCGTGCGCGACTCGGGCCAAGTGAGGTCCATACACCCGAGCAAGCGAGAGGTGAGAGGGAGAGTCGTAGTCTCGAATAGGGGGCCGTTGTAATCAGTTCACTCACGCTCCGAGGTGAGCTGGCTGCCTGCTGCCAGTGCTCTCAACGTGCACTCGACGCTGGCCAGAGCGCCCCATTGTCCTCGACGACGGAGCCCGCTCGCTCCTCCTCGTCTCGTCAAGCCGCATCCGTTCCCACACCCCGCCTCCTCGCGACCCACCGCAGGCAGGGACGAGCACGAGTCGAGTGAACTGCAGTGCTGGAGCTCAGACGAAAGCGAGGTGACCGATGGCAGCGGTCTACTCGGGTGCGCCGCTCATCTCTTCCTCGTCGGCTCCGAGATGTCAACAACCTGAACGCGTTGCGTCTCCCCTCGCAGAGCCAATCTACGTCCACTCGAACCCAGCAGCCACTGTCTTGAGCGAAGCACGACCGACACGACTCTCACCCGCAGCCCTTGCCTCCCTCAATTACCTCTCCGACGAGCTCTTGCACCTCATCGTCCATGCCGCCCTTCACTCTGCGCCGATCGAAACCACGCCGAACGGAGACGCTCACCCAGTCGCCAACGCTCCCGTCCCGCTCGAGGAGGACGAAGTCCTGACAACCGAACGCTTCAAGAGCGCCCTCGCCCGCATCCTCGGCCCGACCTCTCTCGCAAAGGAATGCATCCTCGAAGCCGAGTTGGCAGTGAGGGAACTCGTACGACGCGCGAGTCCGAGCTTGCGAGCAGACGGCGCGCTGAAGAAGACGAGCGGTCGAGGAATCTGGGGAAGTCCCGTCCTTCCCGAGACGGCTTCTCTTCCCGGTCCTGCGGCGGGAGAAACGAAGGACTCGTTGCGTGAGAAAGTCGCGAAGCAGGCGGTCGAGGTGTTTCGGTGCCTGCGAGCGTGGGTCATGCAGGTTTCGGGCGTCGGCGCCGCTGCTCCTCTTTCCGGCGCACCCGCGTCTCTCACACAACACCTCGTCGCGCTCTCTCCGCCCAAACCGCCACCCTCCTCCGCCCGCTCTCCACACATCTCGTTCCTCCTCGCCCTCTACGTCGAGCGAATCCTCACCCACCTCTCGACCCACATCCTCCGCCTCGTCGCCTCATCCGCCTCGTCCCGTCCCTCATCCGACACCGAAGCAACAGCGACCGTAACGGACCTCGAGGCCGCTTTAGTGCAGGACCAACTGGTCTGGAACTGGGTGCAAGGAATGCGTGTCAGGGCTTTCATCGAGCAGGAAGGGAAGAATGAGCGGGCTAGGTCGAGGAACGGAGGGATGGGGAGGCGGAAGAGCACGAACTCGTCGAACGTCGCTTCGCCTGTCTCGTCGAACGCGGGAGGAGTTCCCCTTCCGAATGTTGGGACGCCGGAACGGAGACCGTCGCTGGCGGGCTCGACGGCTGTTCCGTCGACGATTGAGAAGCGGAGAACGAGCTTTGCGTCGACTGCTGTCAACTCGTCGAATGGAGCGAAGGCAGGGATGGGCTTGGGAATCGGCACGAGGGCGAACGGAGCCGTGAAGGCTGCGGCTTTGGTGCGCTCCCGCTCTTTCGCTCCCTCACTTTCCCCGTTTTTGCTGACCAGAGAATGATGTGCAGGACGAGGACTCGTTCGATCAGCTGTTGAACAGCGGCAAGACGATCAAGTTGTCGAGCACTCCGGACCGGCTACGATTCGAGGTGTGTCGAGCTCCACGCTTTCTGTTCCCCGTCGCTAATGCATTTGCGTATGTGTAGCAGCAGAACAAGCGAATGTCGGGCTCACAGTCGATGTCTGCGCTCTTCAACTCGACCGACTCTCCCTCGCGCCATCTCAAAGCCCGCGCGCCTCAATTCGGCGGCATCCTCAGCGAAGACAGCGGGGCGGGGCAACCCGTCGACGGCCGGGACCGTCCTTCCGGTTCACGTAAGGACTCGCTCATCGATGTGCTCAACTCGCCTCCGCCTTGGTCGAACGGCGACGCAACAGCTTCTCGCCGCCAGTCAATCGTGCCGAAGCGACCAATTCCGCAGGATGACCCCCTGCACCCAGTCAGCGTCGCTATGCGTGTGCAAGGCTCGCAAAACTCGGTCTCGACGGTGGACAGCGCAGCGAGCGAGGCTATCGACGGAGAAGACGCGTTGGCAAGTCCGGGCGCGAGAACGCGGGCACTCAAGGCCAAAGACGAGCGGCGGGATCTGGCGAGCGAGCGACAGATCAACAACGACTTGATGGCCTTCTTCGCCGTCGAGCCGCCTTCGCTTCCTCGACCGATGAGCACCATCGACCCTCGACCTTCGTTCGACGACTCGCCTTCGAAGGACAAGTCGGCTGCATCGAAAAAGTCCCGAGGGGGCTTACGGGGACTCGTTTCGCGGGTCACAGGCGGGTCGAGCGGGAGCGGCAAGAAGGAGGACTCGGCAGGGCCGGTCTCGCCGACGTCTCCTCCGCCCAACTCGCCTCCTCCGCCTTCGTACCGCTCGCGCGCCGGATCACCTCCTCATCGCGCTTCTCGCATGCACTCCATCGACGGCGGCGAGTCGAGCAACGCGCGGACGGCGTTCCGAGCAGCGGGCTTCAGCGACTCGATCGCTCGAGCAGCTACCAAGTACACGCCTCCGCCTGGCCTCGGAGCGCCATCTGCTCGCGACGCGAGGCAGTCAAGGAGGAGCATGAGCGTGCCGACGGTCGAGCAGCCTTCCGTCCCGCCCTACTCGTCGCCACCCCCGCCGGCATCGGCGCAGAAGCAGCGGAACCGATCGCCTCGTCTGCCGCAGAACGGCACCAGCAGCGCCGAGGCGAGCGCGAGCGAGGACAGTCACAACTCGCGCCTCGCGCCGCCCATACCCATCGTCGACGCGGCTCCGGTCGTCACGCCACCTCGACGCAGCTCGTCTCTCAAGCGGTCTCGCCGCGAGCGCGAGACGTCTGGCGCTTCGAGCTCGACAGTTTCGACGACTCGCGCACTTCCTGCGGTCGAGACGACCGCCCCGCCTGTTACGGTCGAGCCCCTTGTGACAACCGCCTCGGCTACGGGTGCCGCCGCCCCGCCCGCGCAGAGCTCAGCGTCTTCCAAAGCGGCGGTTGCGCAGGTTGCGGCAGCAGCTGCTCTTGCTCCCATTGTAGCGGACGCAGCAGCGCACGAGCTCCGCCTCGACCACCAGCACGCCCAGCCCTCGACGAACCCTCCTCCGTCTCTCACTCCCGTCGCCGAAGCCGCTGCTTCTCCTACAACACCCTCCGCGGCGCTCACTCCATCCAATGCACGCCCTTCCCCCGCTCGACCGACTAGCTCCTCTGGCCTCTCCGGCAAATCGCTCGTCTCGCATTTGCGTGAGCTCCGCTCAGCGATGCTGGCGTACGCGCATAGCAAGGAGGACTGCGTCGAGCTCGTGGAGGCGATGTTGCGGGACGAGGCGAGGCGTGTTGAAAAGCTTGCGCAGAGGGAGAGGGAGGAGACGTTGGCAAGGGAGAGGGGTGGGGATGTTGATGGCGTGCAGGAGGCGGTGGCTGATTTCGCTGCTGTCGCTCCCAGCCGGCCGGCAGAAATCCTCCAGGCGGACGCAGCGAGGAGGTCCAGCGGCGAGCCGGACCGCGAGACAGACGAGGCGCCGAACGAGATAGAAGACGCCGAGACGCACCAAGCACGCCTCGCAGAGTACTTCTTGACCTGCGACGGCCAGTCGAGCAAGCCGGAGGACAAGACGGCCGCCACGGGTGCCGACCAGGTCGCCGACAACTCTGCTCAGGCGCAACCCGCAGTCACGGTACACCCGCCTTCTGTCACGCCAGCGCCGTCTTCTTTGGTGTCAACTCTGGCGAGCGGACTCGTCTTGCGGCCAGCGAAAGGTGAGGCGACGGCGTAGACAAGTGGTCAGGTTGTCGAGGAGGAGCATAACTTATTAGTGCATCAGTGTCGACTGACTGTCGTTGTCATTCTAGCTCTCGGTCCTCCGTCGAACTTGCTCCAGGATGTGCGAGTGAGAGGAAGCGATAAGATATACTGACTTTACTTTTGAGCGCGTGTCGCGCGCGAGCTACTTCTTTCTACGGTCCCGCCGACCTACACGCCGACAGCCCAGGTCCAGTTGTACCCGCCCTTGGCCTTGAAGATGTCGACAACGTCCTTCTCGAGCTCCTTCTGCAACTTGGCAACCTCGCTGCCCGACTTGCCGAGCCCCTCGCCCGGCCTGCGCCCCTCGCGACTCTCCTGTCCCGCGCCGTACAACTCGTGGTAGACCTTCATCGTCTCGTGGACTTCCTCGGGCGTGCTGAGTCCGACAACAGTCGGTGTGTCGCGTCCTTCCCTCGAGCCAGCAGGCTTGACGCTCGTGAATCCATATCCAAGGGCGACGTCTTCGAGCCTACGGCCCTTGGACTGGCACACCTTGATTGCTTCGGCGGTAGCGTCGCGGCAGGCGGGCGAGATGGGGTGCCATCCGGGCGGAGGGAGGGAGCGAAGGACGCCCATGCTCAGCGGGGAGGCAACGAGAATCTGCTTGACGCCGGCTTTGACGAAGAGAGGGTAGTACGTCTGGAGAGTCGTGTTCTGGAGCTGCGGGAGGGAAGCAAAAGGGGAAGTCAGCGGGAAGAACGGACATTGCGGAGGAAGCGACTGGACGCACGGTGTGGTGGCAGTAGGATTGCATGATATCGAGAGGCTCGAGATGGTGAGCGATAAGGCGGGCGAGGCGGAGCAGCGTCGGCATAGGGTAGCCTGCAAAATCCGGAAGTCAGAACGGGCAGCACCTGGGAAGGTCAGCGCGACGCACCGCTGAAGCCGACGGCGCGGATGACGCCCTCCTTCTTGAGCGCAAAGAGCTCCTTGAGGGCCGCTAGGACCTTCTCGTCTCCCGGACCCCTGATCTTGCCCGCATCCTCCTCGCGCAAACCCCACTTCTCGAGATCCTCCTCCTTGATCTCGCCGTTCTCGCCAACCTTGAACCCTTCCTCTCCAGCATCCGCAAGCTGTTCCGAGACGAACTCGACGTCGTGAGCGTAAACGCCGTCGAGGTAGTCGGTCTTCATGAGCTTCATCGAGTTCTTGACAGACTCGCGAATGCGCGAGGGCGAGTAGTCGAACCCTTCCTCCTTTGTGCGTCCGTAGCGGCCGATCTTGGTGATGATCTGGTACGAGTCGCGAGGGAACTCGTCGCGGAGCTTCTCGAGGACGTCGCCGACGACCTGCGAGGGGTCGAAAGTCAGTCTCGACCCGCCGTCCTCTCCGAGTCGAGACTCTCGTCACACACCCGCTCGCTGGTGGTGTAGTACGGCGACGTGTCGAGTGTGCGGATTCCGTAGCGGAAGGCGAGCCGCATCGCCTGCTCGGGGACGCTCGACTCGAGCAGGGTCTCCTTCGAGTTGTAGTCGTAGCCATAGACGCCTGTGCGGGTGTCAACGCCGTCGTCAGCTCGCTGCACGACGCTGTTCGACCGCGCTCCTCGACATCGGACGGAGTGGAGGCGATCGAAGGGAAGGTGGGGAGAAGAGGCGTACCGGCACCCAGGACAAGCGGCGGGAGAGGCAGCGGGCCGTCGGTAATGCCACCCTGCTGCAAGAGCGACTGTCTGTGTCAGTCCCCCGAAAGGAGCCGTCGAAAACGAGAGCGATGACGGACCTTGGGGTCGAGGGCAGGGTAGCGCGGCGTCAAGAGGTCGGTAGAAGCCATGGTGCGTCTGGCGGTGGATGTGTAGCTTCTGACTGAGGCACGGAGCAAGTTTAGCCCAAACACGGCGAGAGCGAGCGTTCAAGAGTGAACAGTTCGAGACGAAGAGAAGTTGGGCAACGACTCGACGCTCTCGTCTGCGGGAGGGGATGGTGAGCGATTCAGCTACGCTTCAGAGACTCGTATTGACCCCCACGAACCCGCAGGAGAGCTATCCGAGCGAGTTCATCGGCCATGCCTACCCTCTCCTCCTCGTCGCGGGCCTCGCTTCTCCTCCACCGGCGCAGGGACAGTCGCCAGTGCCAGACGCAGATCCAACGCAGCCTGGACAGCCCAGCGCACCAGCATCAGCCGCGTCGAGCGACCCGTTCGTCATCCTCCAGGCGGCGCTCCGCAAGACCCTCGCGAGTCGCAAGGCGTTTCCAGTGTGGGATTCTGCGCGAGGAAAGGGGCAGAACGAGTTTCATACGATCCTGGTCGACAAGGTGCGCCCAGCTCACCCCGCCCGACGCGCTTCCAACCCCGTTGACCTCGTCCTTCTCGCCGCAGAACATCCGCTTCCCGCCTCTCAAAGCCCGTCCTGCTCCTTCGAACGCCCAGCAACCTCCTCAGCCTCCTCATACACTCCACTCGCCCATCTCTCCCCTGACGCCAACCTCTCCCCTCTATCCCGACGGAATCATCGCTCCTATCTGGATCCGCAAACACCGCGAGCTCGTCCCCGCCGTCTTCGTCCTCGTTCTCCGACTGTTTGAGCATCCTCCAGGCTCGAGCGTCGACCCTACGACGCGGGACGAGGAGGAGCGAGAGCGAGATGCAGGCCTCGTGCAGGAGATTGTCGACCGGAAACGCACGACCTACGAACGAGGGATCAAGCTCGCCGTCGTCCTCCTCTGCTCGCGCGAACTCCTCGACGACCCATCGCTCGACATCCGATTATCGCTCATTCGGCGCCAGTCGGGCCTCGACACTCGCGCCTCGCTCTTCGTCATCTCGCCCGTCCCGCAGAGCGAGGTCAACAACTTTGTCCAGTCCCTTCGCGCGGAGTTGTATCCTGCGGCTATCGACTACTACCGCGAACATGGTCGGCGGGTTCGGCGGAAACGAGCGAGGATTGGAGGAAACGCTGCGGCGGCCATTAAAGGCGCTTTGAGCGAGAGAGGGTGGAACGTGCGGTACGACTACAAGTTGGCGCTTTTTGCCGAGCTGCGGAACGAGGTCGAAGTGGCGCTCAAGTGGGTAATCGTTGCGGTGGCTCTCGAACGACTTCGCTGATGCGCCTCCCTCCGTGCAGACACTTCGAAGACTGCTACGTTACCCTTGTCGACGCATTCTCCCATCCTGAACTCCTCGTTCCTCGCACGAAGCGATGGGCGGAAGCCAAGGTCCTCGCCGACTGCATCTCCTTCAAGGTGCATGCGGGGTCCTGCTCTCCTCGTCTTTCGTCCAACTAAAATCCCTTCGTCTCCAGATTAGCAAGCTCTACCTCTACCTCGGCGAATCCTCCCGCGCCGTCGCACAACTGCACAAGCACGTCTCGCTCTTCCTCCGCCTCTCGTCCGAAACCTGGTCAATCGGCGTCGACACCTTCGAATTCTGGAGCTGGCTATCGAAGCAGTACCGACTCTTCGGCGACCTTGTCGCCCTCGCCGTACGGAACGGCATTCGGCTGCCTTCGACAAAACCGCCTCCCATGCCGGCTGGTCTCCCGCCTGTCAGCCGAGTCGATGGGACGTCCACTCCGCCTGCTGCAATCGCCAACTCGCCTAGCCTCGTACCGCTCAACGTCCTCCAGCATGCAGGGTACTACTACCACCTCGCAGCAACGTGTGCGGTTGAGCGGAGGGAGCGGTTCAAGGAGGCGAAGTGGAAAGCGGATGAAGCGGGCGGCGAAGGGGCAGGTGGACCGGCTCTGGCGCACGAAACGAAAGTCGACCACGGCGAGATCATCATCGAGGTGCGCATCGCCCATGCGAGACGACCTGTCATTGGAGCTGACGTCCTTCCGTCACCGCGCAGCTGTTCACCAAGGCTTACGAGTTCTACAAGGTGCACAAGGCGAAGAACATGACCTACGCTATCGCCCACCAGATCGCGCTCGCTCACCTTGAAGGGGGAAAGCTCGACGTGGCGCTCAAGTGCGTTGCTGCTTCTCTGTTCCTGTCCTCGCTGACGCGGTTTCCCAGGTTCCACGACCGCATCGCCAAGTCGTACCGACAAAACAAGTACGATGACGTCCTTGCCGACATTCTGTTGCGCATGTTTGAGGCGGCGAAAGGGGTGCAGGACTGGAATGCGGCGGTCAAGGCGGGTCTCGAGCTGATGGCGCCTGGTACGTACTTGCCTCTCCCTCATTTGATTCAGTCGCTGATGCAAGCGCTGCGCAGAGTCGCATATCGATGTTGCGACGAGGGAGAGGGTCGCGAAGGACGTGCTGGAGATCTTGCAGGTACGTCGCAGCTCGAGCAGGAATCAAGAGCTGAAGCTGACTCGCTCATGAGCAGACGCAGTCGCCCGCCAGCGTCGACTCTACCGCCCTCTCTCTCGACATGACCGAATGCGCTCCCCTTCGTGCGTCTGCCCACGATGTCGTTCTATCAACCCGCGACTGACGAACATTGCAATAGTCGAATGCCGCCTTGCCTTTCTTCACGACACCGTCGACACTTCGACACCCGTCCCTTTCCAGCTCGCCCTGTCATCCCTCCCAACTTCCCGCTTCGCCGGTTTCGCTTTCTCGCGCCTCGAGATCACCTTCAACGACGACCGACCGCCCATTTGCGTCGACCATCGCGGTGGATTGGGCGCTTCTGCTGACCGACGAGAAGCTGTGAACCTGGGCGAAGCCGGCTCTTCGAAGGAGAGGAGCGCGAACTTGGCATGGCGAGACGGTGGGGAGACGAAGCTCTTCGTGGGCAGCATCAAGGTCGACAAGGAAATCGATCTGACGGTGCGTCGATGTCATACTCGTTGGTTTATCTGGCGCTCATCTGGCGCTTCCGCAGGTCGAGAAGGTTGTTCTCACTGCATCAGTCGGCAGCTGGACTGTCGCTCTCAACATGCGGCCGAACCGGCTCGACGGGCGAGGATCTGGATGGTACATTGAATCGCGAGAGAAGCCGGTGCCGCTGGGCGTTGAGGATTCGTCTGTCTGCCGGTACGTCCTGCTGCTCTCGCAGACGGCCGCGTTCACTGACAAGGACTTACGCAGCGTCACCCGCCGCGATCTACTCGTCGCCGTCGACACGAACTTTGTCTCGCCCGCCTATCTCGATGAGCGGTTGCCCGTCATTGTCGACGTCCGGAACGACGACGAGGTCGAGGTCGAGCTTTTCCTTGTCAGTTTCCTCCAACCTGGCGAAGAAGGCTCTCGTGAGTCCCGCTCTCCCCGATTCCACGTCTCAGGCCTGACACCTTGACCCGCAGACGACACCATCGAGGTCGACTCGCAGTCTTCAACGTCCGTCATCGAGTCGCTCCCCCTCGGTACTCTCGCTCCTTCCGCCTCCCAGTCCAAGACCTTCATTCTCTCCACACTCGGAGGTCTGCCCGGTCCGCGCAACATCGACGTCACGATCCGCGCAGTTCCCGTCGCTGCTGCCGCCTCCACCTCATCCGGTCCGCTACTCCCAAAGCCGCTCGAAGTCACCCGCTCGCTTGTCATCCCGGTCGTATTACCCGTCCAAGCATCTTTCTCGACCCAGGTGCTCAAGCGACGCCGGCCAAACAAGGCTTTGCTGGACTTGAGCGAGTCGAGCGGATGGGAAGGAGCGAGCGCGGCGACGATGGCGGCGAGTCTGCGAGCGGTTGGTCCGTGGAGCATCGAGGTGCAGAGCATCGTCTTACGGACAGACGTGAGTCGGAAGTCATCGGAAGTTGGGCGAACAAGGCTGACCTCTTCGCGTTTGCGCAGGACGCGCCGCAAGTTCGGGTGAGGGCCTCGTCGCTAGGCTACGTCGCGGTGACTACAGAGTCACAGCAGGACAGCATGAGTGCGCTCGCCTCTCGTTGTCCACCTCTCAGGCGCTGACGATTGCGCATCGCAGCCTGGCGACCAGGCGACGTCTTCAACGCTCTTTTCAGCCTAGAAGTACGCGACAACGACAACTCGGTCGCCAGCGACCTTCACCTAGAGATTCAGTGGAAGAGGTGCGTAGCAGTGTCGGTACCGGACTTAACATCGCTGATTCCCAGCTTCGCAGACCGGACGGCGAGTCGACCGTTACGCGCCTCAAGGTCCATCCTCCGAAGCCTCCGCCCCTCGCGCCCACGATCCTACTCCGACTACCGCCCTACCTCGTCATCCACCGGCCCGTCACCCTCTCCTATCGCTTCTCGAATCCGACCTCTCGCCTCCTCACTCTCTCTAGCCAACTCGACCTCGCCGAAGTCCCCTCCGCCTTCGCCTTCGCTGGCCCGCGTCGACTCACCGAGTGGACGCTTGCGCCGTTTGAAGAGCGCGAGATGCGCGTTCGGCTCGTCCCGCTCGTCGCAGGACGCTTCACCCTCCCTCACATGCGCGTCTGGCAGATCGAGTATCCGGCTCAGCTTACACACGAGGAGTACGAAGACGAGGAGCAACGGCGGCAACAGGCGCAGCAGCCAAAGGCGACGGAGCTGGAGGTAGAGGTCGAGTCGGACGTGGTGGAGGAGCGGGATCCGGCGCAGGTCGGGCTTGAGGCGGACCTGAGGAACGCTCGAGGTGGAGATGCGGATGAAGTGAGTGGTAAGTCGCCGCTGGGAAGGCCGCCAGTTGTGCTAGTCCTGCCGCGGTAGGGCGGACTTTGCGTCAACCTCCTTGAAACGCTGTCTGCGTTTCGCTCGGCCACTCTCGCGGTCCCGCACGCAGGCCTCCCCTTCTGATCAAGTCCCTCGGCATAGACCTTTCGTCCAGAAGCCCTGAGATGCCCCTTCCCCGAGGGCGAAACGGGTGAACGAAGCAAACTGACGGGGAGTTGCAACTCGACCTCGCGCTAGGGAGAGCTCGCGGGCCAGAGCAGACTCGTATTGTAGTCCTGGAGCTCACAGCATATCTCAATGGCCGGGAAGGGAGCAGCGCGGGAGGGTTTTCTCGTCCGACCTTCTGCTCGACTTGTTGCTCTCCTTCATTCTCGCTGCAACCTGCGCTGGCTCTTCCCGCTACATTTGCATACATTGCACACACCCCTCGCGCCCTGATCGGCGCCTCCTACTGCCAGCAATCCTCCCGTTCCGTTGTTCGTTCCGCCGTCCGTGACCTCCGTCTCGAGCATGCTTTCTTTGCTCAACACCGGTGCTATGCACTCACGCATGGCTGGAGGTGCCACTTGCTTGACTGTGCACAGTCCCGTACGATGCGTTGTTCCCGTTTGCCCAGCATCCATCCGCAGGCTCTCCTCAGAACCAAAGCATCAGGTTCTGTCGCAGAGTCCGTTCAGTTCGCCACCTTGCTCTCACTGAGCATTGACACACGCTTCCACAGGACGAGCAAGGAAAGGGAAGACGGCAGCGCAGAGGCGCGCAGAGGTGCGTAGTCACGCCCGTCTCTCCTGCTTTCCAGCGCTTACACCTGGCAATCTGCAGGACATTGCCATGTTTGCGCGCATGCGTAATCCTGAGATTGCAAAGCTTGGTCGATACCTCTACTTCAAACCGCCCTGGCTCGTCCCGCCGCCCCCCATCTCGTTCGACCCTTCCATCGACATGCGCCGCCTTGGCCGTCCCAAAACGGAGCAGGACAAGCAGGAGCGTGCTCTGTGCAGGGCTTGGAAGAAGGTCGAGGGCCGCACAAGGGCGAAGAAGCTGCGCGCAGAGATGGAGCTGGCGTTCGAAGAGGAGTTAATGAAGGCGCTGGACAGGATTGCCGAGCTTTCGGAAGAGATCGGAGCGCTCAAGGTCAAGACGGATCTTGGACGGCTGGCGATTGAGGCAGACGAGGTAGAGGTAGGAGGTGAGGCGGTGAGGGATTGGTGCGTTCTTCCTGAACTCTCTCCCCGTCTTCCGAGATTAATCATCACCCTGCAGACCGAAGACAACGTGTGAAGCACTCATATCGTATCAAAGCCTGGCAATCCGGCGCTGTTTGATGCTAGACGGCATGCCTGCCTACTGAAATGCCGTGACTGCGCCTTCCTCCGCCATTCGCTCGGGGTGCTCGCGCCGTACGCCACCTCTAGTACTTTTTTGCCGTGTTGCCCTCGTCGGCAAGTCCTGCGATGCCGTCTACGCGGCGAGTGACCCCGTCGACGGAGCAAATTGATGAAAGCATTGCCCAGTCTACATCACGCGTTGAATGCTGCATGGTCTGCGGCAGACTTTGTTCAAGCCTTTCGAGCTATTGGCGATTGGGGACAGGCCAAAGAAAGCGGAGAGGAGGAGAAGTTCGCCTCCCCGACCTGCCGCTCGAACCACTGTTGCTCTCCTTCACCGCTTCACCACCGCTGACTTCCGCACAGGCTGCTCGTGCTGCGCGTGCTCACTCCGTACATCTCAGCTGCGCCCCCTCTGGCGCGCCCCGTTCCACCTTGTCCTCCTCTCCGAGCTCTATCTCCCTCCGCTTCTCTCGCTGCGAAACAGTAGTGCTCCCCACAGATGCTTGCCACGCTCACTAAGGTTTCTTGCACGCCAGCTTCGCTCTTCTCGCGCCAGCTGGTGCGTGTCCCTCTCCCTTTTCAGCTGGTCCTCGACACAGACATCCCACTGACACCGGGATGGCTTGGCAGCCACTGGGACGAGCGATGCATGCAGTCAAGCACGCCGCACAACCCGCTCTCACCCTCCGCGAACCGGCGCGTAGCCTTGCCACGCACAGAGGGCTTCCCATCTCCCCCGAAGGTGCGTCCGTTCCCTGATCAGACGACGCAGCTGAGCTAACACGGGTTGCTTCTGCCAGACTCGGCAAAGAAGCCGAGAAAGAGGCAGACAGCGGCGGAGAGCTGGGCAGAAGTGCGCCATACCGTCCTCGCTCGCAATCATTGTTACATGCTCACCGTCGTACGCTCGCAGGAAGAAGCTCTCCTCTCGATGATGGACCCTGAGGGGGCCAAACTCGCGCGACACTATCTGTACCTTAATCCTCCCTGGGTCATCGCGCCTCCTCGCCTCTCGTTCGATCCCGGACTCGACATGCGCAAACTCGGCAAGCCCAAGACCAAGCGGGACAAGCAGGAGAGGGAGTTGTGCAGAGCTTGGAGGAAAGTGGAGGGTGAAGCGCGGCTCAAGCGACTGCAGGAAGAGGTTGCGGACTTGGCAAAGAGGAGGAGGGAGGAGGAGCTGCAGGAGATAGTCCGGCCGAAGGAGATTGGAGAAGTTACGGCCAGGACTGAGCTTGGCTGGTTGGCTCTACAGGCTAGGGAGTAAGACGGTCTCGTACGTTTCAGTTGGACCTCTCTGTGGCGCGCCTTGGACGCTGACTGACGCTTCCCGATAGTTCGAGGTCGAACCATGATGTGACTTACCTGTGTAAGTTGCTGTGCAACGCATCTTGTGCTGCACAATCGGTGAAATGCGCCGGTGAGAGGTTCGACTGCCAGCAGAGCGAGACACGCCAGGCAGTTCTCTCCCTAGAATCTCCAGCAAGCCGCGACACGCGATGGATGGCTGTTGATTCCATTCGCACGAGCCGTCTACACCTACTCGCGCTTCCGCTTCTTGTTGGCAAAGCGCCCGCCCTCGGCCTTGCGCTTCTCTGCCCGACCCTGCGCCGCGAAGAACTCCTGCTTCTCCTTCTTCTCGCGCTCGCCCCGCTTCTCGTCCTCCCTGAAAGCAACAGATTGTCAGCGACAGGACGAGTGAGATAGAGAGAGGCGACAACGCACTTGGCCAGCTTCTTCGCCCGCTCGACCTTGCGCGCCTGCTTAGCCTCCTTGCGCTTGGCGTCCTTGTCGCGCGAGATCGCCTGGATCTGCTGCAGGAGCGAGAGCGCCTTCTTCTCGTCGGGCTCCATAACAACGGCACGCTTTTGCAGGTCTGCGGACGGAAGGTTGGTGAGCGAGCGAGGCGAAAGACAGCAGGAAGCGCAACGTGCAGGTCTTATTCTTCTGCGGCAGCTGCATCTTGGGCTTCGAGGCGAACGGCAAAGCTGCCTGCAGCTTGCGCGGGACCTTGAGCGTGTTGAAGCGGCGAGTCTCGCGGACGATGGGCTGCGGTCGACGGGTCAGCGAGGTGACCAAGTTCAGCCAGTTGCAGACGCGAACGCACCTTGTAGAGCGAGTTGACGTCCTGCGGAGTCTTGACACCCTCGGCGCGGCGGACTTCGCCGGTCAAGCGCATGCCCTGCCACGCCGACTTGTCGCGGAGGAGGAGATTGCCGACGGGATTATAGAACTGCCTCGGCTTGACCTGGTACCATGCGCGGAGGAAGACGATGTCGCTCATAAGGACCTTGTCCTCGAACGCGGCACGGAAGCAACCTTCGGGCTTGGCGAGCGCCTTCTTGACCTGACCGCGAATGCCAGAGACGGTTCGAATGTAGGCGCCCTCGAACTTGGCAATCTCGAGCGACGACGTGAACATGTCCTTGATGAACGCCGTGTTCTTGAAGATCTTGTACGGCGTGCCCGTCAGCTTGAGCTTCTTGACAATCTCGGTCGTCCCGTTGATGTCGGTAACGACGCCCGACGCTGAGACGCGGAACGAAGGCGTCTCCGAGCCGAACCTCGTAAAGGCGCAAAAGCCGGTATTGGGCGCTGAGATCGGGCCGTAGAAGGTTGCGAGGCAGTGCATGTGCTCGGGCGTGTACTTGAGCATGCGATTCCGCGTGCCGTCGTCGAGCGAGTAGACGGGGACGGTCTGGAAGCGTCGCCAGCCGAGCGAGAAGATGAGCGGGTCGTTCGTCTTGAGGATCTTGGGGTACCAGCGGTGCTTCTTGAGTCGGACCTGGACGTAGCCGAACGACTCTTCGTGGGCGAGCAAGTGGCCGACAATCATCGGGATGCGCGGGTTGAAGTTCTGAACGAGCTCGCACGGGACGCCGTGGAGCTCGATGCGGACGTAGGTGCCGGGTCGGTAGCCCTCGACGAGTGCGCGAGTCTCGGCGTCGTCCTCGGCAAATTCGGCGCGCGTAGCCTTGAGTTTCCGCTCCATCTCGGCCTTCTGCTCCGTGTAAAAGTCCATCTTCTCTTCGTCCGAGTCGTCATCGTACTGGGCGTCGAACTTGCGCTTGAGCTCCTCCTTCTTCTCAGCGAGCTCGCGCGCCTTGCGCTCCTCATCGTCCAGCTCGTCCAGCTCGTCCAGCTCGGGCGGGAACAGCGACCTGTCGCCAGCATCGCCCTCGCCATCCGCCTCGAGGTCCTCAAAGTCGCCGCCCTCCTCTTCGTACGCGCCATCGCCCGTCGGAGCGCTGTCGCCGGTGATGAAGAGGTGCCGGATCGAGTCGAGGAACTCCTCGTCCTCCCAGACCTCGAGATCCGCGATGTTGACCGGCAGACGGAAGATGTCCTCGTCATCGCCCTGCGCGCGGTCCTTGGCGAGCTGGAACAGATCGTCCTCGTCGTCCGCCGCATCCTCACCGAGGGCCTCCCTCCGCGCGTCCGCTTCCTCCTGCGCAGCGACCGTGTCCTCCGTCTCGCCAGCAGCGATCTGCTCGGGCGTCAAAGTCGAGCTGTAGATGAGCTTCATGAGATTCTGCCGCCGCCGTCCCGAACTCATAGTCGCCGCCGCCCGTGCCGCCAGATTCTTCTTCCACTGCGGCCCCTGTTCCTCCTCGTCGTCCTCGTCCTCGTCGAAGTCATCCTCATCAGAGTCGTCGTCCGACTCAGCACGTGCATCCCGCGCGGCCCGCTCGTCGTCATCGAGAATGAGGTCGAGGTCGGAATCGCTGTCGGCGTACGCAACATCCTCCGTCCGCTCGCCGCCCGACGCGCTCGCTCTCCGCTTCCCACCCTTCTTGCCGTTCCCCTCAAACGCCAACTCGTCGCCCTCCTCAAGCGCCTCATCGTCCGTGTCGAAGTCCTCCTCGTTCAGATCGTCGTCCTCGTCGCTCGCATCGTCGTACTCGGCCGGGTCGTAGTCGCCGACAGCATCGTTGAAGGCCGCGCGACGCTGCCGCTTGCCGCTCGAAGTCGACGCCTCCGCCTGAGCCGCCTGCTGCGCCTGGTACTCAGCCGCCGTGACGGGCTCCGACCCGCCAAAGATCCGAATCTGACTCTTGGCCATACTCTCCGCGAGCGTCTCGTCGGCGTCCTGCAAGTCAAGGACCATCTTGACTCCCTCCTCGCCCACCTCGTCGTTCGGGAGCTGCTCGCCGTCCTCCAGGCGGCGCTTCGAGAACGTCCCACTCGTATTGATCCACACGCGCTCGCCGTCCCACGTCACACCCTGCCCTGACCCGCCGCTCATAGGCGCGTACGCAACCTTGTTCGCGTCGCCCATCTTGCGCCGTTTCTCCGAGTCCTTCGTGGGCAACGGACAAGGGTCGATGAGTTCGAGCATGCGCGAAACGTCGAAAGCGTCGACTCCTGCGCCGGGGATGTGGACGCGAACGGAGTTCGAGGGACCAGGTGGTCGGAGGGGTACGCCGCGCAGGTAGCCAAACAGCGCGACGTGGCGGTCTGCTTTGGGGTCTTTGCGGAGGACTTCGCGGGAGGTGAGGTCGTCGAAGCGGTCGACGAGGAAGTACGAGTGCGAGTTGCGGAAGGTGAGAGGGCGGAACTTGGCGACCGAGATGAACCTGCGTACGCGAGTCGCGATTAGCTGGCGGTGCCGAGACTGCAACAGCTCCGTACGCACCGACTGAGATTGAGGATCTCCCTGTCGGGGTAGCGCCCGTTCATCACTCCGGACAAATAAAACATTTTCGCGCCGTCGTAGACCTCGGTCCAGAAACGCTTCTTGAGCCGCTTCTTCTGCGCCTTGAGCATGGCGGGCGTCTTGACGAGGTCGAGGTGGGTGAGAACGGCGATGAGCTTGGGCAGACCGTGCGAGTTGAGCGCTGAGAGGGCCTCGAAGGTTTCCTGCGTGAGCGAGAGGGTTAGCCGAGGACAGTTCGGAAGCTGAAGCAGTCCCGCGCACCATCTCGAAGCCAAAACTGCCATCGATCATCAGCAGGACGAGGTCTGCAACCTTGGCAACGTCGATCATGGCTCCCAAGTCGTTCGGGACCTCGATAAAGGTGAGGCGGCGGTTCTTGCCTGTGGACGAGATGAGCGTCAGTTGCGTTTCAAGCGCCCCCCAGACTCGCTCACGCACCAGAGACGACGGTGACGGGTCCCTTGATGTCGACCATCGTGTTCTTCGTGTACCGGCGGACGAGCGAGCGGATGAGGGTCGTCTTGCCGACCTGAGGAGCGAGCCCGGTCAGCCTGGAGATGCGCACCCGCTCGAGCACAGTCGCAACGCACTCCTGAGGGCCCCATTACGGCGACAATGACGGGCGGGACCTCCTGCTCGACATCCTTGCCTCCCTGACCTGCGGTGCCGTTGAAGGTGCGGTCGATGGCGGGGACATGTAGGCGGGTCTGGTCCTTCTCTACGTTCCTCCTAGCCTGCTTCTCTGCCCTCCTGAACGACGCCGAGGTGAATGCCTGCGAGTTTGAGGTTGAGCTGATGAGGTTGGCGAGAGAGTGAGGGTGGCTCACCTTTGGGTTCTTGCCCTTCTCTGGGCCCTTCTTGGGTGCCTTTGCAGGCCTGTGAGCGCGGTTGGTCTGCTGCGCGCCGTCCATGAGCCGTGTGGACGAGGCGAGCGAGTGCTAAGTGGCCAACCCTCTCCCAAGCTCACATCGAAGCCAGTCTCGCGCACAATGTCAACAGGCAGCTTCTATGGCGAGCAACGATGGCTGCGATGCAAGCACACGAGTCTACAGAGCTAGCCCATCCAACAGAGAGAACGGCCTCCGCTTTTGGTGCGAGAGACGGACGCATCCCTTCCTCACGCTCACCACCGCGACGAGGCGTTGCGAGGCTGCTGACCCTGGGCAGCCCGCTGCGACGGCGGAACCCAGCGACCGCTAGCAGGCGTGCTGGAGCGACTCTCGTCACTGCCGGGCGCAGGCGAGCCAGCTCCACCTCGCGCACCGGGAGGTTGGTAGCGACCGCCAGCCGGGGTAGACGAGCGCGACTCGGACGGCGGCGAGGGCGCGGCGGCGGGCGACTCGGGACGAGGGGCGGTGCGAGGCGCGAGGTTGAGACGAGGACGCTCGCCGGCGGGCGCGTCTGCCTGGGCCGTTCGGGGTTGGAGGTTGAGGCGCGGGCGCTCGCCGGCGGGCGCATCGGCACCGGCAGGGGGAGTCGAGCGAGGCTGGAGGGTGAAGCGGGGACGCTCGCCACCGGCAGACGGGGCCGGGGGAGCACCGTCGCGCGACGCACGCCACGCGGCCGAACCGACGGGGGCAGGACCGGACGCAGAACGCTGGGCGGCACCACCGCCAGCACGACGAGCGAGAGCCTCCTCCTCGCGGCGGGCCTGCTGGGCGATGCGCTCCTGGTCGGCCTTGCGCTCGGCAAGACGCTGCTCGAGGGCGGCCTTGCGAGCAGCCTCGGCCTCCGCCTCCATCTGGCGGCGACGCTCGGCGACACGCTCGAGCTCTTCGCGCTCGCGCTCCTCCTGCTCGGCGCGGATGCGGGCCTCCTCTGCGAGCAACAAAATCGTCAGCGGAACGATCACGAGTGATAGAAGGAACCGCTGCAACTTACCCTCCTCGCGGGCACGCCTCTCTGCCTCCTCGCGCTCGCGCTCGATGGCCTCCTGGCGCTCACGCTCCTTCTGCTCGAGAACCTGTCGCCTCCTCTCAGCCTTCTCCTCTTCGAGCGCCTCCGCCGCGCGCCTCTTCTCCGCCTCGTAGTGCTCGCGCGACTCCTTCTCGCGGACCTGGCGGAACTTCTCAAAGTCGGGCAAGATGCGCTGGAGGCGCTGCTTGATGGCGAGACCCTCGGCGTGCTGGCGGCGGAGCTGCTCGGCGCGCTGGACCTGCGCAGCCTCGAACGCCTCGCGGTCGCGCGCCTGTTGGCGCTCGTAGTCCTGCGAGATGAGCGGGATCTCTTCGCGGCGGAAGGCGCGCTCGAGGTGGTCGATGCGCTTGTGGACGGACGAGAGCTTCTGGGCGAGGTCCTTCTTGTCCTTCTCGATCTGCTGGACCTGGAGCTGGACGAGGTCGTTGGCCGAGAGCTCGGGGAGCTTCTGCTTGTCGACCTTGAGACCGCTCTGGATGAGGCTCTCGGCGACCTTCTTCGCCTCGTCGGCCTTGACCTTCTCGACCTCCTTGCGGATGCGCTCGAGCTCGCGCTGCTTGAGCTCCTCCTTCTGCCTCCTCGCGTCCTCCTCGGCCTTCTGCTGCGCGCGGATCGACCGCGCATGCGCCTCCTCCTTCTCCTTGCGCGCAGACTGCTCGTCGGAAAGCTCCTTGCGGCGCTTGATGATGGCTGTGCGGGCAATGACGAGATCGCGCTCGTCCTCGACCGCCGTCTCGAGGTTGGCAAACGCCGACTCGCGAGCGGCGCGGGCGGCGTCGGCGGGGGTCGAGCCCGGTGCGGCGACGGCGTTGAGCGTCGAGTGGAGGGTCTGCGCGAGGCGGGTGAGGTGCGTGCGGAGGAGGGTCGAAGCCGAAGGCTGGAGCGTCTTGACCGAGTCGAAGTTGGCCGAAGTCGAAGCGACGGGGCCAGCCTCGTCGCCGAAGAGCTCCTCGTCAAACTTGATGGAACCAGTCGCGTGGTCGATGGTGACATCGACGTCGCCACGGCGGCACGCCTCGGTCACGTAGCGCTCGACGCGGCGACGAGTGACGTCCTTCTCGCCGTCTGCCTGGAACGACGCGAGCTTGACGACGCGGTCGATCTTGAGCGAGGCGTAGACCTGCGCGAGCTGCTGGAAGAGACGGGCGAGGACGACGTCCTTGAGCGGGGCAACGTAGCGAGCCGTGTCGGGGTTCTTCTCGAGCGAGGCGAGAATCGGCTCGATCTTGGACGTGATCGACAAGGGGTGGAAGTCCACCTCGAGGATGTTGTAGAGCGAGCGGAGCTCAGGCGAGACGCGCTTGAGGGCGTGGCGGTTCAAGGCGTCGTTGATCAAGCCGGCGCGGGTCGGGACCGACGAGAGGCCGATGAGGGAGGCGAGACGGCCAAGGCGGCCCTTGGACTCGCCCTCCTCACCGTCGGCGCGCTTGCCGATCTCGACACCCGAGCCAAGGGGGACGGCGAGAGCCGAGAGGAGGACGCGCGAAGCGAGCTTCTCGAGCTCGGCGTCCTGCTGCTGGGCGTCCGAGGCGTTGTTGGCGGCGGCGATGGCGACGCGTGCCGAGTGGAGCGAGTACAGCTTGCCGTACGCGGCGGCGTGGAAGAGGAAATTGTTCCCGACGGCAAAGACCTTGGCCATCTTGTCGTAGAACGACGCCATGACGCTGGCCTTGGGCGCGCGGCGCGACATGCCGACGAGGGTGTGGATGTCCTCGGCGGTGCGGAACGCCTCCTGCCAGAGCTCGAGCTCGACGGCCGTGCTGAGCTGCTGGAAGCGCGTGTCGAGGTGGCGCTGGAGCGTGTCGGGGTCGTTCAGGTTGATCGAGTGCGACTGGTGGGTGTACTTCTGCGACGAGGCGAGGTGCGACCGGAGCGTCTCGCAGAGGCGGCGGAACTCGGTCTTGCGCTGGTGGGTGAGGCAGAACTGGAACGCCTCGTGGCAGACTGACTGGTAGAGGACCTCCAGGCGAGCGTTGTTGCGGAGGATGTCGAGCGCGGTGCGGTACGACTCCCAGAGGAAGCGGAGCCAGGGGGTCACGATCGAACGGTAGGTGCGGTCGCGGCTCTTCTCCTCGCTGACGAGACCGAGGAGGATACTCTCAGGCGTCTCGGCAGCCTCGAGGTCCTCGACCTCGCCGGCAGCCTCGCCCTCGAGCTCGTCGACCTTGGCGAGAGCGTCCGTGAGCTTGTTGCGCGAGAGCTCGAGGAGCTTCTGGATGGTGACCTCGACCGACTGGACCGAGGTGTTCTGAGCGACGTTCTTGTAGAGGATCAAGCCGTCCTTGGCGGTGCGTCCCTTGCGGAGGTCGACGCAGAGCTCGAGGAAGCGGACCATGATGGGCTCGAGGGTCGAGAGCGGCGTGCTGCGGAAGCGCTTGCTCGAGAAGACCTCGGAGATGGACGACAGGGCCGCCATCGGCTGGCCAACCGAGAGCAGCTCATCTGCGCGCTGTCGACGGAGGTCGAAAGGGAACGAGGTCAGCTCGCTCGTCTCGACTTGTGGGAGGGTGCGCACTGTTCCAGCAGCATGGCAGATCATCACAGTCCATCGCTCTCCTCAGCGCAGCCCCTGGCCGCGTAGCAGCCGCCCGCGAGAGCTCGACTTGACGCGTGCTGATGCGAGTCGCAGCTGTCCTCCTGCCTCCCACAGACCGTCCTGGACCCTGCCAAAGTCCTCGCTGGCCATTCCGACTCCTGCACTAGCGTCCTGCGCAACCTCAACCTCCCGCATGCCGTGTTCGCCGTTGTCACCACCTTCAGAAAAAGGTCGGGCCGCGAGCGGGATAGAGAGGGCGCGCGCGGTCCGTTCGAGCGTGCGAGGGTGTAGACGTACGCGCAGGACGAGCTCTGGGCGTGTCGTGAGCATCTCTGCGTGAGCCCGTGCGAGCGTGCGAGCGTGCAGAGGGCGACTCGCTCAGCTTGCTCTCCTCGACCTCGACGACACCCAACTTCGCTCTCACGCAGCTTCCTGTGCTCGTTTGGATGGCTGGACTGCTCCACCAGACAGCCAAGAAGGCACTCGTCAAGTCGGCACCGCTCGAACTGCGACGACACGCCAGCAGGCCTGCCATCGCACGCCTCAAGGCAGTCCCCGAGACTCCCTTGGTCCCTCGCATCGTCTATGAGGACGACAGGCATCTGGTCCTGAACAAACCGTCTAATGTGGCACTCCAAGGACAGCACGGTTCTCCGGCGAGGAAGCGGTGGGACGGTCTCCTCGACAGTTCGTTCATTCTCCTCTCGTCGCCTCTCCCGTTCGCTCACACAGCATTTCCCCTTCCGAACAGCTTTGAAGGCACGACCAGAGTCGCCCACGCTGCATGCCGTACACAGGCTGGACAAGGTGCGTTCTCATGGCTCCTCTTCGCCCCTCCTCGGTCATCCAACCTCCCTCTCGCAGGCTACGACAGGCGCCCTCCTGCTCGCCAAGTCGCCGGCGATAGCAGCCCGGCTCGTTCAGCAGCTCCAGCGTCACGAGATCAAGAAGACGTACCTCGCCGTCGTCCATGGCCAGCTCCGCCCGGGCTTCGAAGGAGACATCCGCAACCGTCTCCGGATGGACCTCGAGCGCGTGAGGGTGTGCGGCGACGACGAGGGCGTCGAGGCGCACACACAATGGCAGTGCATCTCTGTGTCGGTGCGTACGCTCGTCCAGGCCCTTCAACGCACGCTCACTCGTTCCCCACATCCAGTCTCGCTTCTCTCTCCTCCGCCTGAGCCCGACAAGCGGCCGCAAGCACCAGCTGCGCGTTCACTGCGCCGACGTGCTCAAGGGTGAGTCGCTGCGCCCATTCCGAAAGGGCACAGCGCTGATGGCACCCCTGGCAGCCCCCGTCGTTGGCGACTTCAAGCTGGCTCCGAACGCTCCTCATGCGGACGCGCTGAACGAGCTGATGATCCCGCTCGACCAAGTCCTGTTGCATTCCACCTCATTGTCCTTCTACGTGCGTCCCTCCGTCCCCTGCGCGCGCACGGAGTGTTGACGAGTTCCTCCGCATCCAGGCCTGGTCGAAGGAGACGGGTCGGCGATCCACCATCACGGCTACTGCGCCTCCATCAGCCGAGTTCCAGCGTTTCTGCAAGTCGCACGGGCTCAGGATCCCCGAGGAGATGCTGGCATGATGAGGCGAGAAGAGCGGACCTGACGAGGAGGGTTCGAAGACGTCGGTGCGTCCGCTGTCTCGATCAGTGCCCGACCGTGACGACTCGGCGACCTACTGTTCTTCTCTCCCTTTCAACGTCGTGCTGAACTCTGATTGCCGTATATAGGCCTTGCCGACAACTGTACATCTTCCAGCGACCGCCTCACCTGAACGGTACCCGCGCACCTCTATAGAGGCCTTCGCTCGCCGAATCCAACTCTCTCGCCATTCCTGTGTCCGTTCGACCTGTACCCCGCACTGGAGCGACCTGTATCATGGTGCGTCACGATAAGTATCGCGACCCGAGGCGCGGCAGCTGATCCTCCATCTCACTCTCCGCGAACAGCCTACCATCCTCTCCCTCCCCGCCGAACTCCTCTCATCCATCTTCACCCCTCCGCCTTCCCTCCCCTCGCTCTCTCCTCCGCCGCACAATCCCTCAAAGCCCGCCGAAACCCTCTCGACTCCCCTGCGTCTCTCGCCCTCCTCCGTGCCGATCTGTCGCGTGCTCGAACCGTTTGCGAGGGAGAATGCGTGGAGGTTCGTGCAGGTGAAGGGGTTGGAGCGTTTGGTGAAGTTGGGAGAGGCGATTGAGAGGGGAGATGTGAAGGAGGAGACGTGCAGGCGGGTTAAGGGTGTTGAGGTCATTTCCCCTGGCGATAACGTCGGAATATGCGATGCGCACGCGTGTGAGCGCCGATGGACGGCGGTATTTGACGCGCTCGAGGGTGTCGAGGACGTCCACATCGCCCTCCCCGTCACGCAAATCGACCGTCTCCTGTCCTCGCCCAACCTCTGCGCCTCTCGCGCCTTGATCACACCCTCTGCACCTCTCAGTCTCACTCTTACACCCGACTCGCCCAGCTCCTCATCCTCCGCGTACTCCTGGCTCTGCGATACCTCGACCCCTCATACTTCCCGCCTCTCCTTCTCCTCCCTCCGCCACCTGGCTCGCCATTCGAAAGGCGTCCAGAAGCTCGTTATGAAGGGTAGGATGGAGATCAAGGCGCCCGCGGGCGTTGACGGGACAGAAGGGTTCGAGGAGGGAGAGTGGGAGCTAGATGAGGTCGAGGTGGAGAGCGAGCCGCATGCTGCTGGTGCGTTGCTGCTTCACAAACTGTCTCGTCCAGCGAAGTCCTGCGCGATCTGCCGTGCTGACAAGTGGAGTTGGGCGTATCTCGCACAGGCTTCTCCGCCTTCCTCTCGGCACCCGCATCACTCAAGTCGCTCAAGCTGCGTACAGCGTTCACGACCGAACCGACGACTGTCTGCTCGGCCATCCCTCCGCGAGCAAGAGCCTCGCTCGAGACGTTTGTCTGGGAGACGAGCGGGTATCTCGCTGTGAGTCTCGCTTTCCGCTGCTTCGGAGTTCAATGGTATTCCACCGGTGGAGTCGTAGCTGAGAAAGGCTTTGAGTGGCTCGCAGCGCGACCTCGACACCTCCTTTGCCCTCTACCCCTCCCTCCGCTCCCTCACACTCCGTTCCTCCTCTTCCGCCCTCCTCTTCACGCCAGCCTTCTTTCAATCCCTTCGGTCGCTCCAACGCCTGGAACACCTCGCCCTCCACGGTCCGCGCGCCAGAGACGCTGCCGAGACGTGCGAGATGGTTGCGGAGTGGGTTGAGAGTCTGTCCTTTGCCGATGCCGAGATAGCGGGAGGGTTCGACGAGGAAGCGGAAGGGACGTCGCCGCTCAAACTGCTCGAGCTTGACGTGTGTAAGCCGGCGTGGCTGAGCAACAAGGTCGCGGTGGATGGAAAGGAACGGCCTCTTTCTCGGGCTGGGGTGTGTCTCCTTCGTCTCCCGCAGCTTTGTAACGAAGTGACTGATGCTCTGGTGCTCTCGCAGGTCCAGGCTAGGCGTCTCGCCGCGGCTTGCGTGAAGCACGGCGTCGTCCTCCAGGGATCCGTCCTCGACCTCGTCTCCGCCTCTTCCCCCGTTCTAGCATGTACACAGTGATCTTGCTGTACTTCTCTCGCAATAGAAGCTTCACTGTTGTTGTCCAAAATCAGCTTCCCCCGCCCGTCCGTCGGCACGACCGCATGGTTGCTCTTTCTCCCTCTTCCTCGCAACCGCTAGATGGTGAGTGAGCAGCATGGTCGTGCTACCTGAGCTACACATAACTCGCCACTGCACCCGGCGGCCGCCCCATCGACCACTTGCGCTTCCCCATCCCCGCTCCATCCTCATCGCCCGTCCCCGCTGACCTCTCGCCAGCGCGCTGCTCTGACGCTGCGAAACCTGCTGCAGACAATGTCGACTCCGGCTTCTGCACTCCAGCCCGCCCAGGCCTTCGTCGACTTTGTCAACAAGGCGGTCACACCATTCCATGCCGTGCACGAGTGTGTCCAGCGTCTCGAGAAGGCGGGCTTCACCCGGTGTGTTTCGCTTCCGTTACGCGTGAAGGAGATGTGCTGACGAGCGCGTTCGACAGGCTCCACGAGCGCGAGTCGTGGGCAGGCAAGCTCTCGCCCGGCGGCAAGCACTTCGTGACCCGCAACCAGTCGTCCATCATCGCCTTCACCATTCCTCCCGCCGACGCGACCAAGACCGGCAAGCCACTGGGCATCTCGGTCGTCGGCGCCCACACCGACTCGCCTCGCTTTGTCGTCAAGCCGGTCTCGAAGCGGGAAAAGGCTGGGTATGCGCAGATTGGCGTGGAGACGTATGGCGGCGGCCTGTGGGTGCGTGAAGCGGTCTCCGCCACGTTGAGCAGTCGCTGATGTTGCCCTGTAGGCTACCTGGATGGACCGTGACTTGGGTGTTGCCGGTGAGTCGCAATCTATGTTCGTTTCTTGTTCCAGCTCACGTCCCGCCCGACAGGTCGCGTAACGCTTGCTGGAGCCGCGGGCAAGGCGAAGCAGGAGTACTCGTCGCACCTCGTTCATGTCCGCAACCCGATCATGCGCATGCCGACCATCGCCATCCACCTCGAGCGCACCCAGAACGACAAGTTCCACTAGTGAGTCCTGCGCGACTCTCATCAGGCAAATCGCTGACGAATGCATCTCACAGCAACCCGGAGACGCAGCAGGTTCCGATTGTGGCCTTGGCGAGCAAGGAGCTCAACCGCGCCTTCGTCGAAGAGAACAACTCATCCGCCGAAGTCTCGTTCGCCGACCCGCTCGACATCTCCAGCCACCACCACCCTATCCTCCTTCACACCTTGGCGCGCGAGTTGAGCGAGCAGATTGGCGAGCAGATCACGCCGGCGCAGATTCACGACTTTGAATTGAGCTTGTTCGATTGCCAGCCGGCGACGATTGGCGGAGCGCTGGTGCGTCCCCAACGATGGCCATAACATACTCTTTCGCTGACCTGCTCGATCGCAGAACGAGTTCATCTTCGCTCCTCGCGTCGACAACCTCTTCTCCTCCTTCGCCGCTGTCGAAGCCCTCGTGCTCTCCGCCTCCTCCTCCGCTCCTTCCGACGGCCGCGTGTCCATGATCGCCCTCTTTGACAACGAGGAAGTCGGCTCAGTCTCCGCGTACGGCGCCGAGTCGAACTTTATCGAGTCGGTCTTCGAGCGGGTGTCGGTCGCGTTCAAGGCGGAGGGTGAAAGTGAGGCAGAGGCGTATCAGCGCACGATGGCGTCTTCGTACCTTCTCTCGTGCGTTCGCTCTCAGCTTCCGCTTTCAGGCCCTGCTGACTCTCGTCTTTCGGCAGAACCGACGTCGGCCACTCCGTTCACCCCGGCTTCACCGACAAGCAGTGCGTTCTCGTCTTTGTCCTCGCTGTCTCGAGTGCGTTGCTAACGCCCACATACAGCGAGGAGAACCACAAGCCGCTCATCAATTCGGGCATCGCCATCAAGACCAACTCGAAGCAGCGTTACGCGACGACTTCCCAGACGGTCTTCCCACTCCGACGCGTTGCTGCTGAGGCGCAAGTACCGCTCCAGGAGTATCTGGTGCGGAACGACATGGCTTGCGGATCGACAAGTGCGCTCCTTTTTCTCTCTCGCTTCGGATCTCGCTCAGCCTATGACGGTCATGCCGCACAGTCGGCCCCCTTGTCTCCAAAATCGGTCTGCGAACAGTCGACATCGGCGCGCCCATTCTCAGCATGCATTCGTACGTCCAGCGCGCAACCTCGTCCCGTCCGCATCTCGCTGACCGCTTCTTCCCACCCAGGATCCGCGAGATGGCCGGCGTCAAGGACGTCAAGCATCTCATTGACCTCTTTGAGAAGTTTTTTGAGCGCTTTGGCGTCCTCGACACGCTTGCCGAGACGGTCGACTAGATGACTTTTTCAACCTGGAACAGCGAAACCTTGCAGCAGTACTCGCCGGCTCAATCGTCTGGTCTCCTTCAGCGACGTTCTATGCTCTGCGTCGGCGTGCAACTGAGGCTGTCGCTGCCCTTCTCGTCGAAGGCCGCCTTCGAATGTCTGCGCTGTTCGCCCTCCTCCGCCTTCGCCTCCGACACTGTGTCGCTTCGATTCGCCATTCGGACGACCAAAAGCATACGAGCCCGGCGCCTACTTAACTTACGTTTCACCGACGCCTCGCTTGTTGCGTCGACTTTGCGAAAATCGCCACCCTTCGCTGACGCAGCCGCTCGGAGACTTGTCCGAACCTTCGGACGCCGCTCACCGACCTCTGCCTTTCCCCTTGCTCTCCTCCTTCACTCTTCATAGACTCTGCCTGTTGCCATAGACCATGTCGCTTCTCTCGCAGCCTGTCACATTCCCTCACTCTGGCTTGACGGCGCCGACGCCGACGCTCAAGTCGGCCATGACCGTGCGTGTCCTCGCGCTTTCTCTCATCTTCACCGATCTGAGCTCACCCGCCACCGCCTGCAGGAGCGCCTGTGCACTTACGACGCCGCGAACCTCGACGAGCGAGGAAAGGTCACGCCCGAGTACATCAAGCTCTACGAAGAATGGGGCAAGGGCGCCATTGGCGTGATCGTGTTGGGCAACCTGCCCATCTCCCGCACCGACCTCGAGGCGCCGAAGAACGCCGTCATCGACGCACGGTCGTCGTGGGACCCGGTTCCGGGCTTGAAGCGCGCGATCGACGCTGCGAAGGCGCATGGCTCGCTCGTTATCGGCCAGCTCACGCACGGCGGTCGCCAGGTTTCTGAGGAGGTCAACAAGGTGAGTGAGCCTGTATCGATGGGCCGACGGACGCAGAAGCTGACGAGCCCGCTTCTCAGAACCCAGTCTCCGCCTCGGACGTCCAGTGCCCTCCTATGGGCGGCATGACCTTCGCCAAGCCCCGCCCGATGACGGTCCAGGAGATCGACGACGTCGTCAAAGCCTTCGGCTACGGCGCCAAGGTCTTGTACGACGCGGGCGCACACGGCATGCAAGCGCACTCGGCGCACGGCTACCTCCTTTCGCAATTCCTCTCGGCGCGCGTCAACAAGCGCACGGACGACTATGGCGGCTCGCTCGAGAACCGCTTCCGGATTGTGCGCCGGGTGTTTGAGGAGGTTCGCCGACAAGTTGCCGACCAGAAGTTCATGCTCTCGATCAAGTGCGTCGCTCTCTTCCGCTTCTCTTTCGACTGACGATGAGTTGACCAGCTCGCTCTCCCAGGATCAACTCGGCGGACTTTGCGGACGGCGGCCTGACGTTTGAAGAGTCGAAGCAGGCCTGCATCTGGCTGGACCAGATCGGTCTCGACTTGATCGAGCTCTCCGGCGGCTCGTACGAGTCGCTCGCGTTCGAGCACAAGAAGGAGTCGACCAAGAAGCGCGAGGCCTTCTTCGTCGAATTCGCCGAGCAGATCCGACCGGCGCTCAAGAACGCCAAGTTGGCTGTCACGGGAGGGTTCAGGACCAAGCAGGCGATGGAACAGGCGCTGAAGGAGCACTCATGCGATGTTGTGGGACTTGCGAGGCCCTTGACGGCGGAACCCTACTTGATCAGGGAGATGATCGAGGGGAAGAAGGACGCCGCGCGGGAGAACAAGGCGGTACGTCGCTTTCCTCCCTTCCTCCTGCAGTCTGTTGCTGACTCTGCACCCCCTCGCAGCCCAACGCCGTCCAGACCGGCACCTCGATCGTCCAAATCGGCGCCATCGCAACTGGCAAGCCCATCCCCGACTTGGCAGACGAGAAGGTCGTGCAGGAAGTCCTCGCAGTGTTGCAGGGCAAGAAGCCGAAGGAGGACAAGCCTCATCAGGAGCAGGACGTCAAGACTTCGTATGAGAAGAGCGAGAACAAGGGGAAGCTTTAGACGGGCGGGGAGAGGTAGACGTGTAGATATCCTGTAGACTCGAAACGAGCTAGACGCGCTCGCAATACGTATTCGCATTGAGCATCTCCATAGCAGGCGTCGTGTGGCAACGAGAGGTGGAGCGAGAAGGAAGCAGGACGTTGTTGAGCACGCGGTCGAGGAAGTTCACAGCCAACCTCGTCCTCGCAACGCTCGCGACGCAACAGTGTCCCAAAGCTCGGCGATGATGCGAAAGAAGCCTTGAATTCAGGAAAAACTGCTACTGCTTTGGATTGTTTGATTCGAGTCGATGCGAGATGGCCGATCCTCCGTTTGCCCTTCAGTCCGTCAAGCGTAAAGGCGCTCATCGTCCGCCGTGGCCCGACTTGCCGGCGTTGGCGCCGTGTGCGGTCTGGTACGAGCCGGAGCTGCGCGAGGAGAGCGTGTCAGCTATTGTCTGGAGCCCGCCTGCCGCCTTCTCGCCACTCGAGACGGCACGACGATACGCATTCGCATGCAACGGGAACGTACCGCTGGTCGTTCGTTCCGGCCCACTGGTGCGGCGTGTTGCTCGAGACGATCCTGCCCTTCTCAAGGACAATCTGGACAATCTCGTCCTCGTTCGTGGTCGAGAAGATGTTCTCGAGTTCCTGCTTGCTGGCGCGGCTCAAGACTCCCTGCGAGCCTTGGCCCGTGTGGAAGACGTCGAACGAGTCGACGACTTCGACGAGGGGGATGGAGCTGTGTGCGGAACGGAACGAGCGAGCGGAGGTCAGGAACTGGTCGCGGATTGATCGCAACGTCGAAAGGGTTCGTGGGTGGTCAAGATGGCGTCGATGCGAGGAGCAGGAGAGGTGGAAAAATTGCTGGGCGTCGTGGGAGGGTGGGTCGGGGAGGGGGAGTGACGAGGTGGGGAAGAGGAGAGCGTACCGGTCTGCGCGGAGGAGTGAACGAGTGTTAGCGACGAGCAAGAGTTCAGTGGAACGAAACAGCACGCACCACCGCCCCTCCACTTCTCAGCAGCTGTGTGAGCGAGACGGACGACGGGGGCACGCGACGTGGACGAAGGTCAGCGGGGTGGACAGCAGCGACGACAGCGATTGTGGCGGCGTCTATGCGACGACGCAGTGACTGGCAAGAGCTGCACGCACCCGCAACGTCTCCAAGGATGATGATAAACTCGTCGGTACTCATCGAGTCGGGCTTGTAGACGGCCTGCGAAGCGAGGGGGTCAGCCTGGCGCTCCTCGAGTTTCTCCTAAGCGTCCCTACCTTGTGGAAGGAGTGCATGTTGGTGTTCGGGTAGTCGTTTGCGAGTGTTGTGGTCTTGTGAGCGAGCGAGGAGAGGAAAGCGGGCGAACCGAGGGAGCGATCTCGTCTACGTCATGTCCAAATCCCCCTGTTCCGCGTGCTTGTCTCTTCTCGACACCCTACTCGACGCTATGCACACGCCAGTCTTTGTTCCACTGCGAACGGTCAAGTGGACGACGAGAACGGGCGAACGAGGGTCCTGCGACGAGGACGACAACTCGCTCACAACGTCGAATACAAGGCTGAATACAACTCGAGTGTATTGAGGGAATACAAAAGCTTAACCGCCACTCCTGCCCAACTTGGGCGGTGTCGCGAGTCGACGTCCTCGCGAATTCTCCTCCGCCGCTCTTCCCCCCGTCGTGTGCTGCCGCTGTTCCCCTGCTTGCTGTTCTCGTCAGTCGACACTGCGCACGCACAACTCGCAGCCACACCGGAATCCCCGGTCGACCCGCTCGCGCCTCGCCATCCGGCCGACATCTCGCTCAAGCAGGCGGCAACCCTCCCTCTCTCGCCACACACGCACACAGACGACACGAGCACGCGGGCAGTACGAAAAGAGAGAACGTAGGAGCCCACCCAGGCCACCAGCCACCCGCCTCGAGCCCGTCGTCGGGTCCTCCGCCTCGCGCCAAACAACCTTCCCTCTTTGGCCACCTCTCGCCTGTGGACGCCCCGTGTGGACAGAGGCATGCACCGACGACCGTCCCCGCTCAGGGTCGACACGCACTTGCACCCGGCACTCGTCCACGACGCGCTCTCGCACGCGCGCAGACCCCGCAGCAGCACCCTCACAGAGCTCGACGAACACTCGCCCGCACCGTGGCGCGCTGACGAGAACGGCGCAGACGACGCAGTAGAGCACGACGCGTGGAGTCGGAGGCAGCGGAGGGCGAGCGGGTCGGGCGCAGGGACAGATGCGACGGCGGCCGACTTGCTGTACCCGCTGAGGGGAGCGAGGCGCGATGGCAGCGGGAGCACGACGAGCCTGCTCACCGCGTCAGGCAGCGCGAGCGACTCGGCGTACGGCACTCTCGACGAGCTCGACAGCGACGCGCCCGACGCCGACGCCGACCCCCTCTGCGAGTCGCCCCTTCCGGCCGAACACGACGAGCGAGCGGCCGCATGGCGCCAGCGCGTCGCAGAGTCGTTCCGTGCGCGGTCCGAACGACGAGTGCAGGCTGCGCTCGACTCGCGCGGGTGGAAGGTGGCCGAGCAGGAGCAGGCCGACGGGGCGTACTGGCGGCGGAAGACGCGCTCGCTCGAACGCCGCCTCCTCGAGTCGGTCCAGTCGTCGCCCGACGTCGGACAAGAACCAGTATTCGCGCTCGACGTCGCCTACGACGCCGACTCGTCCTTCGACAGCCTCGACTCGCTCTTCTCGCCGCCAGACTCGCTCACGCCGTCGACTTCGGCGTCCAGCTCCCGCTCCTCGCCCGAGCCGAGCGAGTGCGGCGAGTCGGATTCGGCGGCTATTCGTCTGTCGCTCCAGCGGAAGAGGCGGAGATTGACGAAGCAGGTGGACGTGGTCGATGCTGCCGCTACTTTCCTCTCGCGACGACACACCCTCCCTCGGCGGAATCGTCCCCGCGAGTCGTCCTTCAAAGTCTCCTTCCCACCGTCGCCGACCAAGCGCAGATCGACTTCGTCCCTCGCTTCGACAGACTCGAAGACCGAGTCTCCAAATCAGCACGAACCCGCGGCGAAACCTCCGACGCTTTCTCCGCCCCTCACTCGGACTATCGTTATCCTCTCCGCCACCATCTCCCTCGCTTCGTATCTCTCGCCCATCCCGCTCGTTACCCCGCTCTCGCCGGTTCCCCTGCGACATGCCGACACGCCCGCGTCTCTCGTCCTCCAATCAGCCAATGCCGCTCTCGCGCCTCTCCTTGCGCAGCCATCTCTCCCAGGTGTCGTGCTCGCCGCAACGACCCTCTTTCTCGCCGCGCGGCTTGAGCGACGGACAACGTCGTTAAGCGCACGGTCGAAAGTTGCGGTGGCAGGAGTCGCTTGGGCAGCGATTGTCGGCGTGCGGGTACTGGCGAGCTGGGTATTCGGACGTGTGCTCGGCTGGGCGCATCCGCAATTCTTTTCTACCCGCGCGATTCACGAGGTTGGAGCAGGTGCGTCTTGCTTTCCTCACCTTCTCGTCCCATCCCAAGGCTCACAGTTTCTCGGGCAGGGCTGGCACCGCTCCTCCTCGCCTTGAACCTCCTCTCGTTCCGTTCTTCGTCTTTCCTCGACGCTGCGCTTCTCGCGGCCAACTTCGTCGTCCCCGTCTCAAAAGGTGGCGCCGGCCTGTGGCTTGGCATCTCCGCCGTTCTCGTCGGACACGTCGGAGCTCTCGTCCTCTCGCTCGTTCGCTTCTTCGCCACCCCGCCCGCGACGTCCGCCAAACCCGCCTCTTCCTCCTTCTCGGTCTCCCACCTCCTCGCACTCGCCCTCCTCCCGACTTTCGCTTTCTACGCCGTCTCCCCCACCCCTTCGCCCATCCAGACCGACCTCGCCTTCTCGCAGCTCCACCCAGAGCAACCTTCGCTCCTCACCGTCCTCCTCATGACCGCCCCTCGGCCCGGCACGCCCGACTTCCTCATCCAAACAGTCGAATCGTGGCTCGGCGCCTTGCCCGACCCTTCCTCGCCTCTCCTCGGCGACAACTCGACCTCTTTCTCGCCTCTCGCCATGCCCACCTCGTCCCGCCTCCGCGTAATCGTCTACACGCACTTTGCCTCGCACCCAATGTTCGAGCTCGCCCAGTCGACTTTCGCCAGCAACCCCAAAGCTGCGCACTACATCGAGTGGCACCGAGATCCTCGAGCGTTCGCTGCGCAGAATCGCCTTGACCAGCGCTTGCATGTTGCGCGAGGGCTCGAGTACGCCGCGAGCGAGGGTGGCGCGTATGTCCTTCTCACCGAGGACGACTTTCCCCTCTGCGAGGACGCGAAGCCTGCGCGCGGAAAGGAGCGGAGCTGGGATAACGCGTGGAAGGAGTTGCAGGCTGCGCTAGTCGCGACGAATGCACGCATGCCCGACCCGTTCGCCGACGCGCCCGACTCGCCACCCGGCCACTGCGGTTTGTTCCTCGCGACAGGCGGGTCGGGGCTCGCGATCCGCTCGTCCATCGCGGCGAGGCTGCCGGCGCTCTTGCTTGGCGACGATGACCCGCATGGCTATGCGCGCGAGGAGGCGGCTGCGAGAGGCGAGATCGTCGTCAAGCGCGAGGGAGAGGGGGCGGACACGCCTGATCTGGTCATCCAGGACTGCTTGCGCGGCAAGCTGCCCGAGTGCGCGGTCTGCGCACCGGGAGTTGGCGGAGCTGAGGGGAGCGCGAGGTTGCCTGGCGGAGTTGTGGGCGAGAGGGTGGGCAAAAGCGGGCTTGCGGGGACTGAGAGGCTGCTGCAGCGGCATCTTGGGTACAACGCGAGCACGCTGCCGGGGAGGAAGTACGGGAGGGAGGAGTGGGCGTGCGGATGGAGGCAGCCTTTCGTGCGTTTCAGCCCTCGCTTCCCTCACGATGATCTGTGCTGACGTCGACTTCGTTGCAGAACGGCGAGCCCGACATCTTGACCGTCTGAGCCCTCGCCGATACATCACCAACAGACACTTATCCGACGTCGACTTCCGCGCACATACACTACAGCGCCCGCATCCTCGCAATCGCCTCCGCAACAACCAACACCTCGCGCTCCCGCCTCGCTTGCCGACCGCGGTCGATGCTGCCCTCGCACAACAGACACTTTCCCTCGTTGTTCCCGCCGTTTGTTCGTCGGCTTTGTTTATCGGTTCACCCCTTTGCTTCCCCTTCCGTATGGTTGTATTCGTCGCTCCTTCTTGGCATCTGCGCAATAGACAGTGTTCCGGCCATCTTTCGATTTTCGCTCCCCCGCTCACCTCGCTTGGACGGCGGCGATGGATCTGCGTTTGTTGCTGCGCTGTGCTCTGCGACCGCGGTTGAGCGACAAGCAATGAAGACGACGTACGCGCATCGGTTCAAGAGCTGCGACAGCGTCTGCGCGAGGAAGTGCGCCTGTTCAGGAAGGTTGCTTGTGGGCGAGAGCGCGGCTCTGGCGAGGCTGGCGATCCCGTTAAGTACGCCAAGGGGCCTCGAACGGGGAGCTGGCGTGCACCCCTTTGCCCGCTGGCGTCGTTCGCTTCCCGAGCCGTCCCGTGGGCTCTTCGCTCCTTGCCGTCGTCCTCCCTCGCCCGCTACAGCTCACAGCGACTCTTGCTTGATCCTCCCGTCTCCCCTGCGACGCCAGACTCGACCTGCACACTGCCGCCAGCCCGCCTGGTTCCATTTCTCCAGACGCAGAGCGCACCGCCTTCCTCTTCGTTCCCACCCTCCAGCCTCGTCTCCTGCCGCCGCAACTAGCGACTCAGGCTACGCAGACACACTTCAGCACAATGTCGTTCAAGGCAGACGAGCGGCGCAGGTCGTCGGGGACGAGCAGGCTTGCTCACGCGATGGGAAATGCCCTGCGACGAGTCTCGCTCGTGCGAAGGCCCTCGTCCGAGAACACGACGCCGACGAGTAGCGCACTGGGCGACGGAAAGAGGCAAACGGACCAGCTGGACCGACCGAAACCCGGTCACATCGCGAGGAAACCCTCCGTCGACACCGTCACGAGCAGGTCGAGCGTCTCGAGCTTGCAGGCGCCGACGTGCAAGCTGAACAGCTCGAGTCCTGCGTCCGAGCTGCCCAAGACCTGGGAGGAGTGGAACTTTGCGTACGCCAACGGCTTCATCGACTTTGACGACCCTCCTCCTCCTCCCTCCGACCTCCGCACGTCCGAGTTCGTCACCTCGACCGGCCAATTCCGCGCGCCCTTCCCTCTCAACGAGACCAAGCGTCAACGAGCAGTCGACTCGATCGGCCTCTTCAACCACCCGTCGAAGAAGGCGGCTCGGAGGGGATCGACAAAGGACCCGCTCAAGCCTGCATCGCCTGCGCCGCCTTCCTACCCCGAACCCGACGGCGACAAGTCGCCAAAGTACGAGGAGGCGGTCGGCGAGGCGATCAAGCGGCACGAGGGACCCGTCTATCCTGCCCTGAAGAAGCTCGCCGAGGAGGCCAAGCAACGTTTCGGCGTCGATGCGACGACCGTCTCGCTCATGGACCGCGACAAGCAGGTCTTCCTTTCGGACGAGACGTGCGAGTTCTTGCAAGAGCGCGACGACGTTCCTCGAGAGCGTGCGACCTTCTCCTTCTTCTCCCCGTTCGTTCTTGCGCTGACAACCCTTCTACCGCAGTCACGGCCTGCAGTCACGCGATGTTGAAGGCGTCGACGGGGACGAAGGACCCTCTCGTTATCCTCGACTTTGGGCAAGACTGGCGCTTCGAGAAGGTGGGTCTCCTGCGATGATCTCGTCCGAGGCTTCCTCTGACTGTCAGATCTCGACAGAACGGCTTCGGCGCGTACAGCAAGGGCTTCTATGCAGCTGCACCAATCATGCTGCCCGCCTCGCTCGGCGACGACAATGGCGCCTATCCCGGCGGCATCTTCTGTTTGCTCGGCGAGAAACCTCGAGTCAAGTTCAGCGAGGACGATCGGCGCGAGCTTCAAGAGATGGCGGACAAGGCATCGAACGAGATCAAGCGCTTCGCCGAAGAGCAGCGCGAGGAGCGCTGGCAGGAGCTGTCGAAGAAGCGCGGCGACTTTGCGCGACGGAACAAGCTCGCTCGTAAGGTCTCGTCGCAGCAGCAGAACCTCGACACGGTCGTCGAGATGCCTACGCCGCCTCTCACGCCTACGATGTCGATGCTCGACTTGACGGACACGGCGGAGGACGAGTTGTTCGCCCAAGCAGACTCGGAGCGCGAACCGAGAAGGCCTTCGCTCGTCGAGTCAATCGGCTCGAGCGCCTCGCTCGGTGACTTGCGCGCGACGTCGAACATGCCGGTCTTTGGCGCGCGAGCGGACAACCTGTCGGGCGTCCTTGCTACTCCCGCCGACAACGTCCCGCCTGAGGTCGGCTCCGTCCTCGACCTCTCGACGCAGCTCGTCGCCGAGTCAATCGAGATCGACTTTGCCTACGTTGTCTCCGTCGATCTCGCCTCTCGCTCCGCCAAACCCGTCCGCCTTCTCTCGTCGTACGGCACGCCCATCCCTCCTCCGCTCTTCTCCCTCGACGCGCACATCGAGGCTGCCAACTCGCCCCAAGCGTCGGTCCTCTACGTCAACGACGACGCTCAAGTCCTCGACGGCGACTTCTCAACTGGTCTCGTCGTCCGCATCGGCAAGAAGGGGAACACGGGGTACCTCCTCGGATGCTTTGCGGAAGACAGTCGGCGCGTCTTCAATACGGAGGACCTGCTCTTCGCCCGCAGCTTTGCGCGCGACCTCGCCAAGTACCTGCCGGACCTGTAAGGGCTGCGAGGGGGTGTGGACGCACTGAAGGAGGAGGACGGAGGAGTCGGAATCATGCCCTCGCTGGCCCAAGCATTTCTTTTTCGTACCCACGTGTTGTTGCTTCGCATGCATTACTACCTTACATTTGACCACTCTCAAGCCAGAGTACGAGCCTCGCTGTCCATCCTCGTCGTCGCCGCACAGCTCCCTCACCGTCCAAGCCTCGCTCTTTCGGCTTGCGGGTTTGCTCCTTGTTCATTACTCGCCAGTCAACGCCGTCAGACGCCTGCACTACCGCAGCGACGCGACCGTTTCCACCTTGTCTCCCCACTCGCCGCACTTCCACCTCGCGTCGTTCCTCCACCCGTCGCCATGCCCACAGACCGACTGCGACCACGAGCAATGCTCAGAATGCTGCTAGCACTGCTACTCGTGTCAGCGAGCGCACCAGGGTTGCTTGCGGCCGCAAAGGGAGGGTCACCAGCGTCGGGGTCTGGAGGAGGAGGAAAGGGGGCGGCAGTGAGCCTGCGGGCCAACACGGAGAAGACGGTGCCGCTGCGGACACACTCTCTGTACGCTCCGTACGTCGACTCGGACCTGCAGAACCGCTGGTTCGACTTTGGCGGCTCGACCATCATCAACACGAACAAGCACGTCCGGCTCACGCAGGACAGGCCGTCGCAGTCTGGATGGCTGTGGTCGCGACTCGCACTCGCGCCCAACTCGTTCGAGGTCGAGTTCGAGTTCCGTGTCGACGGCAAGAGCAACACCTTGCACGGAGACGGGTTCGCGGTGTGGTTGACAAAGGGGCGCGCTGGGATGGGGCCTGCGTTCGGCAACATCGACTACTGGGACGGGCTGGGCATCTTCTTCGACACTTAGTGCGTGCCGGTCGCCGCTCCCTTCTCTGTCGGCGAGAGACTCGCTTTTCTGACCGTCCCTTCCCTCGCAGCGCCAACTCGCGGCATTCGTACTCTTTCCCTCGCATCTACGGCATCATGAACGACGGCACCAAGTCGTACGACGTCGGGAAGGACGGCCAGGGTCAGGAGATTGGCGCTTGCTCGGTGCGTTTGCACATCGCGAAACACCTTCTAGACCGTCGCTGACCCGTTCGGGCTGCAGATCGACTTCCGTCGAACAGACGTGACGGCTAAGGCGCGCATCACCTACTTCAAGGGCCGCTTCCTCGAGGTGAGTAGTTCTGGCCGGTTTTTCGCGATTCGAGCGAGTGACTGACCTCTTTCCGCCCTCGCAGCTCGCCATCCAGCACGCCAAGTGGGACGAGTGGACGACGTGCTTTGCGGTCGAGGGCGTCGAGCTGCCCTCACAGCCGTTCTTGGGCTTCTCGGCCGTCACAGGCGATGTCAGCGGTGCGTCCAGTCGCTTTTCGAGTCCAGGCTGAGCCTTCTTACAGGCGTCTCTTCTCGCAGACAATCACGACATCATCTCTATAACGACGTCGAACGGTGCGCCCTACACTTTCGGATGCTCGCCGTTGAGCTGCGCTGACCATCCTTGCCCTTACAGTGGCTTACCACGCCGCCTCCGCTTCAGCCGTGCGCCTGTTCTCCATGCAATCGCTACCAGGTCACACTGACATACCTTTCCCTCGCAGAACTCCCCTCCGCCCAGACGCGGCGTCCCCGGCGCATCCTTCTTCTCCTCGCTCTTCCGCATCCTCAAGTGGGTCTTCCTGCTCGTCGTCGTGGTCGTAGGTGTCATGGCATTCCGTGGACGCAAGGCGGCGAGGAACGCGAAGCGGTTCTGAGCGGCGGCAGACGGGGAGGCCATTGCAATCGCAACATCGACGATACCCAGCCTTGCGTGCTCGCTCGCGCTCGCGGCGGAGAGAACAGCTTGTTGCACCGACTACTCCTCAACACCCAGTTCCTCCAACACCTCCTCAAGCGCCTCCTTCGCAAGCGGGATCCACACCCACTCTCCACCCTCTTCCGCCTGTCCATCCTCGTCGTCATTGACGCCTTCAATAATCTCAGGCGCCTGATTCGAGCTGCGCACGACGCCGTGATCTTTGAATTCGGAGAGGAAGCCGTCGACTTGGTCGCGGTGGGTTGCGATGAGCTCGTCTGTGGCTTTCTCCTTGAGCCTGTCCAGGTGGGAAGCGTCAGTGTGCGCTCGACCGGATTGGGAGGTGAGGAACGCACGAAGCAAGCGTCATAGCGACAACAGGCGCCTTCTCCGCCTCCCTTCCAGCCGCTGCGCCGCCAGTCAACCGCATCGCCCTCTCCACCTCACGGGGCAAACTCTCAGCCATCTTGACCTGCTCCTGGCCAAGGAGGTTGAACAGCCGCTTCGCGCGGTCTGTGACGCTTGCGAGGACGTGAGTTGCGGATTGTGCGAGGGAGGAGGCTGTTGGATCGAGTGAGGAGGAGAGGGGTGGATAGATGGATGGTGGAAGGAGGTGCGAGAGCGTGCCGAGAGAGGCGACTTCGACGTCGTAGGGAAGGAGGGTGGAGACGTCGTAGTGTAGGAAGGTGAAGGCGCGGAAGGAGAGGCTGAGGTCCGCTGCTTCGGCGCTCGTCTCGGCTGAGGGAGTCGTGGGAGGTCGTGCGGTAACGAATGCGGTAGGGAACATGAGTGATGCGCGGACGTGGTCCACTGAGGCGACGAGGTGGATGTGCGATTGCGCGGCAAGGAGGGCGAGAAGCGAGATGTTTTTGGGCAGGCGGAGGGAAGGGCCGTCGAGCGAGTGGATGACGAGGAAAATGGGTTTGAATGCCGGATGAGCCTTCGCTGCGGCTTGTATCGACGCGCAAAGACGGCGGACGCGGGACTCGAGAGCAGAAACGGTTCGGGCGGTCGAGTAGGCCGTCGAAGCCTTCCCCTTGCCCTTCGCCTTAGCCGGCGCCGCGATTCTCCGCCTCTTGCGCGGACTCGCAACCTCCTCCTCGTCCTCCTCGTCCGCATCCTGCCCACCCTGAGCCCTGACCAAGTCCTCGAGAGCCGTGACAAGGTCGACGAGAGTAGCGGCCGTGTCGAAGCCGTTAATCACGACCACGTTTCCGCGCGTCCGTGCCTTCTCCGCAAACGCATTCAGCACCGTACGTTTGCTCCCCACTCCGCCCAAGAGGATATTGAAGCCTTGGTCCATCTCCCACATCCACCGCGAGAACCGCTCCTTCGCCCGCTGAACCCGCACCTGGCTCGCCTCGCGCAGTGCGTCAAATCCAGCACTCAGCGCCGCATCGAACTTGCGCAGCGCAGCCTGGTACGTAGCGGTGGTGAAAGCGGGGTCGATCGAGGTCGAGAGGAGCGTGTCGGTCGTCCTGCTCGTCTGGGTCGAGTAGAGCATGTACGCGTCCCCTGCAGAAGCAGTCACGAACGTAGCAGGCCCATCGTCGTCCCTGTACGCGTCCTCGCCGTCTGACCCGTCCGAGTCGCCTGTCGGCGCCGTGTTGCGGGACCGTCGTTTGGCGGGAGAGGGAGAGGGAGCGTCGGTCGCCTTTCGCTTGCCTTTGGCCTTGGCAGACGGCTTCGAAGGCGTCTTTTTGGGCGTGGAAGCAGCCCTGGCTTTGCGAGGTGGCATGGCGAGCGAGTGGGCGAAGGTCAAAAGGGCGAATGTCAACGGGGAGGAGAGATCATCCCTCTCGAGGAGCTTATAGCGACGGTAGAACGTCTTTCTGAAGCGTTACAGTAGGTACGAGGGGCCAGCTTGTCCAGCGAGGCCAGGGAAAGCGGGAAGACTCTCTCGAGTTTCTTTTCTACAAAGTCGGCGCTTGCAAAGTCTCGTCCTCCACCAAGACGATGTCGTTGTTACCTTGTCGTTCTTGGTGTCGAACCCTGCGAACGGGCAGCGGTCGGAATCCGGCTTGACGACGTGAAGCGCGGGTAGCTGAGGAGGAGGAGGGGAAGACTTGCCGCCGTCTGTTCCCGCATTGCAAACGCGACATTCCGAACAGTTAGAGTCGCTGAACGTCAGTTGGACGCTGACAGCGGACAGCAATACATAAGCAAGCCGGCGAGAAGACGAGCGAGAGACGGAGGAAAAAGCAGAGGCGAAGCAAGGTGCCGAGCGGTCTCGGCGTGCATACCATCGTCGCCGAGCCAGAACATCTCCTGCTGGAGCGTCAGGGTTCAGCGGCGAAGCGGGCCAAGTCGAACGGGAGCCTCCATCGTTGCGAGGATCTGCTCGCCTTTCGCCGAAGGAGACGATCCGTACGATCCTGCTCCGTTCCCGTTGCCCGGCGTCTGCGACGCTTCTTCCCGCCATCACTATGCTTGTGTCGACCCGCTCACGACGCTGGACAGGCGCTGCAGGCTCGGCGACCGTGTGCGAAGGCAGTTCCCGGCTCCAAGACGGGGAAGCGGAGCAGACGACAGACGTCGACAAGCTCGCCTGAGGATGGACGGCTGCCAGCGGGTGTCGACGAGCTCGTGGGGAGAAGCCGCAGAAAGCGGAGCCAGGCGTCTGCGGGTAGGAGCGCCGGAGGTTAGGAGACTCAGGGCTTGTCCAGCAGAACGTCGCACTTCGCCGTCCGTCGCGCAACGTCCGCCGACGCAAGACCACGACTAGGACGAGTCCTCCGTCGTCTGCTGACCTTGGGCGCTGTTTTTCCAAAACCCCGCCCGGGTCCCTTCGAGTCTGCTGGACGGCCCTGGCTCGCTGCCATCGCGGAACAGCAGATTAGATGGGACCGTCTCGAGCGTCAAGACGACGGTGCTTAGCAGTCCTCCGTCGAGAAGCGGAGGCGGACAGAGACTCCTGTCGAGGGAGGAAGACAAGCGACAGAGCATCCTCCGCTCGCGCGAGCCCTGCTCCTTCTTGCCCCGTCCGTCTCCCTTGCTAAGGCTTCTATGTTTGTCGTGGATCCCTGGAGTGCGAGAGCTGACACCCGCCTCGCCGTCACTGCTCCTCCGCGTTGCCAGATCCGGTTGTGCGACTGTTCTCCCTCTTCGCCTCCCTCTTTCCTGCAGACTGCCTCCCCGGCAGGTCTGAGCGGTGTCGCTGGCTTCGTCCATCGTGTTCCTGCAGCGGCACACTGGATTCTCCGACACGTTTCATCTGCTGCTGGAGTCTTCCCGCGGTGTGCGCAGACGCAGGACGGAGACGAAGCGGGACCGGCAGCGGATGAAGCAGGCGCAGGCAAGGCTTCGCGCAGGCAGTGAGAAGCAGCAGGTTGCAGGCTGAGCAGGAGGAGCAACGGAATGAAACGGACGATCTCTTCGTCGCCTCGCGGAGCAAAGTCGCCCGTCTGAACCTTCATCACGCTCGCCCTTTGTCGTGCTTGGACGCATCCCTGACTGGACGTACCCCTTCTCGCGCTCACACACACACGGGGGTTGTGCGGTGGCCTCGCGCATCGCATCCATGTTCCCGCCGATGCGACAATCTGCCGGCCGACAACTGCAGATCCCGTATGAGCTGCCCAGGCCGCCTGCTTTCCCGCGCGTTTCGTTGGACGACCTCGAGCTGGACGAGGATTTGGCAGACTCGAAGGCGCCGCTCGAGTTCGTGCTATCCGTTATGCGCAACATGGGTGAGTTCTCCTTCCGACCTCTCTGCTTGATCGTCTCCGTCTGACCTTGTTTCCTCTGCAGCGGCAGACCTCTTGCAAGCTAGCGAGTCCTGCGAAATCCTCGACGAACCGCCCATCGTCGACGAAGCCACGCAAACCTCCTTCTTCCGCTGCAAACCTCCGCCCGCTCATCTTCCCACACCGACCCATATCCTCGAACTCGACTTCTCCGACACCGGCGAACGATATACGACGCCCGTACACGGCCTTCTTTGGGCCTGCCAGTCTCCCAAACTCTCCCATCTCAGCCGCCGACAAGATCCTCCCTCTTCCGTTGCCTCGACAGATAACTCTCTCTTCCTCCCCCGCGTCTCGCTGAGCATACCCTGTCGACGCGCATGGCCCTTCCTCCATCGCTATCTCTACGACGGCTCCTCAGCGCACCTCCTCGACTCTCTCCTCGCACAACCCCCTTCTCGCGCTTCGACTGCCCAAGCCAACGCGCACGAGCAGCACCTCGCGCGACTAGAACGGATACGAGAAGTCTGGCTGAACGCGGTCAGCCTCGAGTTGAGCGACCGACAGCTGTGGGAGACGCTGCAGAGAGCGTGGGATGTGGTTATTGCTGGACTGGGGGAGGTTGCGCGGGCGAGACCTGCAGCGATTGCGGTACCTAGCGAGGATGATGAAGAGACTTCCGGAAGACAAGGAGAGGAGGACCCTGCGGCAGACAAGACTGGAGCGGAGGCAGACGCAGGAGGCTGAGTTGCAATATCCGAGCAGTACAACACGCAGGGCAAGACGACATGTAGGAGGGGGAGAGAAATCAGAAAGGGCTGTCAAGGGCTGCGAGGAGGCTTGGGTCTATCGAGGTGATTGAGACGTCCAGATAGTTCTCCGAGCGCGCGGCGCAATCTGTACCAAAGTCGGAGCTGATGGAGCTGGCACTCAGAGGCGGAGTGAGGTATGTCCGCTCGAAGCGAGTGTACGGGTTCGGCGGCTCGAGATCGACGGGCGCAACGGTGGTGAAAGGAGTGAGGACAGGGAGAGGAGGCTGGAAAGGGTCGCTGCGGTACTCGGCGGGCGGCGTCGGGAGCAAGGTGGCGAAGGAATTGGGAGGCTGCGGTGCGGGAGCGAGGTCGAAGTTGGCGTGCCGAAGTGCTGGATAGAACGGGAGGGACGGTTGCGACGGCAGCGGCTGGGTGAACTGTAGGACGTCTGGTGATGGAGACTGGACAGTCGACTCCGGCGGCGAGGGAGGTTGAAGAACGCTGGGGAAGTCGTTCATCCGGTTCAAAGGTGGCACAGGTTGCGAAACCGGTCCCTCCGTCTTCTTGCGACCGGGTCGCTCGCTCTTCTCGCGACGGACGGGGCGGTACACGTAGTCTGCAATCAATGTCAGCGCCATTCCCGTCTCAGGTGAGGACGCTGCTCACCAGGATAAGCCTCTTTGTGCTCCTTCTTCCGCTTTGCGGCCTCCAACTCGTAGTGCCGCCGTACGTCCGGCGCTTCCTCGCGCCACAGCTGACCGACAAGTTTGGCTGTGGGAGGACATCATCAGATGTCTGCTCGTGAAGAGCGAGCGAGGAAGACTCACAGACGTCGGCTTGCGGGAGCTTTGCGAAGGTCTTCGTCGACTTCAGCTCGTGGACCATCGCTGAGCGGTAGCAGATCCAGGCGTTGGCAGGACGGGGCGGCCGATCGCGAGCTGGTGCTGCTCTTGCGCGCTTGTCCTGCGTCGGTGGCGGCGAAGTCGGAGTGTCGTCGACTGCGACCTTCGCGATGCGCCTCTTCCTCCTCGACGTCGTGGGCTGGGCGGTCTCGTCGTCCTTTACAGGTTCGCCGCCGTCGCCAACGACGCCTGTGGACGCCGATAACCCCGCAAGCGTATCAGGTGGGCAGCGCTCAGGCGGAGGTCGAGACGCTCGCGCAGGCCGGAAGAGAAAGCTCGCAGGGTCGTGTGCTGCGTAAGCGAGGTCGGCAGGCGTCGTCGCCAACATGCTGGGGGCGGGCGTAGGGGGTCGAGTAAGATGCAGAGGAGAAAGATCGCTGCAGCAAGAATGACTTCTCCAGGCTGGCCCCGTCCCTCCTCGTGCAGCCCGCAAGCCGGAGTCCGGACCGGTTGCCTTCCCCCAGCCTGCGTACCGCAATCGCTCCAGCAATGGCGTTATTGGACGCCTTGGCGTGAGCCCGTCGGGCTGACGCGAGCGCATCCCGCTCGGCCCGCTACGCTTCGAGCGAGAGGATCGTTCCCGTACGTAAGTTACAGTATGGGTGCATCCCCTCACGCGCGTGGCAGGCGCTGCGGCGAGATCTTCGAATGACAAGCGATTCATTGGACAAAGGGGAACCGAGTCGGGACGAGCAAGCGCGGCAGCGGGAGGTCGTCCGGCGGAAGAGCGGTGGACGTCGAGAACCAGAAAAGTCGTCGCGGGGGGCGGCGCCCCTGCCGCTGCAGAATCGTTCCCAAATGTACGGGTCGATCGATAGTCGGCTGCAAATAGCGCTGTAGGCAGATGAAGGTTGACCCGACGTCGGGGCGGGTCACCCTAATGAGAGACGACTGTAGCCGCGCCTACACGTCGACTGCTGGTGCGGCGTCAAGCCCGACGTTTTGCAAGAGTCTTCCATGCAGCCACTTGAGTCTGTAGAGCTACCGGAAGAACGGGCCGAGAGTGACTGCGCACCGATAGCGGCGAGCGCTCCCTTCACTCGCCCTTGACCGCCTTGGCGGCTTCGCGCTCCCTCTTGCGCAGGGCGCGCTTGCGAATGTCGAGGTGCAATTTGCGGTTGTAGTCGAGCCAGAACTGGCGCGAGAAGAGGTGGTCGACAACCCACTGTTGATCGGTGAGGCGACGGCGGAACGGTTAGCTTCTTTGTTCGCACACGTGGCGAGAACACGGAATGCACTTGGACGGGTGCATGGCCGTGGTACGGCGTCGAAATGTGCGGTTGGCCGACAGCGCCGCCACGGACGCCGATGTGCGACAGGACCGAGCCTGCGGAACGAGAGTCAGCGTGACTGGAGCTTGCGCAACGGCGAGCGAGAGGGAGCAGCTTACGAACGTAGGTCTTGGGCGTCGGGATCATCCACGAGCTCTTGCGGATCTTGCTCAGCTTCGAGACCTGCGAGACGCTGTCGGTTAGTCCAGCACAAAGGGAGAAGATGAGGCTGGGACGCACGACAAAATACGTGTTGAGCAACTCGACCTCGACTCCGGTGCCCTGGAGCTCGCTGCCGAGCGCCTGCGACCAGGTTGAGAGGAAAGCCTTGCTGCCGGAGTAGACGGCGAGGAGCGGGGACGGGATGAGCGACGCGAAGGATCCGACGGTGAGGATGAGGCCGCGCTTGCGCGAGACCATGCCGGGAACGACGAGCTTGGTGACCTTCATCGTCGCGTTGCTGCCGACACGAGGTCAGGTCAGCTCCGCAAGGTCAGGCTGCGAATTCTTGAGCTCACACGTTGATCTCGACGATGTCGATCATGTCTTGGTCAGACAAGTCCTGGAAGAACGTAGGCTCCTCGTAGCTCTTGCCGACATTGTTGACTGTCGAAGAGAGCGTCAGCGAGGACCGTGGGCGGAGGCAGCGACGACTGACTGAGGACGCCGACGTCGAGAGGGTCGAGGGCAGCCTTCAGCGCGGCGTAGTCTGCCGAAGCCGAGGAAAAGTCGATCGCGTGGACCTGCGTCTTGACGGACGGGTACTTGGCGGCTGAGGAGAGTAAAGGTCAGCGCTGTGGCCGCCGACAGTTCCGCGCGAGCTCACTGATCTCCTGCGCAATCTCATCGAGCTTCGAGGCCGTACGACTGGCCAAGAAGATGTTGAAGCCGGCAGCGGCGAGTTGGAGAGCAAAGTCGCGACCGATGCCAGCCGTCGCGCCAGTAACAACTGCGAAGACAAATGGTCAGCTCCAGCCGGGTTGTTGGCCTGTTCGGAGCAGTACGCACCTGCCCATGCGCCTTTCTTCGCGCCAAACCGCTTGAGCTGCGAGACCGATGGGCGAGACAGAAGGTCAACTCCGGGTGACGAGGGCAGAGCGGGGTGCACGAACAGGGATGCCCGGTCTCGCCAAGTCAACCGCCATCCTCGCAAAGCTCAGCACATAGCTTCCAAGCCATCCAGCGCCGAGGACAGCGAAAGCGAGGGTTGTGAGAGGGCAGTCGGAAGCTGGGGGAGAGAGAACGGCGTCAACGCGCGATTGGCTGGTGAGAGGACAGCTCGTGCGCACCCCAGTCGATAGCCTGTGCCCTCAGAGTCGCCACGTCCATCGCGAGCGGGTCGAAGTGAACAGTCGCGGGCGAACCTCTTCCTCTCCACAGCAACTGATGAAGAGCTCTTGCTCGCCACCACATCTCTCTGGATGCTATATTCTTGCTGCTATCGAGCTCAACGTACACAACCACTGCAGCACAGGCCGTAACGTCGTCGCCAACGATCCCCGTCTCGCTGTACGCCCGCCTCCCCACCTCGCGGCCATACACCTGCGCTCCGCACCTCTACGCCATTGCGGGACTTTTCGATGGGCCGTTTGCAACCACTCAGGGGGCCCCGAGCATGCTGGCCGGGCGCTGGCTGGATTGGGACACAGGTCGAGCTCCTCACCCTCCGCGGATCCTCCGAGGGTTTCCTCCTCCCTCTTCGGTTCGCCTCCTCCACCTTCTGCGTGGCCTGGACAGCGTTACAGTGATCTGTACCTGCGTGACGATGCTGCGGAGGCGACTAGGCGCTATCTTGCTGTTCGCACTGCTCCTGCTCGTCGACGACGCTCGCTGCGACTCGGATGGACTGCCCGTAACTGCGCCGACATCGCTCCAGCCAGGCAAGCAGGCGACATTTGGCTGGGAGTGAGTCATTTCTCATTCCATACGAGGTTTCAGCTGACGAAGCTGAACTTCGCAGTGGAGGGACACCGCCGTATCGAGTTCGCGTGTGCGTCGCATTCGTCTGTCAGCGCAGACAGACATGGAGGAACTTTGTTCTCGCAGCCTGATCAACACGCACCAAGACACTGAGTCGAAGGGGCTCACAACGACCCGATTTATGTGGTTTGCAAAGGAGACGAAAGTTGGCGGTGCGTACGCAGCAGCAGATACGCCGTCTTCCGCCCGCTAAACCTATCAGGTGCAGACCAGGTTCAGTTCTGGGTGTACGACAGCAAGGGCGCGGAGGGGAAGTCGCCCAATATTCCCATCGTCGCGGCGGCGAGCGCCAGCAAGTCTGCGTCAGGCGGCGGAGGAAGAGCCAGCTCGACGACCCATGACGCGAGCGGCAAGTCACCGAAGGCGTCTGGAGGTGCGACGGTAGGTGGAGGCGGATCAGCGAGCGCCAAGGAGACGGGCAAGGCGGGTTCTTCGACTGGGAGCGTCAAGACGGCTGCACCGAGAGGCTCCGCTCCAGCTTCGAAGGACACGGAGGCTTCCAACGACCTCGACACGCCTCTCAACACTGCTGCTGCGACCATGTCGACGTCTGCACCGATCGCACCAGCCGACACCGCTACGTGCGTAGACTGCTGATCCTCGTATACCGGGTTCTCCGCGCTGACCCGTACTCAGCACCACAGTGTCGCAACCACTCCCGTAACGACACCAGCAGCGGCTCCCGTCGCTCCCGCCAGCGCGCCTACAGCCTCAAGTACCAGGTCAGCGCAGCGTCGCTCTGTCGCCGACTCCCGTCACGCTGATGGCGTTGTCGAGCAGCTCGCTCTTCTCCGGCGACAACACGGCGCTCTATCTCGGGATTGGCGGAGTAGCGCTCGCACTTATCCTCGTCGTCGCCCTGCTCCTGTACGTTCCCTTCACCTACCTTTCCAGTCGAAGGAAAACCTGACCGTATCGTGTTATGTAGATGGTGGAGAGGGAAACAACAGCAACCGGAAGCCCGCAGGGGACGTCGAGACGACCGTTACGAGCGGAGCTTGTCGAAACAGCCGGTGAGTTTATCAAGCCAGACTGTGCAGCTCCCTCGCGCACTACTACTGAGCACTGACCGTCGCGCACTGTGAAAGCTGTCAAAGCGAAGACGACGCTCACTCCAACCGCTCGACACCAGTCAAGCGGAGCGATCACTTCTTCCCGACCACGCCGCATCAGGATCTGCGAGCTCGTGCTCGTCCGCAGCAAGCGACTCGTCAAGCTCGAGCTGGGCAAGGCGGAGGCGACGTGGAGAGAAGGAGGAGGTGTAGACGCTATAACGGTGACCTCGTGCAGAAGAGAGTATCGGGTATCCCGCAACTGCCGTCTGGACGCGGCGAGCAGAGAAGAGCGAGTTGCTAACAGTCTGAGCTAAGTCAGCGCAGTCTCACTGCATCCTCCTCGCAGTCTCCCCGCTTCCGAAGCTAGCTCAAGCATGAGGCGAGGTCTGGGCAAAGCGCGATGCTATAGCACGGTGTCTATTCTTCTGCGAAAGCGTACTCAGTGCCCGTAGGTAGGCTTCTTGCCGATGTCGAACGGCAGGTATCTGCGAGAGCGGTGTGAGAGTCAGTAGAGTGTCGAAGACCAGTGCGGGAAGCCAGTCCGCTGAAAGACGGGAGACGCACTTGTACTTGCGCATGTGCGCGATCTGCCTCCGCATAGTGATGAATGTGAGAAGGCAAAAGTACATGACGAGGATGGGCCAGAAGACGGGGACGTCGAAGAGCGGGATGAACGAGGCAATGAGGGAGAAGGCGATGGCTCGTGTCGCGCTGTGCCTGCGGGCGCGTGATCGGATTGAGCCCCGGCCAGTACGCTCATCGAACTACGAGCGAAGCCGCGCTGCGCACCAGAACTTGAACTCGGGCAACCGCCGAATGAACGGCCTCATCTCGCCATCCTCCTGCAAGTCTCCCTGACTCGTCGGCAAACCAGGCGCACCCTCTTCCGCCTCGGTCTCTGCCATATCTGCTGCGAGGGCGGGGTCGAATTTGGGGGTGATGAAGGCGAGGAAGAGGTTGAGGAGGTATATGCTGGAGGACGGTAGGATCGTCAGCGGGCAAGCAAGGTCAAGCGTAAGACTCTGGGCGCGCACCCGAGAGCATAGGCGACGATGTAGTACGCTTGAACGTAGAGTATGCGGAGGGTGAAGAGGAGGAACAGGCCGACGGAACCGCCCCAGCGTTGGAAGGTGAAGGGAGTCAAGCGGTCTACGGATAGCGGACCGCAATGTCAGCAGTCGTCTTGGTTTGCGGAGTCCGCCGTGAACGCACCTAGGTAGCCTTGGTACAACTGGACCCGTCGAGAGGAGCCGTGTCGGTGGGGAGGAGGCGACAGACGGCGGTGAAGCGCGACCGGCGGGGCGAAGGGGAACGGTAGCGGGCAGAAGCAACAGTACAATGCTAGTCAGCGTCACTCCATCCAGCCGGCCGCTCTGCGGGAGCCGCGAGAGCCACGACTGCGACGAGGTGAGCAACAACGCACGCGCTCGTACTGCTTGACGGCGGTGACGACGTTGGCGCCTGCAGGGGGTTCTGGCACGTCCATTCTGATCCTCACAGACCCTTTCCTGCCGTAAAAGCGCGACGAGAGCGGAGTGGGAAGAAGCGGACCTCGTCGAACCGCTCGCTGTCTCCTTCCTCGTCGCCCAGCTTGCTCGGGCGAGGATGAGAGCATGCTGGTTGTGTCTTGCAGTGCTCACATTAGGCTCAGGTGCGCTCCACTCGCCGCAGCGTGCTGTTGTTACCCGCTCACTCCTCGTCTTCCGTCACCCACAGCAGTCCATGCCCAGCCAGCTCCTCCGCCGCAGCAGCAGCTCACGTTCGGCATCTCGACGGGTGCACAGCTGAGAACTGAGTCTGGTAAGGGCGCGAATCGGCCAGCAGGAGGTGTTGAAGGCGCGAGGGGAGGCTCGGACGACGAGGTGAGTGGTGCTTCCGACGTTGGCAGCGCGAAACGATGGGAAGGGCGGCTCTGCAGGTGGACTGCATGGCGGTGTAGAGACCGTGGAGCTCGGTGCGGCTGGCCGGAATGACGAGAGAGACGTTCTGGTACACCTCGAGCCCGTCGCTGACACTCGCCTTCCTCCCTTGCAGACCGCCCAGCTCGCTTTCGCTTCAGAAAGAACAGCCGGCACAGATCCTCTATCTTCCGATCCTGCCGCCGATGCCTACGCACTCGCCGTCTCTCTCCTCGACACCCTCACCTTCCATTCTCCTCCCTCTCCTCCAACTCTTTATTCTCCGAATATCGCTTCGCTCGACGTACCATTCTCGGCACGGATAGAGCCGATTCTACAGCGCTCGTCGGTCGGGCGCTTCGCTCTTCGAGTCAGCCGCCTTCACGCGGGTGATGCCGCGAAGCGAAGAGTACAGGGCGGGCGGGACTGGAGCGTGAAGGGCGCAATCTTGGGCTTGAAGGGTGCGATTGAGCGGTTTGCGGTCGACAAGACTGTGCGAGCCGGAAAGGGAGCTTTGGGTGGACGGAGAGACGGGAAAGGGTGGAAGAACCGGCTCGAGAATGCGGTTCTTAAGGGTGGCGTCGTGCTCGACCGCGAAGAGATTGAGGAAGGGATGGCCGAAGTGACAGAGCTTCTGCAGAGCGCCGGCGAGCGAGGATCTGCGGCAGCCTGGGTTTTGCTGGGCGATCTTCACCTGGTACGCCAGTCTCCCGCTTGCGTCCTGCCGAACTCGCTGACACTGCCCGTGCAGTCCGGTCATCTCTCGCTCGCCGCCAATCCAGCCGAAGCTCTTCGCCTCTATACCCTCGCTTCCGAACTTTACGGCTCGCCCGAAGCGCAGTACAAGCTGGGCTTCTTGTACGGCAGCAACTTTGGCGGAGCGGCGGGTGGTCTCGAGGGCAAGGGACAGCAAGGAAGCGTAGGCTGCGCGATGTTCACTCGCCTCGCCAATCTCGCTGACCTCTCCGTCCTCAGGCTCTCCTGCACTACACCTTCGCCGCGCTGTCGAGCCATGTACCCGCCTCGATGACCGTCGGGTACCGTCACTGGGCGGGCATCGGCACGAAACAGTCGTGCAAGGACGCTCTGCCCTGGTACAAGGCAGCAGCCGACGCCGCCATGATCTCGTTCAACTCTGGCCCGCCTGGCGGACGACACCTTCCTCCGCCCAAGATCCGCCTGTCCGACCTCGAAGGCGGTCCGTACGGACCTGGAGCCTCGTCTTCAAGGTCGAACCTGGTGACGGGCGGCTCGAACGCTCAGACGCAGCAAGAGTGGGACGATCTCGTCGAGTTCCACCTCTTCCATGCTGAACGCGGCGATCCTGCCTACATGTACCGCCTCGGGCGGCTGTACTATCAGGGCTTCGGTGCTGGAGGGCTCGGCGGTGCACGAGGCGCGCAACGAGGACGCCTGCAGCCAGGAGTTGCGGGCAAGGCCGACAACCTGTGGGACGGAGGACGCGACTTTCACCGCGCGAGCAAGTGGTTCCTCCGCCTCGCTCGCAAGGTCTGGCCTTCCGACCCTCGCGAGGCGCAGTGGAACCCGAAATGGGGACCGCTGTCGAAGCACCCGCAGCGGGCGGGCGAGGCGCCCAAGGTCGGCTTCTACGACCTCTCAAAGGACAAGAAGAACGAGAAAGTCGACGACCATACAGCGATGGTCGCGGGTTTGGCGGCTGGCTTCGTCGGCAAGATGTACCTGCGAGGTGAGGGCGTCAGCGCGAATTACGCCAAGGCGTTCCTCTGGTTCTCTCGCGGGTCCGCGCAGGTCCGTCTCTTTCGGTTGTCAATCAGCATGCTCCGCTAACCTTTGCGCTGCAGGGCGACCGCGAGTCGACCAACGGCCTCGGCATCATGTACCGCGACGGGCTCGGCGTCGAGCGTGACTTGAAGAAGGCGGTCATGCTCTTCCACGCCGCCGCCCAGCAGGACTCGTCCGAGGCGCAAGTCAACCTCGGCAAGTACCACTTTGGTGCGTTTCGAACGCTCTTGTTCCGCTTCCGCTGAACTAACGCAGCTTGCCAGGCCTGGGCGACTTTGTCGCCGCAACAACCTACTTCGAGCACGCGATCCGCCCCGACAACCTCCGCACTCCCGACACCTTCCAGGCGTACTACTACCTCGCCGAACTTGCCGCCCGCTCAACATCAGCGACCGAGTCGTGTCCTGTCGCCGTCTCGTTCTACAAGCGCGTGGCGGAACGAGGGGATTGGGATCACGAGGTTTGGTGGGAGGCTGAGCGCGCGAGAGAGCGCGGAGACTTGCGAACCGCGTTGCTCGGGTACTGGATCATGGCGGAACGGGGATATGAGCCGGCGCAGAACAATGTTGCCTGGATCCTTGATCGAGGTGAGCCTGCTCAGCGACACTCCCACACACGAGTGTATTATTAACACTTCCTACGCTTTCGCAGACAAGAAGCGGCTTCGCATTCCGCTGCTTGATGCCGTCGCGCCCGCTCCTTCTCCCGCGACTAAGCAGCTCGACCGCCTCGCCCTCGCCTACTGGACTCGCTCCGCCGCTCAAGACAACGTCGATGCTCTCGTCAAGATGGGCGACTATTTCTACGCCGGTCTTGGGACGGAAGACGGTCTGCCGCAGTTCGAGAAGGCGGCCGGCTGCTACCAAAGCGCCGCAACGACCAAGTTCTCGGCTATGGCGATGTGGGCGCTCGGGTGGATGCACGAGACGGGCAAGGGCGTGCCTCAGGTGCGTCGACCTTGACTTCTGAGCGAGACTTGCAGGTCTGACTTGCTCGAACGCCGCAGGACTTCCACCTCGCGAAGCGCCAGTACGACATGGCCCTCGAGACTTCTACCGACGCGTACTTCCCCTCGACACTCTCACTCGTCAGCCTCTACGCCCGCGCGCTGTATCATGCCCTCTTCAAGTCCGGCGATGACGAGCTCCACGCCCTCAGCCTCTTTGCGAAGGATCCGGACGTCGACGGTATCGGCGCAGGGTTCGCCGAGCATGGCGTGTGGAGCTTTGGAAGAGCTTGGCGGGACATACAGCGCAACTGGGGAATTGACCCTGGACCCGAGCCGGAAGTCGTGCCGTTGCAGCAGGGACGGGCGGCCAGAGGAGCGGGAGTTGCAGGAGGCGAGGCTGGCAGGGATGCGCAGCGCGCTCTCGAGGCGCATGAAGAGGGTCTCGACTGGCGAGAGTACCAGGATCAACGCGGCTTCGGACGTGGGCATGGCGAGGACGAGGACGACGATTTCTACCTCGAGGACGAGGGCGACTTTGGCGGTACCGTCGCGATCGTCGCGCTGTGCATGCTCCTTGCGTGGGTCAATTTCTGCCTCTGTCACGAGGGACGGGCTGACCTGTTCATGCGCAGATGGCTCGTCTACTTCCGTCAGCGGCCAGAGCACCAAGGCCGTCGACCTGCCGCTCCTGTACCCGCCGCCGCACCCGCCGCGCATCCTCAGGCTCCTCAACAGCCAGCACCGACTCCGACCGCTGCTCCAGCATCACCGCCGACGCCACAAGCGGGGAACGCAGGGGAGAATGGTCGGCGGGAAGAGACGGATTCGGACGAGGATGAGGGGCGCGGCCGTTGATTGTACACTCTTCGCAACACTCGCATTGCTCAGTATTGCTCATCGCTGGCGTGGTTCTGGGATCGCCCTCGGAAGGTTCTGCCCGGGAGCGTCGCGGGAGAGCTTGTTCGTCCGCTCTTCACTCACCTCCTCGTGCTTCTGCTGCGAGACTGGCTGGGATGGATGGCATGCCGCCAGATACAGCGCCTGTGCCGTCCATCGCGCTCGAAACTGCCCTCCTCTCCGCCGCCCGCCTCGCCTACTTCGCCGTCTGTCGACTCTACGTCAACAAGTCGCTCTTCGCGGACTTGCGCGAGGTCATCCTGGAAGATGGCTTGTCCAGCGAAGTCGACACGCCTAACGGTGAAGCCATCGAGCTCGACGAGGCGGAAGGCGGATACTTGGGACTGAGCGGAAACGGCGGTGGGGCGGGAGCAGGAGCGAAGAGCTCGCACGCCAGCCGGTTGCGAGAGGACGGGCTGGGTGCTGCACTGAGCAAACGCGCGTCCCCGTCGGCAGCAGTGCCAGACCGACGGGACTCGCTTTCGCCGGGACAGACGGGAGTGTCGACAGCGGGAAGGGCGTACACGAGGCTTTCGAAGGCGCTGTTCTGCTTGGCTTTCTCGGAAAGCTGCATGCTGTTCACGCTCTTGCTCTTCGGAGACGCGGTCAGCGACAGGTACGTGCCAGCGTCCTTCTTTTGACTTCCTTCACTGACCTCGCTTCTTCCTACAGAGCACGGCATTACAACTGGTCGATCAGTCTACTCACCCTTCTTTCCATCATCGTCTTCGTCATCCCCTTTGTCCTCTGCCTCCTCGTCACCCACCGCTCCCGGACAACCGTCACTCGAACCCTCCTTCTTACCCTCCCGCCTTTCGCCCTCTACCTCTTCTTCTTCTACAACGTCGGGTCCCTCATCGCCGACAAGCTCGTCACCGAAGGCTCACACACGTTTGGTGCGCCGGTTAGCTCATCCCCCTCGCGAAGGCAAGATTTAACGCTTTCCCTCCTCCAGGTCTGGTCAACAGCTTGTTGTCCCGGATATGCGTGCCGGGAGTCGTTTTGATCGCCTCTCTGTCCGGCGGCGGTGCGCTCAACACAGCATGGGAGGCCTACGAATGGCGCTCCGTCTCCTCCGCGTGCGTCTGGCTCTTCTTCCCTGACGCGACCACCTGCTGACCCTTTGCGACCCGACAGCGAGCCCGTCACCGATGCACATATGGCGCAAGCAGAGAGAGCACTGCATCGCGCCCGAGTCGACCTTCAGCAGCGATACCGTTCGCTCGCCCTCGCACAGGGATCAGCAGCGCGAGAAGCCGACACCGCCTCTTCCCGTTCCCTTCTCTCGAAGTGGACAACCTCCAATCCGGCCGCGCTGCACCTCAAGAGTGTCGAGATCGAGGTGGCGGCGATGGAAAAGATGGAGAGGCAGATGTCGCAGGACGTGTCGAGGTTGCGGCGGAGGAAGGCGATGCGGGAGATGGGCCGGAGCTTCAAGGGTCGGGTGTGGCTCCTGGTTGGCTGGCTATTCAGCGTGTACTGCGTGTGGAAGATCTTCGTGGTGCGTTCAGCTCCCTCTGGCATGTTCAGCTTCCTAAACTCACCTCAGGTCCTGTGCAGTCCGTCATCAACCTTATCTTCGGCTACACGCGTCAGTCGCACCAGCACACCTCAGCGGAGGGCGCCCCGGCACCTCAGGGAACCGACCTCCTCACGTCGCTCCTGACTCGCCTGGCCGTCGTCCTGAACATCGAGCTGGACGTCGCAACCTGGTCCCGGTTGATTGGACTCGCGCTCATCGGCGGCATCTTGCTCGCAAACATGCGGAACGTGCTCGGGAGCGTGTCAAGGGTGAATAAGGAGTTCACCCATTCAGCCAGCGCGTGCTGACCGCCCGGCTTGCAGATCTTCAAGGCTACATCTGCAGGCATCAGCGCGTCGTTCATGCTGCTATTTCTTGCGCAGCTCATGGTGCGTTCGCAACAACGTGTTGTGGCGCTCAAGCTGACCCTTCGCGACGCAGGCGATCTACCTTCTAACCTCGCTCATCTCGCTGCCGTCCTCGCCGACCGCCTCGACGACTTCGCTCCTCGACACCCTGCCCGACTTCAACGTCTTCTCACGACTGTTCGACAGCGTCTTCCTCATCTCTGCCTCGGCGATCTTCTTCTCGCGGTGGATCACCCGCAAGTTCCGGGACGATGCAGGTCTCGCGGCGCAGTATTCCGTCTAGACGCCTCGCACAGGTTGTTGTACTGTCACTATATCGCAGCATTGGCTCACGGTTGTCCCAGAAGGGTGCCGGCTGAGGATCCGCGGACATTCCGGCGTATTCCTCCTCCTTGCGCTTCCTGCTCTCTCTCGTTTCAACGCGCACCGATGGGCTATCTCAACGAGGATGCTCCGAGCGAGGAGATGTCGGTGGTGTTCCTGCCCGCTCGAGCGGCAGCAGTCGCGATGGCGCTCAGCAGCCTCAGCTCCTTCGCTGCTGTCGCCATGCTTGTGCGGGTGCGTCGCTCCTCCTGGCACTCGTTTACAGCATCGCTGAAGACGCATTGTTCGCAGCTTGCTCTGGCCCTCAGCGAGATCAGCGGCGAAGACATCCTCCTCGTCGCATGCTGCGCTTCCGCCTTTGCAATTTTTGTTGTCGCTTCTTTGACTCTCGCAGTGAGCGTCCTCGATCACATCTCTCGACGCTGTTGCTCATCCCCGCTTCGCGCAGTATGCACGCTTCCTGCCTCCGCCGTTCACCCGAGTATGGCAGGTCGTCTCGCCCGTCATTTCGTTCCTCATCGTGTGTAGTCAAGCCCGCTCGGCTGTTCCAGGATTAACGTGTTGAGCTCTCGCAGGTCATGTGGTTCGCCGGCTTGGGCCTGTCGATCGCGCTCTTCGTCGAGGTCTTGCATCCCTTCATGTCCTGGTTAGTTTCGTCTCGTGAGTTTACCTTGCGGGTCCTTCTAACGTTTCAATCCATTACAGCGACGACGTCACCTGCCAGCCGCACGACCGCGATATCGCCATCCAGACCCTCTCCGTCCTCGTCGTCGCGCTAGTCTCCTGCTTCGCGCTCGCCATGCTCGTCAGCTTCGACCTCCGCACGACCCGCCACCACGCCAACGTCATCATCTACCAGAGCGAGCTCCAGTTGCGGCAGAAGCTAAGGAAGCAGAAGCAAGAGTTGGCCAGACAGGCGCAGACGGTCCCGCTTCTGCATGCGGGATCGGCATGGTCGAGCGACGAGGAGGTCGATCTTGCCAGCGCAGGACCTAGTCGGACAACGAGCAAGGATGCGACTGTACGCGCATACCTCGCTCGCGCACAACAGCCCTTCTCGGCTGTCGACCCTTTCCTCGATACCTATCAGCGCCGCACGTATCCTCCAACCTTTGCATCTGGCGAACGTCAGCAGCTTCCAAGTCCGTTCTCGGCTCAATACTCCGAAGGCAAAAAGGAACCGCGACGAGGCCAACGTCACCGACGGAAGAGCGACGGTACGAGCACTACGGAATCTCGCACGTCCACGCACACGTCTGACTCGACCTCGTCAGGATCGTCGACGAGTACGACCTCGGAGGAAGAGCGGGAGAGGAAGGAGAGGCGTCAGCGGAAGAAGCCGCATCATCGCAGCAAGTCGAGGTCGGGAGGGCATTCGCACGAGTCGAAGGACGGTAGGCGGCGGTCTCAGGAAGAAAGGCGGGCGAAGAAGAGAACGGCATCGGCGAACGTTGTACAGATGGTGGACACGGGCATGGCGCCAGCCGCCGCATAGCGATTGTATCGAGATCTCTTCTGTCAGTGCACGGCCTGCCGTTCGCAACTGCGAGGAGGAGAGGGGTATCATTGACAGCTTGGAACGACGCGTACGACGGAACGAACAAAGGAAGGAGAGTAAGGGAGAATGCGTGGTACGATGCGAATGCGAGAGGGGAACAAGCGAGGAACGCCGGCAGCGGTCAAGCGGCGGGAGCAACTGGGGATGCAGAAGGGCCGTCTTCGGTCGTAGAAAGGACGGGAGGGGGCAGAGGCGTCGCTTGTGTGGAAGGCGAAGCTGGAGCGCCGGCAGGAGCGGAAGGGCCAGTCGCAGTCGACTCCTTGCTATGCCTCAACGCCTGCAACTGTTGCAGGAAGGGGTCGAAGTTGACTGCGCAACGAGCTAGAGGGGTAAGACTTGGCCGCAGGAACCGAGGAATCGAGAGACTCACGCCGTCCAGCGTAGTCCTTGTCGAGCAGCTTCTGCATGATATTGTCCTCGGCGCTCCTCCCTTCGCCGTCCTCGCCTCCTCCTCCACCTCTTCCGCCCCTCCTGCTTCCCTCGATAACCGCCCTCTCGCGCTCAAACTCGCCTTCGCCCGAAGCGAACATCTGCGCAGCCCTCTCGCGCTTCGACGAGCGCGGGCCGTTGCGGGACGACGGTCCGGCAGCGTTGCTTGAGCGAGTAGCGCGCTTGGTAGGCGAAGTCGGGGCGTAGGCGGAGCTGGCGGGAACAGAGGGAGGGAGGCGAGAGGAGGAGGGTCCGGGAGCGGCCGTCTACGGAGCGGGCGAGCCAGAGTGTCAGGCCGACGCTCTCACTGAAGCTTAAAGAGCCTGTAAGACGCACGTCTTCGCCCTCCGTGAGCATCCTCTCGTCCTCGGCGCCCCCTTCATTCCTCATCGGCAAGTCGTCCCCGGGACTCGACACGCTGCTCGCAGCGCTGCCGACGTCCTCGGCAAAGCCCATGGCCGAGTCGTCTTCTGCAGCAGCGGCCGAGCGGGACATTGGATGCGGTTGGCGAGCGTGAGTCGTCGGCGGAATCGAGTGGGGAGGTGGAGGAGTTGCTTGCTGTGAGACGGCTAAGCGAGTCAGCGTGCATCTAGCCACCGCTCAAGGCGCCTCGTGAGCTCACCGGCGTCAGGTCCCCCGGACCAGGCATGAGGCGCTGGAGGAAACAAGGAGAGAAGCGTCGCCTCCTCGACTTCAAGTCGCCTCGCCGCCGGAGCAGACGAGTCGGTTTTGCGCTTGCCACAGGTTTCGTGATCCACGAGGAACCCTCATCGTTGGGCAAGTGATGGTGCCGCGAGTCGTCTCTCCAGTCCAAGCGAACCCTGTGCTGGTGCGCACGAGGCGAGGACCGTCTAGAATGCAAACGACACAATGGAGACGAACTGATAAACTTCTACAGAAAGCCCAAAGAGGAAGCCGGCCGGCGCTCGTTCTCCTCTCCGAGGCGCGCACAGCCGGATGCAAGGAATGCTGAACCGCCCGCCGCTCTGCCGTCTTGCCTTCCTCAACGCCCCCTTCCTCAATACGACAGGTCGCAGTCGTTGACCCGCTTCGAGCGGATCCACCGTTGAGTCGCGCTCAGCGAGCGAAGATCGGGTTGTTGATGTTCAGGAAGCGGAGAGTCTCGAGACGCTCGCTGTCGCTGACGATGGTGGTGTTGCTTCGTGCGAACTGGAGGGTGTGGCGGTCCATGCCGTACTGGGGCCAGCGAGGGACTGCGACAGAGCGGAAAGAGAAAGCGGTTTCAGCGTTAGCGCAGGTCGCTCAGGTTGAGGAAAGGACGGAAGACGTACGACCTGCTCCGTTTGGATTGAGACGGTTGACAAAGTTGCTGTGGTGCGCGAAAGAGTGAGTCGGCGGGAGAGGGGCGGCGAGTGTAGACATCAGCGTGAGCAACGTGATGCGAGGATCCTCGCACAGCTAGGAAAGCGAAACGCACATGAGGTAGCCGGTCATCTCCCACGACAGCTGCACCATCGGCTCGTCGTCTCCTTCGGGATTGCCGAACCAAGCGGGCAAGTCTGCACCGTGCTGGACTGCGAAGAGCGAATTCAAATCAGCTTCTTTTCGATACAGCCTCGCGTTGGGGCTCAAGAGCGAGGACGAAGGACGCACTGCCTAGTCGCGGCTCAGCGCCCTCGCGCGGCTCGAGGTACAGGTAGTTCCAGCTGTCCTCGCCGAAATCTTTAGGCGTCTCGCGCAGAAGATGTCTCCGCGGCGCCTGGAAAAGGATGTCGCCGAGGAAAGCCGAGAGTCGCTTGTACGTGCGTGAGAGCCCGAACGTCTCGTTGCCGGTCTGGAAGGGACTACCGAAGGATGGGTCGGCGGGGTACCAGTTGAGGATTGGCTCAAGGATGTCCTCCACGGCGCCGTAGGTGAAGTCGAAGACGTCTGTGTAGTGCTGTGAGTGTCAGCGGGATTCGCGCAGGCGTATGAGGCAGGCAAGCGGAACGCACCCTTGACAACCTCCAAGAACTCCTCAACACCCTCGCCAATCTTCGGATGCACAAACCGCGTGCCCTCGTCCAGCACGGATCCAAGAACGACCGGAACCTTGTTGTAGTCGCCGCGGTTGATGCGCTCGCTCGGGCGGACATTGAGCCAGCCGCCAGATCCGCGAGCAGCGTCGTGCATGCCCTCGCCCGTTCCCCACTCTCCCTCGCTATATACGGTGAAGCGGTCAGGTAGCTGTCCAGCGATCGCGCGAAGGAAACGCAAAACGCACAGGACGGGATAGTACGGGAACCACGCATTGCTAGGCGAGTCGTCCGTCAAAGTCCGTGTCGCCTGGTAGAGCTTCTCGATCGGCAGCTTCCGCAAGCAGGCGAGGAGGTCGTCGTTCCGAGGTGGGCCGTGTTCGCGCTGGATCGGTGAGGGGCATTGCGCGGGACCGGGGAGAGGGTGGAGAGTGCGGGCGGAGGCATCGTGAGGCCAGGGGACGGGGAAGCTGCGAATGAGCGCTGGTTAGCCGAGTACAAAGCGACTAAAGACTTCTTTCGCCCGTCAAGGCGGCAGATCGGGACAAGAATGAGCGAGAATGTCCGCTCACGAGGTAGGCGCGCCGGACAGCATGAAGGCTGACCAAGACGGCGATGTTTAGCTACCATGAGCAATCGAGCGTGTAAAGCCGACTCGACGCACCTCCTCGGAACAATCCCATGTTCCCGCTGTACAGCAGATGCAAGCCGACGCTCATCGCTCCCGCCGAGTGTCCCACCATGACGACCTTGTCCCTGTCACCTCCAAACTGCTCAATGTGCTCGTGGATCCACCGAAGCGCTTGAAGCTGGTCTTTGAAGGCGACGTTCAGGTCGAGGTCGGTCGGGGCTTGGACGGGAATGTGAGGCGCGACTGGCGGAGGACCGGGTTCGGGAGGTGAGGCGGTCAAGCCGAGTGCGCCGAGGCGGTAGCTAGTAGTGTATGAACGTCAGGAATCGTCGAAAGGTGTTCGATGGGCGATCGAACGGAACGTACTTGATGCTGGCAAAGACGAAGGGCTGGTCCATGTCGATGGCCCGGTGCATCAGCCCTCGCGGGTTGTACTTCTCCTCACCCGAGCTTCCGCCGACGAAGCCGCCTGTTCGGCCAGGACGGTGCTCGCGTCAGTGATTGAGACGAGGGAAGGCATTCAGAGCCGCAGTCGAGAGCTGGACGCACCTCCGTGGATCCACAACATCACAGGTAGCAGCGTGTTATTCGGCCGCTGAACCGGGGAGAAGACGTTGATCCTGTAGGGGGAGAAGCGGTCAGCAACTGACGTCGAGGAAAGCCAGCAGCCGCCTTGACAACGCTCTTAGCGTCTCGGCGCAGAGACGTTGATCCGAAGTAAAGCGCTGACTCACTTCAGACAGTCCTCGTGGCCGTCAAAGTGCTCATGCTCGCCGTCCATCCTGTCCTCCCGTGGTCGCGGCCGCACACAACCCTCGTCCCACTTGTCCATGACCTTTTCCCGCGTCTCCTCGCCCTTTGCCTCCTCCAATGGCAACGCCACTCGGAACCTCCGCTCTCTCAGCGGCGGCTGCGCATACGGAAGAGCCTTCCATCCCCAATACCGGTCGTCTTCCCGCTCCCTATGTGCGCGAAATCTCCGCCCCTTCACTGATGCGACAGGCTCCATGTTGACCCATTCGATGGGAACCGGCTGAGGATGCCAGGGGTTGTACCGCGCCGAGTACTCGTCGAGTTTCGATTGTAGGCGGCCGTAGTCTGCGGCGTAGGCGTGGCGTGCGAGTTTGTACAGTCCAACGACGACGACAAGAATTGCCAGGATTCTTCGAGTCGGCAGGCGGGACAAGGGAGAAGAGGAGCGGGACGAGAGGCGTTTCGAGGAGGACGAGGGAGGGTACGAAGGCGAGTCCGGGTCGTCTGGGTCGAGCGAGGTGAGCGGAATGGTCGCCTCGTCGCGGTCCCGTCTGCCATACGCGTCCACTGCGCCCTCCTCGTCGTCGCTGTCGCCCAAGACGTGCATCGGTCGCGACGCAGAACGGTTCGAGGAGTGCAGGGGGAGATGGCCCGCGGCGGGGCGGAGAAAGGCGGGCAGTCGCATCGTAGCGTGTCTAGCGGCGATCTAGCAGCATCCACGTAGTCACAGCGTCACACAGAGCACAGCGAGGATGGTGCTCGTTGTCAACCAGCGAGTTCGCCTCTCGAGCTCTCACACTCCCGTCAACGCTCTCGTTGGGATGGCCGCGCTGTTCAGGCTGGGACAGCAACACTCGCTCGACCGCGCGAGCTACTCGTCTCCCGCCGCCCATCCCGACTTTGATGCCTTTGACGCACCCTCGGACGACGAGGACGGTGACACAGGCTCACACTCGCTCGTGAGGCCCGGCGGAAGCAGTGGAGGAACACAGCAAAGCCACGAGGGCTACTCCTTCGACCAGCCGTATTCGACAGACCCGCTCTCGTCCTCCTCCGCCACCCCTCCCGCCGCTTCCGCCTCGGCATCCTCTCCCCGGCGCTCGTTCTCCCAGACGCACAGCTTGCCAGGCGGATACGACTTTGAGCCACAGTCTGAGCCGCTCAGACCGGGAAACGGCGCGCCGGCGGGTGTTGCGGGTGGAGCGCCCAGCATCCCGCTCAGGACGAGGCCGTCCGTCATGAGGGGCGACTACAGCCAGTCGGACGGCGAGGATTGGCCAGGACGAGGTTACGGACAATCCGAAGCTGGGAACGGTGCTTCGGCGGGCCAGGCGGGATCAGTGGGTGGCTGGCGAGGACTTGTTGCTCGCTTGCGCGGTCAGACGAGCGGGTCGAACGACGCCTCGAACGCGGCGGGCGAGTCGCACGGCTTGCTCTTCTCGCAAGACGAGTCGGACGAGACCGACACCGATGCACCCGCGGCGTCCCGACCGTCGACATACCCTCCTCCGCACGCCCAGACTCGCAACCCCCTCCTCCCTCTTCCCGTACGACCACCTCAATTCGCCCCGCCTTCAGCTTCCGGTGCGACAGCAGGACGAGTATTCGGTGGCGGGCAGAGCAACGACGGCGTCTTTGCGAACTTGGCCGCGAAGCCGGATAACCCGCAAGGATTGGACGTCGTTGGCGAGGGGCCGGACAAGAACGAGGTGCTGCCGGTTCGTCCGAGTTCCTCAGCTGTGGTTGTTTTCTCGCCTATCGCACGTCCACTGACATTGACACTGGCCTGTCGGTTCATCCTTCGCTCAGCCCTACGAAGCAGCGCAACTCGACCCTTCGCCCGCGTACTGGGAGACGACCGTCATTACACCCGGCGGACCTTTCAGTGCAGACGACATCTGCGTCGACGGTCTGCCCGTCGGCAACCTCTTCAGCTTTGCGTGGAACCTGCTCGTGTCCATGTCCTTCCAGTTTGTCGGTGCGTCCGAGCGGGATCTGCCTACGCGTCCCTCAGCTTTGGCATGCGTGCAGAGGTTGACGTGCTTCTTTGGGACGCAGGCTTCCTCCTCACCTACATCCTCCACACCACGCACGCTGCCAAGAATGGCTCTCGCGCCGGACTCGGCATCACCCTCATCCAGCTCGGCGTACGTCGCGCTCCCTTCGCTCTTTCGCTTCTCTCGAGCTGACGAAACCGACACTCCCGCAGTTCTACATCAGGCAGCGCACCGACCACGCCTCCGACTTCCCCCTCGACCCCTCTTCTCCCGGCGACGAAACCGGTCTGAACGGTTCCGCCGGCCCCTCCGATCTCGACTCTCAACGTTGGACCTGGTGGGGCGGCTTTGACGACACGCCCGTCGAGTCTGCCACCGCGACCGCCTCCGGAGTATTCGGCAGCCTGCCGACGCAAGTGACGGACGCGTTGGGCAACGTGCTTGATGCGAGTGATCCGCAGGCTACGCCGACGGGTCTGGGGATGCCGAGCTTGCAGGGTGATGGGTTGTCGGTTGAGGAGATGGGGAGGATGAACGAGGCGGCGAATGAGTGGTTTGCGTTTGCGTTGGTCACTGTCGGGGTGAGTGGGAGCTCTCGATTGGCGATGCCGTGCGCGCCTTCAGTACAATTCGCTGATGCCCGACATCGCCGCCGCCTCGCAGTCCTTTCTGCTCATTGGAAGCTGTCTTGCCTACTGGCGCGCAGTCCGGTGCGTCATGAGACGGTTTCCGAAGCGACCTTCAGCACGCTGACTTCTCGACACCCTGCAGCTACGCCCGCGCGATGCGACGAGGGCAAGGACCTGGCGCCGACGCCGAGAACATGGTCGCTGTTTCTTGATCCATTTACGTTGTTGTTTCCAGTACTTGCCCGTCTTCTTATTGTCCCCCGTGCATTGCCATCGCGCAGGGCTGTGCCACTACTCGCTTCTTCACTCTACGACGAGATTGACGAGGAGGAGGAGGTCGTTGCGAAGGCCCTCAAGCGAGCTCGCCCGGGTTCGGCTTGAACCTGTACGGGCTGCATATCTCCCAAACATTCCAGCGCACACGAGATCAGCGCCGGTGACCCTTTGCCCACTCGCACTCCGCCTGATCCTCGCGACGCGACTTCACGCGCTGTTGTTTGGCACTCCGCTTCGACCTCTGTCTCCTCTCTCACACCCGCTCAGACCGCTCGAGAGACTGCGTACGGCTCAACTGGACTCCTGTCACGACTGCGCAGCAAACGAACGTCCGTCCCCGCCCTTCTTCGCTCCTCTCCCAGCCTCATCAGTCCGTCACTCATTCTCCGCACATACAGCCTGAACAGCGCATCGGGGCGGGCAACGTGTAGTCAGCAGTACCACACACCTCCGTATGAATCCCTCACAGGGCACCGACGCCCCCTCGTCGGCCATCTCGACCTCGAATCCCTCAACAACGCCAAGCACCCGCTCACGCCCTCCCCTTTCTCTTGCCTTCGCCTCGTCCAGTCGTGCGCCTACACCGACAGCAAGCGACGAGCTCCCTCCTCAGTCTCCCGCAGTCGTCCTCAGCCCTTCGACACCGGACTTTCCGACTGTTGGTCTCCCTGCTGAGCCGACAGAACTCGTGCCGGCGCAGGTTTTGCCTCCTGGACGGATGAACGGAATTGAGGAAATGCTAGGCGAGACCGGCGAGACGGACGATGTTGTCGAGGAGCTGGACTACGTAGGCGAGATAAGACGGGAGCAGAAGGGCAGGGTTGACACAGCGTTGCGGGACTCGCTGGCACTGCTCGACTCGAGCATGGCCGAGATCGAGTCGTTCGGGTTTAGTGGAGTTGGACGAGCTGTAAGCGAGGAGGACAAGACGGTCCGGCTGCCTGTACATTTCCCTTCCCTCGCTTCTTCTCCCCCCGCGTATCCTGACTTGTACGCCGACAGGTCATCACGACGAATCGCTTGACGGCAGACGCGTCGATGAACTCGCTCGCGTCCATCTCGACGAACGCCTCATCCGAGGACGCCTTCGACATTGCCGAGTTCCCCTCGATTGGCGATATCAACTCGTCTTTCGACCTTGCCGACCTTGCCGACAACCAGCGAAAGCGCTCAAGCGACCTCATGGCGTTCCCCTTCCCTCCGGCGCTCTCGCAGCAGCAGTCCAGCTACGACGAGGCCAACACTTCGGACGAGCTGATGTTCCAGCGCCTCGCTCAGCTCGGTCAGCGCGGCAGCATTCAGGGCCTCGGCTTGTTTTCGAGCGCCGGAACCGACAACTTCGTCTCACCCGTCCTCTCGCAGCAAAGCTCGCGCTCTCGCTCGTCCACCATCTCCGACTCGTCCACCATTTCCAGCAAGTCGTTCGACGCATCCTCGTCGACTCTTGCCAGCTCGGCCGCCAACACGTCGTACGGCATGCACGACAAGGGAGCCGAGTCGCACGAGGCTTTCCCCGCCGAGTTGACCAGCACGATCCCTTGGTTCGCCCAATCGCCTCCGAATACCATCTCCCGCTCCCTCCCCGCCCCGATCGACCCTCTCCTCGCCAACATGGGCTCCGCTCACCCCGCTCTCGCCTCACCCTTTGCGCCAAGCGCCTCGCCAACGACTCGGTATGCGACGCGCTCGTCGTCTCTCCCGCATGGCAAATCGCCCGTCACCTCGCGCGCGCCAAGTCGACTCGACTCGCTGTCCGTTGAGAACCTCACCGCAGCGCTTGACGAAACGGGAACGGCGGAATGGGCGCCATCCTCGTCGCAGGTCGTGATGACTGCTGAGGAGTTCGTCCAGTCGCCTGTCGACGAGATGGAGGTCCTCAAGGACGAGTTGCCCGAGCCGCCAATGTCTGCGCCCATCGTCCGGTCAACCACCCCTGCTTCGCCCTCGACTACCGGCTTCAAGACCCTCAAGCGGTTCTCGTCGCTCGGCCTGCTGCGAAAGAAGAAGAGCGAAGCCGTCTTGCGCGACTCGACTGCGACCAACACGAACGGCGCATCGGCGAAGCAGGAGTCGGGACCCAGGCTCGTCAAGCGCAAGAGCGAGGCGGCGCTCGCGTCGCTTCTTCGCTCGCGGATTGGTGGCGAGAAGGACAAGGAGAACGTCCCTGCGATGCCGACGATCTCTCGACCGGTTCTTCAGCCCACGCAGGCGCAGAACGCCAAGCTGCCGAAGCGCTCTGCGTCCTCGCCTCGGCTGTCGAAGCTGTTCGGCGCATCGACGACCGACAACTCGGCGCCGGCTGTCCCTGCGAAGGACGAGGGCACCTCGCGGCTCAAGAAGCGCCTCTCGACCTATTTCAACCAGCCGCGCGGCGGACCCGGTCATCCGCCCGTGCCCGTCGCGAAGAGCTCGACGCCGACCAAGTCTCGCCCGCCTGCGGTTGACGTCGCGAAGGCGAATGCCGGCCTTGGTCTCGCACGGCTCGCGACGATTGAGTCGGCCCAAGCATCGCCCGTTCCGACTCTCGAGCCAAGCACGCCGTCGTCGGTCCCGCCGTCGTCCATCTTTTCCGAAGCGCTTCCACCCAGCACATCCTCGCCGCTCTACTCCTCCTTCGCCGCCTCGTCCGTCTCCTCCCTGCCGACTGCGTCTCGCTATGTGCTCGACAAGCCCCTCCCACAACCGATGCCGACGTCCTGCTTCTCGGCTCCCCCGACGCAGACGCAGTTCCCGTTCCTCGTTCCGCCTTCACCTGCCAGTTCGGCTCACTCGTCAGCAGAGACCGCCGACCGACCTGTCTCGCTAATGGGCTTCATCGACGTCCCCCTTCGCTCAACGTCCATCTTCCCGCCGACGAAGCTGGCGCGGGAACGGCTCGTGGCGCCGGCCGACTCGCGCTCGACCCGTTCGACGTCTCCTGGCGGAGCCGACTCTCGACCGACCTCGCCTAGCATCGCCGACGTTCTGAATGCGCAGCCGCTCTCGCACCAACAACTGATGGCGCCGATCGCTCCGGAGGAGATCATCGCCTTCCCCGTCCACCTCTCCGCCCCGCATGCTGCAACCACCAGCCCGTCGACGGGCTCAGAGATGAGTGACGACGACTACGGGTCTGATTCGGTCACCAGCGACGAGGATGATGACCAGCCACTTGGCGCAAATCCTGCCGCTCTGACTGCGCAGAAGAGCCTAAGGCTTACGGCGGCCAAGAAGAGTCGGGGTGAACGGAAGGCGCGAGAGGCGAAGGAACTTGAGGCGAAGCAGCAGGCCAGGCAGGCGACGGCGCTGCTCAAGGCTGCTGCGAAGCCGGAGGATCCGTTCGAGCTGGAGAAGACGGCCGCGATGGTTGCTTCGCAGAAAAATCGACCGACCGCGGCGACGCAGCCCCTGCAGATGCGCCCGTCACTCTCGCCTGTTCACTCGGGCTCGTCGGTTGCGACGCTCCAGTCGGCCGGCCACGACTCGCTGCTCCCGCAGACCGACGCTTCGATCCTCCGCAAGGCCGGCTCCTTTGGCATGACGCGCTCACCCTCGTCGCCACTTGACCCTATGGTGGCCGATTCCTCGCTCACCATCGACTCGCCCGAACTCGTCCAACAACCGCTTCCTAGGCCCAAGCGGTCGGACTCGCGGCTCGCGACTGCACGGCAGCGGTCAAAGTCGCCAGCAACGACGCAGAGCCCGGCGATGCCTGCCATCGAGACGCTCGCTGTCACCGCGCCGCCTCTTCGCTCTCCAACCCTCGTCAGCCCTTCGCCCGTTCCTTCGTTCCGTCCGCCTCCCGTTCCTTCGACTTCTGCCCTTCCCTCGTCTACTTCGGCCTTCGACCGCCGACCAAGCGTCCATCGCAAGGCCTCCGACTCGCCCTCGTCGTCGCCAGCGGGCACGCCTGTCCTCGGTCGGCGGCCTAGTCTTCATCCTGACTCGCAAGTCCCGACGATGAAGCGCAAAGTCAGCGAGTCGTCCACGACGTCCGCTTCGCCTGCGCTCTCCCGAGCGTCGACGCTGGCTGGCCGATCACGGTCAGCGACGGTCTCGTCGGCGCCGCCTGTCGAGCACCGCATCTACCTCGACGCGTCTTTCGCCAAGTATCTCAAGGTTGCCATCTCGGACAAGACGCTCGCTGGAGAGGTGGTGTCGCTCGGCAAGGCCAAAGGTGCGCTCAGCAAGACGACGGCGACCGATGCGAGCGAGGGAGGCTGGGCGCTGTGGGAAAGCTGGCGCTCGACTGGCCTTGGTGAGTCCGCCTGCATTGCCCGGACTCTCTGGCGTCTCGCTGATGGCCTCGACTGCTACAGAACGGCCGATTCGGGAGTACGAACTCGTCAGCGACGTTCTCAAGTCGTGGGATCAGGAGTCGAACGCCCTCCTCTTCCGCCGAACGACCATGTGGCCCGTCTTGTCCGCACATGTGAGCAGAGTCATTCTTGTCGTCACGACCGTACGACTGACTTCAGCTCATACGCTAGGCTCGCATCCACCCGCCGGTGCCGAAGTCTGGCCAGATCCAGCTCGAGGTCAAGAAGGGCAAGTGGTCGAAGCGGACGCTCGAGCTCAAGGACGGGACGATCACCTACTCAAAGTCGGAGAAGGTGCGTCTATGTCGCCTCCTCATTCTCGAGCACGGCTGACGGCTCCCCGAGCAGGGCAAGGACTCGACCATTCTCTGCCAGCTCGCGAGCTTCAACGTCTTCCTTGTGTCCTCGCAAGCGGCCGAGCGACTGAAGGCACCGAAGCCCTACGTCTTTGCGCTCAAGTCGCGGTTGACTCGCGCGCACTTCGAGGAAGCGTCCGAATGGTGCCACTTCCTCTCGACGAAGACGCCGGAAGAGGCGGCAAGCTGGGTCAAGACGATCCTCGAGGCGGGAGTGCGTACCGGTCACTTCTTCCGCCCATGGGCGTCCGCGCTGACCTCTCGTTCGCAGAACACGTTTGCCCGCCAGCGTGAGCAAGCCGTCCTTGGCACAGTCTCCGGCATTTCCACATCTTCTTCGCCTTCCTCGTCCGCTCCTCTTCTAGCCAACGCCGTCCCGAGCTCCTCACCACCTCTATCTGCCAGTGCAAACTCTCAAGGCGGCGCGCTCTCCCGCAACCCGTCTTCCCGCCCAGCCCCGCCGATTCTCTCGCAACGTTCCAACACACTCCCCATTCCCTCTGCCGACCCCTCGCTTGCGCAGCAAGCGCTCCAGCGGAACAAGTCGGTCGTCAAGCCGGACTCGCGCAAGTGGGCGAACATGGCTGACGACGAGCGGCAGGAATGGCTGAAGACGACGGAGAAGGCGGCGAAGCAGACCAAGACGCCGCTCGTCGACTTGTCGCGGTAGGAGGCGGATTGCAGCATGAGGGACGAGGAGTTCGGGGGGTTCTTTCGTGTTTCAACTTGTTGTCTCTCTTTCTCCGTCTTATGGCTGCCTCAGCGCGCCTCGTCTGGTCAATACGCATCGCTGTAACGTCATTCAAATGCTCCAAGTCGCCGTCCTCGATGTTTGCCGTCGAGCACACACCTCTTCCTCGCCTCCTGTCTATCGCGCTCCTCTCGCGCGTTTCACTCGCTCCTCGGCATTACCGCGTTCCTCTCCTCTCCTGAAACTCGACGTTGTGCTCCCACCGAAGGTGCTTGTGCCCATGGACGAGTCGTTGGAGGGCCTGCAGCTCCCGCTCTTGTCGGGGAGTTGGGCGACAGATTGGGCGACACACGAAGCCAGGCGCGTCGCCTGCTGTTGTTGTCTGCGTTCCGTCGTTGCCAGCTTGACGTTTGCTACCTCTGCAGGCTGCGCAACTGGCTGTCTGTGCGAGGTGTACCGCTGTACTCGCGCGAGGCAGCCGAGACGCTCGCTCTTTCCCTCACGCATCAAGCTGCCGCCGAGTTTGAGCGAGAAGCTGGGCCAATTGAGCGTAGGGTATTTGAAGAGGGTGCTGCCTGGTGCAGGACACGATGGGGTGACGAGCAGCGAACGAAGTGCGCATTCCAGCGTTTCTCTCTTTTGGACGAATTCGCTGATTCGACACACCCAGGTTGGCGATGGCTTCTGCACTCAACAAACTGACGGCCCGAAGCTTTCGCGAACGAGGCAGGAGGCGGGAGATGGTGCAGGACCTGGTGGACGACCTCGAAAGACTGTTCCTCCAGGGGAAGATAGTCGAGGACGAGGCGAAGCGGCGGGCTTTCGTCGGGTGCGTCCTGGCTCTTCGTTGCTCCGCGTCCCGACTCACATCAGAACCTTGCAGCTGCTTTCTCGAGTTCCCCGGCCTCGTCAAGCGTCTAGCGAAGAAAGAGTCGTTCCTCTCGGCAGTCGGAGAGGCGCTCGACTGGGAAGGCGAGATGGTCTTGAAGGAGCGGAGAGTCAGGACCGAGTCGATGAACATGGTGCTTGGTGCAGGATGGGCAGCTGCGACTTCTCGAGGAGAAGGGGAGGGTGCAAGAGCTGCCGACAATGCTGCGAATAGACCGGTTCAGGTGCGTCGAGCGGCATCGAATGCAGCAGGACGTGTTAAAGACGCAGAGATCGACTCAGGCTTCGCAAAGACTGACTACGTACGCTGAGCAGGATCCCGACTTGCGAAGCTCTCCTTCGCACCTTCGTCCTTACGCCTCCAGCTCACCCGACGCTCCTCAAGGGCATCCGGACCCTCTCAACAATCCCTCCTTTCCGTACGCAACCCCAAGAAGCACCTTCAGCCGCGCGCACACCCGCTCCGTCTCCGCCTCTCCCTTCCTCGCTCCAGAGACGCCGTCTCCGACCACGCGCATCCCTACTCCGCCCTTCGTCGCTGAAGCCACGTCAACCCCTCGTCCTTCAACATCCGCATCGTGGATCCAGCCTGCGGAAGTCGACGGACGAGTGGAAGAGGCGGACTTTGCCTCGTTCTCTGCGGTTCCGTACCCAGCTCGGCCGTCACCTACCTCGTTCGTCTCCCCCAGGCGAACGGTTGAGCGAGCTGCCGCAGCGAGAGAAGGTCGGAGGAGTAGCAGCGGCCTGTGGCTCAGCAGCGGCGAGACGAAGCCAAGCGCCGAACCAGCAGGACTCGGCCAAGCACCCGCTCCTTCCAGTGGCGAAACACTCCCACGACCAGCTTCGTCGATGGCGAGCTACACCGCAGACAAGACGAGCACATTCGGACGAGGCTCAGGCCTGATCGGCTTCCTACGACGCGGACTGGGCGGACATAGGCGGAGCAAGTCGTATAGCGGTGGACCGACGGTGTTAGCAAGCAGCGGCGAGGGAACGGCGGTGGAGCAGGCGAGCGAGGGAAGGCCGGCGAAGCAGAGAGGGAAGGTCGTGTTGGGTGGACTGGGGTTGCCGCCGTGAGTGGATGAGCTCGGAGGAAAACCTTATACCCGTATCGAGCGACAGTAGATCGTAATCAAGGAGTCTTAGCCATGCGGAACGCGCTGGAAGTGTGTCTGGATGACGGCGAGAGATCCCCGAAAGTCGGGTAGAGGCAGAACGAGCGAAAGTTGCGATGCGAAGTTGATGCGATGGTAGTGCTACAATGGCGAGAACGACGAACTGTGAAGCAACCCGTCAGCAATCGTGCGCGACCGCAGAAGCGAGAGGAGAAGCAACGAACAGACTGGGTGGCCGGTTCTTGGCCCGGCAGGCGCCCGAACGACGAGCCTCCGACCACCAAGCATTCTGTGAAGCTCGTCTGGTCCGGAGTATAGACGGGAGAAGGGTCTTCCGCCCGCTCAGAGGACAGGAATGACCGACTCCGCCTGCTGTTCCTCCTCCTCGTCGTAGTCTTCGTAGTCCATCTAAAACGCAACGCGGGTCAGCTCACTCGTCAGCCGTAGGAGACGCTAGGCTGTCCCGAAACGCACCATATCGTACACTACCCGCACCAGCAAGCTGCAACTTGGGCAAGTCGCCACCTCTTCTCCCCGCGCCAACTGCGCCTGCAGAATGGAGCGGTCGTGTCAGCTCTTCTCATCCCACCCGTGCTACTCGATGGACCGCAAGCGACGCACCCTCGAGATCTCGAACCTGTCACCGCACGGGCAGGGGTAGTGGAAGACCTGCGAGAGAGCGGCGACAACACCGCTTGGTCAGCTCGGATGGAAACGCGCAGGAAGCTGACGGGTGCCACACACTTTTTTGGCTTCGTCCCAGGCAAAGTCCTCGATCTCGAGCTCGTCGTCTGCGGTCGGAGAGAGCGGCGGGGTTGGGAGGCGGCGGGAGTCAGCGACAGCGCTTGGAAGCGGTTCGGCTGCGTCCAGGGGTGCTGCATCAGTTCAATGAGGCTCTGCACGCACAGTACGAGACCATCCGCGGTGTGCGAGTGAGACGAGGAGACTACATGCATTGCGTCCTGCCCTTATCAAGGCATCCATTGCTGGCTTGCACGCTTACAGCACCGCTGCGACTCGCTGACAGGTTGAGAAGGGTTCAGGAGAGCTGTACAGTCCAAGCGGAACCATGCCAGACCCGCCGACCTCTCCGCCGCCGCCTCCGGCCTCGTCCTCGCATCCTCCCATCTCGTCACACAACAACTCGACCGTGAACCGCAGGAGATCGCTGTCGAGGTCTTCGCAGGGATCAGCATTCCGCGCATCTCTCGGCGGCAAGCCAATCCTCCCCCCAAAGTACGGCGCGACCACCTCGCGCAACACTGTCGACAGCGCCCTCTCAGATTCAGAGCTCGGCAGCGCCAGCGGAAGCGATGGAGGCTTTGCAGGGAGGATTGGAAGCTTCAGCGTGACGCGGGAGGAGCTGCGCGACGGTGAGTCTCCCTCCCTCGACCCTGCTCTCGCGATCCGGGATCGACGGGCAAGCCACTGCGGCATGGATGTGCTGAAAGCGAGAGTTTTTGAGCTGCCTGAGCAGCACAAAAGGAAGGACTCGAACTGGCGGCGGGCGGAACGGACGATGCTGGGAGGGTAGGACCGACTGACACTCCTCTCTTCACGCCCGTCTGCAGGATCTGCGCGACTCGCCTCTCTCTCGCTGGCAGACACGCCAGGCTTCCCTTCTCCGCCATCACAGTCACCCGCCGCCGCATCAACCGGATCCTCCTCGTCCCCTTACTTCCCGCCCGTTTTCTCGCCCGACCTCGAATCCGCCTCCGCCATGTCCCCCTCCGGGCTCTCGCTCGCACGCCCTCAGCTCGTCACGAGTCCAGGAGAAGTACCGGCTGTCTCTCCTGCAGCGAGCGGACGGCTTTCGCCCATCCCTGCTACACCCGACGACAGCCGCGACTCGACTCCGACGCAATCTACCCTACCCCTTGCGCCTTCTCCTCCCTCACCCGTCGATCCGCTTCCTCCAGCTAGCGCCGTCCCCGAGGTCATTGTCGCATCCGCAAGCAGCGGCTCAGACGAGCGGACGCCTACGCCAGGCGGGATGTTCGCCGAGCCCGAGCAGCGCGAACGGGATGCGAGTCGCGAGCGCGAGCGGGTTCCTCGAGCGTTGGGCGACGAGAGTGGCGGAGCAAATAGTGAGGAAGAAGAGGATGCGATGGTCGAGGCAAGTGTGGGAGACTCGGCGATTGTGGTGGATGAGCGGGCGGCCGTGCGGGAGGATGAGGACGACGTGCGTGGCAATGCGCACGAGCGGACGCCCTTACTCGGCGCGAACGGTGGGCAGCCGAATGGTGGTCGTGTGCCGTCGCCGAACCGCTGGCACGAGACGGTCGCGCGCAAAGCAAAGGACCGGCTGAGCGGATGGGCGAAGCAGGCGGAGAAGCGCGGGAAGGAGATCACGGCCGAGGACGTCAAGGATGCGGGCAAGACGGCGGTGAAGAGCGTCCCTGCTGTGATCCTTGGGTGCGTTTGCTCGCTGAGCTGGTCGTGACTTGCGAGACGGAATGCTGACCTTCCCAACTTGCAGGACCTTGATGGTGGGCTGCCTCCTCTTCGCTGCATCCTCGGAAACCGAGACATGCTCGGACACAGAGATGTGCTGATACTGCTGGTCGACATTCCCACAGAACGTCCTGGACGGCGTCTCGTACGGCCTCATCACATACCCTACTCAGATCCCAGCTTTTGCTCGATTTGGCGGCATCGGCGTCTCGCAGTTCTTCGTCTCCTGCATCGTCGCACAGCTCGTCTTTTCCAGCGGCGGATCGATCTTTGCAGGCGGAAACGGCTCGATGATGATCGAGGTCGTCGTGAGTTGCCTTCGACTCGCCCTTCCAGGTTCGCAGCAGCTGAGTCGTCCGCTCGCAGCCCTTCTTCCACGCCATCGTCAGCACACTGCAGAAGCACATTGTCGACGACGACGTCCTCGTCGCGACCACAATGTTCTCGTTCGCTCTCTCGTCCGTCCTGACTGGCCTCGCATTCTTCGCCCTCGGCGTCATGAAGCTCGGCCGCCTGAGCGAGTTCTTCCCGCGCCACATCCTCGTCGGTACAATTGGTGGAGTCGGAGCGTTCCTCTTTGTGACGGGTCTGCAGGTCAGCGCGAGGCTGGAGGATGCGGATGCGTTCTCGCTCGAGCTGGCAAGACGCTTCTTCGAGTCGGACGTGCTGCCTCTATGGGTGCGTTGAGCTTTCTCGCTCGGTAAGCTCGCGCTGACAGCTCGCTCGCCGCAGACCATCCCGCTCGCCCTCGCCATCATCCTCCGCCTCATCACCGCCCGCTATAACCACCCCCTCATCTTTCCCAGCTACTTCCTTGCCATCCCTCTCGTATTCTACATCATTACGGCTGCTGCGCGCATTCCTGTCGAGGAGCTGCGCGAGAAGGGTTGGGTGTTTGAGCTCGGAGGAGTGGATAACAAGTGGTACGAGTTCTGGACGCTCTTCGGTGCGTGAAGCTTTTCCGTGTGTTCGCAGCAAGAGACTTAGTGCTCAAGCTGATACTCCCACATGACCTTCATTGCAGACCTCCGCAAGACCGACTTTGGCGCGATCCTCGAGACCATCCCGAACCAGCTCGCGCTCGTCTTCTTCGGCCTTCTCCACGTCCCGCTCAATGTGCCTCTCCTCGCCATCTTCGTCGGCGAAGACAATGTCGACACGGATCGCGAGCTGGTCGCGCATGGCGTGAGCAACTTTGCGAGCGGTGTTGTCGGAGCTGTGCCGAACTACCTCGTGCGTTTCACGTACTCACTTAAGCCGCTCTCCTGCTAATGATTTGCCGAACTGCAGGTCTACGTCAACTCGGTCTTGTTCTACCGCAACGGCGGCACGACCCGCATCTCGGGCTTCCTCCTCGCCGGCGCCTCTGTCGGAGTCCTCGTCGCCGGGCCAGGCATCATCGGCTTCCTGCCCGTCTCCGTCGTCGGCGCGCTCATCTTTATCCTCGGTATCGACCTCGTCAAGGAGGCGCTGTGGGACACGTATGGCCGGGTGTCGAGGTTCGAGTATGCGACGATCTGGATCATGTGCGTCCTGCTCTAGCCGTCTCACGGGTGCATACTAACCCTCGCTCGAACCTCCAGCGTCATCGTCATGACCATCTGGGACTTTACGATTGGTCTGGCGGTCGGCTTGATCCTCGCCTGCGTGCGTGCAACTCCCAAAGGCTCTCGCTTTCGAGCCACGTTGACAAACTTCTCCGTTGCAGGTCTCCTTCGTCATCATGTCCTCCCAGAGACGCACCATCCGTTCCATCCTCACCGGCAGCGTCGCCCGCTCAACCGTACGTCGACACCCAAAGCAAGCCGCGTTCCTGCACGAAGTCGGCCGCCAGATCCGCGTCGTCAAGCTGCAAGGTTTCCTCTTCTTCGGCACGATCTCGAACGTCGAGGAGGCGGTCAGAAAGCTGCTTGATGCGGCGAGCTGGTCAACTTCGCCGATCCGGTACCTCATCATCGACTTTAGCATGGCCAGCGGTGCGCAACACCCTTTCATTTTTCTCCAACGGCGATACTGAGACTTGCTCTCACAGGCGTCGACTTCTCCGCCGCCGAAGCCTTCGTCCGCATGCAACGCCTGCTCGACGAGCGAGGCGTGATCCTCGTCCTCTGCGGCTGCCCGGTCGACTCACCCGTCGGTGTCGCGTTGCGAAGCGTAGACTTGTGGAGCGACAACGCGGATGGGAAGGTCGTCGTGCTGCAGAACCTGAACGATGCGCTCGAGGTGCGTTGGCGATCCGTCCTCCGGCGTATATGCACTTTCATGCAGAAGCCCGCTGATGGATCATCGCCCTTGTTCACACAGCACTGCGAGAACGCCTTCCTGCGCAGCCTGTACTCAAAGACGTTCCGCCCGCCCATTCCTTCGGCTCCGTCCGGCCAAGGAGCAGTTCCCATCGCTTCGCAAATCGGTACGCCGCCTTCCTTCGACGTCCTTGGAATCAGAAGCTGACGTGTTCGGAGTGCAGAACTGCCCAAGTCGGACCTCGACAGCGACATCGAAGGTTTCGCCTCGTCACCTCGCGCCAACCACCTCCGAATAGCAGCTCGCGAGACGATGTCTCGAGGTGCGCCGTCCTCCTCGCCGTACAGTGGAGCTCGTCTACTGACGCTGCCGGTCGCTCGCAGCGGAAGTACCGCAGACTAAGATGAATTTCCAGCAGCCGCTGCCGATCCTCCTGCAGGCGTTCAAGCCGTACTCGCCCGACTTTAACGAGGACTACTGCTTCGTGAGTCCGGCGTGCTCGGAAGATACTGCAGGCGGAGGCGCTGACAATCCTTTCGCCGCTCCGCCCTAACCCGCAGCGCCTCGTCCCGTACTTCAAGCGCGTCAACGTCGCCCGCGGCACGACATTGTGGACGGACGGCTCGGATCCCGACGCGTTCTACGTGATCGAGTCGGGCATGCTGCGCGCAACATACGTCTTCGCCGACTGCTCGCGAAGCATGTCCGAGTCGATGGTTGCGGGCACCGTCGCAGGCGAGATGTCGTTCCTCTCGCGCACGAAGCGGAACACGACGGCTGTCGCTGAGCGGGACAGCGTGCTGTGGCGGATGGATGTCAAGGCGCACGAGGAGATGGGACGCAAGGAGGGGTGGGCGTTCGCGCGCAAGTTTGAGGAGACGGTCCTCAAGATTGCGGTCGCCGAGGTCGACGTCCTCATGGGACACCTCATGGCCAGCCTGTAGCATTACCCAGGCGACGCACCCTCGACTCGACACACCTTATTTCCCCTCGCCTCGACGACGGCCTATTTTCCTCGCCAGCATCTTCGCCATCGCCTTTGAGCCTACTCGCATGTGCAACCCGTCCATTGCACCGTTGCCAAGTGCGACAAGTTGACATCGACGAGGCGATCCGTGCGCAGGGGAGCTTGGGGGCCGCCGAGGAAGCCGATCTCGCTCTTGGTCCTCTTCCCTCTCTTTCCCAAGGACGGCTCCCATATGGGACGGACTTGTGGAATAGAGAGAGAGCTTCAAGAGAACGCTGCACGCTGCTTGTCGTCCGCCGTCCCCCAGCGTCGCTGCCTCTGCGCTCGACGCCATCCGACGCCGTTCAGCCTCAGACGACCGTATCTCGATAACGAAGGCCTTGGGAGGATGTGGGATGCACGGGAGGGTTCGCAGAGGTCGATACTATCTCTGCAATGCCTCGTCAGGCGTCTCCACGGTGTTGCGGTCGTCGAGAGGTGTGCAGCTTTGGGCGCTTTTGCTCTTTCGCGGGTCTCCCTCCTTCCTCTCTCTCCGCTCCGGCTTACACAGGGCATAGCGGGCATCTGAGCAGCCCTAGAGGACCCAGCACGGCTGTTTGAGTTTCCCCACACCTCTGCAGCCCTCTGACCCGCCTCGCTCACCACCACCGACCCCGCACCATCTCACTCGCTTCACACGCCTAGAAAAATGGCCGCCACGCCTCCTGCCCTCGACTTGCAGGTCCCTGCAGCTCCCGCAGCGCCCGCACCTTCCCGCCCCGCCTCGCCCAGCGCCCGCATCGCCGGCCGCCCCGTCCAGCCCATCGTCTCGCTCCCTGCCCAAGAGATCGCCTCGCTGTACCCTGGTCCCGATGCGCCGCTCCGAGGAGTCGACCCCAAACTCAAGACTGAGCGCATGCTGCTCGAGTTGGCCGACGGGAGCGCCTACGAGGGATACTCGTTCGGCGCCGACAAGAGCATTGCGGGCGAATGCGTCTTTACGACGGGTTCGTGCCCTCTCTCGAGCTCGAGATAGTGCTGGACAATGTGCTGACATGCTGGTCACTCGCTCAGGCATGGTCGGCTACCCCGAGTCCTTGACCGACCCGTCGTACTCGGGCCAGATCCTCGTCCTCACCTACCCGCTCATCGGTTCGTACGGTGTCCCCAAGCGTCCCGCAAAGGGCACTGTCAACCCCGCTTCGCTCCCGCACGAGTTCGAGTCGTACAAGATCCACGTCGCCGGTTTGATCGTCTCGAACTACTCGGGCGCAGGCGACGACTTCTCGAACCACTCTGCGTTCTCCGAGCTTGCCGACTGGCTCAAGGAGGAGGGCATCCCTGCGATCTATGGCGTCGACACCCGCGACTTGACGAAGAAGCTTCGCGAGCGCGGCAGCACGATCGGTCGCCTCTCGCAGCGCAAGAAGGGCGTCGAGGTCGAGGAGGGCGCTTTCAACTGGCGCGAGGCGTACGAGCAGCTCGAGTACCACGACCCCAACGCCGACAACCTCGTCGCGGCGGTCTCGACTCCCCAGCCTGTCCTCTATCCCGCCGATTCGGGCGTCACCCCTGTCAAGCACACGAGCGGACGCAACTTGCGCGTGATCTGCGTCGACGTCGGAATGAAGTACAACCAGATCCGCTGCTTCACCAAGCGCGGCGTCGAGCTCAAGGTCGTTCCGTACGACTATGACTACCTTTCCCCGAACGAGGAGCCGTTCGATGGTCTCTTCGTCTCGAACGGTCCGGGCGACCCCGCCACGCTCAAGTCGACGACCGCGATCCTCGCCAAGGCCATCGAGGCCGCCAAGGTCCCCATCTTCGGTATCTGTCTCGGCCACCAGCTCCTCGCCCGCGCGTCGGGCGCCAGCACCCTCAAGCTCAAGTACGGCAACCGTGGCGCCAACATCCCCTGCACGTCGCTCGTCACCGGCCGCTGCTACATCACCTCGCAGAACCACGGCTACGCCGTCGACACCCAGACGCTCCAGCAGGGCTGGAAGGAGCTCTTCATCAACGCCAACGACTCGTCGAACGAGGGAATCTACTCGACCGAGCGCCCGTACTTTTCCGTCCAGTTCCACCCCGAGTCGGCGCCCGGCCCGCGCGACACCGAGTTCCTCTTCGACACGTTCATCTCGGCGATCCAGAAGAGCCTCGAGAAGCAGGCCAACGGCGAGAAGCTCACCGGCCCCGTCGTCTTCCCCGGCGGCGACGCCGCTGAGAACGCCGCCAAGACGCCTCGTGTCGACGTTCGCAAGGTCCTCGTCCTCGGATCTGGAGGTCTCTCGATCGGTCAGGCTGGAGAGTTCGACTACTCCGGTTCGCAGGCCATCAAGGCGCTGAAGGAGGAGGGCATCTACACCATTCTCATCAACCGTGGGTTACAGCCCAGGTCTCGGACGCAAGCAACCTGCTGACCTTCTCGCTTTCACAGCCAACATCGCCACGATCCAGACGAGCAAGGGTCTCGCCGACAAGGTCTACTTCTTGCCCGTCACCGCCGACTCGGTCCGCAAGGTCATCCAGCACGAACGCCCGGACGGCATCTACTGCACCTTCGGTGGACAGACCGCCCTTCAGGTCGGTATCAAGCTCAAGGACGAGTTCGAGGGACTCGGCGTCAAGGTCCTCGGTACCCCCATCGAGACGATCATCACGACCGAGGACCGCGAGCTCTTCGCTCAGGCGATGGAGCAGATTGGCGAGAAGTGCGCCAAGTCGGCCGCCGCCAACTCGGTTCAGGAGTGCATCGACGCTGCGAACGACATTGGCTACCCCGTCATCGTCCGTGCTGCTTTTGCGCTCGGCGGTCTCGGATCCGGCTTTGCCAACAACGAGAAGGAGCTTGTCGAGCTCTGCACCAAGGCGTTCGCGACCTCGTCGCAGGTCCTCGTCGAGCGCTCGATGAAGGGATGGAAGGAGATCGAGTACGAGGTCGTCCGTGACTGCCGCGACAACTGCATCACGGTCTGCAACATGGAGGTGAGCAGCCGTTTCCTTCCGCCTCTCCGGCCTGTACCTGACTCACCTGCTCTCCCTCGCAGAACTTCGACCCCCTCGGCATCCACACCGGCGACTCGATTGTCGTCGCGCCCTCGCAAACCCTCACCGACTCGGACTACAACATGCTCCGCACTACCGCAGTCAACGTCATCCGTCACCTCGGCGTTGTCGGTGAGTGCAACATCCAGTACGCCCTCAACCCGCACTCGCAGGAGTACTGCATCATCGAGGTCAACGCGCGTCTCTCGCGTTCGTCGGCGCTCGCCTCCAAGGCGACCGGTTACCCTCTCGCGTACACGGCCGCCAAGCTCGGGCTCAACATCCCGCTCAACGAGATCAAGAACTCGGTCACGAAGAACACGAGCGCCTGCTTCGAGCCGTCGCTTGACTACCTCGTTGTCAAGATCCCCCGATGGGATCTCAAGAAGTTCACCCGCGTCTCGAGCTCGCTGTCGTCGTCGATGAAGTCGGTCGGCGAGGTCATGGCTATCGGCAAGACGTTCGAGGAGACGATTCAGAAGGCCATCCGCGCCATCGACCCGTCGTTCGCTGGCTTTGGCAAGGTGAGCTGGCGGTTTCTCTCCGCCTCGCCGCTTCCCTTTGCTGACTCGCCCTCTAATAGAACGCGTTCCCGATGGAGGAGGTTGACGAGGAGCTCCAGAACCCGACGGACCGCCGCCTCTTCGCCATTGCCAACGCCCTCCACGCCGGTCGCTCGGTCGAAGAGGTCCACAAGCTCACCAACATCGACAGGTGGTTCCTTCACAAGCTCGAGCACATTGTCCAGGTCGACAAGACGGTTTCGTGAGTCGGCATTCGTCCTCGTCGAGGCAGGCCTCTCGCTAACGATGTCCCATCCGGCAGGCAATACACTGCCTCGCAGATCCCGCGCGGCCTCCTCCACTGCGCCAAGCGCACTGGCTTCTCCGACGCGCAGATCGCCAAGGCGCTCGGCTCGAACGAGCTCGCCGTCCGCCGCCTCCGCCTCGACTATGGCATCACGCCTCGCGTCAAGCAGATCGACACGGTCGCCGCCGAGTTCCCCGCCTTCACCAACTACCTCTACATGACCTACAACGGTGCCGCCCACGACGTCAGCTTTGGCGACAAGGGTATCATGGTGCTCGGTTCGGGAGTGTACCGCATCGGTTCGTCGGTCGAATTCGACTGGTGCGCCGTCCGCGCCATCCGCACGATCCGCGAGCGAGGCTTCAAGACGGTGATGGTCAACTACAACCCGGAGACGGTGTCGACCGACTACGACGAGGCCGACCGCCTCTATTTCGAGGTGATCTCGCTCGAGACGATCCTCGACATCTACGAGGCCGAGACCTCGTCCGGCGTCGTCGTCTCGATGGGCGGCCAGACGTCGAATAACATCGCGCTCCCGCTCCACCGCCAGGGCGTCAAGATCCTCGGCACCTCGCCCGAGAACATCGACATGGCCGAGAATCGCTACAAGTTCTCGCGCATGCTCGACAAGCTCGGTGTCGACCAGCCGCTGTGGAAGGAGCTCTCGACGATGGAGGCCGCGCACGAGTTCTGCAACAAGGTCGGCTACCCGGTCCTCGTCCGCCCGTCGTACGTCCTGTCCGGCGCGGCAATGAACGTCGTATACTCGGGAGACGACCTCGACGCGTACCTGAAGCAGGCGGCGGCCGTCTCGCGCGAGTACCCCGTCGTCGTCACCAAGTACGTCGAGGAGGCCAAGGAGATCGAGATGGACGCCGTCGCCCGCGACGGCAAGCTCGTCATGCACTACGTCTCGGAGCACGTCGAGAACGCCGGTGTCCACTCGGGAGACGCGACCCTCATCCTCCCGCCGCAGGACCTCGACCCCGAGACCGTCCGCCGCATTGAGGAGGCGACCCGCAAGATCGGCGCCGCCCTCAACGTCTCGGGTCCGTTCAACATCCAGTTCCTCGCCAAGAACAACGAGATCAAGGTCATCGAGTGCAACGTCCGCGCCGCTCGCTCGTTCCCCTTCGTCTCCAAGGTCACCGGCATCGACGCCATCGAGCTCGCGACCGACATCATGCTCGGCCTCCCCGTCACGCCCTACCCCGAGCTCAACCTCCCCAAGGACTACGTCGGCATCAAGGTCCCGCAGTTCTCGTTCGGCCGTCTTGCCGGCGCCGACCCGATTCTCGGTGTCGGTGCGACCGTTTCCGCTTGTCGTCTCGTTCCCGGTCCTTAGCTGACTCACTCGCCCCCCCTGCAGAAATGGCGTCAACTGGTGAAGTCGCCTGCTTCGGCAGGGACAAGTACGAGGCGTACTTGAAGGCCCTCCTCTCGACGGGCATGAAGCTGCCGAAGCAGAACATCCTCTTCTCGATCGGTCCATACAAGGAGAAGGTTGAGCTGCTTCCCTCGATCCAGAAGCTCCACAGCCTCGGCTACAACATCTTCGCGACCGTCGGAACGGCCGACTTCCTCCAGGAGCACGGCGTCCCCGTCAAGTACCTCGAGGCGCTCGACGAGGAGGACGACCGCAAGGCCCAGAAGTCGGAGTACTCGCTCCGCGAGCACATCGCCAACAACAAGATTGACCTCTACGTCAACCTGCCGTCGAAGAACCGCTACCGCCGTCCCGCGAACTACATGTCGAAGGGATACCGGTCGCGCCGCATGGCCGTCGACTTTGCCGTCCCGCTGGTCACGAACGTCAAGTGCGCCAAGCTCCTCATCCAGGCGATCGCCCGCAACCCGTCGCTCGAGATCTCGAACGTCGACTACAAGACCTCGAGCCGCACGGTCGTCCTTCCCGGCCTCGTCAACACCCGCTGCTTCGTCCCGGGTGTCGCCGCGCCCGGCTCGAAGGACTTCGCCGCCGTCACCAAGGCCGCCCTTGCCGGCGGCTTCACGACGGTCCAGGTTCTCCCCGTCGGCGACAAGGCCAGCGTTGTCGATTCGCCTTCGCTCGACGTCGCCCGCGACAACGCTGCCTCGGCTGCGTGCGACTACAGCCTCGCTATCGCCGCCACGGCCGACAACGCCAGCCACTTGACCGGTGAGCTAATCGCTGGCGCTCGCACGCTCTTCCTTCCGTCGCAGAACCTCTCGGCCTCGAACGACAAGGTGTCGACCGTCGCGGAGCACTTCTCGGCGTGGCCCCTCAACAAGCCGATCGTCACCGACGCGCGGACGACGGACCTCGCCTCAGTTCTTCTCCTCGCCTCGCTTCACGGCCGCTCGGTGCACGTCACGAATGTCCAGACTGAGAACGACATCAGCCTGATCAGCCTCTCGAAGGACAAGGACCTCAAGGTGACGTGCGACGTCTCGATCTACTCGCTCTTCTTGACGCGCGAGGAGTTCCCCGGCTCGACCTGCCTCCCGACCGCCAAGGACCAAGCTGCGCTTTGGGACCACCTCGACACGATCGACGTCTTTGCCGTCGGCGCCCTTCCCTTCCGCCTCGCGACCGAGCTCGGCAAGCCTTACTCCCCCGAAGCCGGGCAGGAGGAGGCTATGCAGCTTCTTCTCACGGCCGTTCATGACGGCCGCCTCAGCCTTGACGACATCATCTCGAGGCTCTCGGAGAACCCGCGCGCCATCTTCGACTTGCCGCCCAGCCCGACCGAGACCTACGTCGAGGTCGAGGTCGACCGCACCGTCGTCGTCCCCCGCCGCTCGTACTGGTCGCCGCTCGAGGGCAAGAAGCTCGCTGGCGCCGTCCACCGCGTTGTTCTCCGCGGTGAGACGCTTCTCCTCGACGGGCAATTCGTCGCGCGAGGCGCTCCGGCCGGTCGCGACCTGTCGGCTCTCGCAGGCGCCAGCAAGACTGAGCGCCGCCAGGCCCGCTTCTCCGTCTCGGCCACCCGCCCCTCTCTCGCCTCGATTGGCATGCCCACGAGGGAGAACGTCACTTCGCCGACCATGGCGCCCGTCTCGTCGCAGGCGCTTGCGACCAAGTCGCCGAAGCTCGCGAGCGCGAGGTCGCCCCGCCTCGAGGCGACCGAGTCGGCCCTCCAGCCGAGCCTGATGTCGCTCGCGACTGACCCTGTCGCCTCGTCGCTTGCGCCCGTCTCGCCCATGGCCAGCCTCCGCAAGCTCTTGTCGGCCGCCTCGCGCGCTTACAACCGTCGCCACGTCCTGTCGGTCCGGTCGTTCAACCGCGACGACCTCCACACTCTCTTCGGCGTTGCTTCGGAGATGCGCATGCTCACTGAGCGCGGCATTCCCATCGACATCATGCGCGGACGTGTTCTCTCGACCTTGTTCTACGAGCCGTCGACTCGCACCTCCGCCTCCTTCGAGGCTGCCATGGCTCGCCTCGGTGGCTCGACGGTTGCCGTCACTCCCGAGACATCGTCAGTCGTCAAGGGCGAGACCCTCGCCGACACTGTCCGCACCCTCGGCTGCTACGCCGACATCATCGCCCTTCGCCACCCCGCCGCCGGATCGGCGCAGGAGGCAGCGCGCTACGCGCCCGTTCCCGTCATCAACGCGGGCGACGGCATCGGCGAGCACCCGACCCAGGTGAGCCGACTTTCGGCTTCCTCGCGAAACGCTCTGGCTGATCTTGCCTCACATTGTAGGCCTTCCTCGACATCTACACAATTCGCGAGGAGCTCGGTACCGTCAACGGCCTCACGATCACGATGGTCGGTGACCTGAAGAACGGCAGGACTGTTCACTCGCTCGTCAAGCTCCTCTCGCTCTACTCGGTCTCGCTCATCTTCGTCGCTCCGCCGGCGCTCTCGATGCCGGAGTCGGTCAAGGCAGAGGCGGAGAAGGCTGGCATCCCTGTCTTCGAGACGACCAGTTTGGCGAGCGTCATCGGCCAGACGGACGTTTTGTACGTTACGCGCGTCCAGCAGGAGCGCTTCGCGTCGCAGGCCGAGTACGATGCGGTCAAGGACTCGTACATCGTCAACAACGAGATCCTCTCGGGCGCGAAGGAGCACTGCATCGTGATGCACCCGCTGCCGCGCAACGCCGAGCTCGACCCGAGCGTCGATGTGAGTTCTCTCCCTTCTCCTGCTTCGCTTCCTCCTTGCTGACCGCTTCCTTCCTACAGCTCGACGCTCGCCGTGCCAGCTACTGGCGACAAGTGAGGTTCGGCCTCTTCGTTCGCATGGCGCTGCTCGCACTTGTCGCCGCCGGCTCTGCCTAAGAGCGTCTCTCCTCTCTTGTCATATCTTACCTGTTCCTGTCCCTCTCTCGTTATAGATACCACATCAAGCACTGTAACTCTCTCTGACTGGCGTGGGGCCGGTCAATGAGCGCGTGCAACTCCTGCATTAGACTGAAGTTCATCCACCCACTCGTCGCGAGGAGACTCACATCGCTCCGCGCCTGGCTGCCGCTTCGCCGTGGCATTCGGAAGGCTGTAACGTCCTGCTGCAAGTTGCCGTTGCCCCTACGAAGCTGTCGCTCGACTCCGCCAATTCTCATCAGCTCGAGGACTCGCTCGTCTTCCTCCGTCCTCCTCGGCTTCATTCCGCTCAGGCTGCTCATACAAGCTCAAAAACGTGCTGTATCGCTCCTGCTACCATGGAGGCTGCCTCGCTCGCCTCCGTCGACACCGTCTACTCTGCAGACGCTATCGAGTTCTGTCCCGGTCGACCTCGCCTCTTCGCTTGCGGGACGTACCAGGTGGTCAAGGGCGACGAAGAGAACGGCTCGGGAGAGACGACGACAGCAGTAGAGGCCCCGGATGAGGAGGGAACGGAGGCGGGAACGTCGAGCAGTCCCTCCTTCACTCGCTACGGGCGATGTCTGCTGTACCAGGTCGGCTCTGACGGTCAGAGCTTGTGCGTCTTGCGCTATCGTTGGCTAGGATGGCGCTGACGTTGTTCGCGCAGGGAGGAAGTTCAGCGCTTCGATGGACCTGCCATCCTCGACATGAAGTGGTGCGTCTCGCGATTCTCGCTCTGCGAAGCTGTCCTCGCCGCTCACCTCTCGAGCAGGTCTCCCCGACCATGGAACGGATCGACTACGCTCGCTATCGCCGACGCAAAAGGCCATGTCCAGCTTCACAAGCTCGACGAAGAATCAGTTCGTCCGCTTTCAGTTGTTCGCTAGCCTGTATGGCACCAAACTAAACGCATATTATCCGCAGAACCGTCTCTCGCCACTCCAGACTATCGACTGCACCGACGAGTCGACCCTTTGCCTCTCCCTCGACTGGTCAACTCGGCGGAGCGCAACGCCAGAGTCCGTCTTGCAGCGACCGCTATCCTAATCTCGCCTCGCTGATCTGATTTGTCCACCCTAGTCCCGCCTCTATCGTCGTCTCGCTCTCGGACGGCTCAGTCTGCACACTTGGCGGCGAATCGGCTTTCGAGGTCACCTCCAGCTGGCATGCTCACGACTTCGAACCCTGGATCGCCGCCTTCGACTGCTGGGAATCGAGTACAGTCTGGACAGGTGGCGACGACTTGATGCTCAAGGGCTGGGACCTGCGACAAGGCTGCGACCGCCCGACTTTCGTGAACAAGCGGACGTGAGTTAGGTCTCCCAACACTCTGTCCATTCCCGCTGATTCGCTTCCACGCAGCTTTGAAGGCGGAGTGACCTCGATACAGAGCCATCAGCACGTCGAGAACCTGTTTGCCGTCGGAAGGTGAGCGCTTCGCTGCGCTCTTCACGGCACCTGCTCACGCTTTCTCCCAGTTACGACTCACGGATTCGTCTATTCGATCGGCGGAAACCTCTCGTTCCAGTGACCGAATTCGACGCAGGAGGCGGCATCTGGCGGCTGAAGTGGCACCCGACCGACCCGACGAGACTGCTTGTCGCCGGCATGCACGGCGGCTTCAAGGTGGTCGACTTTGATGGATTGGCTCTCAACGGCGGCGTCGATGCCGACGGCTGGCTCACGCCGGGCGAGAGCAAGCAGCATGCGCGCTTTGACAAGCACGAGAGCCTGGCGTACGGGGTCGACTGGAGCGACGGGGGAAAGACGGAGGACGGGAAGGACTTGATCGCTAGCTGTTCGTTCTACGACCACGCACTGCATCTCTGGGCAGCGTAACTCGCTCATCGAACGCTCAGAACGATGGGTATACTCGAGAGGATTGCAAGAAGCCGCTTCACCGCTTCGAGGGTCGCAGCAGGAGGTAGACGTATTCGCCGACCGTCAAGTTGGCCATGTGCCGGTACACACCCGTCAACGCCATCAAGAGCCCGCCGAACGAGACGTAGGCCGTCACCTCCTCGCCGGAACCCTCGTCGTACTTGTAGACCTGGAGGAAACCCTCGTCAGCCAGCTCGCCTCGCACGTGAAGCAGGACTCCAAGCGCACCTTTCCGTACATGACGTAGTCCCAGTCGTCTGCCAGTCCGCCCTCGATGTCTGCCCGCCATCCGCCAGTCGCTCCCGCATCCTTCGCGACGCCGTCCGGGTGGAGTGTGCTGGCGAGGGCAAGGGAGAACTCGGACTCTTGTCGCAGGTCAATCAGGTCGGTGTTGATCTGCAAAAGGACGCCCGTTAGCCGTGCACATGCATGCTGAGCGAGTGAACGGGACGAACGTCGAGGGTCATCCGCATGTCGTGGTTCTGCGACTTTGCGGCGATGCGCGAGACTGCCACATGATGGAGAACCGTCAGTCAGCCTGTGCAATCGGTCTCTGGACGCCCTCGCAGCTCACCCCGGTCGAACTTCTTCCCATCTGCCGAGCTTGGAGATGTCAGTTCCAGACGCGACAGAGGGCAAGCGGGAGTGCGGCGCACCCTTGTCGACGTCTGAGACGTTGAACACGTCGGTGAAGATGATCGCAGAGGAGGTAGACGCGGCTGCCATGGTGTTTGGGCGCGATGAGGCGGTGTCGGGTTGAGGAGGCGGTGGGAGGGTGAGGCGGGTTTGGTAAGGGTCTAGGAGGATGTCGCGTGAAGTAGTGGAGGCTCTGAAGTCCCTGGAGTGTCCTAGCACGCAGGCGGCGAGCTGTGAGCGAGGCGAACAGAGGATTCCTCCGCTCTCCTCAACAGCAAGCAACGGAGCACGCCGAAGACTGCCGGGCTTGCTAGAGGGTGTACGATCTGGCGAGATCTAATGTAGCGGAAAAGTCGCGGCACAAGGCAGCGGCGGCTGGATTTCCTGAGAGATTCCGTTGCAAAGGAGGCGATTCTACGGGGCAGGCTCGTCAGAGGTGCGCGCTCGCCGGCCAAACCGTGCGAGCGCGCGAGGTATAGGATAAACGAGTGTAGGACAAAGACGAGGCAGGTACGCGGAGAGACGGCGCCGGGCGGCGCGGGGCGAAAGGAGAAGTTGCGGGAATGCAGCGTGCGAGACGGGACGGATGAGGAGCCGAGACGAAAGGCGGGAGACCGACATGAATAGAGTGCAAGAGGAAAGATGAAGGGGATGGCGAGGGGGGTCTGCGGTTTGCGGCGATCAGACGCCATACCGTTCGCGGAGACGCTGGACGATGACGGGAGGAAGGTGCGCGAGCTGCGCGTCCCATGCTGGGCCTTCCGACATGCCCTTGAAGGCGAGGAGAATCTGTGGCGGCGCATTTCAGTACGCTGCAACGAACGGAAGGAATCGCAAGGTGAGACGCACCGTCTTGAACATCTCGTTGAGCTGGTCGGATGGCCGGGTCCAGCGAGCGACGGCATTCAGGAAGTAGCCGAATGCCTGTGAACTAGAGCGTCAGCACAAGCAGACCAGGAGGTAGGATGAGGTGAACGCACCGCCGAGATGCCGTTCGGGTTGACCTGGATCGCGGCGCAGATTCCGCGGAAAGCCGAGTCCTTCTCCTCGTTGTCCTTGATGTCGGCAAGCGCCTGGCACCATGCCGACACGAATACCTCGAGGTGAGGCGCGACGAGTTGCGGGCAGACGATCGCAAGTCGACCAATCGTGACCGCCGAGTTCTCCGTCAAGCTCCGCGCCGCCTTCGAGCTGAGCAGGATTGGCACCAACCGCTCCATCAGCGGGTTGACCCACTGCTCCATGTCGGACCCTGCCTGCAGCGCGATCTCGCCTGCCGCCCATGCTGCGTTGTTGCAGACCGAGACCTCGGCGAGTCGAGGCTCGACGTCGATGTGCGAGATGAGGACGGGCATGAACTGAGCGAGGGTCGGTTTCAGGATGGGGAAGCACGAGATTGCGGTGTCGCCGAGCAGGGCATATGAGGATTGGCGGACGGGCGCGTCGGGATGTTGGAGGCAGAGCGAGAGGAGGGTGAGGACGGGAGGATCGCTCTGCGAGTAGAGCTGGGTGATGGCGGTGTTGAGGCCCTGCGTCAGGCCAGACAGCAAATCCAGCGAGACGATGAGGAAGGTCTTGTCGGGCTCGTCGTAGTTGATCGGATCTTGCTGGTACTGCTGGAACTCGATGAGCGACTGCTTGACGATTGAGATGCAGCGGTTGAAGACGGGCTGGGCGTATTGCGCGAAACCGGGACCGATGGCGATGACGACGGACGACATGCACTGCGGGCATAACAGGAGTCAGCATGAGTCGCTAGGATATGCAGAAGCACCTGGCTTACCTCGAGAAGGGGGATGAGGTCAGGGTCCTGGTCACCGAGCGCCCCCCACTTGGCGATGAGAGGCGGCATGAGGATGTCGATGTAGGCCTGGTTGTTCAGGGAGGAGCCGACGGCATCGGCGAGGGTACCGATGGCGTCGTAGAGAATGAGGAGGTTTTTCTGCTGGTACTTGTTGAAGGCGTAGACGAGGTTCGACAGGATGGACCCGAGGAACGGCTCGAGCTCCGGCCCAGCCTCCTCCTCGAGCGTCGCGAACGCCGAGCAACCCGCCTCCTGCACCCGCTTGTTGTTGTCGAGGCACATCCGCAAGAGGCCCTCCATCGCCGGGACGAAGTACTGCTGCTTGTGCTCGGCCGTCGCGTCCTCCTTGATCGTCCAGCTCGAGTACCGGCCTATTGTCCAGCACGCGATGGAGCGGACGAGCGGCTTCTTGTCGTTGAGCGAGTTGACGAGGAAGTTCATCAGGATGGGGAGGTGAGGCTCGATGCCGGTGATGCAGCCTACGTGCGCGCGCAACATCAGCAAGCGTCCGCAGGGAAATGAGACGTGTCGACAAACCTTCTGCGATGGCGCCGAGAGCGAGGATGCCGCTCTCGCGATCGAGCCAGTCCTGCGAGAAGAGCTTCTCCTTGAGGTACGGCAGCAAGACCTCGAGGAGCTCCGCCTCGAACGCGACAGCCATGACGTCCAACGCCGCCGCCGAGCACTTGCGGAGGTTCCACTCGGTGTAGGCCTCCTCGTCCTCGTCGTACTCGTCGTCGTCGTCCTCTTCCTCGTCCTCGTCATCCTCTGCCCGCTCGCGGGACATGTGGCCGCCCTGCCCGTTCGCGCGCTCGGCATCTTCTAGTCGCTCGTTCGTGTGCGCCTTGGAAGAGAGGAGGTGAGGCTTGATGTCGGACGCCTTGTCCGGCACTGCCGCGTCGTCCTCCTCCGTGTCGAGCAACAGGATGTCGTCTTCCGAGTAGACCATGCTCTGAAGGAGGACGGGCACGACCTTGGGCAAGTACGGTCGGAGCTGGTTGACGAGTTCCGGGTCTTCGGCAAACGTGAGCCAGAACTCGCAAGCCTCGAGCGCGACCTCCTCGTTCGTCGTGTCCTGCGTCGAGTAGAGCATGAACTCGACGACGCTGGCCATGTGCGGGACGAGAACGTCGGGCCGAGTCGCGAGGAGCTGGACGAGCGCCTGGCAGACCGTCTTGCGGACGTCAACCGAGTCGTCCGTCGCATGCTTGAACAGCGCGACGACGAACGGCTCGAGGTGGAGAGTCAGGGCGTTGTTGTCGGGCGAGATAAACTGGATGGCGCAGGAGAGGGCAAAGTTGCGGATCTTGGGGTAGGGCGAGTCGATGTGGGTGAGGAACTTGGGAATCATATAGTCGAGCGGGCGCTGGCCGCCGACCTCGAGCTGCTCGAGCCGCTTCGGGATGTCCTGGCACAGCTTGTCGAGAGCGTTGAACGCGCCCTGCGGAAGGTGCACAGCAGTCAGCTTCGCCAAACGAGCGACGAGGCGAGCGGACGGACCTCTTGTGCGAGCTGGTCGTCCGAGTCGGCGAGCTCCATCAGCTTGCTCAGTCCCTCTGTCCACTTCTCGGGTCCCAACTCGACGAGGAGCGTGTCGATGACGGTCGAGACGGTGTTGCGGATCATGCTCGTCGAGTCGCCGATGGCAGTGAAGATGTTGGCCTGCACGTAGGCGACGACGTCCGATTCGAATAACTCGAGGCGCATGCGAATGTTGTTCTTGAGGAGCAGGCCGGCCATCGAGCGCACCGTCACGTCCTCGCCGGGCATCTGGGTGAGGATGTAGACGAGGTACGAGTTGTAACCCGGGATCTCGTTGAACGATTCGAGCCGCTGTATCCGCACGAACAGCAGAGTCAGCCCATGCAACCCCTCAACAGGCCGCTCCCAGCTGAGCCCGCGCGGGACTGGCGAGACTGACCTCCTGCGTCTGCTGCTGGACCTTTGTGTCGGGGCTGCCCGAGGACCGCAGGCATGAGAGTAGCTCCTGTAGTCCCTCTGGCGAAGGCGTCCAGCTCGACATGGTGCACTCAGCGTGCGCTCTGGGTGCGCGGCGGGGTGAAGAGGGTCCGGGTACGAGCGACGACGAGACGGGGCTAGGTGAGCTGGCGGCGCGCGCTCGGCGGGTTGCGGGTGGGCTAGAAAGTCGTTGTTGAGCTGTGCGAGCGTGGCAGCGGTGCCCTACGAGCTCCTCGCGAGCGGTGTGGTTGGCGAGGTGGACGAGACTCCGCAAAACGGCCTATCAAGCACGAATCCCCCGACAGCTCACTGGGTGGCTAGCAGTACACCTTACAGTGCTTTCGACACCGTAACACGATTTACTGGGCAGCCAGACCGGCAAATCGAGTGGAGCGACCCTCCTCACTCCGTGCCGCCGGCAAGTCTACCTCGCCATGCTCGACCAGCTTGTACCGCTTGAATTCGGCGGATGCGTACTCCTGCGAGTCCTACTCGTCGTCCTGCTCCTCGCCTGCTTCCCGTCGCCGCTTCTCCTCCTCCTCACGTTCCGCCCGCTCTTCCTCCTCGACAACCTCGATGTCGAGCGGGTACGTGAGTATTGCCGCAATGCCCGTCAGCTGGTTGAGCTCTGCGCAACGAACAAGCTCGTCAGCGAGAGGAAGGCTTAAGAGAGGGAAGGGAGACGCACGCTGGCCCGACTCGTGCATCGACGAAAACATGAGCACTTCGCCGCCGTACGCCTTGACATCCTCGACGAGCTGGACGAACTTCTTCCGCCGTGCGACAGAGGGAGAGCTGTACCATGGGAGTGCAAGTTGATCAGCCTACTCCGAGCTAGAATGGCGGAGAGGCCGAAGACAGCACGCCCAAACGCACCGGAACAACTCGTCCGAGACGAGCAACTTGCCGATCGCGCCTCGTTCTGCGGCCTTGAAGACGTGGCTCTCGCCGTACCACGCTCGCAGAGGGTTCTCCTCGAGCATCTTGAAGAACCTGGACGGGGGGGAGGTCGTCAGTCGGCTGGTATCCGGTGAAAGGGCACGAGTAATGCACTTCTCCAGCATGACGCCTTCTTGCGCGAACTTGGTGTCCTTGAGCTGAGACGACACCTGCTCGAGAAAGTGTGTGAGTGACCGCTCACGAGCGTCCGTTCGAGTGAGCGCACCTCGGGACTTGACAGGATCTGAGTGAGTGAATGGACGTGGTGGGTCGGCGAGTGCAGGAGCAGGAACTTGCTCTTGGCCTGTATCAGCGCCTTGTTGTTTTGCCGCTGTGCGTGTACCCGACGGAGTATGAGCGGATGCTCTTTCGAACGGGAGAGACATGCGAGGGGGGATGGAGAAGTTGACGAACCACGGCCTCCTCAAGCAGGAACGAGTGTACCGTCTCCTTCGTGAAACCCGGCGAAGCGATGATGAGCACTTTCAGCTGCTCAAAGTCGAAATGCCGGTTCACGGCGTCGTAGACTTGATGCAAGAAGCGCGAGTTGGCCTACACGATGACCGAGTCAGCCAGCAGACGAGCGAGGCGGACGAGGAGACGAACCCGCTCGGCGCCCAGGGCTGTTCCTCCGCCTTTTCGTTTCCGAGGGACGGGTACGTCGATGCGTTGCTTGACGATGGTTGTGTGGTTAGTGATGATGCAGATGTTGGCGGTGCCTGCGAGCGCAGCCAAGGCGTTTTACCCGTGTCAGCTGGAAGCGGGGAGGAGGAACGGCGGAAGGCAGCACTCACCTTCTCCGCAAACAACCGCGCCCACATCCGCTCCTCGACCCGGCTCCGTCATCTCCCTCAGCCGTTCCCTCGCAACACTGTCCCACTCCCCCTCACCCTTGATAATCGTGAAATCGCGCCCGATCTCCAAATCGAGTGTATGGTACGCTCCCTTCTTGACATGCTCGTTCTCGCTCGTAATCTTGCCCGAAACATGCAGGGTCGTCGTACCGGATGTCCCGGAGGCGGCGGCGACGGGTGCAGAGGAGTCGGCAGCGGAAGAGGAGGATGCGGAGGCGGTAGAGTCGGGCTGGGCGAGCGCAGAGTATAGGACTTTGTCGACTCGGATCGTGAGTTTCAGGTGTACGCGTTGCGAGGAGGTTGAGCCGGTTGCCGATTCACTCGTCACTCGTCTGTTCGAGGGAAGGGAGGGATCAGCATGAGGTCACGAAAGGCGACAACTTCGCACGGCGGGTCGCCTAGGGGTACAGAGCCCGCAGAGACCGGTCTAAATTAGTGAAGCCACAAGGCGAAGGCCGACTCACCGTACAGCGGACGCACGCAGCTCATCTCCCTTCGAGATGAGGTTGTAGGCATGCCACATGTCCTCGTCATCCTGGGCTGCACCGAGCGGGCCAGCATGTCAGCGACCGTCTCTCGTCCCGTGTAGCGACACGCCAGCTCTGCAGAGCCGCGAGAGACCCGCTTCGAGTGCGATTTTTGTGGGGCGGAGCGATGAGAGCGGCGAGGGACTCACGGCGGACGGTGACGGAGCCTGACTGGTCCTTGTTGATGTTGGACCGGACGAGAAGCATCCTTCAAGCCTGTCTAGCAGCAATCCAGCGGTGTGAGCGGGTTGTCGTCTCTTCCAACCTTCGCCTCGTCCCTTTCCCTCGACTTTCACCCTTCACTACGCTCAGAGGATGTCTCCGTACGGTGGAACAATCTCCAAACCCGAGCGGACAGGCGGCCCGCTCGTTCCGCGCACGTACAAGCTCGCCAACTCGCAGGCGCTCACCGTCTTCCCCGTCTCGCGCGAGACCGTTCCCAACGAGCTGCTCGCCTACCTCCAGGGCGTGTTCAATGATGTCGTAGAGGAGGGCAGGACGTATCCGCAGATGAGCCCGCTCAGTCTCGACGAGTTTGTGCGTTCCTGCTCTTCCTGCCGACGGAGACTGTCCCGGAGGTGGGGTTGCGTTCGCTGACCAGGCTTACATTCCTGCCGTGCCATCAGGCTGCCTACTTCTTCGGTGAGTCTATCTTCGGCTCAGACGGACAGGAGACGCCGACTTGACGCCGTTCGTCCCGTCCTCTCGCAGCCGCGGACTGCTTCATCGGCATCCTCGACGCTGCGCCAGCAGACCTAGGCGACGCCTCAGCTGGAATGGATCGGGACGAGAGCTTGCAGCTGGAGAGCGTCGTTGCGGGGCGGGAATGGAGGGACTGCGTGCTGGGAATGTACTGTGAGTCGCGCTTGATCCTGCGCTTGTTGTCTGTCGTTCGCAGGGCTGCCTCACGGTGGCCCCCCTGCGAGAAGCTCGCCGAGCAGATTTGCGACGAATCGAGGCTTACTGACCTTCCCTTGATGTCTGCAGATGTCAAGGCGAGTCTTTGCAACCTCTTCATTCGTGTCGTCCCCAACTGGCGCTGACTCCGACGTCGGCCCCGCAGCCCAACTACCCTGGACGATCCTCACATCTCTGCAACGGCGGCTTTGTCGTCCCGACCGTCCACCGCGGCCTACGAGTCGGCTCGACCCTCGGTCGCTCCTACCTGCACTACGCGCCCTTACTCGGCTACCGCGGCTCGGTTTTCAACCTCGTCTACGTCTCGAACGTTGCGAGCGTCAAGATCTGGGATGGCCTGGGCTTCCAGCGGGCAGGGTTGATCCCCGGTGCGGGCAAGTTAAAGGGCAAGGATGGCGCGGAGGACGAGTACGTCGACGCGATCGTCTACAACTACCAATTCGTCAAATAGGGCGGCGAGGAGCATGGTCAAGTATCTATTGCATGCATCTTTCGTCTCTCATTCAGCCCGCGGGCGAGTCTGCGCTCGCTTCTCCTCGAGGACTCGCTTGCGAAGGTCCACCCTCGCTCGCCCCGTAGTGCGCTGCGTCTTGCTAGACTGCCGCTTTCGACTCTTGTTTGCTCGCTGCTGCACGCTTCAACTGCCATCCCTCGTTGCATGCGTGCACAGGCCGTCTTTCCCCTCTTCCCCTCTCTCCACCCGACCACTCACTCGACTTGCGCATACAGCGCCGTACTGACGCGCAGGACTGCCGGAACGACTTCTGCGACGCCCTCATGTCATCCTTCGAAGCGTTCCCCTCGTTCCACACTTGTCGCCTCGACTTCTCGCTCACCTCGCTGCCCTCCCTGCCCTCGTACCAACTCGCCCTCGTCCCGTTCCGCCTCGACGCGTCCGTCGCACAGAAGGCCGAGGCGCAGCGTCTGTGGTGGGAGCGCCGCGTGCAGGTCGAGTCGGAAGGGAGCGTCGAGTTTGGCGTGAACGAGCAGCAGGCGATCTTGCGGCAGCTTGAGGAGGCGGATACCAAGTTGAGGATAGTCAAGGCCAAAGGGGAGGGAATGAAGAGTGTCGAAGTGCAGACGGACAAGGTCCACGAGGGCGAAGACACGCGCAAGGGGAAGAGGAAGCAGAGGGAGGACGACGACGAGGAGCAGGCCCACGCCGAGAGGGTGCGTCCGTTGACGCCTTGACTCTCTCACGAGAACCTTCTTTGACACGCCGACCCGGGTTGCCCAGCGTCGTCCCGCTCCGAGTGCATCGACGCTCTCCGCTCGCCTCGACAAGCCCGCTGCCGCCGCTTCTGCGTCGCCGTCTCGCTCGCTGAGGGAGAGGCTCACCCCTCCTCAGTCCGAGTCGCCTCCTCCCGAGGTCGCCGCGCCCCCTGGTCCTCACTTCGACTTCTTGGGTCCTGCCGGGCCTCCTTGCCCTCCCGACTTGCACAAGCAATTTTCGATCGTCCGCATGACCAACCTCCCTGGGCACATCACACCGCTTCTCCTCCTCGAGTTCATGAAGCGCCGCAGCCGCAACCCGTTCCCGCGCCCGCTCGCCATGCGCAAGGCCAACTCGTCCGGCGCCTTCCTCGTCGCTTTCCGCTCGCTCGAAGCAGCCGAGACGGCTCTCAAGCGCCTCAACGACCAGACCCTCCCGCTCGTCAAGTGCAAGATTCGCGCGTCAGTCCAGCCGAACAACATGACCGAGTTCCGCTCCGGCTCACTCTCGGACGAAGTCGAGCGCGAGTGGAAGAAGAACGCTCGTCTCCCCGACACCGAGTGGATCGGCATGTCGCGCCCGCCTGGCAAGGGCGTCAAGGTCTCGAAGGGCTACCAGGCCGAGTTTGAGCGCATCGACAAGCTCGAAAAGCAGCGCAAGGAGGAGCAGAAGCGCAAGGTCGACGAGGCCAAGAGGCAGCGCGAGGCGGAGGAGCAGCGTCTCGCCGAGCAGCGCCGCCAGCAGCAGGCTCGTCTCGACGAGGAGCGCCGCACCGCGTACTGGAGGACCGCCCTCGACCCGCGCACGGACGATACCTACTGCTTCGAGTGCCAGGCGGAGCCGCGCGACTGCGACTGCGGCAGGTTCACGTGGGACGGGTTTCGCAGGCAGTACGTCGTGGGACCGGTTTCGCAGGCAGTACGTAAGGCGGATCTGATGGTGTTGAGGAGGTTGAAACTCGCTTGAACGGAGTGCTGAAGTTGCGAAGGTCGGAGGGGTTCGTCCCTTCCTCCTCGCGTTGTCGGGATGCTGTCCTGTAGCAGTACAGCAGTGCAGTACCTTGTCGCTTTGACGCCCGAACGAAGCCTTCGAGGGAGTCGGAAGTTCAACGGAACGCAGCGAGGTGGCTCTCCCTCAATGCAGTCCGGTTCCTCTACGGCTTTGAGCGCTCTCGTTATCGCTGTAGAGCAGCTCGCGTCGACTGCCACCCAAACGAAGCTGCTTCCCATCCGCCTCCCTCTCATCTCCTCCTTGTGCTCTTCCCCTTCGCACGAACGCTTCAACCTCGTTCTGACTCCATCTGGCGCGCGCGACAGCCTTGAGCGCGATGTCACAGACGCCCGACGTGGCCCTCTTCGCCGTACCCGACCTCGATTTCCCGCTAGACGAACTCGAGGACTTGCCGGCGGAACAGCTTTTTCTCGTCCCCTTCCGACCAGACGCCACGGAGGAACACAAGCAGCGCGCATACGAGATCTTCTGGGCTCGCAAGGCGGCTGCCGAGCGCGCTGGGAGCGGTGGTGCGCAGGGGAAGGGTGTCGGACTTCAGGTGGGGAAGGCGAATGATCCCTGGACGGGCTCGCACAGGCGTCTGTCTAGCATAGGAGACACCGAGGAAGGCCTGCCGACTCCGGGAGGGTCGCAGGACGGCGGCGCAGCGGACTTTGAAGGACTTGTTCCCGCTGGCGACAAGGTCGAGGTACGCTTGCGTTCGCTGCCCTTTGACAGTTGTTCAGACGCGCTGAAAACCCTTTCGTTGGGCTACAGAAGGCGCTCACGAACGGCCAAGCCCACCAGTCCGCTTCGACAAGCGCCACTCCCTTCGCCAGCTCCTCGCAGACCAACCACTTCAATCAGACTTCGGGCGCCGCGTCCAGCTCGCTCGCACCGTTGTCGAGTAGCATCACCGACCCAAGCTCCGACAGCGCCAAGTCGCCTTTCGGGGCTTTCCCTACCCACAGCTCGACTCGCCCACTCAGGAAGAACGGCTTCTATGCAGACGCTTCCTCCAGCCGTGACACGCCTTCCTCGTCGACTGAGAAGCAGAAGAAGGATAAGGGGAAGGGGAAGGCCGTTGAGCTGCCCGGAGAGGCGGCGGAGTTTAGCGGGACGACTACTTCCGAGGCGACGCCCTCCTTCTCGCCTTCGACTTCCGTCCACCCCCGCGCGACCCGCTCGACTCACTCGACCGATGCGAAGAATTTGAGGTGGCAACGCGGACCGGATCGCAGTATCGAGGTCGTCGTCGAGATCCCGCTCCATCCCGCCATGACGAACCTCTCGCCTGCTTTGCGCAAGAAGCTCTTCGGCAAGAAGGCGGCGCCTGTCAAGAAGGAGATTGGCGCGAAGAAAGAGAAGGTTGCCTCGACTATGCCGAGCGGGACGAAGAGGAAGACGAGGTCGTCGCTGGCGGCGGCTGAGCAAGCGGAAGACGAGGCGACCGAGCGGGCTGCGAAGAAGCGCAAGATGTCGACGGTGGTGGAGGGCAAGAAGCCGGCTCAAGCATCGCCTTCGACCACTTCGCGCCGCGGTAGGTCGAGCGCGACTTCGACCGCCTCGACTAGCAAGCGCAAGACGAGGCGCTCCTCCTCGGCCGGTTTTGAGGTGCTCATCGAGACGCCCAAGCGACCGACTTCATTCGCCAAAGCCGGCTCGTCGATCAAGGGCAAGGGCAAGGGCGCAGCCGGCTCGCCCTCGGTCCGTTCACCGACAATGGCGACATCCTCGTTGGCAGCTACCACCCGACTCCGCAGCTCTCGCGCACCAACACGGTCATCAGCGCCGCAGATCAAGAGATGCTCGACGCGGGGAACGACATCGCTGTCGGCCCCGTCGGTTCGGGCAGCGGACTCGCGCCCAGCGGCCGTTCCTCGAATCTGGTTGGCGACTCGTCGACTCTCGCGGAAGGCTCGTCCACGGCCGCTGGTGACGACGAAGCCGATTTGCTCGCCAGTATCCTCGCCCTCACATCCGAGAACGCCGCCCAAGCAGGTCCTTCGACTTCCTCGTCGTCCGGTCTCGCCAAAGCTGCGAAAGAGGTGCAAGACGAGCTCTTCGGCGGTACGGATAGCCCGCTCGAGTTGGATGAGGCAACGATGGCTAAGATCCTTGCTGCTGTCGCGTCGAACGGGAAGGAGCAGGCTGGGAAGGCTGATGCGGACGGAGGAGCGGAGGAGGAAGTCGATGAGCTGGACGACGACTTTGGTCTCGCTCAGCTCGAAGCCGAGCTTGGCGTCGGCACCGGCAGCAAGAGTACGAATGTCGAGAAGGGCAAGACCCGCCTCGAGCCCGGTGTCGACGCTCCCGCTCCTCCGCCTTTCGCAACCGGTCCCTCCACCGCTCCCAACGGCGCTCCATCCACCGCCCCCGCCCCAGTCCCCGCCACTGCCAAACCCATCTCCTCCTCGCGCTCTCAGCGCGCCACCAGCGCAACAGACGACGAAGACGCGCTCGTCTCTCCCTCGCTGCGCGTCGACGAAGAGGGGAAGAAGAAGAGGCGCAGGAAGGCACGGATGAGCGACGAGTTGGAGAGGGCTGTCAAGAGGTGTGCGAGTGTGTGAGACCGCATGTTGGTGGGTTTTGGGTTCTCTGGGTTCCGCTTTCGCTTTCCGCTTTCGCTTTTCGTGATTGTACTTGCTCGCTTTCTCGCTTCCTGTTCCCTGTCGTTGATTCTCCTACATACCCGCACATACTCCCTCCCCCGCTTGACTTCCTCCGCATCATACTCTCGCAACGCATCGTTTCCTACCACACGCGAGGTGAGGGGAGATTTGAGGATTCGAATGTCAAGCAGGCGAGGGGCGCTACAGAATGTACAATCGAGGCGAGGTGCGAGAGAACAGGGAACACAGGCGCAGAGTCGGAACAGTCGAGCGGGTGGAAAACAGAAACAGGCGAGTCGCGAAGACGACGAGAGGGTGTGAGGAGGGGAGGGAGAGGGAGGGAGCGGAGGGAGGGGCGGGGGGTATGGCGAAAACGATTCTTGCTTGTGCGGGAGGATATGCGACGAAGAAAACCGGAATCACACACTCTGGCGTCTGTCTGGTCGCTGCGCTCAGAACGCCTCCTCGACAAGCTCCCTCACGAGCCCGCTAACCTCCTCAATCTCGTCCCTCAACTCGCTCTTGAGCGACTCGAGTTCGTCCTTGAGGTCTTCGAGGTAGGCTTCGACGAGCGACGACTCGACCTCGGAGGAGTCGGTGCGCCATTTGCCGCGCTTGGGAGGGGAAGAGGAGGGAGCGGTGTAGCTGCGCTTGACCCTGCATCAGCACGTCGTCTTCAGTCAGAGAGCGGGTGCACGCACTTGTTGAACGAGAGCAAGTTGGGCGACCCAGGGTTGAGGTCATGCAACGCTCCCTTGGTCGCAATCTTCAACATGGCCTTCTTGAGCGCCTTGGGACTGAGGAGGTGGTCCTCCGGCTTGCCCTTGAGTCCGCCGAAAGCAAACTGGTTGAGCGACGAGGCGAACGACGACTGGGACGAGGTCGAGGAGAGGGCTTCGTCGAGGGCGGCCGAGGCGGCCCAGTCGGAACCGAGCATATACGCGGCGAGTCCGGCGATGTGAGGCGAGGCCATCCTGCCGCAACGTGTCTTCTCATCAGCCGCTGCGCGAAAGACTCGAGCAAGCGAACGAGCGAAGGAAACGACGAAGGGCAACTCACGAAGTCCCCGAGATCGTGTTGACGCTACGGTTCCCCGAGTTCCAGATCGAGAGGATGTTGAGTCCGGGCGCAAAGATGTCGACGCATTTGCCGTGGTTGGAGAAGTACGCGCGCTCGTCCGAGATGGTCGACGCGCCGACGGTGATGGCGCCCTCGGCGGCGGCGGGCGAGTAAGAGCATGCGTCGCGGTTGTCGTTACCGGCCTGAGCGAGCGCAAGCGAGGTCAGCGAAGGCGAAAGGACGGAGATAGAGAGCGGAACGCACGGCGACGGCAAAGTGGAGACCGTCCTCGACGGCGGCGTTGACTGCGTCGTCGAGCGCCTGGCTCTTGCCACCGCCGAGAGACATGTTGGCGACGGATCCCTTGTGCTTCTTGTTCTTGCCCTGGGCCTTGAGGTTCGCCTGCTCGGCGGCCGAATCCGCCGCCCAGGCGACACCAGCGACGACATCGCTCATGGTTCCGGACCCACCGGCGCCGAGGACCTTGACAGCGACGATGTTGGCCTTCTTGGCGACGCCGTACTTGGCCGAGGCGATCGTGCCTGCGACGTGCGAGCCGTGACCGTTCAGGTCCTGGTCCGGGTCGTTCGGGATCGTCTTGCCCCATTTCGCGCGGCCTTCGAGCTCGACGTGGTCGATGTTGACGCCCCTACGAAGTGTGCCAGATTAGTGCGAACAATGGAGGCTGGTGAGTGCGCGGGGGGACTCACGTGTCGATAACGTAGGCGTCGACGCCCTCGCCTGCCTGCGAGTCGTACTCGTAGCGGTTGAAGTTTCCGAGGCTGAGGGTGTTGCGGTGCGAGATGCGTGCGAGGCCCTGTTGACCCGTAAAGAGGAGTTAGCGCTCGTTCTGTAGTCATGCGCCCCACCTTGGCGGACACCATCGGACGAGCCGAATCGGGACGAGGTGGCAAGTCGCCCAGGAGGAGAGTGCACGCACCCAGGGAGCACCCTTCTCGACGTCGGAAGCCCAGACGAGCGAGTCGCGCTCGACGTACTTGACGCCCTTCATGGCGCGGATGTGGTCGACGGTGCGCTCGTCAAAGGAGCCCGAGTAGCCCTTCAACTTGCGAGCGCTGCTGCGGCGGCGGGCGTGCGAGTGCCTCTTTCCACCGACGTGGAAGCGGTGCTTGACGCCGTGCCTGCGCGCGTGGGCTGACGAGGCCTGGGCGAGCGCATGCTCGGTGGTCGAGTGGACGGCGTCGACGAGCTGGTGGTGGTGGTCGATGTCGTTGTCCGAGAGTGATTCGTCGAGCACGACGATGTAGCTGTCCTCGACGATGTGGGCCAGCGTCGGAGTGGTGTGCTGCTGCTCGTGAGGGATGGCGGGGAGGGTGGGGGTGAGGAGCGGTGCGAGGTCGCTTGAGGCGGCGGGGAGTGCGTGTGCTGCGAGTGCGGTGCACAGTGCGGCGGCGAGAGCGTGTGGCACGAACATCCTCACACTTCGAGTGGGAGGTGAGAGGGAGAGCAAGGAGCAAGAGGAGAGCGTCGTCAGGATGTGGGACAGGACAGGGGCTTATCGAGCGGGAATACCATTCACTGCACTACTGGCGAGTATTACAGCAGTCTACACTCTACTTGGTGTGTGTTCAACTCGTTCGAAGCGGCACACTCCTCGACCCGCTCCTCCTCCTCGTCGACCACACAACTTCAACTCGTTCAGCGCTGGCTTGCCCTTGTCTACTGATTTCGTATGAAGTGACAAGCTGCTCAGCAGACCCGCCCATTTGCACTACTCGACAACGACCCTCCTCCCGGCCCTTGGCACGCCCATCTCACCCGGGCTCGCTCTTCTCGACACCCTCGCTCGCACTCGTACACGCGCTCAGGACACTCGCAGGCTCACTCGACGACCGCCTGAGCCAGACCGAAGCCACTCGCACGCTCTCACACGACCCCCTCATCTCGCAACCCTTCGCTCGCACCGTCCAACCCTCGCACTCGACGATGCCAACCCGCAGCACCCTCGCGCACCAGCTGCGCACTGCCCACCCTTCAACCGAGCCTTTCCTCCGCGCCTTCCTCCTCGGCTACGCAGCGCAGTCCGTCCCCGCCCTAATCCGCATCCTCCTCTCCTCCCTCCTCTCCCGCGCGCGCAAACCCCCCTCCCAAGTCTTCTCAGACCTCCTGAAAGCCATTGCGCGCGGTTTCAACCCCCGCGGATTGGGCGTCGCGTTTGGAGTGGCGATTGGAGGAGCCAAGTGGGCGGAGGAGGTGGTTGAGCCTGTTGTGCGATCTGCGTACGCGGCGGGCGTTGCGCGTGCGCGAGCGGTGCGCGAGGGGAAGGGGAAAGCGAGGGAGACGGAGGGTTCGCTCGAGGCGGAACAGCAGCGCGTCGTCGAGGACGAAAGGAACGTCAAGGTCCTCTCGACCTTTGTCGCGGCGACCGTCTCGTCCCTCGTCGCGCTGCTCGTCCTCCAGTCTTCGAAAGCCTATCGCCGCCCCGCCCGACCCGCAGCCCAACCCGTCCCCGACCTCCAACCCGACTTCCTCATCAGCCCCTACACGCCCGGTCCCTCTTCGACGCCTGACCCGACCCCGCGCAACTCGCGGCGCATCCAGTCCCCCACGCTCGACTTGACGCTCTTCCTCTTCGTCCGCGGAACCGACACCTTCCTGCGCTACTTGTACTCGCGCGCGCCTGCGACGCAGCCAGGCAAAAAGGGCGCCTTGATTCGCCTCCTCGCCTCGCATGGAGACACGCTAGTCTTCTGGCTCGCCTGCTGGAGAATCATGTTCTCCTTCTTTTACTCGCCGCACAAACTCCCGCCGGGCTACTCCAAGTGGATCATGCAGCTCGCCCGACTCGACCCGCGCTTGTTGCAGCTCCTCCGCTTCGCGCGCGAGGGGCGCTACGTCTATGGACGGGACGCAGACGCCGAAGTCGTACGCGTGTGCGAGGGGATCGCCAGAGCGAACGGGAAACCACTCGCGTCCGTCCACCCGCTGCACACGCGGCGAATCGACTGCGCGCTCGTGCATGGTCGAGTTGGTGCGGGGACGTGCGAGCAGAACGCGCTGAAGCGATGGGTTCGCGCGTTCCTCGACTGCCTCGTCATCTACCTCCCCGTCCACGCGATCCCGCAACTGCTCTTCAACCTCCGCCGCATCCTCGCCCAACCTTCCTCCTCCCTCGCGCGCATCCTCCTCGCTGCCTCCCGCTCCTCCGCGTTCCTCGCAACATTCGTCGCCTCAATCTACGCCTCGGTCTGCCTCGTCCGGACCCGACTGCCCGGCCTACTTCCCTCGGTCCCGCAACAGCCGCTCGACGGGGGTTTGTGCGTCATGCTCGGATGCGCGGTGTGTGGGTTCTCGGTGCTCATCGAGAACAAGAGGAGGAGGAGGGAGATGGCGCTGTATGTTGCGCCGAGGGCTCTGTGCGTCCCCCTCCTTTCCTTTCCTTCCCTTCCTCACCTCACCTCCTTCCTCCCGTTCGAATGACTGACTGACTCGAACCCTCGACACTGCACAGCTACGCAATGCTCGACGACCTGATTCCCCCCTCACTCCTCCGCGGCCGCGTCGGCGACCTCCTCTCGACCCTCCTCGAATGCCTCGTCTTCTCCTTCTCGGCAGGGACAGTCATCACTGCTGCGGTGCACAGGCCAGAGTTGGTCAGTGGGGTGGTGAAGGGTGTGACGGGGTTTGCGGTGGGACGGTGGGGAGGGGAGAGGAGGAGGTAGATGCGAGGCGAGGTTCAGAGCGTGTATCGACGGCTTGATCACTCCATACTTACGCCCTCTACGCCTTGCTGGCGAGCTCAGATGAACGCTTTCTCGCGTGAAGTTGCTTGCTCGCACGCTTGCACCCAGCAGTCCGCACGATAAGCTTCCGCTCTCCCATTCGCTTCAACATGCTCCAGCCACCTCGGCTCGCTCGAGGCCGGGGTAGCTATAGAACCACCGTCGCACGCACACTGCTACAGCACGCCGCCCCATCCCACCACGCAAAGTTCGGGTCAGATCTCTGCGACACCTTCTTTCCGCTCAAGCGACGAGTGAAGGGTGGTTGCTTGATCACGAAAGGTCCTGCAAAGCACCACTACGGCGAAGCCCCTCAAAACCCTTTCTTCTTCTCCCCCTCGTCTCGGTATCCGCGTATCCACCCTCATGGCCGCACGGTCGCCTTGATCTTGGCCGACCACCGTCTAGCCTCCTTGTTCTCGTGCTTGCAATACCGCCGAACAATCTCCTCCGCGCGCCTGCGCTTCGCCGCCAATTCTTGTGTCGTCCAACGCTCGTACAGAACACGCTGCCAAGAGGCTGCTTCGGGAGGGAGATGCGCGAGGTTGATAGGCGGTTTTGGACCAGCTTGCACCCCGGCTGGCGGTGGAACGAGGAACGGCGGGTCGAGGTTCACCGTACGGCGATAGATCTCGTCGACGAAGCGCTCCATTCGTTCGATGTGCCAGTTGTGGAGCTGTGGGATGGGTGCCTGCATCAGTGACTGGAGCGCACGTCAACCATTCAGGACCCGTACCCATTCAGCTGAATCGGGAGCGTATGGCGGGAAGGGCGAGTCCAGCACAGGGAACTCGGAGTCGGGGAAGATGTCGGCGCTCGATGCGGCCTGGCTGGTTGCGCTCGCTCGAGCGGCACTTGGCGGAGTAGCCGGACTCTTGTACAACGCGGGCTGTGTCGCGCGAGCAAGCTTGCCGTGCCAGAGTTGCTGGAGGAAGCGGAGAAGCGGCATCGCGGCTCGGTGGAAGCGCAGAGTTGGCCACCGCCTTTCCTAGAACAACGTCGACTGATTGCAGTCCCACACGTGGTCCGTCGTAGCCCCAGGCTTGCGCAACGCGATGAAGCCTGAAGGGGGAGCGGACGGTCAAGAGGGCGAGGGGGGCGCGCGCGCGAGTAGATGGCACGTTGTGGAAAGAGATCTGAGAGGCCTAGCGGAGTAAGCTGACGTGAATTGTGCGATGAGCTTGTTGTCGCTGGGAAAGCAGACGCGAGGAGGAGGAGGCGAGGGCGGGCCCAGAGAGCAATGCCCAAGCAGTGGCCTACAGAAGTAGCTGAAGATGAGCTGATTGAGCAGGGTTGCCGGTGTCGCGATGCGCTGCGAGAGAGGAGGAGAGGTCCGCTCGCCGGTCCTTCGACTTACTCCGCGAGCAAATGAACGGGAGGACCTTGAGAACATCATTGAGGAGTAATTGCGGCAACAAAGAATGGCGACTGCGGAGTCTACTGATGGTACACCGGCTTGAAGGTTCGCTTGAACGCCAACACGATTGCGAGTCCGAGTGCGACGAGGCTGATGAAGGTTGTGGCGCGGAAGGCGGTCGCGAAGCACTCCTTCCCGAGTGTGCAGAGATGGGCGGGAGGTGCTGAGCCTGCTCGGCGGATGAGGGAGGAGGAAGGGGTGGAGGCGGGTTCGTCGGGCGAGACGTGCGAGTCGTAGACGGCCTGGGAAAGGGTGAGGTGTCAGCCTTTGCCCGCACAGTCATCATGCGAGTACTCACGCCGAACAGCAGGTTCACGAATGGCGCTGAAAAGCTTGGACTCATGGTGAGCAAGCCGTTGTTGGTCGCGAACGATGCCCCTCCGAACCGCTCGAGGCAGACGACCGGCATGTTGCCAAAGAGCGAGCCGTAGGCGAGTCCGAGAGCTGCTGTCGGGAGCGCGAGACCGCCGAGACCCTCGACGCGCTCCGCTTGGCCTGCAAGGATTTGCGAGAGGGCGAATCCCGTAGCCGTTGCGACGAGCCACCAGATGCGGGCGAAGCGGACTCGCTCGGGTGCGTGATGGGTGAATGTGTCAGCGAGGAAGCCGACGAGGAGGCGACCTGCGCAGTTGAAGATGGAGAGGAGGGCGACGAGGTGCGCTTGCGATCGCGCGACCGACTTCGGGTCCTCATCCGGCGACGCGAGTGTCGTGACGACGGTTCCGAGGTTGTTGATGTCTGCGGGAGCTGTGGGTGAGCGTGATCTCTCCCCGGCGGAGAAAGAAGTCTACGCACACATCAGGCCAATTCCCGAGCACAACGCAAGATATGCAAAGAGCCGCCAGAAGTCCGACTCTTGCAGCAAGTCCCAGCCTGAAACGTTTAGGTCGCCTGCGCTATGCCGCATCGACTTCGCCTCGTCCTGCAAGAGCGGGCTCGAGCTTCCCGTTCGCCGACTGAGCGGCCTTGCCGGCATCGCCTTGTCGACGACGTTCGAGCGAAGCGAGATGTCGGATTCAAGCGCAAAGTCGCGTCTCGGCGGACTGTCCAAGTCGTCCGTCGTGCTGACGGCGAGATACTCGCACCGGCTGTGCGTTGCGGCACCGGAGGCTGGCTCAACGGCCATCGCTGGAAGGCGAACGAAGAGTGCGCCGAGCGACATGGAGATCGAACAGCCGAAGGCGAGCGTGAGGAGGAAGCCGTAGGTCGGATCGTCGGAGCGAGCGAGATTGGCGTGGGAGAGGGACGAGTAGAAGAATGCGGAGAGGCCGAAGCAGCTCAGGACGGTCGCCATTGCCGCTCCTCGACTCGACTTCGAAAAGCTCTGGCTCGTCGCCTTGAGCGAGGCAGACAGCGCTGCGGACCCGCCAATCCCTGCTGCGAATTGACAGGCCGCGAGACCGCTCAGGCCGACTCGCGCATAGATGCCCTCGTAGCCGCCGTCGTACACCACTGCTTGACCTAGATCTGCGTTCGAGGAAGAAGAAGCGGTCAGCATAGGCGAGAGACGTGGATGAAGGAGGACAACGCACACCCGACCAGGAGGGCTATCGCTGACAAGCTGAGGACAAGCCGGGGTCCTTTCCTGTCGACAAGCGGTCCCACTAACGGTCCAGACAAGTACACGCCCGCGTTCCCTGCCCCCGAGACGATGTTCTGTTGCACGGATGAGAGGTGGAGCTCGCTGCCGAGCTGAGGGAGGTAGGAGGAGATCGCGTAGTTGGTGCCGGCAGACAGCGTCGCTACGCAAGCAAAGAGCAACGTGACATGCCTCTGAAGCATCTGGTACCGTGAAGCGAGAAAGCGTTGAGCGATGAAGTTGCGGACGAGGGCGGTCCGCAGGTACCGCTTCGAAGAGCACGTGGAACGGTATCTCCTCGTTGCTACACCTCTTTGAAGAATCCACGAGCTGGCGGAACGAGGAACGAAGCGAGCGAAGGACCGCTGTTGCAAAGGACTATGACTCTTCGTCGCCCGCTGTTGCGCCTAACCAAACAACGACGACACGTCCCTGACTTCCGCCTTCTGCTGAGCCGACCCGTAGTTGAAGGCCGGACCGTCTTGCCGACTCGCGTGTTGGAAGGGCGAAGCCGCGTTCTGACGGCCAAAAGGCGAAGCCGCACCCTGGCGAGCAAACGGCGACGGTGCGTCTTGCCGCGCGAACGGTGACGAGGCGTCTTGGCGAGGTACCGAGGCAAAGCCGTTCGTCGAGCCGAAGAGGGAGGAGGCATCGGGGCGAGCTGCGGGAGGGGAAGCGGCACTGGACCGGTCGGACGGCGGCGACTTGGTATCGTCCGAAGACGGCGCATGGTGGCCACCGAACAATGACGCCGCCGATGCTGCCATACCGCCGAAGAGTGATGCGACGTCGCGAGGTGGAGGAGACTTGCGCTGCTCCGCATGCGGCGCCTCCTGGACCTTGGCGGCCGGTTCTGATGCCCTCGCCGGGGGTTGCGGCGTCGAGCCAAGGCCGAAGATAGAAGCGATGTCGTTCTGCGTCGACGACGAGTTGCCAAAGAGCGACGAAGTGCCCTGCCCTCTTGACGGAGCGGCAGGCTGGTGGAACGGTGAAGGAGACGGGTCGAACGAGGTTGATGAGCCGAATGCGCCGAACGCCGCAGCAAGACGATCGTCTACTGAGGTTCGTCGAGGAGCTTCAGGTTCAGGCGTCGCCTCCCTGGCTGCGATGGTGGCGGGTTCGACGGCTGCAGAGGCCGTTTCGACGGCTGCGTCGTCGGGCTGCTCCGTCGCAGAAGCAACGGGCGCTTCTGGAGCTGCGGTAGGGGGTGCAGGTACAGATGAGAGTTCGCCTGCTGCAGAAGCTGGTCGAGGGGGAGCGACGGAAGGGCTTTGCGGCTTTGCCTCCTCGGCTGTCGGGGGCGGCGTCCCTTGCCGGAAGGGGTTATACAATGGCGTAGCTGGCTTCGAGGATGTGCTCGAGGTGGACGACTGAAGAGCACGTCGAGTTCGGGGCGACGGGAAGGCAGAGGAGCGGGGCGGAGGAGGAGCTGCGGAAGCCTTTGGGGGCGGCGGTGCGGGCGTCGAGCTGCCTGAGCGAGCGTAGACTTCGTCGTCGACCTCGGGCTCGAAGGTCATGCGACCCGTCGAGTCACGTTTTGGAGCCTTCGCGCTTGATGCGGCGGACGCTTTGGGCGGAGGAGCGCTTGTCGGCGGAGGAGGTGGCGCCATTGGCTCCGGCTCATCTGTCTTCTTCGCTGCATCCGCAATGCCGCTTGAAAAGATCGCGTCGAGATGCGTCGAATCCTCCTTCGGCTCAGACTGTGGTCGCTTGTCCTCCTCCTTTTCCTGCTCCTCCTGCAGCTCGACGACATTCGGCTCGGCCGCGTTTGGCTCCGCTGCTGCGGCCGCCTCTGGCACTGCCGGCGTACCAACCAACGCGCTACCGACAGTCTGAGGTGCCGGCGCATCGGGCGCTGCGCCCCCGTCGTCGGTGGAGGTGGTAGCGGCTGGAGCATCGTCCGAAGTGGTGGCCGGAGGCACGGCAGGCACGACCGCGGGCTCGTCTGCTGGCGATGCCGCATCGGGAGACGCATCGAAGTTCAAGGCGGCGGGGTGCGCAGGCTGCACGGCGGGTGCCGGCGAATCAGGACGAGAAACCTCTTGCGGGGCTTCCTCCTCGTCGACGCTGGCAGCATCGTCCTCGCCATCCGCACCGTCCTCGTCCTCGCTAACATCGAGTCCAGCCTTTCTCATCCGCTTCTTGTCCCGCCTCCTCTTCTCGCTCAGCTCCTCGAGCAAGACGAGGAGGTCCTCCTGCTCGCGATCCGCCTCCTCCTTCGCCTGCCGCGCTTCCTCAAGCTGCGACCGGAGCGAGACGATTGAGTCCGACAAGGAGGCGAACTCGGCCTCGACAGCGGCGCGCTCCTGATCGCGCTCCTGAGCGAGCGACTGCAGGGCTTCCCGTAGATCGTCGAGCTCCTTCGTCTGTGCAGCGAGCGAGGCGCGCAAGGCGGCGAGGACTTCGGGCGAAACGCCGTCCATCGAGCGAACTGCAGCGAAAGCCATCAGCGCGGAGCGCGATGAACGGCTTGGTGAAGCTGCGCTTACCCATGGCGGAAGAGGCTTGCGGGTCGATGAGGATCGCGCGCTGGACGGAGACTGCGAGACAACCTGTGTCAGCGGATGGATCTGCAACGAAAGGCTTAACAGCTCACTGTAGTTGGTCTTGAGGAACTCGACGAAGCTGAAGTCGAACCACAGTCCGTCCTCCTCGCCCAAGTCTTCCGCGATCGTGTCATCCTCATCGACAAGCTCGAGGACGTTCGGGCCGACGTTGCGGAAGCGCGGGTCTTCGCGCAGACGAAGGATGCGGGAGACGAACTGGTCGGGGCCGACGCGAGAATGCAGGATGGGGTGGAGCGTCTCGCTGCGGGGGCAACTTGCGTCAGCTGAGGGAGACAAGGGGGGACAGGGAAGGGGCGCACCGACTAATCGGACCAGGCTCGCGGTTGTACTCGTAGCAAATGCCGAGCAGGAACGTGCAGAGACCCTGGATGACCGAGTCGACGCCGGAGGATTGCGTAATAGGTTGGATGAGCTGTTCGACCGAGGGAAAAGGTCAGCGAGAGTAACCATGCGATGGTGAGGCTGGCAATACGCACGACCTGCAAGTTCGAGCCTTCGCTGAGGAACTCCTTCACGGTGAGCGGACTCTCCCACATCCACAAGCTCAAGCTAGTCAGGTATCCGACCATGACCCTGCTCCATTCGAGCCCTCGCTCGGGGCCAAGTCCCGCATTTGCGCTCTGCGCCTGCTCCCGCTGCGCCATCATCAAGTTGCTGACCAGCACGCCGACCAGCGTCGTGCGATCGTCTTCGTCGCCTATGCCGCCCGGCGTCGGCTCGTCGCCCTGGAAATAGATCTTGCGCGCGACCTCCTTGCAGACCTCGGAATGCATAACGAGGTGCGAGAAGAGGAGGCAGGCGAAGAAAGGGACGTAAGAATCGAAGGATTCGTTGCGAGTTGGGGTGGGAAAGGTGCGGAGGGCGGTGAGGATGATCGAGCCGGGCGAGAAAGACGCTTCTTCGGTAGGGGGTGCGATCATGGTCGAAAGGATGCCGAGCTGGTTCTCAGTCGAGCCGGCGGCATATGAGGTGAAGAGGTTGGCGGCGGCAGCGCGTACTCGCAAGCCTTCGCGTCCGGGTGTGCCATCGCCGTGAACAGCCAAGTCCGTCACGGCCACGACGGCGGGAACAGGGGTACCGCGTCGCCACTTGCTCGCCGCTCGCTGCGCCGCCTCGTCGTGCTCGTGATGCTGCGATTGGCCGTCGACAGAAGCTCGTGGCTGCCCGTCATGCTGCGAGGTCGAGTCATCGGCGTAGGTCTCGGGCGAGGAGGGGCCGGCAGGCGGGATGAGCGGCGTGACGATGAGTGTGGTGAGGAGAGTTTGGTTGTCGGCGGACGAGCGCATGATGTCGGCGAGGGCGTTGAGGGACTGCCGCGACGCGCAAGATCAGTACTTTCCTCGGGGAAGGACGAGCGGCTCGATGACGAACCTGCGACTTGAGCACCGCTGGAGCGTTACTCGCCAACGCGAGCTCAATCAAACACCTCGTCAATCCCGTCTTGAGCAACGCGTCCTGGTTCTGCGACCGGCCGCTTCCGCCTGCACCGCCCACAAGCATCCGGACAAGCGAGATGACGAGTCCGGCGTTGATGACCTTCTGCTCAGACCAAGACTGGAAGGCGAAAGTGGCGAGAGACTGAGCGTTGAGTGCGTTCGGGCGGGGGAAGAGGAGGAGAGGAGCAAGAAGGGGGATGCAGGACGTTTCGCGGAAGTAGTTCTGCGGGAAGAGAAGTCGTCAGCTGTTGGTTCTTGGTATGGGATCGCTTTGAAGCACCTGATTCGAGACGTTCCATCGCAACAGCCCGCCGACAGCCGCCAGGCAGTCTTGCACAACGATACCTCCTGCGCCGATTCCGCCTTCGGACCGCACAATGCCGAAGAGCTTGTCGAAAGCGCCCTCGAACGCGAGCAGCTTCTGGATATCGGCATTCTGCGTCGTAAGAGCGATAATCAGGAGAAGCGACTCTGCGAGGAAGATGAACGTCAGCCTAGGAGCGAGCGCGGAACACAACGGGACGCTTACCGTTTCGGATGATCTCCCTTGCATCATCAAGCGTCTCGACGAGCCTGCCGATACCTCCGGCGGCGGTTAAGACGTACTGTTGAACCTGCTGAGGCCGGTTGGCAAGGAGGATCCCAAGAAGCTGGAGCGAGAAGAAGCGGAGGTAGAAGTGCGAGGGTGTGAGGAGCTTGAGTAACCTATGGAGGGCGGTAGGAGTCGCAAGGAAGACGTCGGTATTGCGCAAGCCAGAGTCGTCGCGAACCGGCTGAGGTGAAGGTCGTCAGTTTGGGCGAGGGCCAGGAGACACAGGCAGGCCAACGCACGCGTCCCTCGACTTCCTCGACTTCACAGAGCAAGCTGAGCGTCTCGACGACCGCCTTGGCCATTTCCGTGTCCTCGGCCGCGTCGTCCTCGAGCACTCCGAGGAGGATGGGAAGGGCACGAGCGCCGACCTCCTGCGACCGTGACCGCGTCAGTGCGGTTGCGGGCAGTGAACAAGCATGCGTGCACTCTCAACACCGTGCTTCGCGCCCGGTGAGCCAGCTCGACCCCCACCGACGTCGCGAGGGGATGCGGACGTACCGACTTCCAGTCCCTGCTCAAGCCCTTGAGTCCCAGCAGCGCCGCCCTTCTGTCCTCCTTCTGCGTACCATTCAGCAGCCGCTCGCACAGCTTCTCGATGGTGTCCTCCGCCGAGGTGGGTCGCGCGGTCGCCTGGAGCGAGTTGTACCCCGCCCGGAGCGTCGAGAACATGGCGGGCGCGTCCTGCCGTTCCGTGGGAGGTCAGACAGTGCGTTCAAACGAGCAAGCTGTCCGTTCGAGCGGTCGAGAGTTTGAGGTGGGGAGCGATGAGAAACGTTGGCGGAGGTCCACGACACCCACGACGCGCTATGGGCAAGCAGAGGGCGAAAGGAGCTGCCCAGGGGTCTGCTCAGCCGCAATCAGTGTCCTGGCCAGCTCTCCACCCGCCGCAGCGTCCGCTTCAGCTCGTCGAACCGTCGCCAGGCATCATTCTGGTCGAAGACTTCTTCCCTCCAGCTATTCGCAAGGCTTTTCTCTCCTTCCTGACTGCACCCAATTCGCCGCTGCGACTGAACCCGCCGACCGCGCCAAAGAGGGGTGAGGCGGAACGGACGAATGCGCGAACTTCGGTGCAGGATCCCGAGTTCGCCAAGCGGTTGTGGGAGGACACGGGGCTGCGGGAGGCTTGTCGAGCACTAGAGGGCAGGAACGGGCGCAAGGCGGCAGGACTCAACCCGAACATTCGGGTGTATCGGTACGGAGAGGGCGATTTCTTCGGTCGTGAGTTCTTTACTTTTCTCGCTTCACTGATGTCTGGCTGATCCGTCGCCGCACAGCACACTACGACGACGATATACGTGACCCTGCGACGGGCTGGACTTCCGAATGGACGCTGCTGATCTACTTGACGGGCAGAGAAGACGGAGTTGTCGGTTCGTCCCGTCTCATCCGCCAGGATCAAGCTCTTCAGCTCAACCTTCCTGCCGACAGGTGGAGAGACCGCCTTCTACCCTTCGCCGACGCGCAAGGACAATGGGCCTGCCGTCGTGCCCGAGTTGCGAGCCGGTCGCGCCCTGCTCCACCGACACGGCCAGCTGTGCTCGCTACATGAAGGGGTGAGTTCGCTTCATAGGTAATAATAGCGTCTCTTGACACTTTGTTGTCGCAGCGGCTGGTCGAGAAGGGCACAAAATGGGTCCTTCGTTCGGACGTCCTCTTCGCATGAACTTAGTCTGCTGCTCTCGCAATATTGCCTCGACCTGCTGTTGCCAACACTAAGCAAGTACAACGTGTTACGCCATGTCGTCCCCGTCCACCGTTCGCTCGCCTGTGCTCCGAAAGTCGACCTCATCGAGCCAGAGTTCCGCCTCACCTCCGTCTACCACCAACCGCTTTCCCGAAAATGACCCCTCGTCCCCCTCCTTCCTGCTCGCCTTCCGCCCAATACTCAGCATCTGCACATTCTCGCCCAGTCGTCCCCTCGCCTTTAAGCTCGCCAGCCCACGCTTGATCTCCCACTCGCTCGAGACCCTTTTCCCATCCGCACCGCTCACCGTCCCCTCGACAATCCTGCTCAAACACCGGTCTCGACCATCGGATCCGCCATCAAGCGAAGCGGACAGGTCCCAGACGAGCTGGATCGTGTTCAAGTCCGCGAGCTTAATCTCTTCCGCCAGGCGGTGGGCGGAGTTCAGGACCCAGAGGAGCGAGAGGGCGTAGAGGCCTGGGAGAAGGTTTGAGAAGGCGTAGGAGAGGTTGGTCGTCTCGGTGAGGGTGACACTGCAGACGAGTTTCTGATCAACGAAGGGCCGGGAGGGACGGAGGAGACGAAGCCTACTAGGTGAAGCCCGACACGATCGCCGTAATCGTCGTACACAGCGCCGCTTCGAACGTGACGCGCATGAACTGCAGGACGATCCGAGTCAGCTTCATGCGAGACTCTGAGCCAGGAAAAGTCGGCTTACCCCGCCGAGTCCGCCGTCCGCACCTGGACGTCCAGCATTCGCAGCTCCAGCGTTCGCCGCACGCTTCTTCTGCCACAGCCGTGTGATTAGCACCGCACTGCGAGGAAAGCAGCTGTCAGTTCTGCGTCTCGAGAAGTTGCGAAGGACGACGAGGAGAACGCACGAAATGGAGATATCCGCTGCGGCACCGCAGAACAGCCATGCAAGCGCGAGGTTGTAGAGGTTCTCATACGCGTCCGGCGAGGCGCCGCGGGTCGCGTCGGTCGCGCCGTGGTTAATCACTGCGTCCAAAGCCTGCTGAGCGAAGGGAGGCGGGAGATGTAGCGAAACGCACGCTCGACGATTGTGATGCCAAAGGCACTGCCTGCGCTTGCGAGGACGAGCACGGCGGTCCAGAGGAGGAAGGGGATTCGGGCGGCTTTCGGGAGGACCTGTTCGCGAAACCAGTTCCCAGAAAGTCAGCTTACAGTTTGTTTTGCGGCAGTGCGAAATCGGACGTACCCTCCAGCACCGCGCAGCAAAGAACGCCTGCGCTGCTACAGCCGCAAAGGCGCCAATGAGGACGCTCAGCGCATCGGGTCCTCGCAGGAGCGAAATGGCATCGTTCGAGCGGTTCTGGTCCTTGCCGTGCGAGATGATGGACTGCGCGAAGACATCGTCAGCTTGAGACTCATCGACAGCAGCCGTGTACGCACGAGCATGTTGAGGATGGCCGTCACGACTTCGGAACAAGCAGCGACCAGTACCGCCGACTTGACCGTCCACCTGTCCCCCTTTGCCCGTCTCCAGTAACCCGCAAGCCAGCTGACCGTGACGCCACAGAGGAAGACGTTAGCCGTCCAGCCGAAGAAGAGCGGGCCCAACGTCCAGTCCGAGTTTAGCTGGAGGGCAACGCCTTGCGCGGCGGGATAGTCGGCCTGGTCGATGTGCGAGACTGTGGAGCCCATGGCGGACAGTGCGCGGCAGAAGTCGCTCCAGCAAGCTCGTTGTTCGAATGCAGCGTTCGTAGCAGAGCGAGAGAAAGGAGGACCGGCGGTACGAGGGGAGGATCCTCTCTGACCGCCTGCGGAAGCCAGGCAGGGTTCCGAGCGTGCGATGATCACCTTCACGCGGCAATTTCAAGTGGCCTGGGTGTGGTCTGTCTGCTTCGGGAGGATGCGAGGGACGAGGGAAGCTGGTGCACTTCCTTGAGCGGAAGGGGCCTGACGACGTGCGAGACTGGCCTGCTGCTTGCCCTCGCGCGCTGCCTGTCCACGGGACTGCTTGGCAGGCATCATAGACACATCTGCGCTGCCCCCGACACTCCCTCGCTTGTTGGCGAGCGTGTCGTTGATGAGGCGAGCGGTTGCCGGATGCGAGTGAGCGGTGACAACGCGCTGCGAGCGGCTGGCTCCGCTTCGACCGCAATGTACACACCGTAAGCAGTCGAGCAGCACACTCAGCTCGCCGCACGACGCTGAGTGAGCGGTATTCGAGGATGGCAACCCGGGTCGACTCGAGCGAAGTCCGGGAGAACAACGCACCGTTCACCTCGCCCAGCTTGCACACGCTAGGATGGCAGCAGTAGTCGCAGGGTCAGCAGCAGCACTCGCAGGAGCACCCGCCCACACCGCAGCCCGCCTCGCCAGCTCGAACGACCCCTCGTCGTCTTCATCAGCATCCGCACCCGAACAGGCCACACCTTCGGGCAGGACGGTCGAGCTGGATTCGGTCGAGGATGCGCTCGAGGCGTTCAGGAAGGGCGACTTCCTCGTCGTAGTCGACGACATGGACCGCGAGAACGAGGGAGACTTGATCATCGCCGCAGACCGGATCACTCAGCAGCAGATGGCCTGGCTTATCCGGCACTCGTCGTGCGTACCCAGTTCTCGCCCGAGACAATGCACCGAGCTAACCGAGTCCCGGCCGCGCAGGGGTTACGTTTGCATCTGCCTCCCTCAGCGACGACTTGCCGAACTCGACATTCCGATGATGGTCGAGGACAACAAGGAGAAGCATCGGACAGCCTACACCATCACCTGCGACTACAAACACGGTCAGCCCGCCCTCTGCCTCCTTTTCCGGCCCCCGACTGACCTCTCACACCCGGTCGAGCAGGAACGACAACCGGCATCTCTGCTCACGACCGCGCCTTGACTGCTCGCAAACTCGCCGACTCGTCGAGCAAGGCGGAGGACTTCACCCGGCCAGGACACCTCGTCCCGTTGCGGGCGGTCGATGGCGGCGTTCTCGCGCGGAGAGGGCACACGGAGGCTTCAGTCGGTGCGTTCGACGAGCCCTTTCAGCGTGCTTGCTCCCAGCGCAGTATGCTGGATGCTCACCTTCTTGGCCACACAGACCTCTGCCGCCTCGCCGGCCTGCCCGAAGCAGGCGTAATCTGCGAACTCGTCAAGCCGGACGACCCGAACGGCGACATGGCGCGACGAGACGACTGCTTTGCGTTCGCGCGGCAGTGGGGTCTCAAGATGATCAGCATCGAGCAGCTGGAGCAGTACAGGCGCGACAAGGGCTTGTAAGGGAACGGAAAATGGGTTCGGCTCGCTCTCGCAACTTATCGCATCACCTCTCCGCATCGGAGTCCGTTGTACCATACCGAGTCGTGATTTGCGAAGAGAGCGAGGCGTGTGCGAGTCGTGTGTGGGAAGCTCTATGTGCGAAGAGGAGGGTCTACATGCGAGAAAAAGCGAGTGTGAGGGGGTAACGGTCATGGGCGGGTATGATAGATGGACAGGCTCGAGTGGAGCGCAGAGCGTGCTTTTGTTGAAGGGTATCGGGGTGCTGCAACGGCAGACGGGCTACATAGGTACGAAATGAGGGAGGAGAAATGGTGGTCAAGTCGTCGGCCGGCGAGTCAACGACGGAGGAGCAGCCTTCGCCGCAAGCGCAGGCGACGCCAAGCCGATACTCGAGCTGCGCCTGCGCAGAGAGCTTGTGGGCAAGGTCGCGCCTGACGGAGTTGGGGGCGGCATCTCGAACCTTGGTGTGAGGGAGCACTCGGCGCACCTT